CTACCCCTTCCGTCTCGTGCATGGCAGCATCGGGATAGCTGCGTCCTGTACGGAGAAAGTAGGTGGTCGTAGTAGTAGTGGTGGTAGTAGCCTTGCATGCGTGGAAAGATCTGATGTAAATCGACTCGTCCTACATTAGTCCACAGCAGACTTGCACATCCATAAAAAAATAAAAAATAAAAAGTAATAAAAAACACGCGTGCACTAACACATACATACACACACACACACACACACCCAATAAACACACACGCGCGCGCACGCGGGCGCGCCGCGCCTTACTGCCGTACCAGTACGGGTAACCCTGTCCCGTCCCGCCATGTGCTTCGCAGCGCAGCGCAGCGATGTGCATTTTGTTTGCTCGTTTGCCTTTGCTTGAGGATGGGGATAACCATACGGGAACGGAGAAAACGGCGTGCATTATGTATGCGGCCATGGTCCTGTACAGACTACAGATGTTCAAGACCCCTCCCGAGGACAGCAGAAAGACATATAGATGAATATGCGATCCTACGATGCCAGATTAGATTGCATCGAGGAGCAAAGAGGCAAGAAAAGCATCAAACAAGACAACGGCGGAAAAGGGACAACAGACGTTCTTTGATGGTCATTCGTAACCCACATAGGAGTTGTTGTGCTGTCTCGCAGGGGACTTCGCGCTCCGCGGGAAAGCACACCATATCTCTCTATACACACGCACACATTTTCCCAGGCAGCCCCCTCATTAGCCCTGCTCCCCCCCCCCCCCCTCCTCGGTCAAGCCAGCGGCCAGCGCCGCTGCGTTGTCAAGTTTTTGTGTGAGAAGGGAAGGCAGAAAAAGCAACGGTTCTGGTCTGGGCCCAAAATCGCCAAGTTGCCCCCGGCGTGAGATTTCCTTTCGGCTGCTGCTGCTGTCGCTGCACGAGGAGGCGGGCGGGCGATGGGCGGAACATCTCGCCTGTTGGGCCTGCGTTACATTCGCAACCCTTTCCCACTTGTGGGACCCCCCCTCTCTTCTTCCTTCCCTGCCACCCTGCCCCCCAACTTTTTTCTGACCTTGCCTGCCTGCCTGTCTGCGCGTGTATGTGTCTGTGGGCAGATGCGCCGTCGCCGCCGCCGCCATCGCCGCAGCGCCTCGGGGAGTAACATGTCAGATTTCCCAAGCGCTAGGCCACCTGGAAGGAGCAGGGGAGGGGTAAAGGTCAACAAGTACAGCGTACATGCAGAGTTGCGCAGTATGACAAAATAGTGCGTATGTCCTGCTGAACAGCTGAACGTGAAGTGAAGAGCGGGCGGCGGCGACATTGAGGGGCATCGACAAACACGGCACCGCCACTAATAGCGCCCATGGCATTAAGCATACGGGGCCACAGGTACTTTACGGGATGGTAGATCACATACCACGATACACCTGGGCAGATAGGTAACAAAGAAGGAGCCGTCCTTCTCTTTCTTCATAGGTAGTCAGCAACAATGTGGCCAGTCATCCACATCGCGTCCTCAATGCAAGTATGCTTCGCATATGTGCCGGTCGCGCGGCAGTAGTGCTGCTGCGATTATCATGTAAGGCAATGCAGCGGCCCTGACTTTAGGTGCTGGTGCTGGTGCTGTCCGCTGTCCGCTGTCCGCTATCCGCTATCCGCTGTAAGACTTCCCGTTGCCACCAGTTATGCTGTGGCCCATTGTTTGGTCAGTCTTTCTTTGTGTGTGCTTCGTTTTCTGGCCTTGGTCTTGTTCCTGTTCCTCTCTGTCGGTAACAATAGGGACGGCTGCACTGTACCCTTTTGGTCATCGGTTCAGAGGCTACACATTGATAACCTCGGCGAACTTTGACTTCTGACAGCCGCCCTCCTCTTTGTTCCAATGCGCACAGTCGTCACCGGTACGTATTTGGCACCGCCCATTCCAGTGCGTCTTTTTTATCCCATCCTCTCTACTCCTTCGGGAGGGGGGTGAGAGGTACGTCTAGCAGTATCTTTTATGAATTGTCCCGAATTTAGCTCCCGAGGCGAGACACAACCTTTCTGTCTGGGACACGACCGGTGTGAGCTACGAAGGTGGAATGATAATTACTATGACAATAGTATTGATGAGGTCGGGACCGGTCCCGGTCCTTTTCGAGATATCCACTTGCGTGCGAATCCCCCGCTCCTCGCGTCCGCTGGCTACGACAACCAGGTCGATCCATCTGCTGCGAAGTGGATGCCAGATGGGAAATGACAAACTGCTCCTTCCTTACCAGGCCAGGCAGCTGCCCCCCCCGGAACAGAAGGGTCGATGGCCTGCATGTGCGTACGGACGGGTATGCATGCTGCTCATACATGGGGTGGCGGCGGCGAGATCACGGATCACTGAGGAGCCCTGGGGGCCAACTGCTCACAGACACGGAGCCCTTGGAAACAGAGCAGGTATCGAGATATGGCTCCTGCGCACCTGGACCGCAACAAACAGCGCATGCTGGGCAGATCATGCAACTTCCAGGGACGGGGTCAAGCGAAAGTGACGTGGGAACTCAGGCGCGCGAGCTGGAGTACTCCTTGCCGCCGCTTGCGAGCAGCTTTGTCATGTCAGTGTATGTATTCAGGTTGATACCGGATGGATCGTCGAGTCGGGGCCAAAACTTGAACGCTTGAAACGGCCCGCCCCCCTTCTCATTGACTCCCCCCTTGCACTGGTCCCTGGCATCAGTGATGAGAAGGTGATGGGAGCTTGGGGCTCGGCGCCGGGAGATTGAGTTTTCTGGCAACTTCGCTCCGTGTGTCTCCTTCCCGTATTCCCACCCTGGAACCCTGCTTCTTGTGAGATGAGTTTGTCTTTGTCTTGTCTTTGACTTTATCCGGACTTGATAAAGTCAACCGTTGGATGAGGCCCTTCTCGGGAGGTGGAATTACATAGTCGAGGTAATGGTGCAGCATACGGAGTAACGCGCAGTGCCTCGTTGAAGAATGCGCGGCGGCTATGGCGCGCAGCATATGCAAGCCCTGGTGCATTGGTAATTGCAGCTTTCTTTTTTCCTCACCATTTTGATCGTTTATCATTTCTCAGAGTTTGCAGTAAATGGCACGTTGGTGGTTTGATGTGTGAGTGACAGGGCATTTTAGATAGTGTTTTGCAACCCCTGGAGCCATCCTTCAGCTCCTTCCCTGCCCATTGAATCTAGCCGCAAAAGTGCTGCAACGGGAAAACGAGTATTCCGCAGAGAGGGGAATGACTAGACAGTGGACAGCGGTGCGGCGGGCGGCGGGCAGCGGGCATCGTGCATGAACTCCTGGTACGGCATGATTAAGATGTGTGTGTTATACATGTGACGGAGCACCGCCTGCTCTGTTGCGTTTCCAAAAAACCGACCAGGTGGGGGGAGATCAAGACCAGACGCAGAAGACGAGGGAGAGAAGAAGGTTCGCAGGCAAGGAAGGCTGCATTTGGCGTGCATGCGTGTGTGCGTAAGGTTGTCCGGGAAGAGGCGAACATGGCAGACATGGGAGTCCCAAAGTCCTGGCAATGTGCCAGACCAGGTCCAGGGCGGACGAGATGGCGTCTTTCGTTTGTTGTTTCTCACCATTCGCCGCGCGGCCGGTTTTGCGATGCAAGTCAATTCTTGCTCGGGAGCTGGGTGTACCTTGCCTCACAGACCTTGGATTCTACCAAGGTTTTTCTCTGGCACTTCTCTGGAGAATGAATTTGGGGTGCGAAGGGGGCGAAGCTTCGGCGATGATGCGAAGCGAACCAGTTTTTACGACCGTGCAAGCTTTTTTCCCTTTGTTTTTTTAATTTTAGGTGCAAGCTTCGGCCGATGGAGAGGACGTGATATGCATGACTGGCGTCTGTGGGGATTGCGCTTGCCACTGCGGACGATGTTGGAGACCGATTGGATAGCTTTGTTTTGCCGCAAGCTTGTGCATCGTGGGCTCCGCAGATACCTCGATACAAGATGGAACTCTGTTATCCCTCTTTTCTTACTATGGTATGAGGTATACTGTAACACCTTTGCGATGAGAGTTGTATTGTTTGACGGCCAATAGTAATAACCTTCAGTTGAGAGCCGGATGTGTTGGGGTATTGGAAATGAGTTGCCGACAGCAAGGTGTGCATTCTGTATCACACTGAAAAGAGCAGGGTCGGTCCAGTATCAAGAACTAACATTTGAATCGACCGAAGAAAGCTTCGCATTCGCATCTGAAGCATGTCGGCCACAGTGGTCCGGGGGACAATCGAATCGAGACAGACGAAGGGGTCCGTCTGCTCTTTCCCACACCTCCTCTCTCGCTGCTCACGTCCCCGTTCACATTGACAGTTCCGGTTCCAGTTCCGTGGGCTCGTGTGAGCGGGCATGTGCGAGTATGGCTCGTGGGAAGAAACAATGGTTGTTTAAGGGGAAGGGGTGTGTGTCCGGTGTTTAGGCTGATGGTCGTGTACCTGCAGGAGATTGAAAGATGCTGAAGCTGAGGTGAAAGGTCCCCTACTGTCGAAGCGTTCGGTCTTGGGCTTGTCATTCGAGGGGGTTGAACAGAATGGTTTCCAGAGACTTTGACGTGCACATACATACCTGTGGGACGGAAACTGGCCTTTGGGATTGGGGAAATGTTGGAGGGTATGTGCGCTGCCGCATCGGGCCCCGGTGAGGGAAGGTAGAAGTCCAGATATACACTGTCGCAGGAAGGATGGGAAGAAGCTCTCACCGGAACCGATGGTCATGTGACACCGCGCTAGGTACGTGCCTGGATTGGCCCTGATGTTGATACGCTTTGTGCCTCTTAGTTTGGTGGCTCCCGCGTGACCCGCGTTTTGCTGACGACAGAGGCGGTCCATGTTTGGTTGTGCAAAGAACGCACTAGGGGCAAAACAATCGTTGTTGGGCCATTATTCACAAAAGATTGTTCCATGGACTAGAAAGACATTACCAGGTTGACGCGCATGTATTCTATATCACAGTAGCGTACATACATTGTCCGATCCCCGAGTACATCTTAGCGGCAGAAAAAGAAAGGAAAGCACCGGAATCCGACCAACCAGGCCAAAAGATGCCTGCCCCGGGTAGGCCATCTCTGCCGCCTGCCGCGAAGCCGCGCTTCGGCAACAACTTCGATACATACAACTCCAGCGCCACGGGCCATCAACGCCCGGAAACGGCACCCGGAGCTGGATTGGGATGGCGGGCCAGCCGAGCACGCAAGCTTGCGGGTCAGTTCGCCGCTGGCCACTCTGGTGGGGTCCGCATGAGCGATACCTACGGTGCCGGAAGCGAAGACTATGATGAGAAACTGGGCATGGTCGTGCCCAAGGATGTGAGAGCGCGGGCCAAGATGAGCGTTGCCGATATGCTCGCCCGACCAGGGCTGATGAGGAGTGGTTCATCTGTCTCTGACACCGGATCTACCACGTCAACAATATCGAACACGGGAGGTAACCCAAAGAGCGAAGAAGAGATAATGGCAGCACGCAGGAAAGAAGACGAGAGGAAGAAAGAAAAAGCGGCCGCCGGGAGGGGCTTGTTCGAGGGAATTGTGGTCTATGTCAACGGTAGCACGCACCCCATCATCTCAGACCACAAACTCAAGCGAGTGCTAGTAGAAAACGGTGCGCGCATGTCCATCCATCTCGGCCGCAGACAGGTTACGCATGTCATCATAGGGAAGCCCGCGGGCGTTGGCGCAGGTGCTGGTGGTGGACTTGCAGGTGGTAAGTTGGAGAGGGAAATTCGAAAGATCGGTGGCTGTGGAATCAAGTACATCAGCGTCGAGTGGTGAGTATCCCGCCTTCCTCCTCTTTCGAGACCCGGCTGACATGGGCTGACATTTGCTCGCAGGGTTCTAGAGAGCCTGAAGGCAGGAACTCGGTTGCCCGAGGCACGCTTCACAACTCTCAAAGTCGCAAGAGAGGGGCAGAATAGTGTCTATGGAATGTTTGGTGGACAGTCCTCGAGAGTCTGATCTATCGGACCACCGAAATAATGATCATGCCTTGATGTATGGTGTACATGACGTTGGGTAACTCGTTTTGCTTATGGCTTTGGCGGCGTTTGGTACCAAGTATTTGGTCTGGGGTTACAAAGATACCGAGCATAACCAGGAAGGCATATTGTTTGTAGCACACAAGGCGTTGGCTATCAACTCGTATTGATCACAGATTAGCCCCATTTCTAAGAGGTACTCGAGTCCCATGAGTCGCTTATGCCGGTGCATTACATTGTGTCCTTCGGCCGTTACTCCAAGTTACCGGAAAGCACATGTTCCCGCCATGATTGCTCTGTTGTCCGTACAGCACACAAGACCATGCAGATCTCAACGAGCCGTGAAGGCCGCCTCGTCTCGCCCCCCTCCCAAATACGAAGACAATTACACAGCCTATGCATCCCGTAGGTCCGACAATGGTACGATGACATGACTCGATATGCGCGAGGCGAAAACTAGATGGTCCCTTGTCCCTCGTCGTCCCTGGTACCGGCAGCAAGCCGCTTCGTTGTTGGGAAGGACGGGAGCTCGTGGGCCATCGTTGGCTACACGACATTTGCCAACAGAAGCAGAGGAGTGAGCAACGGGACCGAGGGCGAAGCCTGGTTTTCTCCTTTTCTTTTTTCGTTTTTGCGGTCTGTGATACCTGCTGCGGGTGCACGGTACTCGTCGAGAGTGGTTTGGTGTTGCACCGTCCGTGTTTTCTCGGGCATGTCTATAATGCGAGGGTGCGGAATCTATAGTCATCGACCGTAGCATCGTCTCTCGAACGGGTGAATATCGAGCACACAGTTGAACGGGCCGCAAAGGGCGACGGGTACTGGTTGACATTTTCTTGATCTTGTAGCGTCTTCCCTTGGGATAGTCTGCTCACGCACACCCTGCCGGGAAACTGTCGGAACCTCACACCGTACACCGGTTGGTCATGGGCTACGCGGTGCCAGCTCAGCAGTTCCATCTTCCCGGGGTGTTACACGACTTGGTGGATATTACAGCCGTTATGCCGTGAACGCAGAATTTTGTGATATGATGGAATTCCTAGCAGTGACTAGACGTGAGCAACAGTGTGAGCACTAGGTTGCTTTAAAACAACATATATAACCAAATTAGTTCATGCAATAGATTTGCATACTTGGATACATATGTGAAATCCATCTAGACCTAAGTAGAAAATGCCCTAGTCTGTACATATCCGAGATCAAGGATGAGAGCATATCAAGTTCGTATCATCGTTCAATAAACACTAAAATATCTAAATGCCTGCCATTCTTCATTTGTCTACCCACCTCGGCCCTACAGCTTCGCCCTGGCCTCCGTACTCTTATGACTGTCCCCTTTAACCTCCCAGTACTCCTTGATTTTGATCCTCGCAATCTCCACAGCACCGGCATCCTCAACGGTACTTGGCACCTGTACCTCTTTGTCGAAATCGCCATGCACCGCGTTCTCCAGTAGCTCTCTCAGCACACGCCGCAGAGTCTTGCCGCTGCGTGTCTTGGGAATCATGCCCTTCCCCTGGATCAGCCCGCCCAGGGTCGCGATGGCGCCGACCTGCGACCTTATGAGCGTCTGTATCTCGTCGGTGAGCTTCTTGTCAGGTACAGCAGACGATGGGTGCTCAGGCGTTGAGAGCGTGATGAAGGCAAAGGGAAGCTGGCCCTTGAGGGCATCAGGGATGCCCACCACGCAGGCTTCCGCGACGAGCGGGTGTGATGTAATGGCTTGTTCAAGCCCGCCTATCGTTTGTCAATCACGTGTACAGCAAAAGCCGGATGCTTGATAAGGACAGTAACTTACCGCTCGAGAGACGGTGAGCGCTGACGTTCAGGACGTCGTCGTTGCGAGACATGACGTTGACATAACCTTCCGCATCGACATAGCCTGCATCGCCTGTGTCTAGCCACTTTCCATCAAAACGTTTCAGATACCCCTTGTAAAATCTCTCTTCATCTTGCCACAGAGTCCTAAAAGCCGTAGGTGCAAGCGGCAGCCCCAGGACGATGTTTCCCATCGTCCCTCCAGGTACCTCATTGCCACTGTCATCCACGATCCGTACATCGAAACCGGGCATCGCCTTGCCAGCACTGCCTGGCTTTATCTTAGGCGGAGGATGGTCGCGGACGTCTGTATTACGGTCCTTGCCGGCATGTGGCACTAGAGCTCTCCCCGTGATTGGCGAACCGGCTTCTGTCGACCACCAGTTGTCCACCACGTGGGCGTCGATGGCGCCGTATTTCTCCAGAAGCTCCTGGTACATGGTAATGATGGCCGGTTCGGACCGTTCTCCTGCCAGAAAGAGAGCCTTGAGAGTTCGCAGGCCGCCGCGTTCTCCTACTTGCTTAAAGAATTTATTTTCCGGGTCATCGCGCTTAATGGCGCGAAGAGCGGTTGGTGCGGTGAACATAGTATTCACCTTGTACTCCTCTACGATTCGCCAGAACGCTGACGCATCTGGCGTTCCAACAGGCTTGCCCTCGTAGAGAACCGTTGCTGCGCCTGTAAAGAGGGGAGCATATGCAATGTAGCTATGTCCGACAACCTGCATCACGTATGGTCAGCAATAAAGAGCTGTCGGAGCATTGATGTTTATCGCTTACCCATCCGATATCAGACGCTGTAAAAGATACGCAACCCGGGCCATGAATATTGAATAAGTAACTGATAGAAAGATGCAACCCGACGGCATGCCCAGCAGCGTCCCTCAACACTCCCTTCGGCGACCCCGTCGTCCCCGAGGTATGAATGATGTAAATCGGATCTGTCGACTTGACTGGTACACACTCAGCCCTGATCCCCCTTGCACGACAACTCTTGACGATGCTCTGCCAGTTGCGTTCGCCGTCGTTCCTCTTGATAGGGTGCCACCGGATCTGCTCGCGCTGCCAGACAATCACTTTCTCGGGCTTGTGACTGGAAATCTGGCATGCCTCTTCCACGAGAGGCTTGTAGCTCATGGGGGGCTTGTTACCATCAATGCCGCAGGAAGCTGTCAGGATGGCAACGGGCTGGGATGCTTCCATGCGCTGGGCGAGAGCATTAGGGGCAAAACCACCAAAAACTACGGCGTGAATTGCACCCAGGCGGCTGACGGCGAGGATGCCTATTAAGGCCGCGGGGATCATTGGCACTGGTTATCAATATGAGCGTCGCATTTTGGTACGTCGAGCATGCAGGATGGGTCAACTCACTGTATATCAAAACAACATCGCCCTTTTTTACGCCCTCTTCCCTCAGTGCCCCGGCAAACACCTCAACCTCGTCCAGCAATTGCTTATACGTGAGCGTCTGCTTTGTGCCAGTGATGGGGCTATCGTAAAAGATAGCGGGCGCGTCACCCTTGCCATCGTGGACGTGGCGGTCGACACAGTTAAAGCACGTCGAGATCTCGCCGTCTGGAAACCATTCCCATGAGTCGTGAGTGACACCGCTCTTGAGCGTTTTCTTTGTCACTTTCAATGTCGTCGAGGGCTTCTTGTGCCAGTGCAGGTGCTCTGCCTGGTGCGCCCAAAAGCCTTCGGGGTCTTCTAGGGAATGACGTAGGACTTCATCTTGAGGGTGCAGGCTGTCGTCCATTATGAGCGGCGAGTTTAACGATGTGATGGAGTGAGCCAGAGAAATAGATGGGCGCGGTTGGGGCCTAACGGTCAAAAAATAGAGCAAAAGCGTTGGGATTTACCAGAATGATTCAAAAGTGCATCGCTATGGGAGTCTCAGACATTGGACACAACACGAGCCTCGGCTTTCTGGAACAATCCGGACAACTGGAGGTTTGGGGAGTGCTGAGACGGCGTATCACGAAATCAAAGACATGAACTATCCAATGCGGCTGCTGACGTGCTCTCAGTGAAATACGCAGCTGCTGGGAGGCTCCTTCCCCGCATTCCGTTGCCCCGGGGTAGGGGGACTCACCGTCATTGCCAACCGTATCAACGTCTCCAACCGAACTGGGCGGTTTCCCTCGGCCGGGGAACCCCACGGGGTCAGATGCGGGTCAACTGCACCCACCGATACGTCGTTGAAAGATTGTTGGCTGAAAGTGAAGGATGATTAGCGTAGCAAGTTGTGAAGTCTGTCATCAGTAAAGATGACGTATTCGGCGACGGGATCTGGCCATGTAAACCAAAGTCTCACTTAAAGCTAAAGCGTGCTCGCTAAATTGAGAGACAGATATCCCAAAATATACGGTCCGGAAACATGGAGGACGAAACCCAGTGAAATAACCATACTAGGACGTCAAGCCCAATTGCTCAACGCACTTGATTGACGATTCGATCAACAACGCACCTCAAAGCCAAAGCGACAGACTGCCAAGTTTACCCCAGAATCTGATATGGTCTGTCTACGTTCAGGTCCCACTGGCTCCCCGCAAGACCCATCTTCCCGCGCATTCCCCTCCTGTCACGGAGCTTTTTGTGTTTCTGACAGGTAGCAACGGCATTAAGCCGTCAAAGGCATCTGTCAGGCTCGACCAAGCAATGGCAGAAGCATCTATTTCCATGAGTGAGATAGAATCTCTCTGCTCGGTGTCGTAAGTAATACTCTAGTTATGGCGGCATGCTTGAGAATCAATGAGTCGAGGCAAGCCCGGGATCAAAGCCATATCCTCCTGTGAGTGACCCACGGCTACACCGCCATCCATGGTGGCCTCATCTGACGATGCTTTGCCCTTTCCTCAATGATACTTACGGCCGGCTCGACATCTGCCTTGAACCAGTCTGTACAACCTCAGCGTCTCTGATCAGTCACCCACTCCTCCAACATCCTCCAGCCTCCACAGCTCAATTGACCCATGCGCCATCAGATGAGAGACACGGGATGGTAGAAGGAGGCCGAAAACAGCAGAAGAAAACAAAAACCACCTGATGTCGAGCTGTCAAGGGATGACTCCAGCCAGCGGCTTACCGGCACAAATATTGCCCACACCCGGGTCCGGCGGCGGACCAGCATCGCAGGTCTGGCCGCTCCAGCCCCCATCCTCTTCCGCAGGGCTGTCTGCCTGCCCACCTAATGCCTGGGGTCCCCTAGAAAATAACAAGGCGCGAACGAGAACAGTGGTAAACTCTTACCAGAAAACCACTCAATTGCAACTGTAAGGGCCCAAGACCCCCCCAGCGCCAAGGCAATTTGGCAATCCACCCTTATCCTTGGCTGCCAGGTTCACTGGCCTGGCCATTCCCACCTTTTGTTCACTGTGACCCCAGATCAATCCGATTGTTTGATCACCTCTTTTCGTAAACCCCAAATTAATGATGATCGGCGTGACGAGGCCTAGACAGGTTGCTAATCTCGCTTCGCATCTTGCTGCATCCAGTGTGCTGCGGGGATGTTGCCGGTATTGAGAGAATTAGGAAAAAGGCGTCGCCGTTACAAGTGAGGAATAATTACCTGATAGGCCGACGTGGGAGAAGGGGAGGGGTGGGCGTGTTTGTAGCACTTGTCCGCGGGAACGCAATCTCGTTGTCTTATCTCTACTGTCGTGAATCGCGCCCATGTCTCTCTCTACCCTTCTTTGGAGCCCGTTCTTGGTATTATGCTTGGATAGAAGGGTCTCCGGCTGGCTCAGCGAACCAGCCCATTGTTCTACATTGTTCAGTGGGTGGCCGACCATCCGGCTCAAGCGCCTAATACCGTGGTACCCACTCACCCATCTGAGATTTCCCGACCAATCCGAGGCTTTCGGCCACTTTCCAGCACACCCGCCCCAGCGCTGCAAAATGCAGGTACAGCAGCAGCACCCCCTACCTACGTAGTAATGTAGGGAAGGGTAATCGATAGAGTTAAGCAAGCAGGACAAACAACCTTAACTGGTAATAATACTCCAACGACAGCTTACCTTGCCTGGAACTGGCGGTCAGTCCAGCCAGACATGGTGGAGGGGAGGCGACGGCGGCTGCAGCTTTCAGGCCACCCGAACCGAACAGGCTGTGTTGTGCTGCTGTTCATCTCATATCATCTCGCATGCCGTGTCTGTCTATCTACACTGCCTGTTGACATGCAGGTCCGCTGCGCCCCTGGGGGAGAAGAAAGTGCACGAACGGGATTGCGTCCCTTGGAGAAACACCCGGCGCAAGCGAAATGAGACGGCCGAATACTGGGTTTCCCCTCTTATCGATGCAACCTCTGGAAATTGTAGACATGGCATCGCGCACACACACACACACACACACACACACACACACACACACATACACACACACAAGGCGTCGGCGTCAATGGCTTGAACACCCCGTCTTCCCACCCCTCTGTTTTGTTTGGTATTTTCGTGTCTTACGGTGACCATGACTGCGCTCAGAGCATCGCGGTTCGATGTACGGCACGCACGTTGTGTGGCGTCTGGTCTCAAACCACCATCCGCCTTTCGTCCGATGCTTTTGCACGCCTTTAGACGACAAGGAAACATCTCGCTCTAAATCTAGAAACATATCCCCCTGAACAGACACTTGGAAGGAGGAAACGGGAAAGCCAAGATTTCCATGGCTCATCGCTTCTATTTTGCTCTGACTTTGAAAATCACTGCGCACGCTGCTCAACATGCCCGCGGGGTCCGGCCGATCGTGAGCTACAGGTGGGCATACGTCAGTCATTTAGTGCCAGCTATACGACGACACGCAAACAAATGAGTCCAGAACATTCACTAAATATAGAAAACAAGTGGTGCTATCTCCGATGTCGTCAGACAAGACAGGCAATAGTCTAATGGAACGCGATTTTCATTTTGGACAGGAAAAATTGACGCAGGTACGTTTGTAGAGGTGCCGGACCAAAACTGGCCTCCCCGCAATGTTTGTATTCTACGTATCTGGAAACATTGGTAAGATTTGTCAAGAGACCATAAAACATCCAGCCAAATTTTTTCCTACTGAAAAAAGATCTTGGTCTTTCTATGCTCGTCTGCAGTATAAGATATCGACATGATCAAGTGATATACACGAATAGAGATATGGTACTGGGTTTTTTTTTGGTACGGCAGACGAGCACAGCGAGCAGCGAAGAATGCCTTTCCGGGAGAAGAATATAATCGATATTGAGAAAGACGTGTCAACAGATTTCCGCCGCGAGGGAGAAGGAGAGGACAGCAGAAAACCTATCGTGATCGTATTATATTCCCATTAAGCCCCCCAAGAAAAAGCCTCTTTTTCTGGTATAGACCGCACACACAAAGATTTGGTTACAAATCCTCAATGAGTGTGGAAAAACGGGGCCTCTTCAAACACCCGAGACAAAACCGTTTGTTGGTGGTAAAGCAAGTACAAGAAGCTGGCAGTATTGACAAACTGCTGCAAAAAGCCTGGCCAAAAGAGTCCCCAAGCGCGCAGTTGCAGCTGTAATAATGTACCGGGTATTTTTCCGTGGTCGCGTGGAGTGTGTCTTTCGCTCCTCTCTTTTTGACTCCCAAGCTCTATTTCCCAAACTCCTTTCGTCCAAAGAAACAAAAAACCATCCAACTGATGGATTTCACAACCGCTCTCCAGTCATTAAGTGGCGTAGGCTCCCCACGGATATCAAGATATCATCGTACATGCGTAGGGGGAGACGTGGATGGCGAGACGTGACAGTTGTTGATTTAGAGGACGAAAGCGGCAAGACCGAGGACACCAGCCAGACCGGCGCCGGAGAGGGCAGCCGCCTTGCCGGCACCAGCGGTGGGGACCGAGATGGGCTTGGTGGGGGTGAGGCCACCGGTGGCGGTCTTGCTGATGGAGGGAGTAACGACGGGGATGGTGGCGTTCTTGGTAGGGACGCTGCCAACGTGGTTAGCCATGAGATTCTCGTGTGATAGTTTTAGACAAAGCGAACCAGGAATCGCACTTGACCACGGAGGAGGTGATGACGGGCTTGGTGACAGTGCAGGGGCAGTCAGTGATGGTCAGGGTGGTAGCCTGCGAAGTCTGTTAGCTGGATGCTGCTTATAGCCGGTTGTTTTCTCGGGCAGAGGAGGTTGCCGGAGCCGAAAGCGGGCGTTCTGGCCCTTCTCCCGGCGGAGGATCCCGATCAAGCTCCCTCTGTCCCTCTAGAGGTTCTCGACGTACCTTGGTGATGGTGTAGGTCTTGTCAGCGTGGGTGATGACAGTGGGACCAGGGCAGTAGGTGGTGTAGGAAGAGACGACCTCAGTGACGTAGGTGACGTTCTTGGAGGCCATGGCGCCGGCGGCGAGGACAAGGGCAGCAGCGGAGAACTTCATTTTGACGGTTTGGGGGTTTTTGGTATTAAAACTCGAAGAGTTGTAGTTGCGGGTTGTTGATGATTAGGTAGTTGGTTAACGAATGAAAGCGACTAAAAAGTCTGGGTCGGTATGGTTGAGTGAGTGTGTGGGTGAGGAGAGAAAGAGAACAAGACTCAGGAAGGCCTGGAGGAAATGGACTTATATACAGAGATGGACGCAACACGACATGGGGACTGGACTGGGGTGGCAGGCTATCTTAGTGTGGACTGTGGATGGGCACCAGCATGTGTGCTACCTTTCCTCGCGGCAACGTTTCGCTGTACAGTGGTACCTTTGCCCGGCCATGATGGGAGTGGAGCATCTCACTTTGGATCTCCTGCTTCTGGAGATGAGAAGAGGAGCTGGACTGGGAGGGCGAGAAGGGCACACGCCGCCTGGCCCCTGGTCCCCTGCTAAGAGAGGCGCTACCCATAGACTTACAGGGGACCCAGTTTTCCTGTTCTCTGTTGTTTTTCACAGACCAGCTTATTTTACTTTGAGCAAATCAGATTCAAGCCATCCGAGCGAACTTTGGCGGCCAGGGGAGTGAACACGAAAGGAGGACTGCGGTGGTGGATGTTAGGTGGACGGACGGGAAAGGGGGTGGGTCGGGCTTCTCTGTCGTCGTCCTGGCTGCTATTTTTTTTTTCTTTGGTTGTGGCTTTGGCAACGGGGAATTGGCTTGACTGGACTGGGCCGACGAAACTAGAGCGATTGGCGCCCCCTTAGCCAAGGGTGCGGAAACCGGGAGTGATAGAGCGAGTGGGTGGTGTGGTTGACTTTTTTGGTGCGTGGTTGTGCAGAGAGAAGAGAAGTCGGCTAAGCATGGTAGGCTAGCTTAAAGGAGCGGGGTACGTACCATTTCCTCTTGTGGGGGGTTCAGGATAAGATCAAGGGGGGTGCGCGACCAGGTGTAGAACACATGCTTGGAAAGGGGAGAGACCATGGAGAGATGGACTAAGAATCATTTGCCCATCCTCTCCACTTGGGCCCCATTGACCACTTGGAATCTTAGTATGACAAACAGAAGCAGAGACATACAGTAGACTCAGCAGAGTAAGAGGCGAAGTAACTGCTCTCTCAAATGCTTGTTGTGCCTCATGAATCGTAGTTCCTCAGTTCGCTGACCGTATTCGCCTTTGCTTTCGGTCAGCTTTCGGTAACCAAAAGAACCAGAAATTTCCCATTTGGAAACTGGTTCCTGTCTCTAATCCAACCTGTTCCCGCGGGCCATGGAAGCCAACCCAAATCTGCAAGGAGGTCGGTCGAGCGAGATGAGTTGATATGAGTCCACCCAAGGAAACAGAGGTAAGCTTGGATGATTTTGGTGGGGTCGGTCGTCAATAAACATCCAGACTGCCAATGGACGTACGTACGCAACGCCAATGCTCGTCCTGACATGCTGGTTCCGTTGTCAATCCAGCTGTGGGGGGGTTGCTTGCTTGACGTGCAGCCATAATGTGAGAATCCAGACCGCTCTCTGTCTGTCAGCTTTGCCGTTCGTATCTTTGATTTGACTGCAGGATGCGCTGCCGCATCCCCTGTCTTGCTATTCGTAGCCTACGATGCCTCAGACACACCTATCATGGTTTCTATCCCCATCCAGCCAGTGATTGCAGCTGTATTTCTGACTTGCTGCGACCGCCACTGGCTGCTGACTGGACTGCGTCATGTCAATCAGGTACCAGGTATTACACTAATGCAGGTACCGCAGCGCAGCCGTCAACAAAATTCCAGCGCTGGGTGCAGGCATCGACTGAACAAGCTGTGCACTATGCCATGGCATGGTTCTGGTTGAATAGGCCAAAAATAAAGAGGCCGAGACAAAACCTAGCCAGCAACAAGTCCCAAAGCAGAGACACCTCGTGGCGGCTAGAAACTACCTTATCGAAAGCCGCGGCTTGTATGCTGAACCTATTCGAGATTAGACTTGAGGCTGCCGCCAGACGGTACAAGGCCGGTAGACATGCTCATAGATTGGCTGGACAGTGGCAAGCCACAAGCGCCACGACCTTTGTCCGTTCGCATGGCGTGAAACCCGTTGATGAGACTATCGTCCCTGAACCATGCAGCTCCCAAGTAAGTAAGTAGGGCTGTTATTCGTGTTGTACCTCAGCTCCGCTCTTCACAAGCCTTAAAGTGCACGGAAGAGAGACGAGGGGTTAGCTGACGACACAGCATAGTTGCAATTGCAATTGTAACTCCAAGTTACGAATGCTACCATTGGCGAGTCTGGGCTCAGGGTAATGAGGGGAGAAGAAACTGGAGTCAATGGAGACAATAGGAGAGTAAGGCGGCGACAGGGTAATCACTCAGGGGAAAATACGATCAAACCTTCTGATTGGGTGTACGTCCTGACCCAGAATGGATTCTTGCCTGATTTGGAGAAAAAACTAGCCGCTATTAATCCGAGGTGGCAGGCTGGGCCAGGAACGGTTGGCCTCAGGCCCCTGGGCCGGAAAAATATGCCGCAGCCGAGTCAAGGTCAGGGGGGCTCGAACCCCATCTTTCACCTGCTCTCGACGCAGTATTATGCGCCAACTGGATCTGTAGCGATACGTATCCGTACCTAAGTCTGCCTAAAGCCTGTTCTTTCTCTTATGTCAATTTCCCGACATCCCACAATGGCTTCAGCATTCCCTATCAAGTATTTATGTCCGTTCAACCTAAAGCCTGTCGTTAGTGAGACGCCCTCCTCTCTTAAGGAAAATGCCGTTCTTCGCGTCTCACTGTTCGGATTGTTGTTCTAGATGACTTTGGCAGCTCTCTCTGAACCTAACAAATGCCCCCTACCGAACGCCAACCTAACTCATACTCGGCGGCCCCAGAAGTCCCAATGGAAAGGGCCAAGCGTCGGATTGAATACCGGATGCGTCAGTATTCGGATGAACCTTCCGTGTCTAGACCCTTTTACTCGAGAACGATAGGCCCAACTATCGGACGAACGACAGACTCGGAGCCAGAACATTGGGCGACTGGCGTTGCATGTGCCATGAAGCATTCAGCCACTCACCACTCCAATGAACCAGGGGCTGTTGTACCAGGGTCACTCCAGGTTGTTACCACGAGCGAACATGTCAGAGTCTCGTCAGCGCAGGGGAGCAGCCGAACAGCACCGGGTGCCCTGACGCCAACCGTTGTCGCAGCTTCAAGTTCCCTACTACTCAACATGAGTCGAGGGCTGCCTGCTGGGCCCTAATTCCATTCCAGAGTTTTGGTAGCCAACAGTTTGAATTAACGTCCTTGCATTCAGCGGATACAAAAGGCGGAGACCAGTATACGGTTATCGCTCGGGGGTAATCATGTTGATCAACCGAACTTGCTAACATCGGCATCGAGATCCAGTGCCACGTTGTCGAGTGGTAACATGCACGCACCTGTCCACGGACCCTAAATGAGGTAGGTCAACGACATCATCGGGGCTTCCATATCGGGCCACCTCAGCGCCAAATGATTGCTCTTGTGTGAACTTGGTCACCTTCTTCTGAAATGCCATAACCCCCTCCTGCAAAACAAATGCCAGGGAACACTGGACGCTAAATAAAACGCTTCTGAAAGCCCATACGAACATGCCTGACGACGGCACACATAGGGTCCGGTTAACTGATTAGAGAAGAACAAGGCGTTGACCATTGGCGATGGCCTGAATGAGCTGTTAGATGGAAGCGTTACCCAGTTGTCCATCTCTATCTTAGGGAAGCTTAGAAAGCCACATGTCTGTTGCTAGTACTGCGCCGCGGCTTAAAGCTTTCAACACAGACAAACAGGGCCGGTTTTCCCGAACAGCGAGCCAAAGAAGCGCTATTGACCAAGTCATCATCACCGACGGCCTAGAAGGCCGTTACGGGTCGCCTCCTAGCGACATGTATTGATGATGGCGATGATGGTCTGTGCAGCAAGACGACTTAGCCCCCTCGGAAGGGGGAGGGGTCGCACCATCTCCTTGTCATCATCTCATTTCCACAGTACCCAGATCTTTGACAAGTCAGGGAAACTATTGACCGATTGTCATCTTTCCACCCCTCCTCCACTCTTCCTTCGACTTTGCCGCCTCGCATATGGGCCGAAATGTGAGATGGGATTGTACCTGCAGCTGCAGATGCTTGGCTAGTTCCTTCCGCTTTAGGATGTCCATGAGGACAACAGCCTGGAGTAATCTCGTTGACCAGGCATAAAGACGCGCCGTCATCCATAGGTATCGCGTCATTGATATTTTGTTGTTACGAGTATTGACGCCCCAAATTGATGTTATCCTCGTTTTTTTTTTTTCGTTATTCTTTTTGCCTCGTTTTTTTGGCCCCACTGGTTGCCCAGTCTCCGAAATGATTCTGCACTTTTCCGGCATGCCGAAATTGATAATGACGACCTTCCCCATAGGCCACATCTCCAGTCAATATTATCTGCCCCATTCGGACGGGTTGTTATCTGATAGCCCAGTTTGCGGGTGCCTCTCTTGGCAACAAGCCACCTCTGGGGTAGAACCGACAATATCTCGGTTTACAGGGCCGGCCACGTAGCGCGCGTGGTCTAGACTCTGCTGCAGATGGAAAGATCTGGCAATCGTTACCCCGCCCCTTCGGAGTTCACGTCCCTGTCCAACAGTGAGCTGATAAATGTGATGGTTTTTTGAGGCGACTCATTAGGCAGCGGGGAGCGAAGACGCCATATGCCAGGTTACAGTTTGAGTCAAACCTGCAATCGCAGATACTGCTTGCTTCATTCGTAGAACCGCTTCCGAATAGTGAGCTGCCATACTGATGTCCGCAGTCTTTCCACATTTCGAATTCCGTCGCGATGATAACAACGTGATAATGCGGAACACCGATGTCAAGGATGAGCTATGTCCAGTTTCCAAGAATCATACAGAAGCAGCGAGCTTGGCGTCACATTCTGCATCTTGGTAACTGTTTGCTCTTGTCCGGAGTCTGCTTGGCTGACCCGAAGCTCTGTGAAAGTTCACTGCCGGGGCAGTTTCGTAGTAAGTGCTGCGATCGATCCGTTGTGGGCTCAGTCTATTTATTGCTATTAAAGAGTGGAACGCACCAATGAAGACAACTTCGAGACGTACCCGAGAAGACGCAAAACCAACATCTGTGTGAGGATACCATTTAAGATTTTATGAGACTGGGCAGTCTGGCCAGGAAAGTGTCTATCCGGCCACATCCACCAACACAATGGCTTACCGACCGAAGCATCGGTACTCGCCAAAGCTAGCCCTGATAGTCTCTGTAGTCTGTCAAAAAAATTGATTGGATGACCGGAAAGTGGCAGCTGTGGGCCAACCGACAAGGACACATCAACAAAAGCGTCACAGAGCCAGCACGCCTATCCTATCCGTTTCGGCACCGTAGCTTGCCAAGTTCGTTCTAAACTGTGTATAAATTGTGGGTGTTTTGTCATATCAACCCCTGGTTGAGCATTTCGGATAGGGCTGAATGGCGATCGTCCATGGTCATTTTAGATCAGAGGGTCTTCCGCTTGCGAGCGGGCACGGCGCGGGAATATCGGGGCAGACGCCGTGCGATACGGAACCACACCTGGCGGTGCGCCCGAGTGGATTAGTCAGTGGAACTGAACGTCATTGAGGGGAACGGTAACTTCGGCGTCATAGCGACTACATGACGAAGACTCGCTTTCAAAATCTCAGAAACATACAATCATCCGATTGTCTCCTTCAGGGTTCTCATACAATCTTTTATTCGCACGCAATAAAAATACGTACAAAATGAGAGCAGTTGGTAGGCTATTTCAGCACAAATTCATGGCTCATCAGCTTACAAATCCAACAGATATCAAAGACGGCAAGGGCCCGAAGGAGAACCTCTTCATCAACGCTGATACGCCGAAGCCGGCACCTGGAAATGGTGAGGCTCTCGTCAAGATCAAGGCTTTTGGCATCAATCGTATGGACCAGATTCAACGTCTGGGCAATTACCCGCTCCCACCTCAGGCACCTAAGACGCTTGGTGTAGAGTTCAGCGGGACAATTGAGTCCTTTGGCGGCAGCGACCATGGTAACTTCAAGGAAGGCGACGAGGTCTTTGGTCTTGCATATGGAGGTGCATATGCCGAGTATATTGCCGTCAACAGCAAGATGCTGCTGCACAAGCCTGATTTCTTGTCGTGGGAGCAGGCTGCTGGCATCCCAGAGGTGAGTGGACTACCGCCGTGCCTTTCTTGTTCTCCCCCTCTGCAACATCTGCCACGGCGCATGTGTATGGTGAACTAATGCATAATTCAGACCTGGATAACGGCGACGCAAGCTCTTTTCCTCGTGGGCGAGTTCTCAAAGGGCAAGTCTGTTCTCTGGCACGCTGGCGCCTCTGGTGTTTCTATTGCAGGCATTCAACTCTCTAAAGATGCGGGCGCTTCTGCCGTTTACGCAACAGCGGGGTCCAAGGAGAAGTGCGACCTAGTTGTTAATGAAATTGGCGCCACGGCTGCCTTCAACTACAAGGAGGAGGACTGGGCCGAGAAGATCAAGGAGGCGACGGGCGGCAAGGGAGTAGACCTGATTGTGGACTTTGTGGGTGGTGGATACTTCCAGAAGAACCTCGACGTTGCCGCACGGGATGCCAGAATCGTGTTGCTTGGCCTACTCGGTGGACCGCAGATTGAGAACGCCAACATTGGGCCGTTGCTGTACAAGCGCATCAGGCTTGAGGGCAGCACTCTACGGAGCAGAGACGTGGAGTATCAGGGCAAGCTGAGGGACCGCCTGGAAGAATACGTACCGCACTTCAAGACGGGCAAGCTGAAGGTCGTCATTGATACGGTACTTCCTTGGGAGGAGATTCAGAAGGCACACGGGCTGTTGGAAGCGAACAAGAACTCGGGCAAGATTATCTGTACAGTCGCTTAAATAACCGATGAGGCTGATGACTTAGTTCAGCTGTTGAAGAGACACGCCAAGAATCCTCATATCTAAGTGTTGATGCTTCGTATAGTTGTATCCTCCCAGCAATATCTTGAGAGGCTGACCGTCTCCCGCTCACCTATGAGCCAAAGTTTTGTTGCTAAGCGGCCTTCATTGCCACCGAACAAAATGTTGCTTTCCGAGCTGGCTTCCTCATCGGCCCCTACTTCTCCTGGCCTCCTGAGTTCTTATCACCATGGACAAAGGCAAGTTTGACCGATCCCCATATTGGAATTGAATTTTTCCGTGATTGGACACAAAGTTCCCGCAAAGGTAACCTGACTTGGTTTGGGCAATTTCCTCCTCTAGCCTGTCACCAGAGAGTCTATGGCCGACTGTGGAGGTTTAGTTTGGCTGAAGGCTTTTTAGAGTTTTGGGGCTGTCCGCTCGCGGGCTTTTGTTTCTCGCGTGTGTGACTGTTCAAGGCAGATCCAATCCCCCGATCTGTAAAGCTCCTGGAATGCTCTGTCTCGCCTGGCTATTGTTCTGGTTGCGGGCGAGATTTGGCACGATGTGAGACATTCCAAGACGTGGCGAGGTATTCTATTGCATTCGCCATCACCTATACAGCTGGGAATTAATGCACTATGTTTGGTCATTACTATCAAAGCACGATTGGTCAGTCTGTGGAAGACGATGCTATGCGCTTCAGAGCGTGACAAGTGACGAATGGGGAGCACGGTCGACCCCGCTAATGTTCAGCCTAGCTTAGACCGCGACCTGGGAGGACTGATTAAGCCTATCGTTGTCTTTGTGGTTTTCTGAAGACCAACTGCCGTCGTCAATTCAAGTCCAAGAGAAGGGGGCAAGAGAAAGGAGGGGAATTGTTCTCCCTTTCTTCTCCTGAGCGGTCTATTCCGTCATACATTCGAGAGGAAATAAAACCAAGCTGACCCGTCGTCGCTGCCCTCCCAAGGGGTCACACTCCTCTTTGTTGGCGTTGCTCTTTTCCGCCGTCAGAGAAGCTACGCAATGTTGGCTTTCCGACTGCTGGTTTTCGTTGGCGCATCGTGTCTGTTAGGGCCTGTGGCAGGTCAATCCCTAGCAGACGCTCCACAATGCGGTGTTAGTGGTTGTCAGAAGCAGAATGAACTGCTCTCCTTGATAATGGGCAAGGCTAACAGTGAGCTTTGCAGATGATCTGTTTTGCTCAAGCATTACAGCAACCTGAATATGCCGCCAAGACACAGGCACAGCTTTGTGTCGATGAGGGCTTCAACAATGTGGTTGGCGGGTGTGCCAAGCAAGCATGCACTGTAATAGAATCCTTGAGTAGGTCTTTTGTCATTCTAACCTTCGCTTCCCTTCAGGTTCAAAAAGTCCGTTGCAAACGACTGACTATTTGGTTTCCAGATTTCCTTAACATTACAAGAACAGTATGCGGCATGCCCATGGCAGACCACCGCAATGAGGCGCGGGCGACCAGTCTTGCTTTGTTTGTATTAGCGACTGTCTTCTTCGTGCTACGAATCGTCGTCAAGACCCTTAGAATCGCTCCATGGGGGACTGATGATACCTTACTTGTTATTGCCTATGTACGTTCGTGGACAAGAATTTGCAACGGCGATAAGGCGCTACTAACTTTAGACTAGGCCTTTTTGATCCCGTTTGTGGTTCTCGTCCAATACAGTGAGCCTTACAACGACATATTATCTAACTGCGAGTTGGGTCTAACGAGTAGCTCTAGTGATCCCGCAGGGACTGGGACTGGATATATGGGCCTTGAACGAATCCCAAATCACACATTTTCTTAGGGTAAGCACCACACTTCCCCTCTCTTTGAGTAGTTGTGGGGGATTTGATTCTGACCTCGGACAGTACCTCTTGATCGTCCAGACCGACTATATCTTCGTCCTCGCGATCGTCAAGGCCTCTATCCTCTTTTTCTTCCTCAAGATATTCCCAGATCACACCTTTAGGATCACGGTCTGGCTGACACTAGCCTACAACCTCATCGTTGGTTTCATCTTCATTATCCTTAGTTTCGTCCAAAGAAATCCAACATGGCTCATTTGGGAGGGTTGGCGTGATAAAGAACCTCGCGGTGTCGTCCTTGATCTCAACAAGATGGGTTTGACGCACGGTGGAATGAACATCGCTCTAGACGTCGCGATGCTTCTGCTTCCCTTGACACAATTGTACAGTTTGAAACTGGAATTCAGGAAAAAGATTGGCATTATGGCAATGTTCGGTGTTGGTATTTTGTGAGTATCCCGGTTGAAATTAGATTTCTATTTTCCAGTGACTGAGATGCTAACCAAAACCCTAGCCTCACGGCAGTGAGCATTATACGAGTCCGCAGCTTAGTGTACTTCGCGACATCCTCAAATGCCACCGGTGCGTATTCGACAACTGGTATTGCCAAGATGACGCCTGCTGACAATTCTGTATAGCTGACGCGCGCGGAACAATCATCTGGTCGTGTATTGAAATCTGCACTGGTATCGTGGTGGCATGTATGCCCAACGTGTGGGCTCTCATGCGACAGGGTTCGCGCCAGATCAGGGGCGTTACAGCTAATATGTCGAGGAGAGCCGGCAGTGGCAGTGGAGGCTCGGCTTCCCAGCGGATATTTGACGACCGTTCCCTCGAAATGAGGGTAGCCGTCAACTCCCCCGGCGCTACAACAGCTCTCGCCGACAAGAGTTGCGGCAGCTCTACGACAGCCTGCACAAGTCGTGGACATTCAAGTTTTGCGAGTGATGCGGGCACACCTGTATGATTAGTAGATGGTGGTCGAGCCAAGGTGCTTGCGATTTGTATATTTTGATTGACATTTCAGGGTCCGAGTAGGGCTAGAAATCTACGTAGTATTGGCGTTAAATACCCCATTAAACTGGCAAAGGTCCATCCGAAAACTGTGTTCATCATAGGCAGCGAGTTGAACTGTCATAACAAAGGCATGGGCTAAAGTACTCAAAATACAATTATCCGGATCAACTCTTTAATGCTCCTTGATCCACTTGAGCATTTGTTCGTATGCCGTAGCCTGAGCATCCTTGATTGATGCGTCCTGATAATCACCAACAACAGCAAAGCCTGTTCCTGTCAGTTTTTAAAACCATCAATATGTTATTAGAAGGAATGTCTTACCGTGAGGCACGCCGGGATAAACTTGCACCTCATGCTCCAAGTTCGCCTTGGACATGACATCTTCGCCGTGAGTACGAACCTCCTCGGGGAAGAGGGGATCATTCTCAACGCAGACCAGCGATATTGGCACCTTGATACCCTGAAAATCGTCTGGAATGACCGAGGCGCCGTGCGCTATCGCGCCGACCTTGATTAAGGGGCCCTTCTTAATCTCACCAGCTTCAGCATCAGCTGCAGATCCTTGACCGCTTGCTGGCACACTCCTCTCAGATCCGAGGTGCAAGATGTATCGTCCTCCGATACAGTAGCCAACAGCGTAGATGCCATCACCGTTCTTCACGGCATCATTAAATTTCTCCTTGCAGCCGTCAATGACCCTGTATAGAATAGGCAGGACCTTTTCCTCCGTCTGTCGCGCCAGCCACATGTCAATCTGAAAGCTCTTAGCCGTCTCGACTATCTTGAGTTTGAAAGTGTCCAGGAATGAGCCAGTGTCCTCGCTGTTGTCGATGGTTGACGAGTTAGGTGCCGTGTCGCCGTTGAAAAGATCCGGCATGACCACCAAAAAGCCTTCACTGGCGAACTTGTCGGCTTGAATTTGATTGTTCGTTGACTTCAGGCCTGTACCGCCGGTCAAAAGGAGAAGAAGTCTAGCGGGCGCATGGGGGTAATCGGCGGGCTTGGAGATGTAGACCTACGCAAGGTCAGCCTGTGATCCAGAACGCTCTATATCAGTAACAGTGATAGGAAACCACTCACGTCAACATCGTTGATCTTAATGATCTCGCCGCTCGAGGACTGGCCAGCAGCTAATGGTAGAAGTTAGTATTGCACATGGAACCGCAAGTAAACCTTGTGCGCACTCACGAGTCGGTCTGTCAGTCACGCAGTGCTCGCTGTGCTCTCCTGCTCCTGCTGTGGCAGTAGTCGGGCTGGTGGTGGACTGAGCTGGGGTGTCGGCCGCGGAGGTGGACTCCGTCACGGGCTCGGTGATAGTCTCGCCAGCTGTCTCAGCGGCATCGCTCTCGGGAGCTTTGGTTGCGACGTCTACCTGGGTCATTTTGTTGCGCGGGGCTTCGGGGTAACTGTGCTTCGCACGGTAGAGGGTGTGGAGCTGCAAGAAAATGAGGAAAGATTGAAAGTTGAGCGAACGACGGTTCAGGAGAGTAGGGCTAGCTAAAGGATGCGATAAACATTGGCGACCTAGCGAATTGTCTCCCTTTGGACAGCGTTTTGGGGCGGTAAGAAACGCTGGAGCGTACGTGTACAGGTAGCTGGTATCCCACCAGGGATGACGTCTCAGTTTGATGCTGGTACGGAGTACACTGAGCTGCCCCGCGAAGAGCTGCCTGGTGCAGTACGTACCTAGGATTTGCTTCCCCATAGCTCAACACGGGCCGCCCGCAGGCATGTGTAAAAGTGCAGGGACCAGCTTACCTAAGGCACGAACCCCGCCATCAACCCAGGGCGTGGAAAGGTCATTAAAGTGAACGCGTCGACGCGTCTTTGCCTCCCGCATCTCGCGAAGAAACTTGCAGCAACCTTCAGAATCAAACCCAACTTCAGCCGACAGACCTGTCCAAGACCACTCGACTTCGACTGAACTTCACAATGGATGCTGAATCTAAGATTACGAAAGGCGCCTTGGAGTAATTACCCTTCTTTTCCCGTTTCTTCGCGTTTGTTGTTTCTGACTGTCGACGCTATACTAACGGAGTGTTTGCAGTGTCATCTTCAACGATCCCGACAATGCCAGTACAAAATACCCCGTTCCTGTCCTTCAGTGTCTGCAGATAAAGCCCTTAGCTGCGCAAGCAGGCGGCGGCGCTGAGAGATATCGCATCGTCTTGAGCGACGTCCATAACTATGTCCAGTGCATGCTGGCTACCCAAGTGAATCATGTCGTTCACGACAACAAGCTAGTCAGGAACTGTATTGTGAGGATCACACAATACCAGGCAAGTTCTGTCAAGGGAAAGAAGTACGCATTGCCCTTCTAATCTCCTCTGTTTTGTCATTATTTTGACTGACCGTCCTCAGTATCCTTCTTATCCTGGGCCTTGAGGTCATCGAGAACCTTGGCACACCCGAAAAGATTGGCGAGCCCCAAGCCTTTGAGGCCAAGGCAGCACCAGCAGCCAATACCACAATTGGTGGCCAGAACTTCTACGGCGTCAAGCAAGAGGAGACGAAGCCTAAGCCTCAGCAATCTATTCCCTCCCGCTCTGCTGGAGGAGCCAGCGGCCAGCACGGAAGCAACAACATTTACCCCATCGAAGCCATCTCTCCCTACGCTCACAAGTGGACTATAAAGGCTCGCGTGACCCAGAAGTCGGATATTCGGACATGGCATAAGCCTAGTGGAGAGGGAAAGCTTTTTAGTGTGAACCTTCTCGATGAGAGTGGCGAGATCAAGGCCACAGGCTTCAACGAGCAGGTTGACCAATACTACGACTTGCTTCAGCAGGGAAGCGTTTACTATATTTCCAGCCCCTGCAAGGTCCAACTTGCCAAGAAGCAGTTCACAAACCTGCCGAACGACTATGAGCTCACCTTTGAGCGTGATACCCTCATCGAGAAGGCCGAAGACCAGAGTAACGTGCCGCAGGTGCGTTTTAACTTCTGTAACATCCAAGAGCTGCAAGAAGTTGAGAAGGATGCAACTGTGGATGTCATTGGCGTTCTGAAGGACGTTGCAGAGGTGTCGCAAATCGTTTCCAAGTCAACCGGCAAGCCTTATGAGAAGCGGGAGCTTACCCTAGTTGACGACACTAACTATTCCGTTCGTGTCACCATCTGGGGTAAGAGTGCGACGAGCTTTGATGCCAGGCCAGAGTCTGTTGTGGCCTTTAAGGGTGTCAAGGTGTCTGATTTTGGTGGCCGTAGCTTGAGCTTGCTCTCGTCCGGCACAATGTCTGTTGATCCCGATATTCCTGAGGCCCACCGCCTGAAGGGATGGTACGACTCTTCTGGTCGCAACGACTCCTTCAACACTCACAACAACATGGCCAGCATGGGCAACGCCACTGGCCGTAAGGACCAGGATAAATCTATCCTGCAAGTAAAGGAGGAGAACCTAGGCATGGAGCAACAGGACTACTTCAACTTGAAGGCTACTATTGTCTATATCAAGCAGGACAACTTTGCCTACCCTGCTTGTATGAACGAAGGCTGCAACAAGAAGGTTACCGACATGAACGACGGCACATGGCGCTGCGAGAAGTGTGACGTGTCGCACCCCAAGCCTGAATACCGCTACATCATGTCTGTCAACGTCTGCGACCACACCAACCAACTGTGGCTCAGCTGTTTTGACGATGTTGGTCGGATCGTTATGGGAATGACTGCCGACGAACTCATGGCTCTGCGTGAAGAAGATGAGACCAAAGCGGCTCAAGCGTTCGAGGAGGCGAATTGCCGTAAGCTGAATTTCCGCTGCCGCGCAAAAATGGACACCTTTGGCGAGTCTCAGAGGTATGTGATTGTTCACCAACTGCGACATGTCACGACGCTAACCTTCTTGCAGAGTACGCTACCAGGTCATGAGCGCCAGCCCTATCGACTTCAAGGCCGAGGGCGCCAAGCTTGCCGAGCTCATTAAGCAGTTCAGCATCAGCTCCTGAGCAGAGTTTTGTTGGTGTAAGTTATGGAAGGAGTTATTGCGTGGTAGTCAATAGTCCAAAATGCCTGGGAAAATGGGGATTTAAAGAACGTGGGAATAGAAATTTGATGAGCTACGAGGCAAGAGACCCGGCGGTCCCATTTGTTAGTACAATATTGTTTTGCACAGCAAGAAGAAAAAGAAGAGTTAATGGCGGACGAGAATACCATTTGTACTATCTTTTCTGTAACCTCCGAGTTGTGAAAACCCGAGCCCGCCCTGGTATGATGCAAGTGGTAGAGCGGTGCCTCTTGTCGGCAGCAATGTAATCCCCAAGTGAACCTGTTCTCGTAACGCCGGCCTAATGCCTACTATTCTCAAGTGATGGCCCCTTGAATCCCTAGCGAGAACAAACATCATGCTAGCTTTGTCTCCCTCGACCCCTCTCTGGTCTCTCGACTCATGTAGAACTTTATTTCACTCCCATGCCTTCATTACTTCGTTAAAAAGGCGCGCGGATGCATCGCTTGATGGCCTCGAAACATCTCAAAGGCCCATAGTCTTGGCCATCTTCTGCTTAGTCTGGCCAACATTAATCTAAGGGTGCTGGATCCCAGTCATGAGATCCTCATCTTCAATCGACGCGTCGAAGCCGAGCTCCGCGTTCTGAGACTGGCCGTCCTTGTCCTGTCGCTTCTGTTCCCGTATGATGTGCTTGGCATAATCTTTTGAGGCGGCGAGGCGAGCGTCGCTCGTCTGCGTCCACTTGTTGAGCGTATGGATGCGAGCGTCGTCCTTAATCTTTCTCTGGTACTCATTGTACTCAATCTCTTGGTCGCGGGGAAGGAATGTGAGGCATTTGGCGCCTTCGAGACTCGTCTCTAGCACTCCCTGGAGCATACCGCTGTTTATCATCTCTAGGAGGAGTTCCTCAACCTGCTGGTCCGTCTCGAGATTGCTAGCCGTCTCGGCGCTGAGCGTGTTCTGACGTATTTCTGAAACGCTGATCTTGTGATAGACATCAGCGAGACCAAGAATTTGCCACTGCTGGTACGCTTTCACGACCTCTTTGAGCAGGGTCGTAGTTTGGTCAGCGTTCCACGTCTCGATGCCCTTGTCAATCTCAGCTTTGAACTGTTCTGCGTTGGTGGTCGAAAACAGCGCGGCGACGTCCGCGTACGGCTTGGAAAGGGACGTAAAGGACTTCGTGGCAGCCGGGCTGATGTGGTTCGGCAGTGTTGGCGTTTGGCCGAGGCTCAAAAGTCCGGTGAGAATCCACCGCTTGTGAGCCTCGGTCATGATCTTGCTCGTTGCCCCGTCTCGTGCTGGCCATGTGATAATCCTTTGATATGCTTTGAATGCGTCGAGCCATCTCAGCTTGGCAGTGAAAATTTGAGCGGTGAGATATTCGTGCTGCATCACATCCTCCCGGTTGAGTTGGTGGGTGAGGTGTGTGGATGAATTAATGTAGGCAGCGGGAGAAGCTGACCTATCGCATAGGTATGCTGGCTGGCTTTGGTTCTTCATTCCGGGAAGAAAAACCCAGGGCTTCTCGATAATGGGCAGCGCCTGGTCAATATTATCGGTCTCGTAGGCCAGTTTGATCACAGCAGTGTGGATGCTAGTGAGCACGGCAGAATCGGGGTCAAGTCGTCTCAGTACGATGGCAACAATCTCAATTGCCTGACGGGCCTGAAGAACGAATATTAGCATTATAACCAGAGAAAATACAAGATTTGGCCATACCGGAAAGTACTTGCACTCCACGACATCCTTCACCAAGTCGTAAAAGACATCACCGATGTAGCGTATTTGCCTTTGGTCGAATGACAATAGAAATCGGAGTATGTACTCTCGGAAGGCATCGGGAGATATGGGACGCGCAGTTTCGTCGTAGTGCTTCAATGTGTTAAGAATCGCCAGGTGCGAGATCGAGTGGTTGGTTGGGTGGACAATCTGTGGCATCATTCAGCAACAACAAGCAACCAACGGCGGGGAACGTGCCATCGCACCTCTAGAAGCTGCGGCGCATTGGCCACGACAGCAGAACCTTGATCTTTAAAGAGTCTTGAGATCTTTGCGATGTGATTCTTGACAGCCTTGTCGTAAATCTCGTCCGTCGCATATTGCTCGTGTTCAAACGAGAGGAAAGTGGCGTCCATTTTGCCTTCGTGTTGAGCGCCTGTCGAAACCGAGATCCGAGATGCTACGAGAAAGCAATGAGATCGTGCTGTCACGAATCGGAGAGCAGCAGCCGAGAGAAACCGGCTATTGAGACGGTTGTTCTCTCGAGAACGAGAGGCAGGAAGTCGCAAGGCGTGTGTCGTGTGGCTTCAAAGAGGTTGTCAGTTCGAGGTGACTACAATGTAGAGCGTCGTACCTGTAGGCAGCCTTGCGCTGAAGCTTGAAGGCACCCACAACAGCAATGAGGTAGCTGGGTGAGCCACTTGTAGTGGGGTATGGTGGTCCGTGCGAGGCGTATCCGGCGGCGGCGCTTTCCAAATCGCCTTGTTATCGGATAATTGGTGGCCCTCAGCGTTATCGGGTTCACTCGTCCGCTTTGGGGGGGTAGAGTTAGCTAATCTACTGTATGTCATCACCTTCCCAGCGTTTCTCTTTTCGCATCCTTTTTTGCATATTTGACTGTAATATTGCCAAGCACCTTTGCTCGAAACTGAAGGATAAGCTGGTGAATCGTGTCTCCAGTTCCCTTGTTATTTGCCTACACTATTCGGTGAACACAGTAAAGGGAGAAAAGGTGGGTTGCTCAAGGTGAGGCCCCACTTACCGGGCAATTATGGGACGCTTCCCCCTCCTACACCGAGCTTAGTGTGTTGGAAATCTAGCAGGTTGACTTCTATAAGTCTGCTATAGGCTAGTTGATGTAGTCATTCTATTTGATTTTACAAGGCTACAGAAAAACTCTTCAAAGTGAGTAAAAAATTACTAAGATTTTCACTGTTGACTTGTAGCATCGTTCATTGTAGAATCCCAATCTTGGGGAACCTGGTCTGTTACCCCGCCCCCACCATGCTCCAACAAAAAACATTTTGAGAGCTGCAAGGCCTAATTCTGTTTTCATCTGTCTGTATCCCACAGAGCAGAAACACACCGAGAGGAATTGCGGAACCGCATCATACCAATACCAGCCGCCAACTTTACTAAGTATATACTTATTGCCAATTGAAGTTCATCCTACTCAGCTAACAACCTCCACAGAGTTAGAGACTTCGTGTGAACCACGAGACTCTTCTCGTGGCTCTCCTCTCCTCTATATTATCCTGCAATTCCCTAACAATATACCAGACTACGCAAACATCAATATTGTAAAATGGTTCTCCCCGATACCGTTGAGCTTCCTGCGGCGTTTGACGCTCACGTCCATGTGCGTGATGGCGCCATGTTGAAGGTGTGTGAGCGTAATAACCTTGACATTTGATCATACGCGCCAACGAGATTGATTGTTCAGATTGTCGCTCCTACAATTCGGTCCGGTGGTGTAAACTCCACCCTGGTCATGCCGAACACTGTACCTCCTCAGACGTCTGTACAAATGGTACAAGACTACTCTGCGCGCATCAAGGAAGCTTTGGGGCCCGATGAGGTGAAGCTGCTGATGACTCTGTATCTCCATCCTGATATCACTCCTGATGTCATCAGGGAAGCCAAGAAGGCGGGAGTTGCAGCAGTGAAAAGGTGAATAATCCTATAGTGCATGCTACGATGCCATCGACTAACATTAGACTTGTTAAGCTACCCTGCCGGTGTCACAACCAACAGCTCGGCTGGTGTTGTGGACTACGATGCCTTCCACGAGGTCTTCAAGGCGATGGAAGAGGTCGACTTGATTCTTTGCCTTCACGGGGAGTGCCCCTCCCACGCAGGAAGCGACATCACCACCCTCAACGCTGAGTCAAAGGTATAAACAAGACCTAGATCGGTGCCGACATGGATCAAACATGATGACACTCTTTCAGTTCCTCCCTACCCTCAAGGCTCTCCACGCCAAGTACCCTAAGCTGAGGATCAGTAAGTGAGGCTAGATATGGCGCAGGGAGAATATTCGCTAACGTTCTAGTCCTCGAGCATTGCACGACCGCTGAGGCTGTTGAGGCTGTCAAGGCTTGGTGAGTTTGGGTATATCAAAGCTTCATCACTGTACTAACAACATTCGAGTGGCCCTAATGTTTCCGGCACCATCACCTGGTAAACCTACTACAAGTCCCCTCTGAAGAATCAAGAAGACTAACGACGATAGCCACCACCTCTTCATTACTATCGATGACGTCGTTGGTGACGCGGTATGTTTTTTTCCAAAGCCTCTTGTCAATTCGGGCCAAACTGACAGTACCGTGCATAGATGAACTTCTGCAAACCTGTGGCCAAGGTTCGTTTGTTCCTCCCGCCTCGTAGATAACACCGTTTGACACTCACTCAGCTCCCCCATGACCGTCGGGCCCTTCTCAACGCCGTCGTCAACAGCAAGGGCAAGTTCTTCCTTGGCACGGACTCTGCCCCCCATCCCATCACTTCCAAGTCGGGTCCCTCCAAGGCCGCGGCCGGTGTCTTCACCCAGCCCTATGCCGTTCAGTACCTCCTCGCTGCCCTCGATGAGGCTGTTGCCCGCGGCGAGATCAAGGATGAGGAGGTCACCCAAGAGGCCCTTGAGGGCTTCGTTGCTCACTACGGTCGCAAGTTCTACGGCGGCTTCGAGGACCAAAAGAAGGAGCGCATCCGCCTTACCCGTGGCGGCGCCATCGTCAACCAGGTATTTGAGGGTGAGGGCATCCAGGTTGTTCCCTTCCGTGCTGGCAAGGACACCTGGAGCCTCACTTGGTTGTAGATGAATTAAGATGATAGCTCGGAGGTAGCGGGAGATATAGGGGGACATGTCGTCCAGGATATTGCAATCTTTATTGCTAGTGCATGTGTCTTATAATGCATACAGTATCTCAAATCAACAAAAAGCAGTGTCTTTGCCAAACATCGCATTCTACCATCATACTTCATATCTCATTGCCTGTTGACCGTCTCCCGTTTCTATCTAACCGTCTTCAACAATCTTTTCATCAGGCAGAGTCGAATCGCGGGCCAGCACCTCTTCCATTTGTGCTGTCCTCTGTAGAGCTCTGCAAAACAAAATGACTCTCAGCGCTGAAGGTATCCAGATCACGGTGGTACATCTGTGCATGTTCAGATGTCTGCTTTGACGGGGGACCGATAGGGCCCCAGACGCACGGCGAGATGGGGGGGTCTATGATCTGCTGATAAGACGTCATCTGCTCTATCACATCCATCAGTCAAGGCTCTTGCGGAACCAATGTGCCGAAAAACTCACCAGCAGAGGTCCCATATCCACCTCCATTATGTCTTTCAGGTGATGTGGCGTTCATCCTGCCTTGCTTCTTCACGTCCTCAAGCCGTCTCCAAGACTGAGATGCCCTCGCCGGGCTCACCGGTGACGCCAAGACTCCTCGCTGTGGCAGCCTATTGTCGTGGAATGTATCAAGACTGCTTCCTTCTTGCTGCTGTTGTTGTGGCTGTCGTTGCAGCTCAGCTTGCTGCTTCTTCCACCAAGTTGGTAACCCATGAAACAGTCCTAAAGAGTGTTGGGTGGCCTTGTCCAGAGGCATCTCGTGCTTGTATTTGCATCCTTGCTGCGTGAAGGCGCAAACGCCTTCATGAACCCACTTGTCGCAGTATATCTTGGGCTTCTTGTGCGGAGCGGGGGAATCGGCTATGATTTGATCGATTCTCTTCTGTGATACTTGGTCTTAGCTTTCGAATCGCCATCGATGGTTGTTATAGTAGGGTGGAAGACATAAACTAGGGGGAAGGCGGAGTATCATTACCTGAAGAGCATCAGATACCGGTGACGGTGATGAAGAGGGGGTCTGAGACGTTCAGCGCCAAAGGTCTGGTGCTTGATTGGTGACGAAAGAAATGGATCACCATACCTTGAAAGCAACTGGCTGTACGATGCCGCGAGTTAGATTCTGGTGTTCTAGTCCACAGGGTGCAGGCAGGACAAGCATGCCCTCAGCCCCATGCTGCACAGCCGGAATACCCACCAAGGGTGGCAGTGAATCGGCAGGAACGAGCCTAGTATAGTTTCCATTTCCACGATCAAGGCAGTAGGCAAAGAATCCAGTCGTGTCGATGCCCATTCTGTCTCGACCTGGATCTGTAGGACGAGATTGCGCTGCCGAAGATACCAAAACCATGCTTTCATTGCCGCTCGTCGAGCTGAGTGTATGGTAGTGACCATGGCTCTGGCTCTGACCCGTGTCAATGTTCATACTCATCCGCCAGTTCGGCGTGTTTTGGTTGCGTTGTGCTCCGGCATTAAGGAGCATATGTCTCATTGGGAGTTGTTGCTGTTGGTGATGCTGATACTGATTGAATCGACTAAAGGCTGTGGTAGGCAACTCGCCGGGGTACCGGTAGCCCTTTGCTTGGAGCAGGTTTGGGGTCTCCATGCTACAAATCGGTATTCCACTGTTTCCACTCGTAGCCGATGTTAATAGGTCAAAATCGGGCGTGGTACCGCGCGTGGAGGCCTTCGATCCCGGGGGCGAACACGACTTATCGGAGGACGAGTTGTTCAAGATCGAGTCCATTTTGGGTGTGAGTAAAGAAGTAGGCAGAAGTAATGAGGAGGGAAAAACGAGACGAAGATAATTCAGAATAGGGCACGGAAGGAGGTGTCTAATCTGGTAACGTACAAACGGGGAAGAAGCCAACACAACTTTTTCATTATGCCGTCGACCGTAGCAATTCTGGAGTACCCAGGCACACCCTCAAAGACGACTTTGATGTTCTTTGCAGTATGCAGAACGGAAGCAAGTTTGGATTAAGCTGCCAAAGGCTGAGACACGGAAGCCTGATGCCTTGATCGCGAAATCTTTCATCGAAACAGTCATTTGGACAGCAAAGAAGATGTGTTGCCATCGCCGTTTGCTCGACTAAGATAAGGTCCGCTGTATTCAACCGGTTAGCTGCATTCTCGGTTTGTACCTTGCCACGTGACAAACAATCGCGCCTTCACTGTTTAACAAGTCCAGGAGTGGGCTGCAGTGGAGGCAGATGGCCTTAAAGCTTATGTTTTCTTTATTTGCCTATGTGCAAGTCTATTCTAAGCAAGCGTTTCAGTGTATGGAGGATGTTGCGGTAAGGATGTTTCCTATTATCCTCTACAGAAAATTCCTGCCCTGGCCCTCCAAACCAAAAGAGGATTTTCTGCAAAGCAAATTTGTGCTCATCATCAAGGCTGTCGGCGAATTTTATTTGTGGCTACAACGTGTAGCTTCTCTCTCAAGGCACGTTCTGTCCCGGTGTTTCTTGCATTAGATGGCCAGTTCTTGATGCTGTCAAGAGCAAGTCGCAACTGAATCTCAGAGGTAAACTTTGGGCAATGGGTTGAGAGATGTCGAAAGCTGCATTTAGCACAGGTAGCTGCATTAGCATTTATCAGGGATAAACCAGATGAGGATCTGCGAGCTCTATCGGGCATATTGATAGTCGATAGTAGTTGGTATGGTTCTGAACTTGCGGTTGGCTGATGGTGTTTGCGACTATTACCCCCTTGTGTATTTTTTTCTTGTTGCATCATCAAGTCCTTCCTTTCATTATTATTCCAAGCCATATCGTAGTTTACTGGAGGATCAGCTCTCTTTACTTGGAAATCTTGTCCGGCGTTGGCAGAGGAGTAGAGTCGCTTATTGAGCCCTGTCGAGGAGAAGTGAGAGGTGGGGTGAACAGAGGAGATTTCTGGTCCGGCTTCTCTTCCGAACTGGTTAGGTCTAGAGTTTGCTGCGGTATGAAGTTGCCACTTAAGCTGAACCCCTTGGCTTGCGAAGACTTGGGCGTCCTTTTGGGGTTTTGCTTTCGAGGAGTTGACTTGGCTGGTTTGTTTGGACTTGCCTTGGTAACTCTGGAGGTTGTCGCGGTGCTGATCTTGGGTGACTTGCGTGAGAGCGTCTTCTTCTGTGGGGTCGACGAGTTAACCTGCTGTTTCTTGTTGCTAGATGCTTTTTTGGGAGTCGAATAAGGAGAAGCAAAATTTCTAGCTTTACCTTTAGTTCTCTTCACTATAGCGCTGTTCTCCGCGTCAGTATCTTGCTCCTCATCCTCACCAACAAAGTCCTCGTCATTATCGGAACTAGCGCTATGATCACCAGGGAGACCGGCCGCGAGGTCCATAGGAGCGTTTGTTTTGTAGTTTACAGCCTGGGTACCACTTGTTAGTATGTGACGACTGTAATGAACCTGACTGGCCTGGGCTTACCTGACGTCGACGACCGCCACGACCGAGGACTTCTTTGTTTAGCTCTGCAATTCGCTTTGCTTCAGCTTCGCGTTCTGCAAGAATTTCCTCCCAGACGTTCGGGTTCACAATCGGCTCGTTTTCCTCGGCTAGGTTATCTTCAAACCCGCCCTTATCGTTAGCCCACACGCGGGCAAACGAGAACGTCGATTCGGCTGATTCGTCTTGTCCCATCTCTGCCTGTTCTATCTGAGATCGATCAAGGAGCTTTTCGATGCTGGCTTCATCATAGCGTATGATATCTTTCTTGTCTTGATCTTCGCTGAACAATGCAGAAGCTCCAAACTTGAGGATTGACTCTAGATCGTCTGGCTCACCCTCTTCGTCCATAGCCTCAATCAGGACATGATCAAGAGCCATCTTCTTCCGGCCAATCTGCATAATCTTCTCTTCAGCTGAATTCTTCGTCATGAGCTGGAAGCAGAGAACTTTGTGTTTTTGACCGATTCGATGTGCGCGGGATATGGCTTGAATATCCTGATGGGGGTTGAAGTCTGGATCTAGGATTATAACAGTATCTGCTGTAGCGAGATTGATACCTACTCCTCCAGCTCTCGTCGACAGAAGAAAGGCAAAAATTGGCGAGTCCGGGGCATTGAAAGCATCAATATGCTTTTGTTTTTCATGGCTATTGATCTTGCCATCAAGACGTCTGTGTTGGAAGCCAAGGCCATTAAGGAAATCCTCAATGATGTCCAATTGGTTCAGGAACTGACTGAAGATTAAGACGCGATGGCCACGCTCCTTGAGCTTGGGTAGCATGATGTTAAGCAACATCAGTTTTCCGGATGCGGATACTAGGTTCTCTTGCATCTTGATTTGATCCGCCGTCCTCTCTTCGATCGCCTCGCTATACATGAACGGATGGCAAAGACACTTTCTGAGCTGCATCAGAATATTGTTCAGACTCCCACGCTCCTTCTTGTTTATTTTATCGTCAGCAAAGATTGCTTTGATAAGGTCAGGATTTTTCGACATAATCGATTTGCATAGCTTCTCCTGCAGAATCGACATGGAGACCGGTACAATAATCTGAGCCATTGGGGGTAAAAACTTAAGAACCTGGGCTTTGGTTCTTCGGAGGAAATACTGCTTGATCCGACCGTGAAGCTCAGGCAGATTCTGCGCATTCAGTTCTTGATACTCTTCATCTAACTTCTCAGCGTTTTGAGTTGGATCAATAAACTGCAGAAGGTTGAACAGCTCTCGTTTGTTGTTTTGCAACGGTGTTCCAGTAAGAAGGAGTCGAAAGGGGAATTTCATTGCCCGCAAAGCCAAATACAACAGGCTCTTGTCGTTCTTTAACCGCTGACCCTCGTCAACTACCAACCCAGCCCACTGAACCGAGCGGAAGAGACTCCTTGTCCGGTCATCCTGGGCAGAGTCGTAAGACATGACCACAACGTGGGCTTTAATATCTGACGAGCCATTCGGGAAAAGCTCGTAGTTGTAGGCTAGCTCCTGAGGTTGCTTTCCGCCATGGTAAGTTACGACCCGAAGATCTGGTGCCCACTGCTTTATTTCACGACGCCAGTTCGGACAAGTGGAGTTCGGAACGACGACCAGAAAGGGCCAGCACTTAACAAGTTAGCTGCTTATAGTCCCATAATATAGTAAGGGAATACATACCTTTGGCTCACCGTGAACCAGAGCCGAGATCAAGCTAACTACTTGGACTGTCTTTCCTAGTCCCATCTCGTCTGCAAGAATAACATTCTTGTCCTCGTGATAGTTATATAATAACCAGTTGACGCCTTCAAGTTGGTAAGCCATTAAGTTGCCCCGGCGAATCCCTTGCGGCTGCTCCTTTAACGCGGTAAATTTTTCTTCTTTCCATCGGCTCACCCGCTCCCTCATTTTGACGTTTGACGAGCTGCCGAAGTATTTGCCCGTTAGGTATTCGTAGTACGCGGCCTTGAATGCGTTGTAGATTTCACCAGCATCTGGTTTCGGTGGTTTATCCCACACGGCCTCGTCATAGCCAAGACCTTGGAATTTGACGTAAATTTTGTCGACGCTCTCGATGCGTTCCATGTCCTCCTCCAGAGTCCGGCCTCGTCCAGATTTCACCTTGGCAGAGAAGATAACATCTGGGAGAAGGTACTCCTCAGGAATAGCGTCATCTTTTGTCATTTTCAGGGCTAGATTTTGATCCGCATCCTTCTTGGCGAATGAGCTGCGCATGATTCCTGCTGCGATGTGATAAACCCAGGCGCCAGGCATCCAGCTGCAATGGAAGTAAGAGCATTCCTGCCATTTTATAAGGTATTCTTTCTCATCTTCAAAAAAGTCGGTGTAGGTCATTCCCTCCGTGTAGGATTCCCTGTTTGCAGGCCGCCATGCAACCAAGGTATGAATTTTGTGTGATATCGTGCCACAGTCGTGGCACTTCCAATCCACGGAATATTCCGAAAGCCGTTGATCACGAATGTCTGATACGTCCGAGTCCATCTGAGATGAAGGAAGATGCTCGTAATGCCAGCCACGTTTACAAGTAACACAACGGAACAGAACGTTGTCAGCATTGTTGATGAGAGAGGAATCAACAGGAGTGATTGGATCTTCACCACCGTTCTCGACTCTGATCTTCTCTTCCTGTCTTGGGGTCCTTCTGGGCGAAAATGCCTCGCATGAGCGTCCTGATTCTTCACATTTTTGACACCGGTGATGTCTTGGGGCACGTTTGTCCTTTTTGTTATAGAAGCCGATGCAGTACTTGCACTGAAGAACGAAGTCATCTACCCCGACTTTAGTGACTATGTGTTCTCTGGCTGATCTGTATCCTAAACAACTTCTGTGGAAAGACAGGGAACAGCCTTGACAGCCGATCAGTGAACCTTTGCCAGCGATTGGTCCAGTATTGCAAGTGCCGCAAATCTCAGAGTGGAATAAAGTAAATGTTGAATCGTGTGGAAGTTGCTTGAAGACTTCCTTGATGTTGATGACTTTGGGTGTGCCTACAGGTGCTGTGTCTTCGACGTAGAAGGAGTCCTCGTCCATCAGGGCGACGTCAATCATACTGGCCTTATTTCTGGTTGATCTTCCAGAACGACGTCGATCCTCAAACTCAATCGATGAGCCACGTGATCTGGATCGCACTGCAGGCCTAGCCCTAGCCTTGGACCGTGTCGATTTCTTCCGCCTCGACTGCGAAGGTTTGGAGATAAGATCTGACGTTACTAACATGAAGTTATCATCGTCTTCATCAGATTGCTGCAAATAAGGTTCCTGGGATAGCTCATCCAAATCTTCATCGCGGGTTAGGCTGGTGTTACTAAAGGCCATACTAGTGAGTGTAAGCTGTTTCTGTGTACGCTCCCTAAGTTGTCGATGAGGCGCGAAGAACTTGCGCCTTGTTGAACGAAGGCTGTTTTCGTTATTGTCATCAAAAACGCCAGGATACTCCTGACGTGCGTTTTGCCTGGAGGTACCGTGTTGCTGCCGCAAGGAACGAGAATCAGTTTCCGTGTCGCCATCGTCATCGTCGTCGGAATCAAGGGTAGAAGTGAGACGGGTTTGACGGCGACGCATGCTTCTCTTACGGCTGGAGCGAGCTGGAGTCTCTTCTTCGTCAAGCTCCATGAGGTCCACGTTAGACCCAGCATCGGAGTTTCCGTAGCTCTCCAACCAGGACCTCTTCCTCTCACGCTTCTTGAAAACGTCGCCACTGTTATCTATATCCATGGTGCGTTGTAGTTTCCGGAGTGCAGCTTCACCACCTTCACAATCCAGAAGGTCTTCAAGTAGTATCTTAGAAATGTCAGTTGCTATTTGAAATAGGCCTGGAATGTTTGTGAATTTCGGCAAGAGTACTGTTAGCTGGAAAGGGAGGTGCCGAGAAGCTGGATTTCCGGATTTCCTGAACAGCTCTACTGCTCGCCGCCGGTACCTTCCAGTATCGACAGTGGTTTCAGGGGCAAGCTGGTGTGCGAGTGTTTTGGGTATCGAAGTTTCGTGGTAGGTTATAAGGAAAGGTGTTGTGGGTAGGAGAAGTATGAGCATAGTGAAGATAGGTTTGATAGATATAATATCAACAAGACTGGGAAGTAGAAGGAAGTCGGAGGAAAGAGCGGCTCACAAGGTATGAGAATAATTAAGGAAAGAACGTTAATTAGAGGGAGGAGAGGTGCTCAAAACGAAACGGACAGAGTTGCTGACTTACAATTTCCCGTCGACCGTCGGTAAATTCAACATTGTACCCGCGTTCTCCATCCAGATTCACTTCGTTAAGGACTTCATCCACAACGTCACTTCGAATCGACATGTACTTTTCACTTTCCACAAGTGGCATGGAGTGTAGAACGACTTCAAACTTGGCTGGGCGCATTTGTTCTGGTACCCTTTCTTCCTCTAGGTCTTGATTCGGACGGTCATTCATCATAACTTCTTCCAAGTCAACTTCCGGTTTATCAATCTTTGAGTCCGACAAAGTGGCTGCGAGCGCAGCAATAGCATGTACCTCAGCCGAAGTCGTTTGCTCATCTGGCTCAAGTACGCCGTAGCCATGAACTGTCTGGTGTTCTGGGGGATAGCTGCTCTCTGAGATGTCGGCAAGGAATGTATCGTCACCAAGGTGCGTCATGGCTCTATCGGCAGGCTCGTTGTCGAGCAGGGGGGGTTCGGTCGGTGCATCGTTGAAGAAATTGTCTACTTGATCAAGTCCGATCAGCGCATCGCTTGGCGATCCGGCGTCGGATAGCCCCTCCATGCTTCAACTCGTGGCGATTTGGGAGGCATATGAAGGTAGATGTGTTCGGCTGCACGTCGAATCCAACAGCCAGAAGGAGGCGCGAAGCAAAAAAGAAAAGAAAAAGGGGTATTGAACCAAAAAAGAAGGGGGAAAACCGGAATCAAGAAGAAGCAGGAAAGTTTCCTACCAAAGCAGACGTTCGATTGCGGGTAGGCACAAGAAGGAGAAGCTTGCTTCAAAGTGGACTTGTCGAATATTCGACGCGCCTGCAGAACCGCGTTGCAATTAAACTACCATGGGACTTCGTGAATGGAAGGTACGTGCCCCACGTAACTAGCGGCTCAATGTGGATTAGCTAGCAGGTCGCTTAATGGCTGGACTGTTCTAGGGTCCCTGTCATGCTTCTCACCGCCCTAAACCCTGTCGAGATCGCGGCAGAAAAAAAGTCCCCTGGGTCGTAGGAACAATTGTCTTCCTCGCCCCTCGAGCTCTTCGCCATGTTGTAGTACATATCACCATCAACAGCTGGGCCAATCCCATATAAAAATTTCAATGAGTCTCCTTTTGAAGTGGAGCGCTATTCGCCCATACAAAACGCCTAATAGAGCCTTGCAGCTCTATCGAAACCCTGGGCAGCTACGCTATGCGTCGCTTTCTGCTATACACCGTGGCCTTCGACGCTCAGAGAGAGTCAACTCTCGGACCGACCGCGCAAAGAGGCCGGACTCTAAATCTCGCATGACCGAATCGCGCGGAAGGAATCGAACCCGAAATGATTTCGAATCCAAGCCAGATGCATTTGCCGATCGATTTAAGGGCGCAATTGGTGGACCTCGCGGTCGTGAGCGTCATTTCAAGCCAAAGAAGGCACTTCAGAAAATGCAAGAGCAAGAAGAAGAAGGTGGAAGGAAATCACGGAGCAAGCGCTTTAACGATCCCGAGTTCACTTTTGGAAAGAAGAGTCTGGTTTACCAGCTCAATCGAGGGGAGTTGAAAGACAAGGTGTCAAGGCTACTAGACAAGGATGGAACTGGTGAAAAACACCCTGCCTCGCCACGACCTGGCTCTGCCTGGAGGCAAAACTTTGGACGGGACTCAATGAGGCCTAGAAGAGAAGAAGGACAAGATTCTATGAGATCCATGAGAGATGGAGCTCGGAAGGAGCTCGAAGGAGGAGGCGCGGGACCTCGGAAACGGTCCTCCTATCGGTCAGAAGATGATTCATCCACAAAGAAGTCGACAGAATTTCCCATCTCCATACAATACACAACGGCGGCGTCACAGTTTCTGTTTGGTCGGTCAGTCGTAAAAGCAGCGTTGAGAAACTCTCGACGCAAGCTCTACAACTTGTATATCTACCAAGGTAGTAACAAGAAAGATACCAAGGATGACGAGTGGATTGTATCTCTGGCCCAAAAGAAAAAAGTCAAGATCAACCGCATATACGAAGCGGATCAGAGATTGTTGGACAAAATGAGCAAAGGTCGGCCGCACAACGGCATTGTCCTTGAAGCATCGCCTTTGCCCCAGCTGCCACTCACAAGTCTCGGTGCAGAATCGAGCGAGTCCAACGGCTATACTGTCTCCGTGGCACACCAGTCGAAGGAGGCAGCCGATATCAACGGTGCAGAGGGCTTTATACCCTGTAAGCCAGGTTTGGCCCGCCCGCTCGTACTTCTTTTGAACGAGATCTTGGATCCTGGTAACTTGGGTGCCATTCTCCGTACAGCTCGTTTCCTCGGCGTCTCAGCCGTTGCCATTACTCAGCGAACGTCATCCACAATAACATCTACAGTGCTCAAGGCGGCCGCGGGCGCTGCGGAGGAGCTCCGGCTCTTTACTGTTGAGGACCCTGTGTCGTTCTTGGACGCTTCTCAAAAAGCTGGATGGGCCTCCTTTGCTGCCGTTGCGCCAACTTTTGGATCCCGTGGTGAAACTCGTCAGTGGACACCGGATGCGATTGAAGACTCTAAGCCTCTCAACAAGGAACCTTGCATCCTTGTGCTCGGAAATGAAGGCAGCGGTCTTCCCCACGAGATTAGAAGAAAAGCTACCCACGAAGTGACGATCCCACGAATGCTTACGACAAGCTCGGTAGACAGCTTGAATGTGAGCGTGGCTGCGGCGCTACTCTGCAACTCTTTCTTTAGAGGTGTTAGGCAAAGGCATCCTTTGACTCTTACAGAGAAGTTGCAGGTAGACGCCCGCAAAGCAGACGGCGGCGAGGGCCTGTTTTGAGGACTGATATAAATGCCAATGCGAAGACAAAAATGTACCATCATGTATCATATGTACATCACATGTAAAACTAGTTAGAACACAACTATCCCAGCGCAAAAGCGACGTTCTCTTTCCACGGCTGTAACTTATTGTACATTCAATAGCTGCACATGCTTGTCGGCCGCACGGCACGATCCGAATTTTTCCAGTCCTTTACGACCTGGGCTGCCTCGCTGGCACGTCAGCCCGGCCACCCCTGCAAACCTTACATGGACCCCTGACACTGCCGCCCATTCCACTGAAGCTTGACATTTTGGGGCCCCTAGAACATGACGTATCTTCAACCTGTCACCAAGGCCCCAGCTTCCTCAAAGAAATAAAAATACAAAGTACCGTGCTGGAATGAAGTCCCTACAAGCTGAATGGAAATAAGTTTAGTCAAGTAAGTATTAGAAGAATGGAGTTTTTGTTAAACGGCGACAATTGCTTTGTCGCGATCAGATAGCATGCTTTATGTTTCTCACTGCAGGGTCACAGACATGGGGCCCATATCAGGTACACAGAGGGCGGTGAGATGTCAAGCGCCCGAGCAAGCTCCATCATGTTGCACGTTGCCCAGTCACCCAGCCACCGATTTCCCGCACCAACTAATCCCACGAAACCTCACAGGCGCCGACACCTCTGCAACTTCTCGACCACGGATCCAAACTATTTCAGTTTGAGTGACGGTAGGCTCTTTCAGTTGCAGACTGACGCTCCCACCAAATTTTCAACCTACCTCAGTCCTCATATTGTCAGTGAACATCGACTGACGTGACCACGAACAATCACTTGCACCTGGTACTCGGAGCTCAGGCCGGCCTCCCACATACCTCTAGCATTGAACCTTTGAGTCTTCTAGGAAATCCACGACGGGTGATTGGGGCCAAGGCTCTTTCTGGAGGTTGTCACAATGCATTCACTTTCACTTCTCCGACTTCCGTCCTCTCTCTTGCTTCTCATAGCAGCCCATGTCAACGCAAACGACCTAATGGCTATCCGCAAAATGCCACCCAGCCCCGGCGAGAAGTTGCTCCCTGAGGACCTAGCCTTCGCCAACGATGTTTTCGCACCTTCTCTTACACCCCGCGAGCAACTCTTAGCCGCCCGAATGGCTGATGATCCGTTATTTTACAACGCTTCCTACCCCTTTCGCCCGCCTTTCGCACAACACGGTTCCAGTGCCAGTTCAAGCTGGGAGCACTTCCGTCGTGCAGCCGAAGCACTTCATATCCTAGAAAGCAGGCAAGCCTGCCCTACAAACATGAAAAGCTGTGAGAACATTGGTTCCCCCAATAAATGTTGTATGAGCAACGAGGTGTGCGTTAAGGTAGAGGATGAGAAAGTCGGAAACGTTGCTTGCTGTCCAGACGGCGCTTCTTGTAACGCGCCGGTTGGGACTTGCCCAAGCGGTTCGGAGAGCTGCGCTGCCGACCTTGGCGGTGGCTGTTGCATCCCGGGATACATCTGTCAGGGTGTTGGCTGTAAGTCATTCGTGAGTTTTAGAACATGGCAAAAGCTGATTTCTTCAGGCGTTCCCAGTCCTCCTCCTGCTCCCTCTACTACATCAACAAGGACGACCGCAAATGGTGGAGGCGGTGCTGGTGGAGGTGGAGTCACTTCACCTGTACAGACCATCGTCACAACGTCAACGACAACACTTGCAGATGGAAATACCAGGACTGTAATCATTACAGTCACTGTAACAGAGAACCCAGGTACTGTTACCACGGCCAGGACTACAACCACCACGACCACCCCGACAACGACCTCAGGCAACACAGGCGCAGTGCCTCCTTTCCGGCCCACGTCCACCGCCTCAGGCGATGGCAACGGTAACCCGACATACACACCTTCTTTCTGCCCGACAGGTTTCTACGCCTGTGTAGCTCGCGCGGGCGGTGGCTGCTGCCAGACAGGTCGCGACTGCGCCACTACCTCATGTCCTCCCACGCCTTCTACCACTATCATCTCTAATGGCGCGACTGTGGTGGTTCCCGTCAGCGATGTGCCGGAACCGCGGACTACGGATACATGTGCGAACGGATGGTTCTTGTGTGGGGAGGAGGGGGGACCTGTTCCCGGGTGCTGTCCGAGTGGATATGCGTGTGGTACCGCGAGTTGCACCACCGTCTCAGCGACTAGGACGGGCGAGATACAGAAGCACTTCCCCAATTCTGGGCCGAAGATGACAGCATCCCTTGCACTCGTAGCCATCTCGGCTATTTTTGCATTGGTTTGAGCATGAATAGGATGCATTGGGCGGCGTTAAAGAAATGTATTGAATGACGAAGCATGCGTGAGTCGAAAGAATTCTCACAATCGAGATTTACACGCGTCGTTTGGCTTGTAAACGAATTGCATCAGTTCATGATTCACGAATGACAGTCCTCCTTGGAAGAGAGATACCCTAGTAATGAAAGCTGTTCACTTGGAGGCTACGCTTTATGCCTATCTTTTCCAGCAAGTCCATCACCTCATCATCTGACAGGCGACTTGGGTGATTTAAGCGATCTGGACGTGGCTGCTCTGCCTGCTTCATCCCACCATCAAAAACACAATACACTGTGGAACGTGAAAATCATGGCGAGAATCGTGTTTCTCATTACACTCATTTTAAAAGCTATTCTACTGGGGCTTTGCAGAAGCATATTCGTCACGGAAGCCAGACATGATTTTTTGGTGACAGAGGACCGAGATTAAATCAACAGCATGACGGCAGCAAACGCAATGGCACCAGCCACACGAAGATCTTCAGAGAATGTGCCTGCAGAGTTGGGCGGTGTGCCTGTCGAGCTGGGGCTCGCAGTGCCTGACGGCGTCGTGGGCGACGACGAAGGCGACACGGAGAGGTCAGGCTTCCCGTTGGCGGACATGACACGGTCCAAGATGTGAATGAGGCCGTTGTTGGTCCTGATTGGGATCAAGCAGCAGTCAGAATTTCGAGGTGCCTTGTCTTTGAGGGATGATCACAACTTACAAGACGTTGGGATTGATGACCTTGGCATCGTTGAACCAGATCTGGTCACCCTGAACCGTGACCTTGACCGTGATATTGCTTAAAGACACGAACTCCTGGCCATCGGTCAGGTAGTTGCTGTATGTCACCTGAGGCAGGGTGTGGAGCCTTTTTTCACGTGTGAGCACTACAGCCAGCGGCTGGTGGATAGATTAGAAACTCACAGCAGAGCGTTCTTCAGCTGGTCGCTGTTGAGGTTCCTCTCCGGATTGCCGGCGGCGGCGAAGGCCTCGGTGCTGGGGCCCAGGCAGGTGATGTTGGGCTTCTTGTCAAGCTCCTGCCACAACTTGACCTTCTTTAACGCATCGTCGAGGGAAGACAGAGAGCTCGAAAGCTTCCTGATCGTGGTGGAGCATATTCTTGGCGGCTCGAGGACACTTTCATTCTCGTCAGACTCGGGATCTTCCCCCTGATACGGATCATGAGACTCACGTGTTGATGACCTGAAAATAGCCACCATCCCACACGCCGTCAACGCCGGTAAGCTCTGCCGTCTGACCCAATCCAGCGCGCAGGCTCGCCTTGTCGCCGGTAGAACCTGTCTGCCTCACACGGAACTTGGGTGAGTTCAAAGTGTCTTTTGATATGTATAGCACTTGACCGTTAGCTTCCTCGCCAAATTGCTTAATAAGGGCGGGGCCTGGGCTTCGCAGGTTATAGAGGGTGTCCACGAGCTTCGTCGGAACAGTGAGACCCCTCGAGGCGCTGAAATCCGTTGTATTCAGGGCTGCAGCTAAAGTATGGTACTGAAAGATGCTTCGTAGTCGCTCGGTGGACAGCTGAGAGATGCTGGTGGCGTTGTTCAACTTCACGAACGCGGAGAGAGCTTCATTGTCCGGAACCAGGACAGTAGCAACATTCTTGGCATTAACGTTGATGATTCCTGGCGAGTCCTTTAAGAGCTGCTGAAAGCTCGAGAGGGCGGGATATTTTGAGAGCGCGTCTACAAGGCTTTGGCTGGAGATCTGGCGCTCTACTGGCTTTGATTGCCCAATTGCCCCCGATACGGTGGGAACTATAGAGCTGGCCACGGCCAACAACCAGACTTGAAGGAAATGCATGGCTGTCAAGATTGATTGTGAGTTTGGTATGAGTGGGTGGTTGGAGACAGCCCTGTGAGACGACGGTCGTGGGAGAACGGACAGGATGGGGAAGCATAACTTATAAGCTGTGAAAGCTGCCATCGAAGAAGTTTATCAGCCGCAAGGCTCTACAAATATTCATGGCTGAGCTACTGCTATCTAGCTGATGGTTTCTCCGCGACCCAAAAGCTTACTTCAAGTACGTTGTTTGCACATTGTCTATAACACGTACCACGCCAAACCAGAGCAGGTTAGAGACCATGAGGCCAAGGCGAGCTTGTGTGGTGTTACCTGGGAAGGCCAGCCAACTACCATGTCGGACATGAAGCCACTTGGCTTGTGGCTTTCAAGGAAGAAACGGAGTCTCAGTAGGAGGGTGAGACGTGCTTACGGCTGAGAGAACGGCATCTCTATATGTAGGTAACTTCCTTCGGGTATTCCTTCAGCTGGAGGCATGCAGACAAGAACCACGATGATAGGGTGAGTATGTCAGGTTGGCTGCGGGGAAACCAAAGGGCAATATTGGACTTGGTTAGCTGGCTTACTAGTGGCGTCGAATCCCGTAAAGTCTACCATCAGTCTGGACTCGACACCTCATGGGGTACATTCGCTAGCTCTTCTTTGTTTGGCTGCACTCCAGAGGGTTGTGCCAGATTTGCTGCCTGAAATAGCGAGCGAGAACGCCATAGAGCCCTGCAGTAGACTTGCTTGCCCAAGTGGCTTTAAGTAGGCACATTCAGCCTCATCTACTTTTGCATGTTAAATTATAGCAAACTTTCATACACAAAGGATTAAAGCTGTGTCGTTGGTCAGATCGGCGCAGCATCTACCATTTTGGGAATATCCACATCGACTAGGAAACCAGACCATGCCTCACGAAGTAACCTTATCCCAGCGTTGGCCGGCTCAACTCCGAGAGAGACAGTTTATGCAGATAGTTCAGCAGCCGAGACAGACTTTCAGTTGAAATAGGAGTCGCCGTTCAAAAATCCTGGAGTTGGCAAGTAACAACAATCCAACCTGTTGGCTTGGATACATTGGTGTCTGGAACAAACATCGAAAGCCTGTGACACGAATTTGAGTCGGTAAGTGAGGTGGGCCATGGTCAAGTGTTCGTCGGGTAGATGAAAGAAGAATGGAAATGATGCTATTGGCGGAATGCTGGAGTTTGTACGAATGAATACATGTCTTGAATACAGGTAGAAGGTAGCAGCATCCCATCCAAATAGTAGGGAAAGACCGGCGCGCAAAGAATTTGAGTTCAACAAACTCATTGTCGCAGCAACTGCCTTGGAGCCAACATCACATCAATGGGCCTGCAAGGGGAAATGCCCGTCTCACTGGACACCTTGGCCGTTTGCGTTGGGTGAAGTACCAACAGCAAGAAGTAGCCGATGTAGCAAACACCAAGAGTTCCAAGAGCCTGAGTGGCCCCATCACTGGGTTGATGTACCCAATCTGCACGAAGGCTTTCGCGCCTGCAACAAAGACGCGTTGAATAGTGGGATCGGAGAAGGAAGGGATGGGAAGAAACATGCCTTTGCTGTCCTGCAATAGGAAGTCACTAGTCACGTCTGTCTGCTGGACATGGGCCCAAGCTCCCCGCTTGTCGCCCGAGCTTTATAGCTCTATCAGTCAGTTGATGAGAGATGTTATGATCCTTGTCAATCTAATCTGTATTGGGAAGGATATTCTTGGCGGATCAACTAGGTGGTATAAGGTCCTCCTCCGGCGACGAGCCGGCTCGCAGCAAATCGAGCCATTAGATTTGCTGTGCCGCAAAACTCATTTCCGTCACAAAAGCCGGTGGACTAGCCTGTGTTTTCAACCAACATATCTTCCCCACGATAGCGATTTTTCCCAGTCATGACGGCAAGAGATAACCCTAGCCGATCAGAAATACGCAAAAAGGGCATAGCTCAGTACAAAAGATCCAAAAGTTAACCCGCGACTCCTTCCCGTTTGACCATACCCATGCGCCCACCCATTTGATATTACACAAAGTAGGTAAGGTGCACACTTCGGATATGTAGGCACAAGGCAGGAACAGAGACCATGCAGTAACTGCTTTCCTTGGCGTCGAGGCCATCATGGCTCGTCTTCTTCGTCTTCCCACTTTTCTGCCGTCCGACTGTTTTCCTCTCAACTCTTCACTTCTCTACACACCACATCATCACGACTTACATCAACAACGTCTTACGGACCGCCCACTTTTGATACCCATCTTAGAAACATAAAACAATTCGGACTGCTTTCTTGTCCAAGGACTTTTTACCTACACGCCCTACACCAGACTACGAAAATGAGACACACAACTATTCTTTCTGGCCTTGCCGTCCTTCTTCCCTCGGCAGCCGTTGCCTATTCCACCCCGAACATACTGGACGCTCGCCAGAACAACAAGCCCCCTTACCAGGATGTAGTGTGCAAGCCCGAGACCAGCGGCCAACTGCCACCTTGTGTTCAGATTGAGAACATTGAGGTTGCTTGCAAGCCGAACGGCACTAGCTCCATCTACTACGAGGCACACGCTCAGTGCATGTGTGGTGGCTCGTTCTTCGCCGAGAAACTTGCCTGCGAACGCTGCCTGTTTGTTCACGGCTTACGCAGTGAAAGAGACCTGGCCTTTTACAGTGGTGTTCTGTCATCGGCTTCCAATGCCCTTTGCACCGGCACGCCCACTGCCGCCTACGCCGCTATCTACTCGAGCATTGAAGTGGCCGCCACACCCGTGACGACGGGCAACACTGTTACTAGTGACCAAGCCGTCAGCAACACGGCCATCTCCCTGTACTACACTGCAAGCGGTCCCCAGGGCCCCGGTAGTATCTCAGGAGCTGCTGCGAGTGCAACCAATACCGGCGGCAGTACTTCGGCACCCACAACTACCCGCGCAGTTACCAGCAATGGAAGCGGTTCCACGACTACTTCCAGATCAACCGGCACTGCTTCTGGCCAGGCTGCAACAACTTCTACCTCTGGTAGTGGTGCTATGCCGACCTTTGTTGCTGGTGGACTTGTCGCCGGTGCAGCTGGCTTGGTCGTCATGGCGGGTCTATAACGGATGAGCGATGATGTTGAAAAGGGGTTGCTGTTGGCATGCGGTTCTGATGGGTGGGATTAATGATTACCATCGAGGCTTATTAATGATTCAAGTAGTAATGAGAATTGCAGTGGTTCACTCTGATTGAGCTTTGTGTCGAGACTGCTAGTCCTGTTCTTCGTGCTTTGGATACTGTGCCCAATAGCACGCCAATGTTGTCCCCCACCTTTTCTTGGAATAGACACTCTTCCAATGTAGTATCATTAGGATGCACTCGGGGGAGAAGCAGCCAATAGAAGAGAACTGCTTGGATTACTGGAAACATTTTGTTCTTAAGGGAGCTCTCTTGCTATTTCGAGAGTCATGACGGAGCTATGTAGGTCCATTGGTTGGCTCGGATCGTTTCCATCTTAGCCCTCCAGGTTCTCACGCCAACCCACTTGATACCAGCACCAGACCTGGGACACCCCCGCCAACGCTCATCCTAGTCGAGCCGAATCATCGCATATAAGTTAAACTCCAGTCCTCCTTGCTACTCAGGCAGTCCCTCTTTTCTACCTACGAATGCCTTTTTTACGTCGATTTCCGTACATGGGTTTTTACTGGGGCATGTGTTCGAAGGGCTTCTCCAGGTGCTCCTGGCAGAAGGGCAGCTTGCCGACCGTCCAGATTTCAGTGTCCTACGAACTCGAGATTAGCCACGTCCTTCAAGCATAATGTCTCCGCTCGGATGAGTCGAGATTATATCTCTCTGGAGAACGCGCGAGCACACAAGAGTCGAAGGCGAGGGGCCGGGTGCGACTTACGGGCTTCAAGTTCTTCTTGATCTCAGAGTCGAGAGTACCACCCTTCAGAGCAATGATTTCAGGAGCGGCATCGGGATCATGGGCAATAGGAGAGCCGCACTCAGAGCAGAAGATGCGGTGGACGGCCTTGCCTGAGGAGCCCTTTCCAGCCCAGCTCTTGGTGGGGCCGTTGATGGTCAGCTTGTCCTTGGGAACAACAACGACAAGGGCTGCCGAGAGTCAGCGACAATTTACCGCAAAACATTTCGGGCGGATCAATTGGTTCATTCGCAACCAGATCTGGGTCACGAAGCGTTCGTGGGGTTTCCAGGTATCACTCACAGTAGGTGGAGCCGCTTTGGCGCTGGCAGTCATCGCAGTGGTCATAACCAGTGATGAGAGGAGCGTCAACGTCGACCTTGTAGGTGACGGCCTTGCAGAGGCAGTGTCCAGACAGAGGCATTTTGAATGGTGAGTTTTGAGCTTGAGAAAACTTTGTTTTTGGCTTCGAGAAGAGCGATCCTAAGATGTTGGCAGGTAACGCAACGCAGCGAGCTTCGACACGGGCAATGCTGCAAGTTGATTACAGACGGGGACGAGCCCTTTTTGTCTTTCAATGGAGGGGGCGGGGTAACTGATCTGATGCCGTTGCAGGTTTTAGCAGGTGGCTCCCCGACGCTACCTTGCGCGTTGACCTCTTTATGACGACGTCACTTACCGTATCGAGAGATACCCTGGAGTCAAATCGGATGAGCGGATGGAGTGGCCGGAACCGTGAGCTGGAAGTTACCGATGGCGAGTTGACTACAAACACACAACTTGAGCTACCGATATCGATCAAGGACTTCTTGCGATGGCGTTTCGTTTGTTGAAAGAAGTAGCAAACGAAGCGATGCAACCAACGGGCTATCAAGCACCCTTATATACACGCGTCTGATCCTCTGAGAAGCTTCAAGGATAAGCACGTCTTGTCTACGTGCCTGTACCTAGGTCTCAGCCACAACTCTCGACGTGGAAAGAAGAAATTGGCTTGAACAGCTTCGGGGAGCGATGAGGAGAAGGGTCCACCAGATACAGGAAACGTTTCTGTCAGCGCTGCAGGCTGCGGCGATCTTGGAATCCTGTCCTATCCTATTCGGCCATAGGATAACACATCCTTGTTCACGGCAGCCAGACAGGGCGGGAGGCAAGCTTGCTCAACCGGCCCCTTTGAGGGGACATTCCAAGGGCAGCTGCAGCACGTTGGGAAGCCCTCATGGCGCTGCTATTCCTATTCAGTCAGTCAAGCATAGTACGCTTATGTCTCGAACTTGTACAGACAACCCCGCGCAAGGACACGGAGCTCGGATCAGAAGGAGATCAAACTGTTGGGTTTTGGAATATCGGCGGACAAATCTCTCTGCCAAGCTCTCCCACTCAGCCCTTTTTTCATTTATTTATTTGTCATCTGTTTAGTATTTCTTGTCCCATGAAAGTGGAGGATTTGTGGCATGGCTCGTTTACTTTCACGTCTGTTTTGCTGAGAAGACAGGAATCCAGCTTCGAAAAAGGCTGTAGGCATTCCCACGAGCAACAGCCCCGCCCTGATGACGGGACGATTTGGAATTCGATGCGGGGCCCGCCTTAGCGCTGCAGCAGCTTCCCCGGTACCTTAGTATAGTAAGCACCCACCACTCCAGTGCAGTAAGGCGCTAGCGTACGGCACCTCGAGTCGAGGTCAAGCCAGGCTGATTGGGAGCTGCTCGCTGACCCAAGTGCATTCGCGAGAGTTTCGCAAACTGCTCGCAATGGAGGAACTGGAGCTACTCGATGCGGTACGAGGCGCTGTTGGCAAGCTGCCAAGCTGCGTTTGAGGGGCGTGTGACGTTGCCCAAGCTCTCTAGATCCCCATCTAGCAGCTTCTCCCTTCTCCAGTGAACATCCCCCCGGCCTCCCGGGAGTCGGGGAACCAAGCACGGGCGGGGAAGCGGGCACGCTGGGCAAGCTGGGCAAGCTTCATTCTCAGGAAAAACTGCAATTCAATTTGATATCCGCGGGCGGACACGCGAGGTCATTGGATGACTGCTGTTTAACCGACTGGTCAGACAAACTCTCCGAATTGACAAATTCTTTTGAGAGACGAAGAGTTCAGATCGAAAGCACGATGAGTCAGGACACGGACATGGCAGGGTGTAAGACTACACTAATCTGAGCTGCCTCTTTTCCTTTCTTGCCAAAAAAAAAAAAAAAAAAAAGACAGCTTGTCAGACCAGGGAAGGTAAGGTAAGGGGACCCCCATTCAGGTGAGGGCAGGCATCTTGGCCAACCACTCTGTGATTCGGCGTCACCGCTCCCCCCTCCCACTCGGCGATCCAACGAGAATCCCACCGGAATTGCTCCCGCCGGAGGACCAACGCGAATATCAAATATCTCAAATACTGCCTGTAACTAACGAAATGCAACTGTAGAGCGCTCCACACTTGTAATTGAACTGTTTCTGGTTGGCGCACTAAAGCAAGCGCAGCTGGACTGTACCGTGACCGGGAGGTGCGCAATCTGTCACAGGGAAAACACCAATATAGGAATCTGCGGGCGACCTGTCAAGTTGATTTTTTTTTTGATTTTTTTTTTTTTTTTTGGGCTCGCCCTGTCTTATCTTTTCTGGCAGAAGCTTCCCCCAATGGTGACGAGCCACGGAGGCATCTTCGAGATTAGTAAACGCTGGGAGATGCAAATCCCGGCACGTCAGTCGCATGTTTGATCACCGTCGACGTACGTGAAGTCTAAGATTGACTGGAGATGCTGCATGTTTCTCCAAGCAGCTGTTTCGAAACGGTCTGAAATCTTTTCTTATTTTATTTTATTTTATTTTGGTAGCCCCTTTATTTTTCCCGCCGCCCTCTCTCCCTGTCTCTCTCAACTCAACCTCTCCTCTTCTCTTGTTCTGATCTACGTGTACATGGTCTTCCCCGTCTTGTCCAGGGGGAAGAGTTCATCTAAACCTGTGAAAAGATGTGATCATGCGTGGCGCTTACTGAGTGGATATAATTATTTTTGGCTTTTTGCGCGGTTTCAAAAGGCCATGAGCAGCGGGGCAACAGCAGAAGACAAGACCCAGGCCAACCCCGCGCGTAGGATAAAGTGCTGCAGGCCCAGCAGCTCGACGCTTCCCAATGCGAAGCGGTCGGCTAGGAACGCTTGCAGAACGATGGACCTGTATGCGCTCCTCTTCCCGGGGTCCTTGCTGGCGAGGACGAAGCCGTCCATCGAGGATATGCGAAAGTCGCGAATGTCGACTTTTTCCACGCCCTGTTGGGTCTTGGAGCTGGCTGCGGTGACGCTCGAGGTAAGTGGCCGCTCAATCCGCTCCGGTCTCTGCCGCAGGGACCGAATGGCCCTGAAGTAGACAAAGTCCAGCAAGCTTGTCGTACGCAGGGGCGGCGTCGGCTTTTTGAGAATGAGCTTGGGGAGGAGGTCGGGACGAGAGATGTGGATTGTGCAGTTGTCCTGGAACTCGCAGCAAACAGCCTCCAGATCATGAGCATAATGCACAAAGCGGGTGTAAAAGGCGGGCGTAAGGATCTTGAACTCAAGCTCTTCAGCTTGCTTTGGCCGCCTTTGAGCCACAGGCGAAAGCATCACCTCGGCTGGGGCCAAATCAGCTTCAATGCCGGAGGGTATGTACTTCACGGCAATAGGAGCGGAGGACTGCTCGACAAGATGGCGAAGGTATTCCCGGAAGAAGGGCTCGAGACCCCGCTCCGCCGCGTCTGCATGCCGACCGATGCTTTGCTTCAGCGGCTCCGGGCGGTACCATACGTGCAGGCTGCGGCGGAAGAAGAGTATGGCAGCCTCCTTGACAATGCGGGGGAAAGTCACGAAGCCGACCCACCACCAGCTACACAGGAAGAAAAGTTTCTTAAAGGGAGACATGGAACCCGGGTCGATCGCAGGGGCGGATGAGAAGAGGCGCGCGATCAGTTTCGTGTGGTCTTTGGAGGACTTTAAAGTGATTGTAGTGTCGAGGTTGGGGAGGCCGTGGGGGCCATTGCTGAAGAAGTCGACGGCTGAGAGGGAGTAAGAGCCTTTTCGAGAGTTGAAGGGGGAGACATGGAAGTCTTTTGGCCACTGTTTGGTCATTCTTGCGGTCGACTTGTTGACGGGTTGCTCGCCATTACTTAAGGCTTCACTTGATTCCGCAGCACCTCCGCTGACGCGTTGCTCGGGCGGTATAGTGTCTGCGGGGAGGAAGTACATCCTTCGCTCATCAAAAGTGTTGTTCACTTCGAGAATCATGGCCCTCAGTTCCTTGTCTTTGGAATAGAGGTACCAGAACGAGACGGGATTGAAGCTGTAGCCCAGGAACTTGGCAGCCGTGACGAGATATGCGCAAGGATACTCGGCTGGATCCGCGCCCTGCGTTGTGTTAGTAGTGTGGCCTTTCAGAGTAATAACTTCAATATACCTGAGACCTAAGATATGCGTCCAACTTTCCCCTCAGGCCGAGATGGCCATTCCCTCTCTCGAGATAGTCAGCAGGGTTGACGTCGAACCAGCCTCGCTCAGTCTCTGACGCCAACGAGATCCACGACAGCCAGCTGCGCTTCCCTGTCCCGCTCGAGACCATGCCCGCGTAATTCCCTTTCCAGCCGACCGGGATGCCGACGACAAGGTACGAGTACGCGAACTCGTGTTTCTCTGGGAAAGTCCTCCTATGAGTCGTTCTGGCTGGTATCAATAGCGGCCTCATTGACGTTGTCCACTGAGTTGCACCATCCTCCGTCAGGCTTATGATGAAGCGTATAATCTGCAGAGCTATCAACCCAAGGGCGAAGCCAGGAATGAGGAAGATTTGCTGCTGGAGGGTTCTTGGGTTTATATAATCCGCGACCAGGTCCGCAACGGCATGCTTGTTTCGCCATGCCGAGAAGGCGAGTAGGAGGACGGTGTCAAGCCAGCCTCCGAAGAGCGCATAGTAGCTGAGGCCCGCCAAGAGGACGAACGGCCGGAACGACGCCGTGTCAGTTGTCCGCATCTTCTATGGATATTTGCGGAAGATCCGGGCGGGACGGGCTGGATGCGATGGTGGGCCGGGCCGACAAATACGCGCAGGACTTGAATGTTGCCCTCAATGGGGCCTGAGAGTTTAAGATAAGAAAAGAGTCATAGTCTCACATTGGGGGGAAAGTGCACGGTACATAAACAAGTTGCATCAAAGGGATTCGCTATCGTGGATAGTGGAGTGCGATGAAGCTTGATCGGGTTCCTTTTTACCAGATCTGGCTCTGGTTCTGTGGAGGAGGTCGGGTTATGTGGGCCGATGCACATGTTCGTTCGACGGGATCAAGACACTTTGGACGTGTTAGAGAGTAAGAGTCCGACCGCCTTTTAGTAATCCATGAGATGACTCCAGCTAGCCCGCCGGACGCGCCTGTAACAATTAGCGCATCGTGGAAGTCTTTATCCCTTGGCTAGTCATCTCAAAAGTCATGTATCTTTGTACTGGGCAGGTTTGACATGAACTTGAATTGATACTGAGAGACTATGTGGGTGTAACGGAAGCCAAAAAGTTGACAATAATTACAGATGACTAAGAATGGAAGGAAAACCAACTGTGGCAACACAACGGCGATGCAACACCGAAAGCATGTCAGCAGTGAGAATCACTTGGCCGTCAGCGCTTCCTTCCAGGAGGCCGCTTTCGGATTTTAGGGGGGGTTATCCAACCAGCAACCTTTATGGCCGAGCGTCTAGAACCTAACCCCAGCCACATCGCTATCGCCGCGTGGCGTAGCAGGGCAAATAGCAAAATTAGAGACAAGAAGAAAAAAAAGACAGGTAAGCTGAAGCAAAGCAGCCTTGCCGACGACAGACTGATGACAGGCATGGGTGCGCCTCACCCCGCCAAATTCCCTCCTGCCCCCCTTCGCCTAGGTGCACTTGCGTATGCAGGGATTGCCGCCCCTCTTCCCTCCGCCGGTTGACTCAGGTCCACCGATTTTGCCATCCATCCCCGTCCATCGTCTTCCACCACCATATTTATTCCGTCCCATTGTCCACTTCAGCCCGCCGAACCAGGACCTTCCAAAAACTGACGCAACAAAAAACCCAAGGGTCCTGAACTTCGACTCAAACAAACCTCAAAACCGTAACTCCACCACAAAACACCGACCAAAGCAAAAGAACAAAATCACTTGTTCTTTTTTTTTATTCGCCCGCACAAGCAGAATCAACACATCTTCACACAACCACACACACGACACCGCCAAAATGGATGACTGGGACAACGTCACTAAGATCGGCTCCAAGGCCCGTAGCGGAGCGTCGCAGAGAGAGACCGTCATCAAGGGAAAGAGTGCTCTCAACGCTGCCCAGCGCAGCGGTTCCGTTATTGGCACCGAGAAGAAGTACGCCGCAGGCAATGCTGTATGTGCTCTCCCCTCACTCTCTTCTGCCTATTCCTGAAATTCACGCGCTTGACATCATGAACCCGCCCCTCCATTCCCCACTCTTTATGATCGCATCGGAAACAGCTTCAGCCCACGCGCATCTAGAGAATTGAATGCTAACATAGTTTTCAAATAGTCCTCTAGACCTGGTGTCGAGGGCCAGCGCCTGACAAAGGTTGACCGCTCCGACGACATCATCAAGCCCAACACCGTCGGTAAGGAGGTCGGCGATGCCATCTCCCAGGCGCGCCAGAAGATGGAGCCCAAGATGACCCAGAAGGACCTCGCTACCAAGTGCAACACCACCCAGTCCGTCGTTGCCGAGTTCGAGCGTGGCGCCGCCGCCCCTGACCAGAAGGTTCTCTCCGCCATGGAGCGTGTCCTCAACGTCAAGCTGAGGGGTAGCGACATTGGCGCCCCTCGCTTTGCTAAGAAGAAATAAGCTACTCATCCACGATAGGTGTGTAGAGCTCGCTCGCTCTCTCGATGGGTTTCTTTGGGTGGAACGCATGAATTGGGATGGAGCGGCGGATTATGCGCGGAGGCGAAATAGAGCGGGGGATGCATGCGGCCCTCGCTTCCGCTTCCGCTCGGGAGTCTGGTCTTTGGAAGGCGAAAAGAAATTTGGTCTTTTTTCACGACCCGGCTGGTTGCATAGCATGAACACAAGACTGAAACTAAATGTCTTGAGGCTGGCTCTTTATGAAGGTTACGGTTCCTAGACGTTTTTACAGCACAATAGATGAGTTGGCGCTCAAAGCCGACGATTACACTTTATTCTATTATTCGCAACTCTCTAAATGTCGTGACTCGCAATGCTTGCAAAATGGTTTCTTAACAACCTTCTCCCTCCGTGGTATCATCCAAACTCCGAATTCAGAAAAAACAACAACCAAACACGCTCTGCCATGCATCTTGGTCTGAATCAGAATCATCCCCTTGTGGCTAACAACTTCACGCAACTGGGTATCTCATCTACACAGAAACCCTCTTGACTCTGGCAGCGAGCTCAGCATCGTATGGCTTGCGTCGCGTCTGGATCACAACATGCTCCTTGCCACCCACGCTGGCAAGCTTGAGCCACTCCGGTGCAATTTCGTTGGCTAGTATACGAACCGTGTCGATGCCCTCTTCCATGGGCATAGGTACTCTCACAGAATCCTTCAGCTTCTGCTGTAGAACCTGCATGGTGAAGGACATGACAGGCTGACCGGCCGAATTTGACGAAGCAACAAGCATGGAGATAATGGCTGCGATGTCGCCAACACGATGCAGTGCTCGCTTTCTTGCCATTTCAGGACCAGTGGGAAGCTCGATCTTGGAGTTGGCTATCTCCTTTGCTCGCAGCCTGTCGAGCAGACTCATCTTTGGGTTGATCGTCGCAGTTTTGGCAACCTGGGCTTTGGCCTCCTTTTCTTGCTGCTTAATGACGATCCCGTTCTTAAGCTCGGTCAGGGCGCGCTGTCCCTTGGCCAGCGCTGGATTTTGGCTGATAATGTTGTGGCGACGAGTGATCTCTGACATGGGCAGATCGTTGAAGCTTAGGTTTTCAAAGCAGACATCCAGGTCTGACATCTCATCTGTGGCCCGCTCATCACAGAGAATGTGCAGCTTCTCCTCAAACTGCTGGCACAGCTTTTGCGCGTCGATACGCCCAGAGCCCTTGGTGAAGTCAATCTCAAGGCAGAGCTTGCCACGACCGTAGTCAGTGACAATGAAAGGAGAGCCAAGCATCTCCAGTTCCCGTCCAGCAGGCTTCATGTCTTGGATGGCAATACACCTCCGGATATCGTCCGTGGTAACCTTTCTCTTTCCCCACGTCCGAGAAACATGAGGGGTGATGGCACTGATGTCGAGGGGAGCATTGCTGTTCTGGTGTGTAATCTGAAGCGAAACAGTCTTTAGAATGGCGCGCTGCAGGTCCAAAAGCTCTACTAGCTCGGCTGGTAGTTGTTTGGTTGCCGGTTCTTCTTTTACACCTGATTCGGTAGGGGCGTTGCGCCTCTTCGACCGTGCAACTTTTGTGTTGGCCTTACGTCCTTCGGTCTTTGCTTGAGAAATGATGGTTGACTTGCGAGTCTTTTGGTGGGCGTCGGCAATCGTGGACTTGGTGTTCTTGGGGGTAGAAGAGGTGGTCGGAGTAGACTCGAGTTCCTTCTTGACGGAGACGGGCTCGTCCTTCCAGCCATCTTTAGAGATCCGCTGACGCTTTAACGACTCAGGCAATGGTGCAATGCGTCTGGAATTTCTAACAGGCAAGCTTGTGTCTTCGACAGGTCCTGCCTTACGCTTCCTAGAAGATGGCGTGGATGGCGTGGGGAGGGGTTTGCTGGGAGAGTCCTCAGTCTTGATTGAGACTTCCGCGGTCGAAATTGTACGAGAGCTGGGCAGCTCAATGACAAAGGCCTTCTTCACGGTGTCGTCTACTGGAAGGGCCTCAACCTTGGAGACACGGGTGTACTTGCTCATGCAGTTGGAAGCTGGCGGCGCGGCAGGCTTGACCTGTCTGCGTGGAGCGGCGCGAGCCATGGCGACGAGACGTGCAGCTGCCGTCTTGTTGAGAGGTATTGAGGAAGGTTTAATTCAGTCGACCGTGCCGTCGATAGTATGTGGAGAGCGTGGGCTAAGTCTGGGGACTGGAAGGTATGATAGAAGTTCTTAATTAGGAAGAAGTTGGAACGTTAAGCTGCCCAGGAAGTACCGACGAATGTGAAGAGGTTTTGTATATTGGAAGGAGAGTGGGGAGGTAAAAACGATGGAGCATGGATCGCAGGTACGCGCCAGGTCAGGGGCTACGGACGCGACTGACGCGTTTTAGGAGCTTTTTTCACGATGCAAGGCGCGTTAAGTGGTGGGGCGCGCTGCTGTCCTGGTCCGTGCTCCCGTGACTGGGCAACGTGGGCGACATCCTTCCCAAGGGCCTGGTGAACGCATAGATTGATTTAGGAAAAAAAAAAAAAAAAGATTAATAAGTTTGTATCTTGGCAACTGTCCTTTCACATGAAGGATGTCATAATCGCCATTTTTGGCAACCACTAATCGAGGGATGCTTGCATCGAGTGCTTTTCTCCACGCGCCGCAACTTATAAATCAACCTTCCAAACTCGAGCTTTTATTTCGTTTGGCCTTGTAGGCACAGACTCAGCAGATATCTTACTCGAGAAACCTGCGGTCGGGCGGAGTCACACCTTCCAAAAGGGTCGAACCCCAGAAACGCACAAAGTTATCTTAGTCATCTAAGTTGTAAGCGTCGATTTCCATCATAAGACAAAATTTTGATATACGTGAGTACAACCACGCAATTATTAGCAGTCCTAGGGTAGCCTTCTACTTCAGCTAACGCCCTTTTTGTTGCCATTACCATACAATGCAGACTAATACATTCCTATTGTTGTGCCAGCCTTTCTTTTGTATAAACCCTCAATGTAAATCAAATCACTTTTCCATGCCTTGTTCGCCTAAGACTCCCGTGATCATCCATATGCTGATTGTACATGTTGATGGTAACCCTGTATCGAACAGGAACCAGGTGTTGCTCGAACCGCTTGATTTTGGTCCAATCTTGGGTTGTCTAGTGACGAATCGATGACTGCCAGTGCTCCGCAGCAAACGAGACGGGACTTGGTGGTGGCGGCGCAGGCACGCTGTAGTCCTGTTCCTGAATCATGTGAACGGGCGTCGCTGGGCGGTGTGTGGTTGAAGTCAGAGTAGCGTTCAAGCTGGTAAAAAGGTCCTGGCCTGTCATCAGACGAAGGTTCCTCCGCTGAGGAGGAATGGGGAGAGGTGAAGCAATCTGGCTGGCGGGCATCTTGGTAGAGGAGGTTTGAACACCTATCAAGCAGTGTTAAAAGAGAGACACAACTAGTTGACGCTTCGATCTAGAATCCACGTACCGAAGAGGATGGGTCAAGGTGGCCAAGTCCGGGGAACAGATGGGTCTTTATGAAGATTTGTGTGGATATTATTGTCCGATAGGCCTTGAAAAGACTGGGTTGATGCCGAAACAGTCAGATGGAGTGTGGAGCGTTGACCTTGGTGGGAAGCGTGTGGTGTTGTAAACGGAGCGTGCCAGGTGTGGAGGGAAGTGCAGATGGCAGAATATTTAAGCTGGATGGTCTGGAGAGAAACGGCTGATGGGGCAAAGAGCAAAACAGAAGAAAAAAAGGGTGCGACAGGGTGTTTGTGCGCGATCCGTAACAGAGATTTCACAATTCCTTCCTTGTATCGTTATCCTCAGGGCTAAGCAAGTCGGTGCGCAAACACGGCAAGGGGGGTGGAATGCTTGGGCTGAGAGACCCAACCGAATGGTCGAAAGGCGGGCTATGAGCAGAGCGAATCGACGCGAGGCGGGTAAGGTTGCAGTAGCCGGGAGAGAAGTCCAACAGAAGCGTGGGGAAGAGAATCAGGGGTTGAAATGGGAGATGAGCAAGACTGGGGGAGGAAAGAAGAGGGTCAGAGACAAGTCAAACAAAAAGAGGGCGAGGAGTGCGGAGCTGGCACGCAGAAACTTTGGCAATGTGCAATGTCGCAATCTAATAAGAGCTATCCGTAATGAGTGAGGAGCTGACTGGATGGATGACTGTGGACTGGCACTGGGACGAATGCGCAAGCAATGTCTCAGTAGATGGCCGGACTTATTTATGATTTTGAGCCACCGTCTTGTCCAACGTACCCGGACTACCTCGATACCTAGACTTTCACCAAGTACCTTACGTGCAGCAGGGCAGAGTGATACCTTCGTCGGGGTTCTCGGCCAGCAGACGGAAAGGGCCCAGGCTTCATGTTGTGCCGCGTCTTGTTTTATTTTTATTTATTTTGGTTGTGTTGTGCTGCTTGCTGTGTTGGCTAGCCCCAAACAAGCTCCAAGATGATCCCCCGGCTTTGATGGGGGGAAGGTAGAAGGGAGGAATGTTCCATGACAGCTGGGGGTCAAGGGTGGATATGTACCTTGACTAGGATCAGGGCAGGTCGGGGACCGGATGGGCTGACCGTTCGGGTGTTCGGTGTATAAGAGAAGGAGCGTCGGGAAAATGGGGGTAAATTATCCTGGCGATACGACACGAACAATAGAAGTGGATAGAAAGGGTAGAGGAAGTAGACTGCGTATATTCGGAGTATTCTGCTTCAGCTCAACTTTGTAGCTGCATCGGTTGTCCATTGCGAATGCAATCGGCGGTTGAATATGACGATGGGACGGAACCCAGCATGACATACTACGTAGGGTACGAGCAAACTGAAGACGCAGAGAGGGATTCCCTGGTTCTAAGCACCGCACGCTTTTTCTTTACCGCCATTCACCTTGAATTGTTCCCCGTGGGCCCGTCCTTCCTCTCGTCTGCTACCTTACGACCGAGGCAGCCACGGCAGTCATGTTTGCTTATGCCGACGCGGGAAAAATTAAAATAAAAAAATAACTCCACGTCAGCCTGGGTCTTGTTCTAGGGTGAGTTTCGAACCAAACGGATTGAGAGGACGAAAAGTAAGGCGTAAGAGGAAAGACCCCATTCGCACAAGGTCGTCCCATCCGCCGGAAGTCGGAACACGTTCCTAATGCCAGGTTCAATCGCCTTACTTTACTATGCTGTAAGGTAGGCAGGCAACAAGGCAGCAGGTATCGAGATCGAGAGTGCCTAAAAAGCTACAGCTCACTGCCTTGGTACAGAATGCAATCCATCTCATCTGACATGGCACTTGTCGGATGCCTATCTAAACCTTCTCGCCCCTTTCATTGTTGAGAATGCATCTGGGGATCATCGACCTTATCCCCAGACCAGTACTATGTAACAGGGAAGCTACCGCCGAAAAGGCACAGCAGATCCAGAACCGGCTAGTTTCAGCCATCCCTGTCTGATTGCAGAAGCAGAATGAAAAGCAACAGGGCCACACAGCCAGTATATTCAGGAACCGGCAGAAACCACAAAATAGGGGGAAAGAAGCCCCAATTGTCAAGCCCTGTTCGTCATACACATTGACTCCGCGACTTAAGTATCAAACTCACATCCTCCACCTGGTGTGCTCCTTTGTGAATGGTAACACCTTCACACATTTGATCCCTGCCCTAACTGTGACTTTCCGGTACGTACATCAGATGGTTTCCGCTTGGTACGTAGAACTGCCACTTCCACCCTCCCTGGAAAAAAACGGGAAGGATAGGTACCTACTAGTACACCAGCACACAAAATTTTTGGAAGGAACTTCCCTCTCTGAGCTCCACTGACAGTTACGCAAGGGGAATGTGGGGTTCGACTTCGAGGTGGGTGGCACCTCACATTTACAGTTTGCGGAGAAGGCCGCCAGTTGTAAGGAACCCCCAATGTCATACATTCCCAAGATTCCGGGGATGGAGACACTGTTGTCCTCTCTACTGCTTTCCAAGCCGGAAACACATACCGGCCACGAGGTAAACTGGCAATCCTCTCAACAATGAAGTCGGTCTCTTTAAGACAGGACGTGATTACGGTGCATTCTTCCTTTCAGTTGGAAGGCTGGCCATGATAGGCAGCGTCATCAGACAGATCAAAACAAAGCAAGACGTGGCATCCTACCTCCTCCCTCCAGCCTTTACAAGCAATACTAGACACTCTACGACTGATGGCCGCGCTTCTGTGGCACAGAGAATTCGGCAAGTCATTGTGAGCTTTCTTCAGGCCTTGCTCGCGACTTCGGCTGAAATTACATCTCTTGCACTGATGCTTTTCGGATACAGTGGCCCACCCACTTCATTTTCATTCCGCCACGTTTCCTTAACCGTCCGGTGGTTCCAAAATTGTCGGGGCGTTTCCATTGTGTCCAAGACAAGGGGATACAACCACTTACTAGTATCCGTCTCCTTTCCGTAACGGATGACCCTGCCCGTTAGCGTCACGACGCAGTCCATACTTGAACAAGGCCTAACAAAACACGGAGACCTCATTTCATCACCATGCCACAGTTACGGCTGCACCACATATCCTGACTTTTATTGGGAAGCCCAAGCCGATGCAGCAGGGGTATTAGCTTGACAGTCGCCATTTTCTCAGCTAAACTATGCCACTGGAAGGGATTCGCGCTCATATAACAGACTGCTTTAGCCTACCGGTCTTGGTCGACTAGTTCCGGTACGTTGGTCTTCCCATTAAACCAGCTCATACTTCGTCATTACACTTTTATTGCAGCCTGTCGTACTTGTTGCAGGCTTCATGACCTCTCGGAGACGACTGTCCACAGAGCCGGAGTTGCGGTGTGCGTCTCCTCCCTAGTCTTTTAGAACTGACTGGCCGCCCCATTTCCATTATGGTTGCGGCTCGGCAGCCATCCAGCGCCTCAATGCCACCTTTTGGAGAAGTGCTGGCACCCAGACTGGAGTGCGTAGCTTGTAGCACCCTGTGATAGGCACACACTTCCGGATTTCGGCTGCCCATCATCGAACCGATATTGGCTTGGTCGATGTGAGCTGACACCTTGCCTCGTCCTTTTCCCCGCGTTCCCACTTTGCACATGGCGTGCCGCCCCGGTCCCCCATTCCAACTCGCTTGACGGCTGCGTGCGCTTTGCATCTGTTTCTCTCAGCTCGTTCTGTCACGCTATCGCTGCGTCACAGAGCATCTCCCTATCTTGGGTCTCGGCTGACTTCGCCGTCCCGCAACTATCTTGAATCGACGAAGCCCGGGCGCAGATACGGGAATCTCATGACATACATTCCAAGCCTGGCTCGTAGCTGCTCGCGATCAAAGCTGGCAGGGAGTTCGGCCGAAATTGGACACATCTACATCAGTCCTCGGCCGTGCCAGCCCTACCATACGCCTGGTTGAGACTACCAATCAGACGCACAGGCACTCTTATCGAAGCCCTTCAATTTTGACAAGAAGAGCGCCGTCAGTCGCTCCCTGCGGATGTCACTGTGACTAGCTCCACCAGGTTGGCTGGAGTCGTTGAGGTACCGCTTTTTCCACGTCCAGGTTTCAACCCTTATGTCAGACGGGTACAGGCTCTTGGTCAGTTGTCTAGGTTATGATATTAAACGACAGAGCATTCACGCATTTTGCAGAATCATAAATTGAAGCAGTGACATGAGCCCTGCCCTGTCATTTTATGGCCCAACATCAAAAAGCCAAAGACATAGGGCTCATATTCTCTCCCGAGTGTTTCAATTTGGTGGTCTAAATCTGTCTCAAAGGGTTTTTCGAGGAGAGAGACCAGTTGTAAGACTATCAGCAGTGGGATTTGAAATCATACGAGTTGGCAGTCTGGTCTGAAGTTGCTTTAGTGGTCCTTGAATACCCATAACCTGGAGATAAAATCATCAACTCCTTCAAATAGTGTTAATCGTGGCTCTAAGTGTCTCAGGTAGGTGGGGGGACTTGATAGGGGAGTGCTGGTAAGAAAGTACTATCGATGTCTTTGATGATCCAGATCAGACGGCTTTGGCGATAAGCTGCGAGATATTCTCGTCTGCAACACAATCCGACCAATCAGCCTCGGGCGAAGTTTTTGGCTTTGAAGTTGTTCAACACATGCTACTACTTTTGACAAAAGAAGTCTATCTATTATCGAGAACTGCCGCCATGTACAATAACTCCAACTTTTGAGACTCGCTCCAGGCTGTCTTTAGGCTTGACTGTCTAAAATAGTCTACACTTATTAACCTTACCGGATGAAGCATCTAGAGAGGCTGGTACATTGGATGGTTTGTGTTGCATACTTCCGGTATAGCTCACTCTTGAGATGAGTCCACGCGGCCCCAAGACCTACTCCGGACGTGTGCCAGAACCCGGGCCGATTGGGCTCGACGAAGAAATTTTTAACTCTTGAACATGGTAAGACTCTCAGCGGATGCTGCCGATCTTGGCTACCCGAATTAAAAGCTGTGTCGAAGATTTTCTTGCAGGATTACAGTCATTTCATTGGGCGATTATCCCAAACAAGTTCAACTTGGCTTTAACTATCGAATCGAGCTGCCATTTTGGTATTATCCTTGTCAGCGAGCAACTGTAGGCCCGGGAGTTGTTTAGGTCCATCTGCTTGTCAGGCGGCAAGAGAATGACGGTCTGATTAGCCTCGAAACGACGGTTATTCCTTCCAACATGAGAGCCAATTGAGTCATTACACGATCCCGTCGTCTCTCTGATGACACCTTGGAATATTGGAAACAACGATCGCTTCCAAACCGCTGTCCTGGGGTTTATCCGGGGGTGTTCTTGGCCCGGAACCCCTAACTCGAAGCCTTGAACCAATGCCTCAGAATCGGCAGTGATTTCCACTCAACCTCTTGTAATTGGTCTTAAACTCAAGTTCAGGGAAACTTCGGATAGGGCAAGCGTCTTGTCGCAACGAGGCATCGTTGACTCCCTAGTCTTTCTGTGGTTGGAGTGTAGTAGCATGATAAGCAGTATCCATACTCAATGAGATTGACGCTAATACTGCGCCTCCAAAAGCGAAGGATTCAAACACTGCAACAAGACGCAACTCTCCACCTTGTTGCAGCATCGCCCGGTGCCCCATAGACCACAAAAGCATTGGGGATTCAAAATCCGACAGAGAAAAAAGCAAGCGGTGTGGTTTCGTAATCGAGGCCGTATCCAGAATTATGACATGGATATTACCCCGCGCATCCCACCCAAGCAAAGACACAAGATAATTGGCTTTTCTTCAGACATTTATACACCTGTCTTAGTTCCTGTGATTGAAGACCTTTGATACACGCCACGCAACTGATAGCCTCAACCTGATTGAACAGTTGATTGGTTGAGGTCGTTTCGAAGGCACATCTGATCGTGTGCTTCCGCATCCGTTCGAGGGAAACCCCGAAAGAAGCACATATGGCTTCGCTCTCAGATCTCAAACAGGCCACCCGAAGTGTCCTCTCAAGCCACCCGAAGTGTCCTCTCAAGCCACCCGAAGTGTCCTCTCAAGCCACCGTTTGAATCAGAACCCCCCACTCGCCGCGGCATGCTTCGTGTTAGGGCTCCTGGCCGTGTCGTGGCTTTTGGCCACGGTGAGACAGTACCGACGCCTTCGGCACTTCGAGGGTCCGTCGCTGGCAGCTGTCTCCAAACTGTGGCTGCTCAAGACCGTCGGTGGGAAGACGGCGTGTTTTGATTTTCATGAGGTGACTCGAAAATACGGTGAGCCAATCGATCTAGTTGTTCTTCTTCCTACTGTCTTCGCCCCTGCCGAGATCGCTCAATCTTGAGGCCGAGCTGGTACGGTGTTAAAGTCCATGGCCATTGACGGCAGGCGAACTACAATGAACCTTTTCTCACATGGACGTACATTGTATGTAACGTAGGCCCTCTTGCTCGAATCGGGCCAAATGATCTCCTCAATGACGACCCGGAGTTGATGAAGCGCATCCTCGGCGTGCGAAGCGACTATCGTCGCTCCGATTGGTACGATGGCATGCGCTTCCACCCGTCAAAGAACAATGTATTGTCGTGGAGAGACGAGAATGAGCATTTTAAGCTTCGATCCAAGATGGCAGCAGGTGTAAGCCCCCGTGGATGAGTCCTAACATTTCAGCCCAAACAAGAGGGTCTGCTCACAATTTCCAGTATTCCGGCAGAGAGGTCCAGGGCCTAGAAAAGAAGATTGACGACAACATCCTGCAACTTGTACGCCTGCTGGAAGGCTATGTTGACGCCGGCAGGCCTTTCGACTTCGCGCGGAAGGCGCAGTTCTTCACCCTGGACGTGATATCAGACCTCGCCTTCGGAGAACCTTTGGGTTTCATGGCGACAGACTCTGACATGTATGATTACATTAAGACGACCGAGGAAACTCTGCCGTTCTTTATGGTGACGACCGTCATTCCATGGCTGGTTAAGCTCTTCGCATCTCCCCTCTTTCGGTCTGTGTTGCCCTCGGAGAAAGACAAGGTGGGATTTGGGAAAGTCATGGGGTGAGTGTCCCTTTTCAGAGGAAATAGAATGTGACAGAGTAACCTAACCAGTGGCAAGAATCGCCAAGAAATTCTCTGCCGAGCGTTTTGGACCGCATAAGAAAGTCCAGAGGGACATGCTCGGCTCATTTGTGGCCCACGGTCTAACCCAGGAAGAAGCAGAGTCCGAGATTCTGCTCCAAATGTAAGATTCCCGCCCTTCAACACGACATAACACGGCATAGGAGAAAGTCATTCACTTACAGTCCGCCAGTATCGCTGGGTCCGATACAACGGCAACGGCAATCCGAGCTACGATCCTCCACATCATAACCAACCCTCGCGTTCTCACCCGTCTCCTGACCGAAATCACCGCCGCGGCGGCTACCGCGACCCGCCCTGTCATCTCCGAAGTCGAGGCCCGCAACCTACCTTACCTCCAAGCTGTGATCAAAGAAGGTTTGCGCATATTCCCGCCCGTCTCAGGCCTGATGGCCAAGGAAACGCCACCCGAGGGAGATGTTTGGAAGGGGAGGTTCATCCCCGGCGGCACGCGCATTGGATGGTCTGCTCTGGCCATGTTCCGGAGGGAAGACACGTGGGGCAAGGACTCGGGAGAGTTCCTCCCTGAACGCTGGATCTTGACGGAAGACGGGGGCAGCTGTGTTTCTGCAGAAAAGCTGCACGAAATGGAGTCTGTTATTGAGATCATATTCAGCTACGGGCGATATCAATGCCTTGGAAAGCCGGTGGCGTGGATGGAGTTGAGTAAGATATTTTTCGAGGTACGTTCATCGTCGACAGCATTTCTTAGAGTGCGGCAGAACGAGAGAGCTGATGTGAAGTGCTTGCAGCTGTTACGACGGTTCGATATGACCGTTTGCTATCCCACTAAGCCATGGTATACTTTCAACTGCGGTATTCATGCGCAGTCGGAGTTCTGGGTCAGGGGTTATCGAAGGGAATAGGAGACATATACCATGTCTGAAGTGACTAAGCTTCACAGCGTTTTGACATCATAGTCGTTAACACCATGTACTGGTTTTGAACGTATGTTGGTTAAGGCACTGCCATGCTTCGGTCGTTGGAAGGGATGAGTTTCGGGCCGGGCCACTCCGCACGCGCCGAACACAAAATAAAGATGGTTGAGAGCAAAACAAGTTTGAAATCCCGTTATGTCTCAGGCATTACGTTGAACTTATCTTCTAGATTTCCAATAGTCTTTACGACATAACATCCAGGTGTCCTCAACTCGGCAGGCTATCAAGGAAAATCGAGAGGAAATTTTTGTTGATTTGGAAGCTGCCCGTTTCATGAACATGATGAGAAGGCGGAATTTTGGTACACGAACCAAGACGTCTGTGGAAACTGTAGACGTTCATTTTGACAAGGCCCAGATGAGACATGAAGTCCTTCGACGTTGGAGCTGGACATCCCAGAACACGACGCGGTGTTGTTGCCGAGCATTACACAGCGTCCAGCACAAATATGATCATGCCTGGCAGCGCGATTCGGTCGCTGGAACACAAACCAGGTATCGCCTAGTGCTTTCTCCCTTGAATCGATGGCATTTGGGGATGCAACATGACGACCAAAGCACACTTTCCCATAGGACTCGGAAGAGTCTCCCGTCATTGATTCCTCCCTTGGAATGTTGGGCTTACTCAAACCCCTCTACTGGTTGACAAGGGGCTGTCAGCTGTGAATCCCAAATGCACATGGATAACCATGAGCTCCAAGACGGACACCCTCCAGAACGTACTGTGCGAAAAATGAGACGGAACGTCTCCAGAACAAGACAGCTTCACAACGCTTACGTCAATGTCACCAGGAACGGGTCTCAGATCCCCGGCCCCCAATATTGATGTAAGGGGTAAGTGGCATCTTAGTAGAGTCGCGGGGAACATGACACCCACAGAGCTGCGCGTTCTAGGCCCCCCTGTTCTCCAGGGCAAACCCCTTGCCCTTGGGATTCCGTCTCTATAGCGTTCCCCGATAACGGTTTGTAACGTTCGCCAGCTAAAGTCAAGTTGACTAAGGAAATCGCCGCTTTGAACACTCCACGGTACTCTTTTCAATTCCAACGAAGCTCATGATGCGTTAGGGTTAAAACTCATCTATCCGCAACGTCGCAATCGAAAACTTTGTTATATTTTGTCTTATCAATGCCATCTAGTGCTGTCTACCCTTGGCCCGAATTGCAAACAACCTCACCGTCTTCACTGCGCCTTTGAAACCACCAAATCGGCATGTTCTTCCGTGTGCCTCGGTAGCGTAAGCTTGTGTTCACCCCTAGCATATTCCAAACAGAACTTCACCAGCCCGGGACAAGCGTGCTTGGAACCCACGTACGACCGCCCCTTGTACTCCAGCCCCTCGAGCTCGTAAAAGTACGCCTCGTTGATCTCGAAGAACTGGTGGATTACCGCCTCCGTCGGCTTCTGGTTGTTCGTGAAGAACACCCACGCGACGCAGATCTTGAGCACCGCGGCGCCGCCCTTGGTCTGCACGACCTTGGGATTCGTGATTGTTGTTGTGAGGGGCGACTTGCCCTCCGTGGGGTCCTTGAGAATGGAGTCCACCCGCGACGGCATCATCCGCACGGCGGACATGGGAGCCGGGAACAGTGCTTTCTTCTCCATCTCGTAGTCTGGATGCCCGATGAGCTGGAGGTCGTAGAGCGCCAGCAGGTCCTGGAAACGCTCCATGATGACGACGACAGGCAACCTCTGGCTGCGGATAGACTCCGTGGCAGCCTCGCGGTACTTCCGCATTCTGCTCCTCGCCTCGTCAATGCTGCCGACGGACTTGAGCGTCTCGTCGTAGAATTTGCGTTGCAGGTACGCGATCAACACCGCGACGGAACGCGACCTGCCCGACTTGCAATGGATTAGAATGTTTCTGCCCTCCGCAGAGTGCCGTTTGATGAATTCGTTCGTCTCATCAAAGTGGTCGATCAAGTTTGAGTTGGCATTATCCTCAAGCGGGATAATGAGCGGCCACTCAACCACGCTCGCGCCTTTTGCGAAAAACCTACGTAAGCCGCCTCGCGGATCCGTCTTGTCCCACGCCAGTGAGTCCTTGGGGTGTATTGTGATGACGGCTCGTATGTCGTGCTCGATAAGAATCTCCTCGTTCAGCGCATGGTTCATACCCCCAATGTAAATCTTCCCTGGGCTGTTCAGGTCAGGGTGGGTGATCCGGGACATCTCCGTCGCGTCGTTCTGCGTCCATGCTCGGATCTCATCCCAAAACAGCCGATGCAGGAACGCGAGAGTGGGTTTGCGGTCAAGGTTGTCGAGAGCCTTGTACGAAGTCGGTTCATATGACCGGTTTATAGAGAAGAGGTCGCTCCATTCTGTTGATGGGGCCTGCTTGGCCTTTTCGTGTGACATGATTGGGTTTGGCGATGCGAATGGGGTAAGGAGGTTGAAAATAAACTGCACCGGTGGGCCGGGACAGCCTTTTGCGAATCTTGGTATGTCGTCTGATAACGTCAGTCTCGTGAGCTTCAACTTGTCGAATTGGGCATGTTCAGCCGTGAAAAAGCTCGAATGACGTGTCCCAAGCTGATTGGTTTGGAAGCCCAGGCAGAAAGGCTGACATGTAGGTTCCTACTTCACCTGTCAGCCTCGAACCGAAATGGACATCTGCATATTCTTTAGCTCATAATGGGTATCACATTTAGTGAACAATTGCGGCTGCGTCTTTGGTGTTGGTTGGATGTGGTTTGGTGAAGGTGTGAGCAAGGACCGCAAGTACAAAAGTATAACACCTGATTGGCCACCCCACCGAGGTGAAGGTTGCTCTAAGTTGGTCTCATTGGTTGGGGTCTAGGCCTGAACCCCGCGTCAAGCCTGCCACTAAGCTCGGTGCCGTCTCAAGGTGCCTCGGCAACTGATCCTGGTCTCCTTTCTCTTTCCTCCCATGTTGGCAACCTGACCAGAAGCGGCACATAAATTTATTGCACCCTCGTCGTAAATCAACTACCGGACTGGGAAATTCATATATAAAGGTCCGGAAGGTCACAAATGTAACATCTCGCTTGTCATTTCACTCACAAATCTGCTTACTCATCTCCCAAACCACTGCAACTTACGGGACGGCGTTGGTCGCAGTGTATCGACAATGGCTTCACCCGACGAGGAAAAAGCTATTGTGCTGTACCACTATTCCACCTCGCCATATGCGAGGCGGATCGCGTGGTATCTGGCACTCAGAGGCATCCCTTACGCCCAATGTGTAAGTATATTCATACTCTTTCATCTTATCACTAGGAACACAGCACTAATACAATATCAGATGCAACCACCGGTGATGCCCCGGCCAGATGTTGCAAAACTCGGCGTTGCCCATCGGCGCATTCCGATCCTATCTATCGGCCGTGATGTCTACCTTGACACACGTCTGATGCTCCGCAAACTAGAATCTATTTACCCGTCGCGCCCGCGTCTCGGCGCATCCAAGCCGGATCAAGCCGCCCTCGAGCGCCTGCTCGAAGCCCTCACCATCGACGGCGGCGTCTTTAGCAACGCAATCAACCTACTTCCCACCAGCTTGCCCATGCTGCGCGACCCGGCTTGGTTCAAAGACCGCAGCGGCTACGCTGGCGTCAAGCTCTCAGCTGAGGTTATGGAGCGCAACAAGCCGCAGGCTGTCAACGAGGTGCGACGCCACATGGAGTTCCTCGAGACGACGCTGCTGGCCGATGGGCGTGACTGGGTTCTTAAGACAGACGGCCCCGGCCTCGCGGACATTGAAGCCGTTTGGTTGGTCCACTGGCTTTCGGGCATTCCTGGCGCGTTGCCCAAGGAGCATATTTCGGCTGAAAAGTTCCCCAAGGTCTTTGCATGGATCGTGCGATTTCAGAAAGCCCTGTCGACTGCGAAGAAGGCGGCGCCAAAAGTGAAAACAGTATCCGGGGACGAGGCCGCGGAAATCATCATTTCGTCGCCGTATAACGAACCCCAGGAACATGTTGACCCCCAAGATGCGCTTGTGGCTGCTGAGGGCTTGAAGTCAGATGATGTGGTTGTCGTCTGGCCTACCGACACGGGTGCATCGCACAAGGATTCAGGGAAGCTTGTGAGCATCAACGGAGACGAAGTGGTGATTGAAGTCAATGGAGAGAAGGGATCTGTCAGAGTTCATGCGCCGAGACATGGCTTTCGGGTGGAGAAGCTAGAGAGGTTCAAGGAACGCAGAAGGTCCACCAAGCTGTGAGCCCCCCGGGCCGTCTCTACGGTACGTAAGTTGCGTAACATGCGATAGCGCCCAACGCCTCATTCCGAAGTTTGGGATTGAGCGAGACCAGCGAAATTCTTCAGTGATGCTGTGATGTGTGGACGTCAGATTGAGAGCATACCGATAGAACTCGGTCAACACTTGTAATAATATCATGGTAGATCCTTGATCATTCTCCATCGAAGAATTCGAAGCCCATCTCAAATTGGCGGACGGCTTAGGAATGTGATCATCCATGTCTTGATTGCATTAGACGCGAAACCAGCCGTATCCACGAGAGAGCTTGTGGAAAGATATGGCAACGGCCTGTGAGACGCTGACTTTTTTTTAGGGTCTCATGCCAACTACAATTGTCTTGGCACCCGACGTTGAACCGTTTGCGGCCTAGTAATAGCGTCGTCCATATAAACAGCCCAGCTGGAAACTTGTATGTCACTGAGAACTTCCTGCACGTAGCAGATTCAGTGGCTGGCTGTAACCTAAGTCCCGGCGTGCTTTACCCAAGGCGTCGACTGAAACATCACAACTGGGACTAATGGGGAAACAAATGCCTTGCTGGGGTATTATACACAGCGGTAATGCCACGCGGTGAAGTTTCTGGTCTTTGACGCCAGTCCGGCATGGAGACCGATGTAAGATCCGGAAACGACGTAATGGGATGGCAAGGATGTCGCCTACTTGCCAGCGCGGGTCACCAACTGCCGTGAATGAGATGGTTAGGAGCGCAGAGACGGGCTGGGGGTGAGATTGCCACATGTTTGTCATCGGATATACCAGAAGTGCGGGATCAGGATGTCCTGTGTGGTGTAGTAGAATGATATTGGCCAGGTGAAAACTGGGCGAAGGCGCAATGGGATTCAATCCGATAGTAGAAAAAATCCAATTTTGAATGAGCAGGCCGTCGAGGCTCCTGAATGATCAGACGAGATTGTCTGTTGGGCCACGGGGAGATGAGGCTTAAGCAGGCACTTGTGGCGCTGACCCAAGGGAATGGACAACACAGTAGTATGTAAAAGGGTGGAACAATATCCGTATGCCAAAACGAGATCCTAGAGTTTTCCCGCTATGACTAGGCGTGGGCTCGTCCAACGCGTGACGTGGGCGTCTCTGGAATCTGAGTCTCGACTCTGCGTTCTAGGCCAACACAGACGGCATTAGAGCCGCATACTGAGCGATAGATGACAAATGACATGAAGTGAATCCATATGCGTGAACGCACAGCAAACGTGCCGTCGCACCCAACATATGAAAAAAGGTCGATCCGTCATTATTCCGTCAGTATGTTGTTCGAAAAGATTGGTTGCTCAGAACACGAGTCCGTACAGGCTATATCACCGTATCGTGCCGTCGGGGGCGTGTTCTGGGGGGTCTTGGGGGTTTTGAGTGCATCCAATCAGGGATGAGGCAGATAGGCTGCCCATACAGTGTGTTGCGACGCGGTCGCGAAATGCAAACTTTGAGCACAGTGTGCCGCCCTGGCGCGGGACTAGAGGGGAGGCGCTACAGATTGCAGGGGTAGTTCTCCGAGCCTAGTGCGTCATAAGATGGTAACTTACCAGGTCGCTCTGCTCCGGAGTTACGTACCTTTTCTTGAAGTGTCTCCGCTGCGTTCATGTTTACCTCGAGAAACCCGGACGCGAAGCACAGAGCAGAATCAGCACCAAACCAAGAGGCCTTGAACGGGAAACAGCCGTCATGTTTGAGCGAACCGGTGGGTCGTTAACGGTGCAGAGACTTCCTGCAGAAAATTTGGACACTGTCGCTAGACGGGTTTTGTCAAATTCGCAAACCATCGTCGATGGATCAAGACCAAGACAAGCCCGTCCGGTGACTGGAGACTGAGGAGGACCATTGAGCATTTGGGTTTGTCTACTGCCTGGCTATGCCATTCTTTGCCATACAAACCTTGAGATGCATCCCCGACCGTGCCGGGCGACTAGTCGCTGGCACCTTTGGTATCGTCGTGCTTGGCTGCCTATCCACACAGGTATCCCATTCGTCGGCAACTTAACGAGACACAATTACGTCATGTTCAGTGACGCCACCAATGCGATGAAAAGGGACGAAAAGTAACAGGACAGTGCGCCCCTATGTGTACTGACACGAGCAAAACAGTTGCCCTCGAGCATGCACTGGTGCCGTTTTCGAGAACTCTATCAATTATTCGTCCCAAACGAAAAACAGACCAAGTTGGTAAAACCATGACGTAATGTGTGTCTGAAAGAATATCTATATCGACTGTCGCGCGTTATTGACAGCAAAAGGTACGGTCGCTTCGGAGTCAATTGTACTGATTCTGGCTACCGTAATACCTTTTGCCTTCCCTACCGCAGAGTAATTTCGAGTTGCAGCGGGTCTGTTGAAAAAAAATCAGGGCGGAAAAGGGTGGGAAACGGTGTGAGAGAGCATCGCGTGGATGAGCCTCTGTGTCTGGGCTCTTTCCGAGGACTTGATGAACGTGGCCCGACCGGTGCTAGTGCTGTGACGCAATTTGTTGGAATTAGCAGTCGCCCATTTAGAGGGCGGGGACTCGATACCGGGCCTCCCTGACCAGATCCTTGTCATCGCGCCTCCCCATTGGAGGCCGAGGTCAGCAATTTGCCACTCTCACTGGCAGCCGCTCTGAGTTCTAGATGTTTACCAGCCATCCCTCGCTCCTGACAGCCGACTAGGTCAGATACATACAGATTATAAATCGGCGTGAATGCGGCTGCAATGATCCGCTTACCGTCCAGATGGAGCAACGCAGTCTGACACGGCCAGGTTTTGCGTATCCGTCTTGTCGAATGCAGTCGAGACGATAGAGTATTCCGTGTAGTCGGTAGCTGCGGTAGCTGCACACTGTCCAAGTCGAAGAGTCCAGATCGTGATGGGGAGGGGGGGTGTTCTTTGCTCGGAAAGAGCAATTGCCCATGCCGATCAGTTCACCGTAACGCTTTTTCGATGGCCAGATTCCTCCAGGCGACTGGCGGCCGCATCCTTAGACACCTGACAGGGCATATACGGTGCGAGTGGTTCGATGGCGTTGACTGGTCTAGACTCATGAGACAAGGCAGGGCGGTGCGGATTGCTGTATGAAGAAGACGATACACTGGGCTGTCTATCGCCGTCGTGGGCGAGACTGGGTAAATGTATGAGAGGAGGAGGGCGGCTCGGCAGGCAATATGAAGGGCCGGACAGTGGATTATCACGAGAGCTTTGGCAGCCGCCTCCACATTCGGACAGCGCAAGGGACAAGGGAAAAAAAAACCAAAAAAAAGGCTAATTGAGAGAGAAGCGAGCGGATTGCGATGATTGCGACTGGGAGGAAAGTGATGCAATCAATGCAGGGGTGTTGGACTTTGGAGTGGAGCCACTAGTGGAGATATATACCCACAGTATAAAACGTTGGATGCACACACTGGTTGGGTGTTGGATGTTGCATTACGGGGTGTACAGACCCCCTTGAACTTGCATTCCTAGCCATGCCTATACGTCGAAGCAGGGCGCGAACCGGCAAATGGCCCCGTAAATATACAGTGCGACACCACTTCCCGGTCAACATGCTCCTGCAAGTCAACGGTCAAGTTCACATCATACAGTGTGTCGGAACGCGATTTGACAGCAAGAACGATGGCACGGTGGAAGATGGTCCAGAAGCCCGAGACGCAAGGTGAATCACTGCCTTGCGATTTGCGTACCTCCAAGTATACATTGAAGCATTCGGCAGAGATTGGAAAAGAGGGAACCCTCGCTTAGGCTAGCTTCTGGCCGAGGCAATGCAACGGTGCTAAATTTTCTTTAGCTGATAAATCAAAAGATAGGGCACAGAGGCAAAAGGCAAAAGGCAAAAAAAGCATCTGCGAGATGTGGAGGGATGATCTAGTAGGGGAAGGAGTGGTGCGCGGCTTCGGCAGACGGTCTACCGTCCAAGCCGTCGTCGCTTGATACAGGAAAGACGGGATGGGACGGAGGTTTAGTGGATGGATTGTACCGAGTGAGGACATCTTGACTCTAGTGTCAACATCGGCATAGATAAGATGGAAAGAGATATGAAGGGAAAAGGGCAGTAGTAGAGGGCATGGAGACAGCGAGACAAACCGATCGAGTCACGGGGCAAGATGGACAGACAAGACATGTTGACCTGATTTCGATGACGGACCAAAAAACTGAGGACACGCCAAAAGTGGACGGAGTGCCAGAAAGCACCACTATCGAAAGGATTGTACGTTTCTAATTGGCAACTGGTTAGGCAGGTGTGGTGGAACCTTTCCTCATTCGTAGGCCGTCCACGGGTGTCCCAGGTCATCCAGCACACAGTGCGAGAAACAAAGACCCGCTTTTGACCCAGCGTTTCTCGCAGGACGGGGAAGCAGGAGCTACTTAGCAGGAAGGAACAACAAGACAAGACCAGCAGGCGCGCACAAAAAAAGTGAGCAGGAAGGTACGACCCAGGATGGGGGTGGATGGGGGGGCGTTGTTGGAAAAGGAAGGGTGGGCGTGGGCAAGGACATGGACCTGTGGACGTGGGCGTCCTGGTGTCAGAGTGTGCGCCGCCGCCCACCCATTTTCTTTTCTCTCGTGCGCCTTCGCCTTTTTTTAAAATCGTCCTCCGCAACGTCATACTTGACCTGTGACGTCTGCCGTTTTTTTCCCAACAACCTATTCTCGCAAACGACTCGTTCTGCACCCCCAACCTAGCACGCTCCCGCGGGTACGCATCGCATACGCAGTACTACTGACACTGAGGCCCAAACTACGCAATCTTTCAACTGTTGCCGGCCACAGAACTGTCGAACTTTCCCCCATTCCCATACACGTCGTCGTCGATCGTCGAAAGCTTCTCCATTCCTGCCTGTGCCGCTTCCAATTCAGAGGAGCGCTGCAATAGCGTAGCAGCTGCCTCTGACGATTAACCTTTCTCTCCCGTTCTGCTGTTGCTGTCCTCTTTCGCACGCATCGTCTCTCTCCAGCACCGCACGCCTTGGGATTTCTGTCTCCCTACTTCGCTTCCACCCTAACTCTCTTCTAAGCCTATCCTTCCTGCGTGCAACCGTCCTCTGACCTCATCTGGCTTTTTCAACCACCACCACACATCATTCTTCCCCCTGCCGCCGTCACTTTTTTTGCCATCGGCGCCCACCCCACAAACGTCAACAACCCTCTTTTCCCCAATATAATACATCATCGTCGTCATCATGGGGGCTTCACCGACCAACGCCTCGACCAGGGGTGACACCAAATCACCCAAACAATCAAACAATGCCACTCCGCCTCGTCAAGGTATGATGAACATCTCCGCAACATCATTTGTGATGTGATACTTGTCCACCAAAACATTGTTGTCGTTGCCTTGCATTCGCTCACCAATATCCAGATTCTCTGCCCGAAGTGAAGCAACCCGATCCGAGTCTGAAGCCTGATGCCGACGGCGCGAAACCTCTTGGACCTCCCCCTCGACCCGGACAAGCTACAGGAAATACTCCCGATTACTTCGGTGGCGCTGCCGCTGCATCTCTCAGTCTGGAGCCCAATCCTTTTGAACAGTCCTTCGGCGGCGGCGCGCCAGAGACGCCCGGTGGTACGAAATTGCCATCTGTTGCGGCTCTGACTTCCCCATCTTCTCTCCTTCCCGGCAGCGGCGCTACACCTTTCAACTGGGGAGGAGGTTCCTTGCGGACCGGCCCATTGAGTCCAGCGATGTTGTCCGGTCCTACAAGCGATTACTTTAGTGATACGCATCACCTTCGAGGCGGATTCCCGACCCCTAACGAGTCTTCGCTAAGGACAGGCTTGACTCCGGGTGGCAGTGGTTCCATGTTCCCTGCCCCTAGCCCCAATTCTCAACAGTTGTTTGCACAGCTTGCTAGTGGAGGTGCTACACCCAGCACTATTGATTTTCATCGTACGGCGTTGAGCGCTGCGGCAAAGCGTGAGAACCAGAATCAATCTCAATCCCAGAACCCCCAGCAGCAACCTTCAGTCACTTCCCAGCCTCAGGACATGCCTAACGGCGTCGCGGCTGTGAAGACAGAAGCTAAGCAGCCAGGTCCTTTTGATCCGCACGACAACGACGCGGCCAACGGTTTGTTTATGCTCGCCCAGGGTCGAAACGGCGCCCAACCCCAGGGATACCCGGCGACAACGCAACCTCAGTCTCGCGCACAGCCTGCACCTGCCCCCACGCAGGGGATCGACACCTCTCCACAGATGGCAAGTGTCAACGGTGCTGGCTCTGTCGGTGCTGGGTCTTCTGTCAGAGGTGTTAGTGAGGGTGGTAGCGCAGCGTCAGATGAAAGTGAACAGGCTCGACCCAACACAAGGGGTAAGGGCAAGCGCAACTCTACTGGAGGTGCCACTACAAACGGCCGGAGAAAGGCTGAGGACGCTCCGGCCAAGGCCCCCCCTAATAAGAAGGTTAAGACAAGCACGTCACCTGCGCCTGAGATGAACGGCGATGATAGCCATTCGGATGACGACGACGACATGAAGTTCAAGCATGAGGACAAGGACGGTAACTCCAAGTCAAAGATGACTGACGAGGAGAAGCGAAAGAACTTTTTGGAACGCAACAGGTAAACCCCATTAAATAGTTTCTGGTACGAACGGAGCTAACAAACGTTGCAGAGTTGCCGCATTGAAGTGTCGCCAACGCAAGAAGCAGTGGCTGGCTAATCTGCAATCCAAGGTTGAGTTGTTCAGTAGCGAGAACGATGCTCTCACCGCTCAGATCACTCAGTTGAGAGAGGAGGTTGTCAACCTCAAGACGCTCCTTCTTGCACACAAGGACTGCCCCGTCACACAGCAGCAAGGACTGCACGGCGCTTTTATGCAGCAAGCCATGGAGCCGTTCAACCCCCAAATGAACCCCTACGGCATGGCGGCGCCTATCCCTAACCAGCAGGTTCTTGCAGCTGGACAGGGCGTGCAACGACGCTTCTCATAGGATCCAAGTCTACACAGGATCCGTCTTTGATGGGAATAGGAGCAAAATCGGCTGCTCAACGAATATTTACAGCGCTGATTGTATCGACCTGCTTGCAGCTAGCGTCGAAACTAAAGTATATGCGCAACTTCTTCTATTCTGCCCAGCCTTGATTTGTGGTTCGACTGTATCATCATTTTTTCCGACAATCCTGCTCCAACATCACCACTTCGCTTCTACCATTCGATCATGGGGGGTTTGCTGAGGAATGGGCTGTACAATAATAGGGGCAGCCCTCCTTGGGCTGAAGGTGGGAGGCTAGCAGGCGTCATTGGCTTGTCGAAGTCGCATATTTCCTTCACTGAAAGGTATAGGATGCGAGACATATAACATCAAAAGGAGTTCCGGTTTGGCGAGTTCATTGAATGGCGGTAGGCGTCGAGGGGCAGATGACGGGCACACGCCGTTTTCTGTCGGACTGGTTGATTTTGAATTGGTTTTTTTCTTCTTCTGACGTAGCAATGGTAACAAGAGCTGCATGAACGGCAATGCCTTCAAATCAAGTAAAATTTCACCCTAATCGTGTGGATTTGTTATGACTATTCTGTACGATTTCATAAGCTTCCACCATCAAATGACTCTAGATACAATGTGACCACATGGTAGCATGAGAACAGTTGAAAATACGAACTTGAGAGCATGCAAGGCAGTGGACGTCGGTCGTTCAATTAGGGGTTAAGTGATGTCAGTGAGGCGGTCGTGGTCGGTGGTTGATGGGAACTTCCGAAAGCGGCTTAGCGCGGATACTCGGGTAAATCGTCCCTCATGTAAACAACATCCGTAGAGGAAGCTGCACCCCATTACATTCGCGCCGCAAACACCAGCCCAACCCACGCGACACAGACGACAACAACCCCACCAATCGATCCGTCTACACATCGGTCATCCACGAGATTTAAAATACCTCCATCAGACATCGCGTCTTTGGCGCCGATTGACGCGATTTTTGTCGTCTCGATAACGCGACCTTGATTGACTCCTGAGCGCCAGCAAATACGTCTCGACCATATGCTCTTTCAGACGCGCCATCCATGACGACCGTCATCCGAACCCGTCAACCGCTACAAGTAATTAGCATGAGCAACGAGCATCCCGAAAGAAGGAAAAGCAAGCGCCTTGCGGGTGAGTTGGAAGAGGGCACAGAAGCAAGACAGGTAAATGTGCTAAAAACTCGCGCAGCGACTTTTGACGAGCATGATGGCGACTTCCACTTCACGCGCGGGTCGAAAACAAAACGAGTTAAGAACGTGGAGAGCGACCCGGAACCCGAGCCCGTGCCACTGCCCCCGAAAAAGTCTGGGAGAGGCAGACCGCCAAAAGATCGTACTTCTGCGGCAGCACCGGCATCCGCACCAGCGCCAGAGCCAGCGGCCAAGAAAGCAGCAAACTCATCAAAACCAAAGCCAAGAACGCGACGAACAGCGAGCTTAGAGGCCACGAATGATGATGAGCCGCAATTGGTTGCCCCCGCGCCCAAGCGGACGACGCGCCGAAGTACGCGCAATTCGATAAACTCGACAGAAAAAACTGTGAACGAGAAACCAGTGCCCAGGCGAGCGTCCAGACCAGCACCGGTCCCGGAAGAGATACGTGAGGAAGCAGAAAGCTCAGAGCCCATGGACGTCGAAAGGCAATCAACCCCGCGCGTCGCAAATGATTCAGTTGAATCTGCGAAAATCGCGCTTCCCGTCAGCGACACACCGGTGATTAATCGCAACAAGGAGATGCGGAAAAAAGGAGGAGGCAACCGAAGGAGTAGTACGGGCATGCGAGGCCGGAGAGCAAGTTCACTGATTGAGAGCGGTCACAATGCGATTCCTCACCGGGAGGTTGAGACATCTGAGTTTTACAAACACATCGAATCTGAGGGTCTCATGGAGCCACGGCGGATGAAGCAGCTGTTGACGTGGTGCGGCGAGCGAGCGTTATCCGAGAAGCCCCCTCACGGCAAAACAGATTCCAACACGGTCTTAGGTGGTAAGTTTGAGCAATGGCCTGATGTGAATGTGTATCACTAAGATTCAATAGCGCGGTATATACAAGAACAGCTTTTAAAGGACTTCTCGACCAAGTCAGAGTTTTCAGACTGGTTCAGTCGAGAAGAGGGGCCAAAGGTACCAGTGGTGTACAAGCCCAACCCACGCAATATTGAGCATCAGCAGAAGATTGAACAGCTAGAGGAAAAAGTCAAAAGGTATACTTGCATTCTTCAAAGAGTTTTTGTAAGCATTTACTGACTTGGCGTAGATTGAAAGAAGAAAAGAAAAAGTGGTTGGCGCTGAAGAAGTCCCGCACGGAAGCCCCGCCAATATTTCCAGAAGCAGAATCAGCGCAAACAGCAATGGCTGATGCATCCGTGCTCGAACCCAACGAAGCGCAGATGCTCAGTTGGCTTACGGACCCGGCCTCATCATTCGACTCCATGCGCGCCAAGGCCCTCTCGCGCCTCCAGAATACCCAGTCGACGCTGGAGTTTAGAGTGGACCAACTCGCGGACGGCATACATAAGCTGTTGCAGCGGGTCGACATTGCGGGTCGAGAGGCGGACAAGGTGCTCTCTCTGAGTGCCGCCCGGCTGAAAGAACGAGAAATGCGAGAGAAGGCCAGTGCCGGTACCAAGGAAATGCCTGTCATGGAGGTACTCCGCAGTCTGGGAAGAATACTACCGGAAGACGGCGGCTGAAAAGAAATATAATGTAAACACGATCGACCAAGTTATTATTTTTTTTTGGCGTGTCCTCGACCTCTTTCTCTTTTTACGAGATAATGATTAGTACGAAGGGCTGTGTGGCCGGAGTAAAGGGACCGTCCTGTCCCTCTTTTTTGTTGTTTTATTTATTCACGAAACTTCTCAGGGCGGCTAGATTTGGCAGATGGATTACTTCCGATGTGTCCCGCTTATTGATGCATGGATGGGCGCTGGATGGAAAGGCCTCTTGGCAACGGAAGGATATTAACAAAGGGAGGAGAGGAGAAGAGAGATATTGCATCTGGACAAGGAGTTTGCAGTTAAACAATACCCTATTTTTCTCTGCTGTTGGCTTCTGAGCTCAGCATACTTACTTTGCCTTACTCACCCATATGTGACTGTTGAGTACCTCAGCCGGGATGCTTTCAACATGATTTATATGGCCGGCCCATGAGAAGGGAGAAGAACAGAATAATGTGAAGTGAGTTGGACATCATAAATGTATTACCCAGTACTCCGAGTCTTTTCACATGACATTGCCCATCAGGATTGGATTCACATTTCGTCCAAAACCCCCCCCACCTTCGTCGACCTACTTTGCAGCTGTTCTTTCGCTGTCATATTACAGGATATTGTACAATCGCGTCCTTGCGTTCGGGGCCGCGCAGGGATAGCCTCCGATGAAGCCGGGCTACCTATGCCAGTTACTTCCCCTGCTCCCGCATGGAGTGGAAGCGTACTGATGGGAGCTAGAATAGAAGTCCCCATGCTATCTGTCTCTCTCATAAGATGCTCTTCAGTTCTTTTTTTTCCCCCGACAAAATATGATACAACTTGTACATCTATAACACATCTCTCACCCCCTACTTCAGCTTCCTTTTCTAATACGTGGAACTTGAGGATCTTGTCCAAACTCATTTCTTGCCGGCCCTGTCGACGTCAAACAGAGGCGGCATGAAACCCAGGCCGCCCTCCTTACGCTCTTGAACATCGCGATGGACGCCCACGGTTCCGTCGGCGCGGCGGCTACGCACGTGCTTCCTCAGCATGTCCAGGATCTCCGTGTTCTGCCAGCGCACGGGGACGGGTCTGTATGCGGCCTTGAAGGTGCCGATGGTGTTGGACCACTCGCCGGCGCGCGGGGGCTGCGTGCGGAGGTCCTCGCGCTTCTTGCCGGCATCGACGGTCGCCGTCGCGCCGGGGTCAATGCCCCGGTAGGACTCCGCGGCCTCGGCTGTTGAGGAAGAAAGACTCTCAGAGTGGCCGGCGGTGGTGGCCGAGTTGGAGGGCGCCTCCTCCTGTGTTGCCCAGTAGTAAATGTCCCAGTCGTTCTCGTCGAGGAAGAGGTCGTACTGCTGCATCTGGGCCTTGGTCATGACGGGGAGGTTCTCGTTGGCAAAGGTCGAGAGGAGGAGGTCGGATTCGAGAGTGCCGCGCTTGCGAGACTGGTCTGTTTCCCGAATCTCACGTTAGTTTTGCTGCTCTGGCAAGGGAGGGACCGGGGGAGAAGTCTTACAGAGCAGACGGGCGCGCATGGTTCGCTCGTCCTCGCCTGTACGCCTGAGAGGCTCGACGCGGAACTTGATTCCCTCGAGCTCGCCGACGCCCAGCTCCTTGTTGACGGCCTTCTCGCTGTATACGGGCGTCGTCTTCTTGTCGGCGAAGGTTCTGCGGGTGGCGAGGGGAGCTCTGGCGACGGGCGAGGAACCCAAACGGCGTGCTGCCGGACGGACGATGCGGGTTAGATGCGACATTCTGCTCTCTTTACTCTTTTTTTTTTTTCTTCTTCTTCTCTTCCTTGTTCTCTTCGATCTGGTGTTATGATTCTCACAACGTGTGTGAAATATCAAATTGGACGGTCCTTTCTCGATAGAGAATAGACTGGGGTTCGAGTGGTATCGCTGTAGAAGAGAGGCGTCTTGGGTGTGTAATGGTCTCGACAGGATTGGACCCTTGCGGGGAGCTAGAATATCTTCCCTTCGTGGTCGGAAAGGCGAATTCTTGATACTGTGTAAATGACACTGTACGTAGCCCTCAGCACTGTGCACTGGCCAACACAGCAGCGACGACCTGAACAGTTACTAAAGTATTTGACAATTTGAATAGAGTCACTAGATTTATTTGACCGTATGCCGTTTCATCGTGCTTCTTTTCTGGAATGAAAGCAGTAATTACAAGATGCTACAGCAAGTTGCACTATACGCAAGGCCGTGCGAAATCTGGTCTCGCGTGATATTTATGAATAATCATTGACGTAGACGAACCGTCAAAACTAACAATTACACTACCGAGGTCCGACGTCAAAGCAGACGACTCGTCTGGACCTAAGTTCATGCCCCCCGAGGTGGAGACCGTGTCGGGTTGGGCCGGACGGGGAATCGGGGGCCGGCAGCCGGTCCGGATTGACACATGTGCTCCAGGACCGGACCCTGAGCGACTTGCACGGACTTTTTCCAATAAATAACTATTTGTTGGCCAATTGGCACAGCCTGAGATATCACAACATACACTGCAGTAAAGTCATATCATACGGTGTGCAAGCTTGAACGCTGATCTAGGTATGTGATGTCCGTAATCATTCATGACTTTTGAAACGGTGACCGTGGTATGTATGTATACACTACAACACGCTCGAAAACCCCGAGGTGGTAGATGCCTTTCCGTGGCATCGCAGAGACTTCATAATCACCATCCGCGCCAAAAAAAAAAAAACAGATTTTTGTTCTGTAAACTCGTGATTTGTTGCAACTCAATGGCTTGCATGCGACTCCAATACCGTTAAATCTAGATAAGATGCTTGGATCTGTAGTTTCACTCGTCAGCGTACCGATACCGCCATCATTTGCAAGAACGGTGACGAACCTGAAGTAAGCCCGCAGGTACATGATTTGCCAGCCCCAAAGACCGACGAGGATCATGGTGGTGCCGATACCGAACCACTTGACACGGGTGTTGGTGCTCTCGTTGGTGTCGCGCAGCTTGTGCTCACGCGCGCGCAGGTAGTCCATCTCGGTGTTGATCTCAGAAACAAGCTCCTCGATGCGTCTAAGCTCAGCCTCGACAGGCTTCAGCTTCTCCGTTGCCTGAATGGCGTTCCAGTCCTTGGCGTCCGCGCCGATGTCGATATCGAGCTCAATGTGGCGGCTCGTGGAGCCACTACGGCTGGCTAATGAGGCGAGAAACGTGTTAGCTTCAGCTGTCTTGTTAAGGTATTGCGGAATGTCGCTACAGCGACAAGACGCTAGCTTCGCTCAAGAAAAAGGGTATCTCGTAACAAGGAGGGGCCACGTACAACCGGACAGGATGTTCTCAAAGCAGACATCAAAGGCAGCGTCGGCGTGAGAGGTGAAGACGACACGCTTCTCACCACCAGCAATATCCCTGGGCTTTCCGTAGTCGTTGCCAACGGCATCTCTGATCTGGACAAACAATTCATGTCAGCTTCCTCCAGTTCCAGTACTGCCTCCTCCTCCGAGCTCTTCAAGGTCGTCCAGGGGGTTTCGAAAACCACGTACGTGCATGTTGACGACCATGCCGTCACCCTTGTGACCGTCCACGGTGGCCGTGACAACAACCAGCGTATCCTTGGCAACAAAGTTGCGGATGCAGCGCTCCTTCTTGCCCTCGTGGGTGCTAGTAGCGTGGAGATCGAACCTCAGCGCCTGGGCGCAGCAGGCGAGGAGGACGAGGCCGCATACATAGTGCAGCAATGATCTCGTGGGCGCCATCTTTTCGAAAAACCTATGAGAATCCCGTGCTTTGCTCGATCGGTCGCTCGCTTTCGGTCGGCCGGGGGTGGTGAAATTGGTGGAGGGGAACGGACGAGCGTTGAATTGTTAAGATGGTGAGAGCTCCCTAGTGGACAGCGCTGGCGATAGGAGAAGCTAGGCCACACACACCCCAAGGAACCACCTTTGGGGATTTTTTGGCAATCTGTCGCGTTCGAAAGCCTGGGCCACTCAATGACCCTGTCCATGGGATAGGTTATTATTGTGACCAATGAGAGTGAGGAAGGAGGGGCAGCCTTGCTACCTTAGTTCTCACGTGCTATTGGCCAGCCTCGCACCCTTTTTTTCACAGCAAAGTGTGGCGCTAGCGCGGGTGGGCGGCGCGCCGCCGCCGCATTTGCCTGGGCATCCTTTCTCTAGCTAACCAGCGATTGCGACGACACACGCGCTCGTTCGAGAGACAATAGTTTTGTTCTTTCAGCATCACCGTTGTCGAGTCACGTCACTCATTTCAAGAAATAACCGCGAAGATGCCCAAGTGTAAGTCTCTCCTCCCCTTCAATTGCCCGAGATAGAAGCTAACAGGTTCTCAAGTCTTTTGTAGGTCCCTCCCCCAACCATTCTCGCGATTACCGAAGCTTCGTCGACTAATGATACCTAGGCGACTATTGCGATGTCTACCTGACGCACGATTCCATGAGCGTGCGGAAGGCCCACAACAGCGGTCGTAACCATTTGCGCAACGTTGTCGACTACTATCAACGTACGTCCCTGGTTTTCGCTTGGCGAAGGCACCGACTAACATAAGCTCCCCCTTCGCAGAAATCGGTCACGAAAAGGCCCAGTCTGTCATCGATTCCATCACCTCCTCCTATGCCGCCGAAGGCCAAGCGCACAACAACCCCATGCTGCCCCAGAACCAACCGGGCCAGGCCTTCCCGCCGCCGTTCCCCTTCCCTGGAGGTACGTTCGTCTCGTCGGGTCTCGACTCCGATATCACATCGAGTGCCCGTGCCCCCCCCCCCCCCCCCCCCCCCCCCATACACGTTATGTAGAGCTGTAATGCTGACGCAAACCCAAACAGGTGTACCACCTCCCTTTCCCGGCATGCCCGCAGGCGCGCCCCCTTTCCCTCAAGGCATGATTCCTCGTAAGTCCCGTCGATCTCATGCTCGTCGTCGCCCGCACAACTAACATGACCGCAACAGCTCCTGGTCCAGGTGGTCGCGGAATGCCATCCATGCCCCCCTTTCCTCCCGGTCCCAACGGCTCGCCCATGCCGCCCGGTGGCCTGCCTTTCCCCCCTCCAGGAGGTCTCCCCTTCCCACCTCCCGGAGCGCCAGGCTCCCTTCCCCCGCCCAACTTCCAGTTCCCCGGCATGCCACCGCCGGGCCCTGGCGGCTTCCCCCCTGGAGCGCCGCCTCCCGGTGCGTTCCCACCTGGTAGCGCACCTCCGGGGCAAGAGCAGCGGTAATTGGATGGGTACCATCTCCTCGCGGATGGGTTTGGGTGTTCTTGTAATGGTAGAGGCTGGTGTTCAGGCGTCAAATTTCAAGGGGGCAAAATTCAGGGCATGGCACGGTAGATGAAAGATTCATACCAAATCACATCAGATTCTCACTGCAGTACGCTTGTAAAAAATTGTACATGAGCGCCCAAAAGGGTACGTCGCCCTCGCAAAATGGTATCTTCTTGGCCAATCTCTATGTGATACAACGAAAAAGTAGTTCCAGCGTTCTCGTAACAAATCATGCGTGCCTTGGGGCCCCCAAAAACGAATTCCCAGCCAGGTGATCATCATGGTCATTGCGAGGTCCCGCAGACAACTCCATTCCAAAACCGTGATCCGAGGTCCGTGAAGAGGATGGTCTTTGGTCATAAAATTCCTGTCGTCATAATATAATCGTTCATAGCGGTCATAAACTCCTTCTGTGCCCCCCCAGCGCCTGTCTGACGCTCTCATAGTATTATTACGTGTGTAGCTGCTGAGTGTAAAACTCTTAGCGGCTAAGATTGTTTATTCGGTCAATCAAAAGTTGGTCGCGGGCGAATGTCTTTGGGCTTCACGATAGGTGTTGCGTCGAATGACGTCCCCCACACCGTCTCTGACTTCGCGTGGGCCACTGATCTTTTGTCGCAGCTCTTGAGTCCTCTTCTCTCGCTTGCGCTCATTAAGTTGCCGTGGGATGTTTTGCAACCCTTCCAACGTGCCTGAGATCGAGAAACGCCTTCTCCTCTTCGGTCCTGCTTCATCCTTGAGCCAGCTCCGTTCCTCACCATCCCCACCCATGTATGGCCGTGAGGAATATGACTGGTCACGAAGTGAGTCTAGGCTGCCTCTGCGTCTCATAACACGTAAGTTGCCACTGTCGGTTCGTCTAATAGTGCGTCGCTCCGGTTCATTCGATGCTGGTGAAGAATCAAAGTCTCCATCGCCACGACTGGGAAGAATTGCAAAAGTCTTCTTCACACGTTCGCTGATTCTTCTTCGTGGAAGCGACGGGCGGTTGTCCACGGGCGGGTAGCGATAAACCTGACTGATAGGTTCGTCTTCCATCTCTCTCCCCCACACGTCCTCTTCCGGGTCTGAGAAGGCTGGGCGCCAGTGAGGGTGAAGACGGTCACCCTCGGGAGGACATTCTTGACACTCAGGGCACAAGCATGGTGCTTCCATGAAAGACCGGTCTTTGCTTGATGATCTGGAAAGTGAACCTCTCCGTGTCAAGGACAAGGTTCTCTTAATCAGCCCTGGCCGAGTGCTCTTTGGTGGATAAGCCTCCGAATTCCGTCGCCGTAACAATGCCCGCCGCAAAATGGAGCCACTTCGTTGAGGTTGTTCATCTGCCATAGCCTCGAAGTAATTGCCCATATTGCGCTGTCTCTCATGGTGAGGCGTCAATCCGGATGGTGTTGCAGGAATAAACTGAATAGCGGGAGGGATGACGGGAGGTACCGGTGGTGCGGCCCGGGGGTTGCGCAACGGGGAATCAACGTCGTCCATAGAATGCTGTCCCTGAGGGGGCGTCATAGGCCCTTCCCCGTCTGGCCCGGTGGTAGTAATCGTCGGTCGCTGGGGCGTTTTCGAAAAGTCTCCCTCCGTCTGAGACGCTTCAGAGCTTTCTGAGGGCTTATTTGAGTGGTTTACAACAAGCACAGATGAATTCTGGTGAGGATAAAGGCTGACGGCCTTCGCTTCCGATACCTCAGGGGCGGTCCCATTAGTCTCCACGGAAGCTGCAGAAAAAGGCGTATTGTGTGCGTCCAGTCGCTTCCCGAAAAACGGGTCACCATGATTGTCAACATTGAGTTTGTGGTCCCGATGATGATGGCCGTTGTCTGTCTCTGAGGACGTAGCCCTTTGAAGGGTCAGGGCGGGTGCTGTTGTTTCATGTCTAGATGCTTGATTGAACAAAGCGCTCTGAGCCTTTAAACTCTCCGCAGTAAGGGAGCCTGCGCGGGATGTATTGCGACTGGTTGGCGCCGACAGGGAAGAAGAACGCTTAGGAATGACTGGAGGATAGTCTATCGTGCGTTGGTCCGAACCATCAGATTCTGACATGGTGCGACTCCTCCGGCCCGGCCGGTCAAAGATGGGCGTTGGTAAATCATGTGTCGTTCTTGTCCCATTTGCACGAGTTGCTGAGCCCAAGCTGGCACTTCGTTTGGATCGGCGACTGCTTGTGGATCTGAGTGAAGGCTCCCTGCTCGACTTGGACTTGACAGATGATCGGCGATCCGGGACGACGATCACAGGGATACCGCCATTCTTCCAAATTTCTCTCCTTGCTTTGCCGCTTGAGATCGAGTTGAAAGTCGTGTTTGATGCGTAGCTGTTGTTGCGGTTCTCCGTGGGGCGAGTCAACGGTCTGGAACGCCTCGGAGACTCCTCAAAATGCAATGCCGAGTTTGCGGCAGAGCTGGAGGGAGACTGGTCGGATCCCGAATCTCTTAAGCCCACTTGCTTTCGGACGTGCCTCAATGTTTGCCGCCTCTGAGGGATGGAAGGGGCGTCTACCAAAATAGCTTCCACCACTGTCGATGCATTCGATTTTGTTGACTTTGTAGACATGCCCGAGAGCCTGCGAGCGTCCACGTTGACAGAAGATCCTGAGGCTGAGGGTTTCGACCAAGCAATTTCACTCGGGGCATAAAACGCAGCTCTGTCACGGTGAGACATAGCTCGCACCGCCTTTGCGGCGTTTGTCGGGGTTACGACACGATCCTCGAGAATTTCAACTTTGCGCCTTTCGCGGGGTGGCCCGCGACGTGGCTCGCGCATGGGTTCCTTCATCGGCTGGTGGCGCCTTTTCCTTACTGTAACGTTCCTACCCAGATTATCGTCCCATTCTTGTTCCACATCACTATTAGAAGCCCATTCTCCATCAAAAGTGCCAAAGTCGCCCTTCGCTTTCGGTGTCGGAACCTCCTCCTGTTGAGGCGATTCTAGACCCAAGCCAAGGCCAACTGCGGTTGATGTTTTCGCCTGAGCCTGAGGTTGGGAAACACGACGGACGGTATTTTGAGAAGTTCGCGTAGACAACGCTCTCGGTCCAACAGTTGATTGCACATCGTCCTCTGAGGAATATGGGTCCTCTCTGGCAGTCCTGAACGACTCGGTTCGCGACTCGACAGTGGTGGCTTTCGAAACTGTACGATCAATTTGGATCGGCCGCACCGGCTTGGGTCGTGTTACAGGCTGTGGAGGTGTTACGTCCGGAGTTGGTGGGCTTTTCTGGTTCGTAGGAGTGGCGGGGGTACGCGCCGGTGTCGAGGGAGTTTGCGACACAGCCTCATCGGGAGTCGGGGTCAGAGGCGATATTGAGTGACTGCTGGAGGAGGTTCGTGAGTGGGAAGGCGGTGTTGGAGGAAGATCCGGACCGCTGGCTATCGATCTTGGCTGGTGTCTCAAGGTTTGGGAACCGGAGCGCTGCGGTGCTTCTCGCTGCGTTGCAGGGCTGCCGGTGGCCAGGTCATAATTTCTAGGAGCTGGCCGGATGTTGTGAGTTTGCGCATTTTCGACCCTTTGCCTATTGGGGTGTGGGAGCACTTTGTGCTTTTTGAATAAGCGCTGGCCTGCTGGGCTGCCCTCGGGCGGGTTGAATGCGTAGGTCGCTGTTCGCGCCGGCATAGTGCGCGAGAGCTCCAGGCTCGCAGCTGCAGTCATTTTATGGAGATCCTTTCGAAAGATGGCCTAGGGGCTGGCGATGCATGCCAAATGCATACATATAAACCTATCCCAGGTTATAATGTAGTGCGAGGCTGTGAGTAGACAAAGACCGTTTGCATACTGGGTAGAGTGAGGGTCATGGATGAGGTCGAGTTTGGGGTGCGTAAGAGAAGTGGCGGGAGGCGAGCAGCTCAATAAACAGCGACAACCACCGAGTAAAGTACGCAAGGTGTAGTGGAGAGAAATACCGAAGTGAGGCGAAAGAGTCTCAAGGGTACGTATGAGACATTGAAACGGAACGACACTGTTGGCGAATGGCGTCAGGGTTCAGTACCGCAACCCGGGTACAAGTCGCAGCGGTGACTGACGACAAGCGAAAGGATGAGACGGTATACAAGCCCCCCAAGAATAGGGCGGATTGCAGTAGGCACAGCTGTGGTGGATGAAGATGCAGAAAGGGCGAGCGTTTGAGGAGAATGAAAGGTGGTCTCAGTATGCCGGTCACGATGTAGGTCTGGGCTGTGAGAGGGCAAGGACCTGGTCGGGGGAGGATGAAGATGAGCGATGCGATTCGATGGGGTTGAGCTCGCACAGACCGACGTAGGGAGACGAGACGGGACGAAAGGTGAGATTAAAGCTGAAGACCAGCAGGTCTAGCGACGGCATTAAGAAAGGAGGAAAAACAATAGCAAACCAGAACTCCTGCGTTGCGAACGGACGCTGTGGCTAGTTTTGGTGCAGTAGACGGCTTCAAAAGGTTGAGACGATGGAGACGGATGACGGTTGAGAGGGAAGGACGGGAAGGATGATTGGCAGGGCGGGAAAGGGTCTGGCGCAAAAAAAGAACTGGCAGAAGATGCGCCTGGGTAAAAGGGACAAGGGAAGGCAAAAGGCAAGAACGTGGCAGAGGTAGGGAACCAAGCTGATGATAGGTGGGAGGGATGAGGGGCGCTCCGGTAGTAGGTACAGAGCACATCCAAGCCAGTGGGAAAATACGACAAGGTGAGGTCAGGCACAGCTACGTAAGGTATACATGCCTACCTATCCTTATATCTCTCTTCCCTACCTTCCTACCTCGATCTCTGCGTGGGAACGTGGGGCTGCTTCCCAGCTTGGCGTCGCACGCCAAAAGGCCTGACACCACTGACGAATAGTGAATGACCATGACCTGCTGAGCATCTTTAGTCTGAGAATCCCCTAGTCTGGGTCAAGATGTGAGACTACCTAGACAGTTATGGACTCGAAGGCCAAGAGCAAAGGGGAAGATAATACAAATCAAAATAAATCCGAAGGGGAAAAAAGGAACGTAAAAGGAAGCAAGCCAAAAAACGAAAAAACGAAAAAAGCAGGTGGCAGGGAAGGGCATCATAGGGCCTCTCCACACTTCCCATTGCCTTTCAGGTCAGGTCCCCCTCCCAGACGTTCCATTATCCTACGACTATAGATAGTGTATGTACACCTACTTGCACAGATTTTTTTTTCCTTCAAAATTTTCAGTTACCCCCCTGATTTCCTGCTCCTTCTACTGTGAAGGTAAAATTCGTCCTGTGGTACGCAATTCTTGCAGGGAAGATACGTGTTGCCAGCAGCAGTAGCTCCGCCAGGGGAGACCAAATGAGGAACTCCAACACCACCTCGACTACGGCGTGGCGCACTGCGTTCGCTGAAGGAGGCCGGGCAAAGCGGGGCAATCGCTTTTCATCCACCAGCAGCTCCGAGTCACGACAGGTTCTCATAGGCTGGACCTGTTAGTGGTTGCATCGCGCTGCAGCCGTAGTTTCCTTCATCTGCAAAGTGGTGCCAACTTTTCCGCTTCTAAGAAATAGAAGGCCCGGCTTCTTTTCTCTCCCACGTCTTTTTACTGTTCACCCCTTCTTTCTCGGTGCTTTGCTTGCTCACCTTACCTGCCTCCGACTGGTTCGGAGGCCGGACGGTCACCTGACCGCTGTGTTTCTCATCCCCACTCACCATGCCTGCCCTTCTCCGACCGGCCCAGCCACACGCGCCTGCCCTGAGCTATCGGTAGACATTTTGCCTTGGGTGTTGCCTGCCGCTGATGGAGGTGGAGGAATGGGCAAGTACATAGATCCTGTCGATGCCGAAATATGTACCAGGGAATGAAGGGTCTAAATGCTCTTGCATAGCATTGCTTTGGCTTGTTTGCTGCCCTTTCAAGTTCAGCGCGGCTCCTCTGTTCGAGACCTGGCACCGTTGTGGAGTTTCTGACATTTACTCTCAATCCCCCTGGCGGCAGAAGATTGGTAAATCCAGCTGACGGTGTCCACGTATCTGTCGCCTGTCTGTGATATCCATCCCGTAAATGCGCCTGACGGCTTCATGCCCGCAGGGCTCCATGAGGTCGCTTCCATCCGAGACAAATCACAATTGCTGAACAGCTCATAGCAGTCGGCGCCCATTCTCAGACCTGCATCCTCTACAGGCCTGGAGCAATCAGAGTCCTCCTCTGGCTTGCTGCATGAAACGACCTACAGATTCAGAAACCGAGCCACTGCAGTGCCAGTCGATGCACAGTGACAATGGAGGCAAGGCGGGATCTGCTGGTCAACACGGCCAGACCGCGTCGGCATCCGGAATCCGTTCCGGTAACCAGCAAAAGGCGAGTTCTATTCCTTGACCAAGCGCCGACTCAGTCAATGATCAAGACTGCTCCAAGGTTTGTGTTCAAGGTTTCGTTCCCTTGCAGGATGTGAGTTTTCTTGAGTCGCTCTCTCTCATCAGCCCATGCCAACAGTTTGCTTTTGCACTTTTTCTTTGTATTAGCTCAGCAGCCCAATACCTCTGGTTTCAGCCGTGATAGACTCCGTTGCTATCCACACCAGCGGAGCGGAGCACTCGCCGGCCCGGGCGCCCAGTTCCCCGACAAACTCGGCCACCTCGGTCCGTAGCATTGGGAAAGTTTCCTTTTCTGTTGAGCAACCTGTCCGTATGTCCGTACGGTTTCACAGGCAAATATTTCCAGTGAGTCGTTTACGCCAAGGCTACTCTCACGTGCCAAGTTACGATGGACTGCTGAACGAAAAGAGCGTGATTTTGGACATAGCATGGAATGCTGGTCCGTGGTTGTTGAAAGTGCGAAACATTCGTAAAAAGAAGAGCTGCGTATGAGGCGTTAGGTTACTGATCATAACCTAGGGAGCTGCCGTCTTATCTATGCTCCAGTATCAAAAAATTCTAACACCAAAACATTCGCCTCCTTTATCATGGCTAGCTGCTTTGCAAACCAGACAGCTTAGGCTGCTCCGAAGTGACGGTTGCTCCCCGTTTCCCTATTTGGGTAAGCGTTCAACACAGCTTGCATGTGCTAGCGCGACGAGACGTCCTTTATCTTATCAGCCCCACGCGGGCTTCACCCCACGTCATCGAGGAGGACGTTGTTTGAGGAGCTTCGACAATGCATCTCCCTCAATAGACACACTAAACAATCGATTGTTTGCACATTCAACGACTCATTGACAACTTGAAACCACCTTCATTGGCTACCCCATGCATGTCTCTACCGGTCGAACGGGCGCTCCCCCGCGAAGCTAAGATTGTGCTGTAACAGCTCTCCATGGCTCTCCAAAACGGAGCTGCCGACCCTGCAGAACATGCATCTCTGCACCCCATTCCGGCTTATCTCTATCATAGTTTGCATCATAACATCGACAGGACTCCAAAATAACCCCGCCTTACTCATGCCGTCTAGATCGTCCAGGGGAGCCTGTTCTTCGCAGCATGAACCTCGCCGACGGCTCGTCTTGTGGACGCAACCCTAGCATAAGCTCAATTGAATGTCAAACCTTGGATCTCCGTCCGGACTGCAGAACTGGCTCAGAAAGCCCAATCGGAACCTTGAACCAAGAATCTGTGCTGATCTTGCCAGCATCATAATGCTTTAGAGGTTGAGACCTTTATCTCTGCCCCGCATTTCACTGGCAACTCTATGAAGGGTCTGGCCTTTACCTAACATGAACACGTCAATACTCGTGCATGTAGATGCGTTTGAAGTTTCCATTGACCAGTACCGTCCCGGCAATCTTCCCGATGTCGCTAATTCGTGGCTGATAAGCGTCGAGTAACGTCCTGGTCCATGTCCAACGCTGTAATCAATTCCCATGCGGAGTTGGAAAGTCGGCCAATCCTTCGTAAAGTCTATGAGGTCTTTCAAGACCAGGGATTCTTATTTTAAAAGCAACGTCTTCCTCCCTCCAGAGAAGAGAGATAGAGAGACATTAAATCCTCAACAGCCAACTTCATACAGACTCTTTCTTCATCAAAGTGTCGGCACAATGGTATCTCGGAGTATCCTCGCCCTCTGCCTTGCGGCAACCGTTTATGGTCATGGTGACCACGACGACCACCAAAAGTCCATGTCTGGGCCTCACCAGTCTCTCTGGTACAACACCCTTCCGGGTGATGGAGGCACTCAGGTTCGTATGGCGTGAGGCTTGTCTGGATATGTCTCTAATAGGCTCCAGGCCGACTCCGTGTTCTCTGGCATCTCTACATTCGGTCGTCTACCGTACCAGCCGTGCCTGGCACAACAGAATGTTCAATACGATATTGCCTTCATTGGTGAGCATCTTCAAAAAGAAATGAAAAAATAATCTGGCTCGGACTACAGCTGACCTGGTATAAGGTGCCCCCTTCGACACCGGCACGTCGTACCGCCCTGGTGCCCGTTTCGGACCCTCGGGTATCCGCCAGGGTTCGCGCCGTTTGAATCTCTAGTGAGTCTTGATTTGATTTCTATCTCTCAATTGGAATTCACTAACGGATATTTAGCGGAGGTTACAACGTGCCCTTGGCCACGAACCCTTTCAACAGCTGGGCTACCGTCCTTGACTGCGGTGACATCCCGGTGACTTCGTAAGACTTCTTTATCGGATCTCTTACTACTATCGCTAAACTCCAATAGCTACGACAACACCTGGGCTCTCCACCAAATTGAGGAGGGCCACTTCAACATCCTGTCCCGCAAGCCGCAGACGGACGCACACAAGAAGGGCCCTGCGAAGAACGAACGGACCCTCCCCCGTGTCATCACTTTGGGTGGCGACCACACCATCACCCTTCCCCTGCTGAGATCCATCAACCGCGCATACGGCCCCGTTTCTGTCATCCATTTCGACAGCCATCTCGATACCTGTGAGTTGCTTCAACCAAGGTAATCGAACCTCATTACTGACAGGCACTAGGGCGGCCCAAGGTCTTCGGCGGCTCGCCTTCTGAGGTCGCCAGCATAAACCACGGCACATACTTCTACCACGCCGCCCAGGAGGGTCTGCTGCGTAACGACTCCAACATCCACGCCGGTATCCGCACCACACTCAGCGGACCCAGCGACTACGAAAACGACGGCTACTGCGGCTTTGAAATTGTCGAGGCGCGCGAGATTGACAAGATTGGCACCGACGGCATTATCGAGAGAATTATCAAGCGTGTCGGCACCAAGAACCCCGTGTACCTGTCTCTGGACATTGACACCCTCGACCCTGCTTGTAAGTTTGGGTGAAGTTTATGTTTTGTGGCGTAGGTCAACTAACGGTACCGTAGTCGCCCCCGCTACCGGTACCCCTGAGACTGGTGGCTGGTCCACGCGTGAGCTCCGCACTATCCTTCGTGGTCTCGAGAGCCTTAACCTTATTGCTGCCGACATTGTCGAGGTTGCTGTGAGTCCACAACCTTACAGGTTTCCATGCTATGGGTACATCGGCTAACAAAGTGGAAAACAGCCTGCCTACGACACGAATGCCGAGCACACCACCATGGCCGCCGCCGACGCTCTGTATGAGATCATGAGCATCATGGTCAAGCGAGGCCCCCTGAGCGCCACCTACAACGGAACCGAGTCTACCTCGGATGAGTTGTAAGCACGGGACTACTTGCCTGGGCCAACAATGGAACGAAACTTTCAAGATATGGTGGCATTTCCTTTTTGCAAGGTTATGACGGAGGAAAGAAGTAGTTGCAGCAAAAGGTGTCGCTCAAAGAGCCGTGTTCTAGGCAGCTTTTCTTGGCGGTGAGGTAAGTGATTTTTCTGCATTTGGCGTTGTTATGACAGATGAGGCTGAGTGGTCGGGGCGTTGCTATTGGGATGGTGGTTGTGGGTGTCACAATTGAGAGAAGTAATTCCAAGACAAAATTGAAACGAAACAAAACTTGCCACAAAAGAAAAGCAATTTGGTTTTCTTTTCTTTATTCAATGTGACAGGGCTGTCAATCCTTTTTTAGAACGTATAGAGCCCTGTCTTGAGCTGTAAGCTGAGCCTTTCTTTCCATCTGATGGGTGTCGATGGTTCTGGGATCGATCACGGCTTTTGGTTTTTGGGTTCATTATGCAACCATTGAATATAGTCGAGGCCTCAACGGTGTTGTCGAGAACATCAGCGGTGATTGCAACGAGTTCCGACACTCGAGCAACAACACGATATTACCAACAATTTTTCAGCTTATCACAGATAAGTCTTCATCGAGATCACTCCTTCCAGATCACGTTGTCGGGGCTACCAAGCAGCATCATGGACGCAAGACACCTAACGAGGGGCAGCAATGACATCATATCAGGTTCCCTTGATAGTATGTCATACACATGGCACAGCTCAAATGTGTGAATAGGGCTTACTTCCCCTGCGTCGCCCGCGCATGCAACCCTCAGCTCCGTACCACCCGACCAACCCGCGCCTGGAATGTTCAGCGCCATCGGGGGGCCCGGGGACTTTTCGATTTTTTTTGGGGGGGGGGGGGGGGGGGGGGGGGGAAGGGGCCGGAGGGTGAGGATAAAGTGTGTGGGGACTCTCCCGCCATTTCGGAGGCAGCGGGGGGGCTGATCGGGACACAGGCCTGTAGTGTAAATCAGTTTGTTTCTATTTTCGTTACAGGGCGAGCTGGGGCCCGGCCAAGAGGTCCCGGGGCGGCTTCAGTGGAGGAGGCCGGGAGCATTCCAGCGGTGTTGGGTGTGCCAGTGCACGCCACCTGTTGCCATCTTTTCTTTTCCCGCGTTATGGGATAGACAGGACAGACGCGAATGTAACACTCTAGCGACATTGCATCCAATGGACTGGGTTGTAGAATGCCTGGAAGCGAGAAAACTCTCCGATCGATTTTGTTTCGGAAATCGAAATGTCTAGGTAGTCGCGGGGGGTCTTGAACCATCTCATGCAAGGTTGGTTCAAGTACCGAACCACGCGATACTGATCGATCTGAATCTCAATGACTTTGGTATTTGAATGTTGCGTTGGGTGATACGGAATAATCAATAGCGAAGAGAATTCATAGAGCATGGCACCACGAATGGCATTTACAATGGCTTTCACCAAACACCAGCGAGGCGTGGTTGGCCTGACTGATGGTTTGCTGGGTCAAATAAAGGCAATCTTTCTCACATTGGTTTACAGCTTTTGCCATGATTTTCAAGATTACGCCGCGGGCCACAAGTGAATATGTTGCTAGCCACTCAGAACTCCGTCGGCTTTTTTAAACGCCGGCTATCATCACAACTCAGGGAGCTCTGCAGCTGATGTCGGATTTTCTTAGCCGTGCAGTGACGCATGCATTCGCAATCCAGCTTGCCGTAGCTCCGACACCCAAGATCCGAACCACCCGCGACCCCGGTGATAGACGGCGGCGGCGGCGGCGCCTGTTAAATGCACCCAACGCGCGGTTCTCAATGACGAACGCAGCTTGCGACAAACTTGTGGCTTATCACCCGCACGTGTTGTTGGTCTCTCCCATTCTTCAACCTCCCTCACATCTCGTCCCTTGTCCGTGGATGGGCATGTTTTGCCCAGCCACTGTCAGGTTTGTGAGGTGTCGAATGTCTCACATGGTAGCGGTGTCCCGTATATTCTGCCTGTTAGTCAACCAGGAAAACGAGCCTGACCATCGTCTATTAGTAGGTATGGACTGCAGGCTGCCCCCCTTACTTTTTGTTTTGCAGGCCAGTTGGGTCATGAAGGTTTTGTAGTCTGCTCCCCTTAATCGATGATGGTACGACCTAAAATACTATAAGCCTTCGAAGGATGGTTATGATCAAGCTAAAAAAATCGCGGGTCTGTGGCAGGCCGGAAACAGACTGATATGTAGCGGCATTGGCGAGGAATGCGTTATCACGAGGGGTTGGAACTCTTTCGTGATGTCAGCGATTCGATGTTCTTCAGGTCCTTATACATGTTTGATGCTGACGGCGAGACAATACGAATTGTTTTTCCCTCGCCTGCCACTGGCATTCTACCACCCTTTTCCAAGGCTCCGGTCTATGACTCCCCAGGTTCTGGTTGCAGAGCGCCGCGCCATCTTTCCGCATATCGCAGCCAGGCCGGGTAGATCGGCGAAAAACCTACACAAAGCTCTCGATCATATTCTAAACGAAGCCCCATGACTAAGTCCCTTCAACGAAATCAACGAATGGGGCCAGAACCGGTTAGGACAAAAGATGAAGGGAAAAAACCCGAGTATACGGGAGAGGCAACTGTACCTGCACACCTCCTCCAGGTTCACCCAATAGGTCAACAATGCCCCCCCCCCCCCCCCCCCCATCCGCTTGGTTGACACACCCGCATGCACCAGTGCCAACCCCGGTCCAGTTCGACCTCGCCATCACTGCCGGCCTGAGCCTTCCCATTGTCTCAATATCTTCTTCTGTCTCTCCGAGTCCAGTGGGAGGCTTTGCTTGCTCGTTTTCGTAGATCATCCACCCCAGCCTCTTTCTCCTACACCACACGCGTCTGGGGATGGCTTCGACGCATCCTCGCCAACGTGGCTGACAAGCCCACACACCATGTTCGTCTGTATATATATATATGGATGCCCTCGAAACCACTACTTCCGAATCCGTTCGTCATTCCAAACTCACCAGAAAGCTGCATCATATGAGAGCAAAAGCATCACATCACTCGTTTTTGTGGGCTTAGCTTTATATATGCATCTCCTCTCGTAAACACCGCCGTCTGAAGCTCTTCCTGAATCCCTCTCTCTCCCAAGATTTGCAATCATTACAACATCAAACATGAAGTCGCCTGCCGCCTTCGTCTTGGCCATTTCGGCCCTGGCCTCAGCCCAAGTCATCTAGTAAGCCTACAATCCCCATCGGACCCGGACAGCACGCCACTTACACACTCAACAACAGCAACGCAACCACGAACGAATACATCTGCTCACGTCCCAACGCCCAATGGTGCGCCGGTGACTCGTTCGACACTGATATAATCATCCGTTGTGACGCCCAGGGCCGCGGCCAACCCGGTCGCTGTACGAACAACCTCGCCGGGTACTTCCCGCTCGGCGTCAACCCTTCCTTGTGCTGGCAGAGCACCCTGGAGGCCGGAGACGCCGCCTGCGAAAAGAACTGCATTGTCTACACCAATCCGCCTTTCCTCCTTCCTCCCAACATCTGCACCCCATATGCCACACCTACGGGCTCTCAGACTATTGGCACCGCCAGGCCTCCCCCCTCGGGAACCGGCGTAGGCGTGGCTACTGGCGCGAGTTTTTTTACTGGCGGGGGCGTACTTACTGTCGGAGGCGTGGTTGCTAGCAGCGGAAGCACCAACACGACGACGACCGCTACCGGTTCCTCTACCTCAGTTTACACGACTTACCGCCCTATAGGTACTGGCACCGGTGGCATAGTCGCCGGCGCGCCTCTCAACGGGACTATCGCGATTACCCGAGTTTCTGGCACCGGCGCCATCAGTGGCGGTACACTTGTGAACGGGACCGTTGTGCTATTGCCCACGAGGACTCGAGTTGTAAGCGCCGGGAACCCTTCCAGCAGCGCTGGAAACCCTTCCAACAACAACCCGGGTCAGGGTGACGATGATGCGACCCCTGGCCAACCCAACCAGCCGGCACAGTCCGGAGACTCTGCTGGAAATCGCACTCCCATTCCGCCTTCCAGCACTCCTACTGGCCCTTCCATCCTTCCAACCGCCGGTGCTTCGCGGATCATGGTGAGCTACATTGCCGTCATCGGTATCTTGGCCGTGTACTTCCTGTGAAACCGCTACCTGTTGGGTGGCAGAGCAACCCCTCTTTCAGCATTTCTACCTCCGGCCTGGAGCAAGGCCATTATATAGTACTTCTAATCATCATACCAACGGCATCATCATCATGAGAAACGGCCGGGCCAAGGGGTCGACAGGCGCAAGGAGTTTGTAATTAATCAGTACGGCATGCGCGTGTATGGGGCACACAGGAGATCGGTACTAGACTTTTGCTTTTTTTTTTTCTTCTTCTCCTTCTCCTTATTCTGGTAGAACAATGATCAGCATGGGATTTTGCTGAGCAAAAGCGATTTTGTAGTTTTTGAGTGTTTAGATGTTGATCATGACTGCGTAATGCGAATGAAGAGTTGTAGATGTTGACGTCGTTGGAGTGCAATTCCACCGGTTAAATGTGCTTGAACCCCTTCGAAAGGGGTTGTGCCGCAAAAAAAAAAAAAAAAAAAATAAAGGAAAGAGATACGCCGCCGAACGCCTAAGATGGACGAATTACCTACCGAAATTCTGCGCATGATCCTGGTACCAGACAGACGGATGCGAATGGTCTTGCGTCTGTCCGCAGGCAGAAGTGCATCTACATCGCCTCGCCAGGAGCCCCTGGGTCCAGAGGCGGGTCTGTCGCCGCTTCAACGAGATTCTCTTTCCCGCCGTGTCAAAGAGCCTCGGGTGCCGCGCCATGAAAGTGGCCACCAGAGCTCGGTTCCCCCCCTCATCTACGACGACTACGAAGAACGGCACAGACCAGGCGACTTGATGCGGTTGATCGGGTTCATCGACGCCGTTTCTGGTTTTTGAACGCCGGGACTCTCGTGCGTTACGAGGTCCATCAGTTTTTCCTACGACTTGTTCGTCGCTTTGGGTGGTTGTAAGGAGTCTTGGCCTGTTGACGGGCGAGGGATCACGGTTGTGGATATGTGTCTTGATACCGCTGAGCCGATGGTGCGTGCGTGGGCAAAGGATATCACGTTGAAAATGGACCGAACAGATTCAGATACGTCGAAACATTTTGATATAGAGGGCAGCTTGTGAAATTTGGATTTCTTTGGCTCGTCGTTGGTCTTGGGGTCACCGTTATAGACCGGATGGAACATGGAGCAGGAGGTTATTCGTTTCACGTGTGGGGACGGAATCTATTCTAAAAGACAGGGAAACGCATTATCGATATATTGCATCTGCGCTATTGGTGATGGTACTGGCGAGAGCCTTTCGCCTGGGTTGGCCGGAACGATTGGTTCGAATCAGGGTTGCGTTTGGTCTCACAGGCTTCGGCAGCACGGCAGTATAAAGGTCCTCCTCAACTCTGTTATACGGTTAGCAATACAATACACATTGGTAGAAGAAAGCGGCGATTTCAATGCTAAATACTTGATTTCAGTACTCTTCTTGAGTTCCGGCGATGGAGAACTAGTATTTGACACCGGTGTAGGCTCCAGGAAGAATCCGCCCATAACCACCGACGCGGTAATGTATAGATTAGATAAGAGGAATGAATAGAAATGTATGTCTTGATTATACAAGGCGTGTAATCTATTCAGTGCGCTTTTTCCTAAAGCTAATATTTTCGTGTTTCTTGTTGTTTGCTCTTATCATCCCTCGCCATTCTCCATCTAATGTTGAAATATGATAGGTACAACTGAAAGCTCTCCAATATGAAACCCCCAGCAACGGGCCCATCTCAGTCTCCAAGCAAGGGGCATTGAAACGGCGAACTCAATTTACAATGACCTACTGTTAACCACTGAGAGCCATACTAGAGATCCTCCAACGACCTCGTTGACTGAGCCCTGGGATCAGCGATGCATGTCTGTTTGTATCCGTGCGTGTAAGCCCTTGAAGCTGCATAAGACTCACATCAAAAGGTGGCTTTCTGCTTATACATGCCCTCGCGTCCTTATCTATGATGATTGGGCGCCGTTGTGGCGTTGATGGCGCGCTAAGTGAGGGGTTCGTGAGAAGCTAAGATAGGGAAAGTGAGACACAGCCTTGGGATCGCGCTTGCTCCCCCCTCCCTGGAGCTGCGCCCGCCAGTTATGCCGCCCTTAACTTAATTATCCCCCCAGAGACCCGGAAAGAGACGACGCGCCTGGGAGTGACCTTCATTCCTAAGATGCGACCATGGTATCCCGGACGCCTCAGCTAAACAAACCTCACATCTGCGCCAGCCCAAAATCCAACTGAGCCGGTATTCGCAGCACCACGATTGAGCCATGGCAGCCGTTAAGAGGCCCTCCGGGACCCGTATATACGTTATGATACTCCTAGGCATCGGAGACCTCGGTGCCATCATCTTGGAAGTTCTCGCAGCCATCGTCTGGGAGGGATTTGTCACTCTCACGAACCACATCCGTCTTTTCATCGCGACATACCCGCTGATGGGCCTTCTTTTCCTCATCACGGGCGACATCGACCTCACGACCTGCATAAGCATCGCCTGTGGCGCTTACTTGTACACCGCCTTTCTCTACTACTTTGGCCTCAGGGACCGGCTGCCCTGGGCCTGCCTCGTCGCCACTCTTTTGACTTTCGAGGGTCCTTACCCGCGTTTATTGCGCCGCGCGGCGGTAACGGCTTTCATGCTGGCGCGGGACGACAGCTTGCGCGGGCTCTATTTGAAGCGGGTGAGGAACGCCGAAGTTCCCTGGCAGGACGGCAGCGGATTCGGATTTCTGTTCAACTTCGAGGGGCGCGAGTTGCTGAGGGAGCTCTGCCTGTACTTGGTGAACACCCTCTGTTCATCCTTCGACCGGCCTCGCGTGCCTGACGACTTCAAACTGCGTACCTCTGTCAGGGTCGTGGACGTGTTGGTGTTGCCGCTCCTCGGGCTTGTGGATTGGGTTTGGCGGTATAGACGAGCGCGAAAACGCGCAAGTCAACCTCGTTTGGAAGACCAGAGCATAAAAATGCTTTTGGGGAAGCAGCATTGATCAAGGATGGAAGGAGGGTATAAAAAAAAAGATGTGGGAAATCCACACTCGAAGCAATGGGTTTTCTTTCGAGTATTCCTAGAAATAGACCTAGTTGAAACATGGACTTTGATAATCAAATAAAGCTGGGTATCGAGTTGAATCGAAAAGGGGTTAAAAAAAAACAAAAAAAGACATGCTGGTTTCCGGGAAAACGTCAAAACCGTCGTCTCATGCGTTTATCGGGCCCGCTTCGTCCTGCCACCACTCCATGAACGTCAGAATCCTCTTGGTCCGCTCCCGCGCCATTTCCCTCCCGGCATCCGTCTTCATCATTCCTTCGAGCTTGACCAGCTTCTCCTCAAAGTGCAGAATGGAGTCGTCCATGCTCCGGGAGCCCTTGGCTCCGCCGAAAGTGAAACACCGGCCGACTCCAACGGCGCCGATGGCGTCCAGGCGGTCCGCATCCTGCACGACGGCCAGCTCCGGGTACTCGGCGATCAGGCTCCGGACCCGTGACGGGTCCTTCACCTCGCTGGAGTAGCTGACGCCGAGGCAGATTGTCTGCACACGGGCCGCGAGCTGGGCGTCGGCGCCGAGAGACTGCAGGACAGTGGAGACCAGGGTCGAGGCGTCCTCGCCGGGCTTCAAGTACTTGCGGTCGCCTACATCGTGGAGGAGAGCAGCGAGGGTGATGGTTTGCTTGTCCAAAGCCGGGGTGGCGGGGGTCTGGGCGTGGATGCGGTGGGCAAGAGAGACGACGCGCTTGATGTGGTTGAAGTCGTGCGAGGCGTCGTACTTTGACATGTAAGCCTCGACGTACCCGGTCACCTTGGCGATGAGATCGTCGTTGGTTGTTGAGGATGATGAGGCCATTGTGAGATGCGGATGGGGTTAAAATTGGCTGTGTAAAAGTTTTCTTAGAAAATGATCAGCCGTGGCTGAAGTTGTATATGTCGAAAGGTGAAGAGAGTTGAAAGTGTTATAACTTTTTTTGGTCTTTACTTCCAGACTTTTTGATATAAAAACGTAGGTAGTAATTTTCAAAAGAAGTTGATGATTAAGCAACCACTCAAGTAAATGAGCTTAATCACTTTCAGTTAGATCGAGGACCAAATAGAGCTGCTGCCTTGAGGTGCTTGAGTCACACTGGAAATCTAACTGAATTAACGCGAAGCAGAAAACGGAGACGACAGCGGGTATTCGCGTCTGGGAACGCGCTGTCATGTGCGTTGTCACATGATTCGGACGTTCTGTAGGCGGAGCCGGGCCCCTCGCACGGGCGATCCCGCTGTTTCCCGCCAGGTACAGAGAGCATTGCTCCCACCACCCACCCCCAAAATACATTGCCGACTTCACCACGATGGCATGGATCTCGGACGGGCAAAACTTCCTTAACGACATACGTAAGCCCGAATAAGTGAGATCTACCAGGCAAACGTTACTCAAAGTCGTTCAGCTTGTCAGCGTACAGTAGTCCCGCCTTCCTAAAGTCTGACCGCCTCGAACCCGCAGTCTTGTAAGACATCCACCAACATCAGCAGCAAAGTCCTCATTATCTCATGTCACTTCCGATGCATGAGATTTTCAACCGGCCAAGGCCTTTTTTTGTTGAGACGAAAGGCCGATCATGATGAGCTTCCTTTTGCGGTTCAGACTTTCTGCATCCTGCGAACTAGATCCTCGATCCCGGATGCGATGAAGGGACGTGACAGTGGCGGGACTCCATTCCACCACCAACAGGGCATATCTCCGTTTGTGTGATGGACCTCACATACCCGCCGAGCCTAGAGACCGTCGCGTGCATGAAAAGCCGGATGACGCACCTTGGGGTCACGCCAACAGGTACGGAACGATGAGCGATATCTCTCATCTCCTCGCCGAGGTGTGGGTGACTCAAGGTCACGCAGACAGACCAACGGCTGTTGACCAAAGGCGGAGGACGGCAGTTTGCCCTTGGCGGGCCGCACTTGGTTGCGGCCATGTCGAAAGACAGGCCAGACCGCCCTGAGCGACAAGCAGTAGGCAGCGCAGCGCAGGGCTTTAGAGTTTGCTGCCCCCATTTTCTGCGCACTCTCCCAGCTACGGAGCTCGGTAGTGTTTGATCTCCCACAGGCCCCTTTGCCGGGGATTTCTTTTTTCTTTCCCCCAACATGGCCTTAGCTTGACTTATACCAATCTTTCCGTCTTTTTCAATATCATGAACAAACATCGACTTGGCCAGATGATCAGATAGTGCAAGTTTCTTACCATGGTTCGATGAAAGGCAGGTACGAAAAGTACCTGGCGAACCGGAGCGCACAGAAAATCTCTGCATGTCCATGAAGGAACCGAGAACATGGCTTATGGCACCTGGTTTTACGTACCTTTCTTCCGACTCGCGCGATCTTCGGCTCTTTCCTGGCTGATGGGCGGACGAAGTTCATCCAGACTCCAATGAGAAACGGCATTTTCTCAGCAGAGTTGCGCAGCTACATGCAGACCGCATGCATGTTGACTGGGTGCATGATGCAGTATGTTAGTTTGTTGATGCGGACAAACCGATGCAACAGACGAATACCATGCGGGAATTGATCAAGAGGCATTTCTCCTCATCTCGCACTCAGTTTGACAAGCCAATCCCGTTTGGAAAGAGCTCTTCCGAGGGCTGGGAGCCTCGTGAGAGTGGTAATACTTTCGCAAAACTGCATTACCTGATCGAGCCATGATTGGTCTGGACTGCAGAGCGAGCACATCACCAGGTGACGGGGGTGATGAACAACCCGGGCACAAACGAGCGATATGCGAAGCTATTGGCCAATGAGAGCAGGGATTTAGACGCCCAATCAAGCCAAAAAGGCAATCGGCGTTGAGCCACACAGCGGGCGGAGGGACGTACCGCGCTTTAGTCCCGGACGGACCCACTCATTTCTTCTATTTTGGCCGACCGTATCCAGGACACCCCCTCTCCTTCACCATGCTTAACCGCCGAGCTTGCAGACCTGGCCCATCCCAGCGACCGGCTCGTGGTAGCACCAAGGCAACGATGGACTTGGTCAGGAAGAACAAGAGAGGGGAACACTGTGGAAAGGTGACGGTGACGAGGACGGGGTGGCCCCTTAGTGAGTGAGCACTCTTGTTCCTATTTGCCAGTACACCTCCGTGTAGCTCACGAGTGCCCAGTTACCCGTTATTGAACGAGGGAACCCCGGCTGGCCGATCCCTTCCACGCCGACGCAGAGCACCATCACCAGTGTGATATTGGCTTCTTGCATCAACCATCCACAAGCCTCCTCTTGCCCAGCAATCTCCTCATTGGGCCGGCCGTAAAGTGACGGCTCTTCTGCACACTTTGCACACTTTGCACACTCCACCACCGTGCTGACAAGTTCCCTCTGCCCCAGCCATGAGCGGCGCATGTAGTACCGCATCTCAAGTGGCTTTCCAACCCACCACGCAAACTGAACTGTTGGCCCTCTCATGCGGCCTCGCCTGGCCTCCTAGGACGGCCGGCGAAGCCATATAATGGAAGCCTCCCATCCCTTTTCGTCTTCCTTTCCTCTTTCTCTTCTTCAGCAAGCATCAGACAAGTGATTCCAGGTTTTCGTTTTTTCCCCCATCCCCTTTTCGTCGTTTATTGTTCTTTGTTTCCGTAGAGCTGGTCTCTATCCTAATCGCAGCATCAACTAATACCCAATACCCGTTTTTTCACAAACACCCAAAGTTTTAACTACCAAAAATCGAAAAAAGCCATTGAAGTTGCTGGTCAACTTTTCGCACAACCCCTTAATCGGAAATCTGGGATTTCTTGCTCATACGACCATCATTATTCGCCATCAGATCTCATCCGTCGCAGCAACACCTGAAAAACCGCAATAATGTCGTCCACTCAACTCTCCTTCTCTCTTCGTGTTTCCTCCGGTGTCAAGACCGTCCACCTTCTTGGCTCCTGGGACAACTACGTTGGACAGCTACCCCTGTCCAAGGACAAGTCTTCATCCAAGTCCGGCTCATGGAAGGGCACCTTTAAGTTTGGAGGTTCTACTCTGTCTGCTGGTCAGCGCTACTGGTACTACTACATCATCGACGGCTACCACGTCGCCCACAACCCCAGCGTTGCCTCAACAGTCGAGCCCACCACCGGTCGCGAGCTGAACATTCTCGACGTTCCCTCGTCCGGCAAGTCAAGCAGCAGCAGCAGCAGCAAGTCTTCCAAGTCGTCTTCCTCCTCCAAGTCCTCTTCAAAGTCCTCCCACTCCTCGTCCCACTCTTCGTCTCGGAGCTCCCGCCGCAGTTCCAAGGACAAGGAGTCGAAGAGCAGCCGCAACCGTTCCTCGTCTCGCGACATCCCCAAGGGCCGACCCCTCTCCATCTCACAAATCAAGGCCCCCAAGCCAACGTCGCCCCATGCCACCCAGCACATCTTGAATGGCGACTACTGTGACGAGGACCTCGAGGAGCTCACCGCCCGCTTTGGCGCCGCCGGGTTCGACGAGGAGGATATCGTGACAGACTTCTCCAGCTCTCCCGTGTCGTCCAACGGCTCCAGCCTGTCCTACCGCTCCGACAGCTCCAGCCCCAACTCGTCCATGTCGGGCTACAGCACTCCGGGCTCCGACGTCAGCACCTGCACCTGCGAGCGCTACGGCATCACCCGCAAGGGCGACCGTGTCAAGATCGACTGTGGCGGCGCCCGCTGCGGCTACGGCGACAGCTCCGAGTGCTCCGACTCGGAGGAGGAGGAGTCGGAAGACGAGGAGTACGCTCCCTCCAACAGCCGCCGCCACGGCATGCTCGTTCGCTGAAAAGCCCGACGCCGCCCTGGGAAGGGAACAACAACAACAACAACAACAACAACAACAACAACAACAACACCATGAAGACCTCAAAAATAATGCGAAGAAGAAGTCCCATGCGGACGTACATTCCTTTCGTCGCGCGACATGCACACACCTCCGCTTCCGCCTTGGCCCTTGTTGGGCCGGGCGGGGGAGCTGATTGTTGCAGTCAGCGCCGATGTTTCAACCATCATTGCATCCACCGAGGAACACCGCGGTTGCATACCGAGCCGGTCTCGGTCTCCTGCCCGCAACACCTCGAGCCAAGTGGGTCGATGCTGCGACCCCACGCCACGGCCGCCCCCGTCCGGGCCGCGCGTGTCCCGTTTCGTTTGTCATGTGTTTTGACTGACAACGAGGGAGCATCCTCGCATGCCCTCCGAAAGGGAGAGTGCGAGGACAAAGAGCTCCAGCGGATGAAGAAGCGTCCTCGCTTCTGGGGATGGACATTTACTGCGGCCCCGGGCTGGGCGTTTGAAAGCCCGGGCAAGCCGCCTCATGTAGACAGTGAAATTACCGCCACAGGCGGGATTGGATAGATGCCGAATGAATCTATTCGCCAAGAAGACCATCTTCGTGTTTCAAGAGTGACATATATGCAAGATATCGTTAATTGAAAGAAACGTTGTGTAAATTACCATTTTATTCTATGTGAGGTGTATTGTCCCGTCGGAACTAACAGCGCCGGCCGGCACCAGAGAGCGCCTCCGCAGGGGGGGACCCTTCCGTAAAGTCAGGTCGGTGTTCGGGGGAAAGTGCCGCTATATGGTACGGAGGGCGGGGCCACTAACGTCACAAAGCAGAGCGAGTGGGGACACTTGCACCTCACCGACGCTTCAATCCACTGATAGCTGGGGTCGCTGTTGCTGCGACCCCGCGATGTCAGAAGTTAGTGCGGGGACCTCACACCCTTTCTCTCAGCTCATTTTCCGTCGGGTATTCAAACTCCCATCCTCAAATACATACCCTCTTTAGATAGGGAAATCTCATTTTCAACGTCTCTTTTTTTCGCACTCGAGATCCTTTTGCCTTTCTTGTAAAACCGCCAATTGATCATCTTTTGTGACCCAGACACTGCAAACCACGACCTGTCCAAAATCTAACCCCCACCACAGCCGCCCAACATGGCCGACTACCCAATGGTCGACTCCCACATCCACCTCTACCCGGAGGGCGAGATCGAGACCCTCGCCTGGGCGACCCCGGAGAACCCCATCGCGAAGCAGCACTCCGTGTCAGACTACGTCGCCGCCACCGGCAAGCCTGCCAACTTCAAGGGCTTCATCTTCCTCGAGACAGACCGCAAACACGACCTCGAGGCCGGTGCCAAGGACGGCTCAGGATGGGAGTTCCCCCTGATGGAGGTGTCTTGGCTCCGCCGCATCGCCGAAGGCAAGCCCCGCGAGGGCGAGGGACACTCTCCCGAAGATAAGGACCTCTGCCTCGGCATCATCCCCTGGGCCCCTTTGCCCTCTGGCGCCGCCGTCATGGAAAAGTACCTCGACCATGTCAAGGAGGTTGCCGGCGAGGATGTGTGGCCCAAGATCCGCGGCTTCAGATATCTGCTGCAGGATAAGCCCCACGGCACGGGCTTGACGGACGACTTTATCGACAGCTTGAAGCTTCTCGGCAGGCTGGGCTATGTGTTCGACTTGGGCGTCGACCAGCACCGCCGCGGAAAGCAGCAGCTCGACGACGCGTTGGAGATCATCTCCCGTGCCCACGAGGGTGTTCCCGAGGAAGAGAAGGTCACATTTATCATCAGTCAGTGCTCTCCCTCACCTGCTTCTTCGTCTTCGCCTTTCCTTCCTTGAGAAACATTAGTCTCACGCTAACGCACACCTGTACCAGACCACCTCTGCAAGCCCGACCTCGGCGTGATCAACACGACGGACCCTTCCTTCATCCACTGGCGCACCGCCATCTACGCCCTCTCAAAGTGCTCCAAGACCTACATGAAGCTCTCGGGCGGTTTCTCCGAGATGCCCGACTCCCTCAAGAAGCAGGACCCCAACGCCATCTTCGAGGCCATCTTCCCCTGGCTCGGCGTCGTCCTCGCCACTTTCGGCCCCCGCCGCACCATGTTCGGCAGCGACTGGCCCGTGTGCACCGTCGGCGTGGACGAGGCCTGGCGCAAGTGGAAGCTCCTGGTCGAGCGCATGTGCTACATGGCCACCTTGGACCCCGAGGACCAGGCCGCCCTGTTTGGAGGTACCGCTCTGAGAGCATACGGTCTGACGGGATTCGAGCTTGTCTTTTAAAAGATTTGCAGAATAAAGAAGAGAAGAAAAACAAAAGGACAGTTAAACGGTCCGGTTTCGCTGAAGACTGGATCAAACGGACCACGGCGATGGATTTCGTGTGAGTGTGTCGAGAAGGGAAGCTGAGCAGACAAAAACTTTTACTATATGACCGTAGGCGCTGGGGGGGGGGATGGCTTTGATGATGAGACAGCAGCTTTGCACACAGATACCAAAAATTCATACGATACCTCAATGTTATACAAAGATACTTGCTCGTCTTTCTCCCAATTCCCTAACCCCCGGTTCGATGATGAACATGAAGAAATAATGCATTTAATTACCAGGGCAGGGACACATCTTCTCACATTGGCATGATAAAATGATTGTTGAAATCAAAAGTGCTATTGACTAACTGAAGAGGCCACTACAAGAGCCAACAATCAAACCATAAGCAATATAAGAAAGCCAACCCCAGACTAGCTGCTCAACGGCTCATGCTCCAGTCAGTCTGGCCCGGCTTCTGGGTTGTCTCCAACTTTACAAATCAGCCCTGGTGGCAAATACTCCTTTCCGTCTGTGCCTGTGAATGAACCCATGTGCTCTCTGACACCCACTTTGAGTGCTAATATGAAATGTACTCGATATAAGACTTACAACACTTCATCGCTAATGAGCCCCGATGTTACGGGATAGACTCGTTAAAATGTTTCACATCTTCTTTTTTTCCATCGATTGCTGCATCTTCCCCGCCTGATTGGCGCCATTGTAAAGCTCACAGGCGCAATCCAAGAACCTTCTCAAGCCTCATCGTACAAGTGGTCCCCGAGGTTGCTGTCGTTCAAAAGCGTTGCATCGACCAGCTCTCCTGGCCTGGCGTTTCTTGCATTCATAGGCGTACCCAGGCTCATTTGCTTTGCGCCATTCCACATATGCCTCGTAGTTTTGCTGGCCCATAGCATCAGGCATACGGGGCTTTTGGACAGGCGGAGGCCCAATGTTGGAACTGGGTGCTGGAGCTTGATTAACGTTGAAAGAACCACAGTTGGGCACTTGTAATGGGATGGGAGCAAAGGAGTTATTCATCTGAGAGCCGGGGCCAGGATAACTTATAGTAGAGCCAGCAGCGGTCCGCCGACCCAAGTCAGCGGCAGGATTAAACCCATCCAGGCGCGTTTCGTATACTGATGGCGGTAGAGTCGAGCCCGGCGGGTTGAATTGCGATCCAAATGGAGGAGGAGGCAGTGTAGGTACACTGTGAGCCGTTGCACTGTTAAAAACAGTAGGGTATTTGATAGTTGGCATCAGTTGCATTGGCACCAAAGTGCCCAATGGAGGTGGCATTATGGTACTCTGTGGGCCCGGTGCCGGAATGATAGCGGGCGACGATGACGTGGGAAGCAAAGGAGACTGCATAGTTTGAGTCATCGTCAGCGGCATCAAAGCCATTGGTGATACCATAGGATTTTGTTGCGGTAGTTGCTGCAGGTTGTTGGGAATGCCAAATTTCTGAAGGGTCCCGATAATTGACTTGTTCAAGTTCAGTTGGGGGAAGACTGCCGTAGCCTCAACTTGATCACTTTGACCCATTATCTGCGTAAGAATTGAGAGCGGGATATTCACAGACGTCTCTGACCCCCGCTTCTCTGCAACAACAGGATTTTCTTTGGAAGAGAGAGCTGAGAATTCTTTTGCCAAGGGATTGAGAGATCGTTTGAGTGGGCTTCTGGTGTCAATACCAGAATCACCAGAATCCTGTCTTGGACGTTCCACGCCTGCATTTTCCACCTTGGCCGTTGACTTGTATTCGAGTGCAGAGTGCTGAAGCTTCCGGAGGAGCTCTTGGAAGCGGTCCGTTTGTGTGGCTATGTCATCGCTGGTTTTCTTGACATTTCGGATACCAATAGCTGCAACGGCAGGATCATGAATAATGGCAGTCTCGTTTTGGGGCAAGGTCTTGTGGTAATCTAAGCCGTTAGGGCCATCATCAAGGCCACGCTTGCAAGCTTTCGTCAAATCGATCATGGAATTCTTGCGCGGCGTGATACTAACGTTCGTTAGCTGTTTTTCGAAGTCTAGAAGCGCGCTATCGCGAGGTTGGGACTGGAAACGAGTCGCACTCTTTATGCGGCGAATCTCGGCGTTGTTGAAAATTCCATTGTGCTCACTGCACTTGGAATCATCGCACTCGTGGATCATTATGTCCATCACAAGAGGAGTGGTTTCCTTCTCCTAGACGGACCCAGTCCTCTTACCAGTCCTCTTGTCTCCCTCGTCAATGGAAACAGCGCGGCTGACGACGCATCTCATTTTGGCACCTGGCCCGCTCTCTCCAGTGAAGAGCTGCGCGGGTATTCTAGGCTTGCTCTCCTCAAACGCTGGGGTGGTTGTATTGAGCAAGGGATCGACGCCGGCAACAGGCTTTCGCCAGTACGTAGCTGGATCAGCAACGTTGTAGTCGACGGCAGAACCCGAAGACTTTCGGCTCCTGCGAACTTTGGTCTTCTGAGCGTTGTGGCTTTGAGGCACCAGAGGTTTGCGCCAGTTGACGGATTTCAATACCGCCGTGAGCTTCTCCGGAACGTGTTTTTTGTTCTCATCATTTGTCTCGTAAAGCAATGGTTGAGTGCTATCTGAGGTCTTATCTATTCGCTGTCTGGCAAGACCAGCCGCACTCTTCATGGGGATTAGAGCCATTCCAACTACCCGTTTGTTAGCAACGCCAGTTTCAATGAATATTGACACATTGTGATGATGCAGTCAGAAGTAGTGACGATAGTGTAAAGAGAAGAGCGTACCGATTCGCTAAGCGTATCTGAACGATTTCAGCAAACCTGGTTTGAAGTTCTAAGCGATGAATCTTAGGCTCGATTTGTGCCCACGGTTGTGATACTTGTGACAGCGATCAAGGCTGGGCATAAACACATCCAAATATTGTCGTGGGCCAATTTTGTTCCAAACTACCTTACTTGCGTAGCCGCAACGTCAAAGCTGATCGATAACAGTGGTTAGCTGCTGTCGAAACTTGGATAGGACACGGAAATAGGAGAAAAGCCGGAAGTAGTAAGTAGAGACACCACCTACCTAACTGGTCAGAAGTAATTGGCGGAGGACGTGCTTCAGGGCTGACAGCGTTGCCAACAATGCACAGCAAATGATATAGGAAGCTTGCTGGCACGAGGGAATAAAATCCGGAAAGGAAAGTTCGTTGAATCGCCGAATTCAGCAAGCCATACCACTTTGAAAGGAATCGAGCCTGAAGTATCTCCGCGATGCCCGTCGCGATGTGGTAAAGTGGGCAAAGAAAATCGTACTGTGAGTCGCTAGTACGGGGAGGAAAGGGCAGCTGAATCAAGTGTACGATTTGTAAGTCCTCTGGGGAAGAACAAGTGATGGAGGAAAAGAAATCTATAAAATTGCCGGGTGCAAGAAGGAGGGTTGATCCAGAGGTATTGATCGCAAAGAACCATTAGAGTGCTGTTGAAGTCGAAGACTTCTTTGGGTATGAAGAATCCGAGGTACCTGAAGTAGGATCCTAGGAGGAAGGTGCTATTGATCTTGATTACAGCAGAAGTGAATGTCTCTGGATATTTCTCGCCAGATGTCGTAGCCTGGAAGTGGTTTTTGTTGTTGAGATTCGGGGTTGAGGTGAGGCAATACTGGTGATGGCTGGGGTCTCTCCGAAATAGACGTAGACAACAAGGAGCCGCTGTGGGGGTTGTTTCGTAATCTGTACCGTGCAGGAAGTTCCTCGCTGATATAGAAAGCATGCGCTCTAGTTTGTAAGTCTGCGTATTGTGTCCAAAAAAGAAAAGGGGGCGGTTGGGTGATTGATGATGCACGCGAGTGGTGTTTGGGACGAATGTAGATGAGGCAGATGACTTGGAGTCTCTTAGAGACCAAACATATCATATCATTTCTGCAACAGTCACCTTGGTCTATAGGAAATCTATCCCAAGGAAAGGGGGAAAAATGACTGGTCCTTACCTCGGTATGTGCGTGTCGTATTTGAGCAAGTGCCAACCTAGAAGCTGCCTCCGTTAACGTACGAATAGAATTGGCTTTCCACTAAGCAAACATGGACTGTGCGTTTGCAGAAATAACGACCGAGGGCTACTGCTTTGATTGTTAATGTGTCTTTGTAGTCGTGAAAGGGAGTCAATTGGGGTTGCACTCACCTAAAGAGACTTTCAGTCAATCCTTCCCGACAAGCCATGTTAGCACAAAAACCGTTATCAAGAGTTTCACCGAGACAAAGAGGTTGCTTAAAGAATACATGATTGTTCGCTCAAGAAAGCTGAATCTAGTGTATAAGAGTTTGGGATGTTCTCGGATATCAATTTTAGCTCGCTATATGTAACGATATCATGATTTGATGATTGCCAGATCATATCGTATTGCTTCTCCTCCAGATAATTTTGTACTATCGTATCGCTACTGCTCCAAATACCAACACTGATTGCCAAACCACTCGTCCAACTAGACCGACTGGTTCTGCTGGCCCGAGAGATAGGCAGAGAAATGCCTCTGTGGCACACTGTATCAGCAAAGTCATGCTTATCGAACTGCATACGAAGAAAACTTACAGCGTTTCTCGTTTGCATGAACACGGTTCCGGGGCCGGTGAACTTGCATACGAGACCCTCTCCTGATGAAATACCAGAAATGATACCGCCAGAAGCTACTCGCTCCATAATGTACTTGACATTCCATGCCACTAAGTGACCGTTGTCGACGACATACTTTTCGCCCTCCGCAAGCTGGCTGCCAGTTAATCTTTTGCATCATAGTTGGTCATTCAGGAGATCACTTACATCCTTGCGGATGATGGCGCCAAAACTGGTGAGCCAGAGGAGGCCAGTACCGCTCATCTTGTACACGTACAAACCTTCGCCACTGAAAATGGCCTTGCTGAGGCCTTGGCGCTTGTAGTCCTTGATGATGCCCTGGGTGGAGGCCAAGTACGCATCCTGGCCGACTGACCATGTTTCCTTGCCAGTAAGGCGAAGACTTGTTATGTCGCCGAGCATGGGCGGAGCCAGGAGAAGCTCACCGGGGCCCACAAAGGTAGAGCTAGCCAGTTCAGCGCCCGCAACGAGCTTCTTCATACTGAACTTGAGCTGGCCCCTGAGCGTGACTGAGTGTGACATAGCCACCAAGACACCTATTGGAGTGTTAGTTCAGAACCGCATCGGCAGTCGTAGCGAGATCCGTACCTGGCTTGGCTTGCAACGGGCATCCCACGGCCAACTGGACGGTGAGGATAGTATTGCTGTCTCGATGACTAATGCGGTAGCTGCCACCGTTGAACGTGCCAACGTCGTCCACTGTCGCAGTGGCTCCCAGGAAATGCGAAGCAGCCGGCGCGCCTCCCACAAGGTTGGAGGGGTTGCTGGTGTCAACCGGCGTCTCTGGGACATATTGCTTCTCTGGCAGGGCGGCAACTTCTCGAGGGCCATCAAAAACTGGGGGCGGCGTAGAGAGCTGAGACGACTCTACCGAGTTTCTTAATTGAAGCTGCGTCTGCTGATATTGCTGGGGCTGAGGAGATGGCTGGGGCGACTGCGCCTGAGGCTGTTGCTGCTGAGCGAGGCCGGGAGGCGGTGGGTATTGAAGCTGACCCTGCGCAGGCGATGGGTTTCCTTGGGGAGGTGGTGGATAGCTTCGACCCTGATTCGGTGATGCCTGCGGAGGAGGGGGAGGGTAGTTCGCATGTTGCCCCGACGACGCTTGAGGGGGTGGTGGGTAGTTCTGAGGCGAGGCTGATTGGGGAGGAGGGAAGTTCTGTGCTGTCGGCGAAGTGATGGGTGGAGGAGGGTAGTTTTGTGGCTGCCCTTGAGTTGGCTGAGGTGGTGGAGGATAACTTCCGCTGTGGGCGTGCTGCGGTTGTGAGGGAGGAGAGGGATAGGAGAACTTGGTCTGGAGCGCAGGAGGTGATTGCGGTGGCGGAGGGTAGTTCTGCTGCGGATGGCCTTTATTCAAGTCAGTAAGTGAAGCAGGGAAAATGCGCGCGCGTGTAAGAAACATACCTCCCGATGGCGGAGCTGTGAGAATTATCAGCACGAAGTTCGTTTGGTGGGGGTAAATGAGCAACTCACGAGGATAGTATTGGGCTGACATGACCACTCAAAAGTCGCCTCGTTCAGCGACAATATCAGAAGAACAGTATGAAATTCGAATCGACCGGATTCTCTGCAGCTAGCAAGAGAGAGAAAGCTATGAGTGACAAAAAAGGAGGATCTGTCATCAGGTCAGTCGCTGGTAAGCTGGTCGCACCCCCAAACTGCCCCGCACTTACAGGCGATGGATGATGAGCTGCGCGCAACTGGAGAGAACGATCGTACCAACTAAAAAAGACCAAGGTCGACGAGAACACAGGCAACACTCAATTGATCCCGCTTCAAACAGGCCGCGTTCGTGTCAAAAAGAAGTAGCAGAAAAGAGAAAAAGTGGTATGAAGAATGGGCGCCTCGGGGTCTAGGTTCCTTAAAGAGGGAGCTTTCACGCGCCATAAAGATCCCAGCAGCTGCAAGCTCCGCCAGATCCCTGTCCATACGGCACAGGTCGGCCACGAAATCTGGTCGCATCGCCCCCAAGCTTCCCGTTGGCTTGCATGGATGGTGTGGGAGGGTGGTAGGGTGAGTGAGCATTGGGGCCTCTCACGGATTCTAATTCGACCTGGCCGGGACATTGGGGTTGTTGTCCAATCGCTGAAGGACGCCCAGGAGACTGGAAAGTGTCTCTAACTCTTTTTGGCGCCAGGTGAAGAGGGGCGGCGCTTAAGCTGTCCTACGGCGATAACCCATATCATTGGTCTGCTACTTCTTTCGCTGCACGTCACCTGTCTTCATTTAGTATGACGATTCTTCGTGATTCATAATGAGACAGTTGCTGGTTGGGTGTGTTTTATTGATCTAGGGCCTTCAGATAGGTCGAGTAGACTTTGCCGCATGTTCAACACATTTGGCCGAAGGCATGAAACGGATCAGATACAGGTCAAAAGTGGCTTGAGAAGAGCTTGTTGGTTCTGCAGCTCTGCGAAATTCGAAACTCTCGCGGTCCACATTTCTAGGGATCTACAGTTTGCTTAGCTGATTATTCGAGATGAACCCTTTAGCTCCGGATGACATGCCCGTACCGGACCGGCAGATAGCGGCGTACTGTGGGGCCGTCCACCCTCTGAGGTGCCGCTAGAGGAAGGAAGCCTGTAGTGCTGCTCCATGTTTAACATATCAGGTACGGAAACAATTGGGAATTGGGACTTTTTTTATATTCCTTTTATCATCCCGACGCCCAACTAACGCTAATTATCATCTGCTCTTAATCATTTGCTTTTAAAAAGGCATCTTCTCATGCTTGAAGGGCTTCTTGCCCTCGCCCTCTCCGTACGCCAACGAAACCTGACCGTGCCCTCTAATCTTGTACTTGTAAATCATCAAACCCTCCAATCCTACGGGGCCGCGAGAGTGGATCTTGTTGGTGCTGATGCCAACTTCCGTACCGAAGCCGTAGCGCATGCCGTCGGCCATGCGGGTGGACGCGTTCCAGTAGACACCGGCGGCATCAACGGAGTTCATGAACTTCTCGGCCTCGTGCTCGTCAGAGGTGAGGATGGCGTCGGTGTGCTTGGAGCCGTGGGTGTTGATGTGCTGGACGGCCTCGGCCATAGAGAAGACAGTCTTGACCGCGAGATCCAGGGAAAGGAACTCTGTGTCATAGTCGGCATCCTTGGCGTCGACAACCTTTGCGGCAGCGTCGCCTGAGATCTTGGACAGCAGAACATCTTTGGACTGACGGTCACAGTGCAGTGTCACGCCCTTTGCAATGAGCGCCTCGGCGACGACAGGGAAAGATGTCTCGAGGGCCGACTCCTGCACGAGGAGTGTCTCCAAGCTGTTGCATGCGGCGGGGTAGCTCGTCTTGGAGTCGACGATGACATTGGCTGCCATCTGAGGGTCGGCGGAGCCGGTGAGGAAGGTAGAGCACAAACCGTCGGCATGGCCCAGGACGGGGATCTTTGTGTTGTCCTTGATGTAACGGACGAGTTCGTTGGAGCCGCGGGGGACAACGAGGTCGATGTATTGGTCAAGGGCCAACAGCTGCGGGATGACGTCGCGGGTAGTCACGAGCTGGACGGCAGAGTTGGGGACCTTGGAGGACTCGAGGGCTGTGGAGATGACCTTGGAGATGGCGACGAAGGACTCAGTGGACTCCTTGCCTCCCTTCAAGATGGCGGCGTTGCCGGACTTGATGGCCAGAGATGCGATGTTGGCGATGACCTCGGGGCGGGCCTCGAAGATGATGAGAAGAACACCAATGGGGCAGGTGACTCTCTCGAGGATGAGGCCGTCATCCAGCTTAGTTCTCAGGGTGACCTTGCCGACTGCATTGCGTTAGAGTAGAGCAAGGGTTGTGATGTCATATAAGATTTCATGTACCTGGGTCCTCCAAGCCCCTCACGTCCAAGATACCCTTGAGCATGTCCTCAAACTTGCCCTTCTTGCCCAGGTCGAGTCGGGAGACCAGACTCTGGCTCAGTTGGCCATCGGCAGCAGCCTTGCGGGCAAGCTCCAGATCGCGTGCATTGGCAGCCAGAATCTCATCCTTAGCTTCAGCGAGAGCGGCGTGGATGGCCGTGAGAGCGTCATTGCGGGCTTCGGCGGGGAGGGTTGCGAGGATGTGAGAGGCCGATTTCGCACTCTTTGCGCAGTCAACGGGGGAGGCGTTGGTCAGAGACATGTTGAAAAAAAGAAGGGAAAAATGAGATCTAATGAGTACTGTTGTAAGAGAATGTGAGTCGGTCGGCTACTAAAGTGCAAGACTCGTCGCACTGATGGGCAATCTGATAGTGAGAATGAGTCAATTGGTGAAGCTCATGTAAACTGGGTCCTAAGCTTGTAGGACGACGCCACTGGACGTTGTGGTTCACGGGTGAAAATTTGGAGCCCCGCACTCCGATCTTTCGGAGCGGGATCTGAAGCGCGGTGGGTGCTTTGATTTTCTAACTTTCGAGTCCGAAGCCTGTCAGTGACAATGGTATGCTTGTCGCCCAATAAGCTTATCCTGCGGGCAAAAGATAGACTTTGCACATCTCAAGAGCCTCACTTACATCACTTCCAGACCTGGCTCAGCAACGTCCAAGCTTGAATACGATGTTGGTCATCTCTTTTTGGCAGTTCGTTATTTGCAGAGCAGTCGGTCAAGCTCAAAGGGTCCACAAAGGCGATGGGGACCCGCTGAAGGACCACTGACTGTCCCCCCCTGGAAGCATCATGGGAGATCCTCAGGATCGTCTTCAATACAACTTTGCTCGTTTTTGCCTCTACGCCCTCACGCCTTGTATCGCCAACTGGGGAATATTTTCGAATCTTGCCACCCTATCTGGTTTTTGGTCTTTTTATCCCGACATTTTCCCGTCCTGATTGCAAATGTGACCCGACAACGGCGCCCTCGAGTCATGAATGGTGTTCACGACAACCCCTTCTTCCAGACTTCTGCGACGTTTGTTCGTCAGCTCCCAAGCCCTGAACCTTTCCGCGCCCTGTCTCATCCCGTTCCTTGTTCAGTCCACCCATCATCTCACCTCCGTCTTGTCAAAGAAAAGTTTCTACTTTTGTCTTTCACCCACCCAGGCTGAAAGGATTCGCCCAAGAAATGCGGGCCTTTACAGCATATGCACCCCCTCAACCAAACACAGGTCACTGCAGGACCTGGCATTTAAGGAGGAGTTCCCTTTTCCGCACTGATAAGGCAATCGTCCTCGATAAGAGGCGAGCGGACCAAGACCGGATATTGCAGAAATCGTCTAACCAACACACTTCAATACTTGCCGATGACGGTGCCGTTAATATTTTCCTAAACTAACCTGGGCGGACATAAGACCCAAAACCGAGACCTTGAACGACCCAATTTCAGCATCGGACAGTGCCGATTTGCCGCTCATCTCACATTCTCCCCTCGTCATTTCTTACGCAAGTGCTTCATTCGAATACTCCGCCCCAACGCACATTTCACTCATGTTGAAGTTTGCGCTGCCGTTCTCCGCCTCTAAAATCCAATATGGGACTTTGCTAGTCTACCCGCGTACGGTACGCCTAGTTAGTTGGCCCACTAATGGACAAGCCCGCCGAGGCATCTCGTGGTCGAAACATCGGCTACCAAGAGCCGAGCTCGGTGTAGATCCACACTCCACTGCGGAACGGTGCAGTTAGCCGACGAGGAAAGATTGTTCAATGACTGTATGTCCATGGGAGAATGCTAGCCTGGCCATCATGGACATGACCAGCCCTTCTGGGGTGGGGGGTGGGAAAGCCGATGCCAGTGCAGCACCCGATTGAAAAAGACGACCAGTCCCCGGTTATTCCTTTCGTCATTTCGCTCGCGTCTCCATCTTCTGATGTGGTTAGTTTTTTTCTTGGCTATCCTTTTTTTCCTTGTTGTGTGGTCCTGGGAAAGTTGAATGCCTTTTTTTCATTTCTCTTGCACCTTAAACTCGTCTGCCACAGTTCCCCATTTCGTTTTCCTAGTCTTTGCTATTTCGGCACCGAGTTCGGCAAATTCACCATGACCACATCACGCGACCCGGAAAGGGACCCTTTCCCGCCGGAAACCTCTTCGGAACAGAGAGACGAGCAAAGCCAATCCAGCGATAGCGAAGATGAAATTACAGAAATTGGCCGGAATGCAAACGGGTCTGGCAAGTCGCCGGACACCGCACCGGATGGGGCCCCATCCGCCGGCCGAAATGACCCGGCGGCCGCCAGGACACGGTCCCGGGCCTCCTCCACCCGCTCCCGTGCTCTGTCAATCGTTCCCCGGTCAAAACGGCGAGGACTTTTTGGCCAACTCGCCGTCATCCCCGAGGTGGACTGCCCATACGACTACGCAAACAGGACAAAATGGACAATCACTCTCATTATTGCCATTGCCGCGGCCGTCTCGCCCATGGGTTCCTCCATCTTTTATCGTAAGTGCCTTTAAAAGCCAGTCTCCCGTTGTCTCAGATTGCACTTTCACTTACACGCGGGGGAAAAAAACAATAGCCGCCCTACCACAAATGTCTGTAGAATTCGGCGTGTCACCAACCATCACCAACTTGTCCGTGGCATTCTACATGCTCGCCATGGCCATCTTCCCGCTATGGTGGTCCTCCTTCTCGGAAACCCTAGGCCGCCGGACCATCTACCTCATCTCATTCACTCTCTTCGTCATCTTCTCCATCCTCAGCGCCGTGAGCGTGAACATTGAAATGCTCATCGTGATGCGTCTCCTTGGCGGTGGTGCTAGCGCGAGTGTCCAGGCCGTCGGCGCCGGCACCATCGCCGACATCTGGGAGCCGCACGAGAGAGGTCGCGGCATGAGCATCTTCTACCTCGGCCCGCTGTGCGGACCCCTCCTCGCGCCCATCATCGGCGGAGCGCTCGCGCAGCGCTTCGGCTGGCAGTCCACGATGTGGGCGCTGGCCATCTACGGCGGTCTGGTGCTGATCATGATCCTCTTCTGCCTGCCCGAGACCCTGGCGCGGCCGAAGCCCCCGGCGCCGCCGGCCCGCGGGGTGTCGTCCGAGGGGGGCGGCGGCGGCGGCGAGAAGGTGGCCCTCTCCCGGACGAAGACGAGCGACTCGGTAAAGGTGCACACGAAGAAGGCGGCGGAGGTGCTGAAGAAGTCCTTTGTCGACCCGCTGTCGGTGCTGCTCTACCTGCGCTTCCCGCCCGTCATCATCACGGTGGCCTTCGCCGCCATCACCTTTGGCGCCCTCTTCGTCGTCAACATCTCGGTGCAGTCCACCTTCTCCAAGGAGCCCTACGGCTTCAGCCAGCTCATCATCGGCCTGTTCTACTTCCCCGCGGGCATCGGCTACTTCCTCGCCTCGCTCCTCGGAGGCCGATGGCTCGACCTCATCATGGCGAGGGAGGCCAAGAAGGCCGGCCGTTACGACGCCAACGGCAAACTCGTCATGCTGCCCGAGGACCGCATGCGCGAGAACGCCTGGATCGCCGCGACGGTGTACCCGGCCTCGCTCATATTCTACGGCTGGGTCGTCCAGAAGGGTCTATTCTGGTTCGTGCCGTGCATCAGCCTCTTCACCTTTGGAGCCAGCTCGATGCTCGTATTGTAAGTCCCGCATTACCCACACCATTCTTCTTCTTCTTCTTTTTTTTTTCCCCCCCTCCCCTCCCTTTCTTTTGTGTTGCTTTTGCAAGCATCACGTCCATGACGTTCCCGTCGCATCAGCTAGAGCTCGGCTAACATCGCTTCTCCCTTTAGCGGCGCCGCTACCACCATGCTAACGGAGTTCATGCCAAAACGCAGCTCAGGCGGCGTGGCAGTCAACAACTTTGTCAGGAACATCTTCAGTTGCGTCGGCGCCATCGCCGCGCAGCCTGTCATCAACGCCATTGGCAACGGGTGGCTTTTCACCATACTAGGCATTTTTACGTGGATCACGGGGTATCTATGTGTCTGGGTGCTGAGGAAGAAGGCACCGGAATGGAGGAAGAGCATGGACGAGGCGTTGAACAAGTAGAGCACACTTCCTCTAAAGAAGAGGGGGGAAAATCAAAATCAAAAAGGGTACATACATGTCCATTGTATTTAATTTTTTCATCTTGTTTTTAGCGCGCCCGCAGGATATCATCACATGACGGCATAGCGCCAAATGCATTGCGTTTTGGGGTGGAAGTCTTCTTTCTTTGGATAATAGAATTTCTGATTTTTTATTTGCTTGCATGTTTGGCCATGTGCCACACACACACGTACATACATACATACATACATAGATCGACGCTTGACTAAAAATTGCAAGGTGAAATGTCATTTTTTTCGGTTTGGTTTCCATCTCTGAGCCGCTTTCAAGCGCTCGCGTGAGGGTTGACCCCCCTCTCGGCGCAGTACTTTGCGACCTCCTTGCGGAGAGTCTGCTTCTGTCTTGAGACGAGATCCATGACGTCCCGGAGCTCCTCGCCGAGGTCCCACTCGCCCTCGCGCCCGCCGACGCTCTCGTACAGGTTCTCCATCTCCTGCAGCACGGCCTCGAGCTGGTTGGGCAGCCAGGTGACGATGGGGCTGCCGCCGGTAGCCGTCGGGTGGCTGGTGCGCTTGAGGATGTACTCGCGCGCGAAGCACCAGTGACGCCAGCGGAAGTCGCGCACCTGGTGCAGGATGAGCAGCCACAGGCGGCGGGTCTCCTTGATGGCCTCCTGCTCCTCGTTGCTCAGGCCGTCGGCCGAGGTCTTGATGGCGAGCGCGACGTCCTTGAGACCCAGCTCGATGGAGCGGTCCTTGACGTGCATCAGGAACTGACGGTGGTTGCTGGGGCGGTACGACCGGAAGTCCTTGAGGATCTCGGTCAGGGGGGTGTCGGGCATGGGCACCTGCAAGAGGTTGTCCATGAGGGGAACGATGGAGTCGTTGGCGCCGGACTCGCCGCGGAAAGACATGGGCTTGTCGTCATTGACGCCCTCGTAGACGACGCCGTTGGGGAACATGCTCTGGTTGGTGATGCCGAAGATGAATGTGCGGAAACTGGTGTAGCTCTGCGGCCGCGACTTGTCCCACATCGTCTCCATGGTGTTGTTGATCTTGCGCAGGGAGGCGAGGACCTCTGTCAGTCCGTGGTTGAGGGAGGCGCGGTCGATGGAACCTGGCGAGGTGCAGCGAAGGGCGGCCATGGTTCCCTTCACGAGAGGACCGGTGTTCTTGACCATGTCGATGTGGACGAGGACGAAGCCTGCCTCGGATGAGGTAGGGTCCAAGCCGTGCTCAAAGGCGCGGATGAGGCGGATGTTGGAGTACTCCATACCCTTGGAGGGGTCCTCTAGGCGGTAGTTGTAGAGAGCGTAGGAGCCGGCATACTCCATCCAAGGCTTGAAGCCGGTGCTTGAGTGCTGTCAGTATAATGCATTCGAAGACAGAGTAGTGGCAAGGGTAAAGAAGGATTAAATAAGTGAATAACAAGTTAAAAAAAAAAAAAAGGTTCAGAAACTTACATCTCAGCACAGCGGGCAATGGGAAGTGAGATGCTCTTAGGCAGAACCTGGCGTCCAAGGCCGTATCCCTCACCCTTCACGAAGCGCTCATGGCAGGGCTCGAGCAAGTAGGCGGAGGCAAGGAACGAGTAGTCGCGGTAGAGTGCGTTCATCAAGGGCAAGTTGTCCTTGTACTTGTCGATGGCATCCGTGAGGTTGGGGAACTCGTTGTCAACCTTGTCGCCTAGCTTGGACGATGCCAAGAGACCGGGGGTGCCATCGAGCTTCTTGACGGGCATTTCTGCCAAGATTTCCTCGAGAGGCGCAAACTCCGATGGCAACACGGCGACGGGGTCTGCACGGGGCAGAAAGCCGCGGGTGGTGGAGACCATGAAGGCCGGGAGGGAGTTGTCCTCGGGACGGGTGTCGTCGAGGACGGGGAAGTGAGTGGAGCCAAGGGAACCCATTGTGTGATGAACGACTGGGGGAAATAAACGTGGGGAAGTGAAAATAAGGGTTGTTTGAGCGGGTGGGCTGTGTGGGTTGTGGGATGATGTTGGTGTGTAATGGGCTATTGTGTGTGCGCGGATTGGGTGTTTTGGTATGGGAGCGTCGGTAAGGTTGACTTATACGACTGGGGTGAGGGCGTGTAAGTGATATGGATATGCAAAGGTACGGAAAAAAATCGCCAAAATTCTCAAACGATTTCCCGAGAACCGAAGAGAGTGTCTTGGATGCGAGCGCTGTGATGAGTGAGAGTTCAAGTTCAGATTGTTGACCTGCCACCACTCGGCGCCGTGTATATACTTCGTGGCCGGAATCGATTCCGGCCTCAAATGAGGGGGTGCCTCCCTCCGGCCAGACATGACACGAAGCCCCCGTCCGCCGTCCGTCCATTTCTGTTTGTCATATCATCCTAATCTTTGGTCACACGGGACAATCTGGTCCAAAAGAAACGAAGTTTCCACCCGCGTCCTGCCGGCCACGCCCTTGCATCTCTCCGTCTGAGAGGCTGTCAACAACGATAGCGGCACACTTTGACCCCTCCCACCCCAGATTGTGCCCCATCTAGCCCCAGATTGTCCAGTTGGCCAGCTGACATTATTCTCAATGTGGAAACACAGACGCCCTAATAATTTATTTTCGTTGCTGGCATGACGAATCGTTGTTGTGCTATTACGATGCCGAAGTTTTCAACTTCTGGGCACCGATACGGGAGTGCAGGAGCTGGAGGGTAGTTGAGTAATGGTTTTGCAGAGGCCCACTTATTGTCCGACTATTGCCGGCGTGGCCGGAACCGTTCCGGCCACTTGGCACACGGTCCCGGACCAACCTGGATGAGACGACTAACAAGTTTCATACTTATCTATAATAGATAACTGTTAGGGGGACAGATAACAAATCAGTTCGTATTCATAAGGAGACCTCTGCAATAAAAGTGCTCATCTGTTGAAGATGTGCCCGGTGCCTTATCTTGGCGTCTGCCCCAACAGAACCATAACCCTACTGCAATAACAATTTGTGTGTGCCCAGTCGTTCCTTGCTAATGCCAAATGAGTGTCGTAGAAATGAATTTCCCATAGTCGTTGAAATCGTTTGCCAAATCATTCATCGTGTTCGTCATATCCGTCATGGTCCATTATCCTTCTTCTCATGAAGCCTTGAATCCTTTGAGTCAACAATGGGCGTTGGCATTATTTTTCAAGTTGACAAGGACTTGCCTTATGTCTCAATAAGAGCCTTACGAGTCCAACAGTTCCAGAGCGTTTTCTTCTTCCCGAATCAGAAGGAGATTGGAGCGGCCGGGACTTTTTCGCAAATCCCGGCGTGTCTTCGAAGACGCCCACGACTCAGCGACACTCTGACCTAGGTTCCAATCGTCGTCTGGGGCAGGGACGTCAGGGTCGACCCAAGACTCTACCACCTCAACGACTTGCTCCACACTCTGCTCTGGGTCATCCAATTCGGGGTCCTCATCTTCGTCATCATCCTCAATAGATCGCGCCTTAGGAGCTACCGCCGGGGTGCCATCTTCGTAGACGTATGAAGTAAATGTCTGAGTGAGCGTCTTCTTGCATAGCGTACCGGTTGAGGCGGCTGTTCCGTACGCCGTGGTGATGGAGTCACGAGGGCCTGCACCAGAACTTGTCAGAAACGGAGTGGGGGTAGGAGGACCTACATTGGGATCATTGGTAGCCGGCGGGTTCGGTGAGTTGGAGCTTGGAAGGCCAGAAGCTTGAGGTTCAGAAACTCGCGAAGAGGTTGCAGGAGGGTTGGCTGATTGCGCCGGGGACGAAGGCGTGAGACCAGGGGAGGCAGTTGGTTCCGCGTTACCTGCCGTGTCGGTCGGAGGTTGAACAGCGCCTCCACTTGACGAGATGCTGCCGGATGAAATGATGGACACGAGCTGTGTTTCGATGGATTGAATGAGCCTCAAGAGTTCTTCCAAGGCCTGTCGTGGAATTTGGACATTCTGTCTCTTTGCGAGCTTGGCAACGTCCACATTATCTTGGTTGCGATGGCCGCTGCTCCAGGTGTTCAAGAATTCGTTCAAGTGCTTATCGAGAGTCTCAAGTACGTCAGTCAACGCAGAGTCACGAGAGAACAGCTGGTATTCGCCTGCTGGAAGCTGGTTAGATTCAACATCGCCGGATCGTCCGCGAAGGACGGCGCTGGACGCGCACTGAAAGGCGATATGCAGAATGACGCCGGCGCGAAGAAATTTGGTGAAGAAGTGCATATTGGAATGTTGCAGTGAGTATAAGATGGTTCATACATCAAACATGAATGTCGAGACTTCTCGAGCTCATGATATAGCTTTGTGGCGTTGCTACCGAATGTAAACATGGCAACGCATTCCAGAAAACCACTCCGTGCTGTTGATGCGCAAGCATTCCTCTGCCGACGTGGTTCCTCGGTCAATTGTGCATTAACGTTGCCGATTCCAAGAAAAGACGCCGTGGATTGTCTTTTCGAACAATGGAGATAATGATCGAACCGGACGGACTACGTCTAGAGCCTCTTGAAGGCTACAGGATAAGACACTTGGCATTTTCTACTTTTTCGTGACGGCGGTGGTGCGCTGTAAATGCAACAACCAAACGGTCAGGCTGGTGGGACCAGGGCGGAGCGTGAGAGAATGGGCCGGGAAAATCATGGTGATGAAGCCGTTCACAGAAGTAATTCATGGTTGTGGAGCGTTGCAGGCGTAGGGGTTAGTTTCGGAGATGCACGACGGCGTTTGGTTTTGGGACGACGACAGGATCAGTTCCCGCTTGTACTGGCAGTGGTGATGATCGGCCGCGGGCAATAGTGATACATGACGCAGTTAGAACAGATACATCCCTGAGGTGGATTTGGGGTCGGATCAAACATGAGTCTAAACTGAACACTCTTGGTGGATGGTGATAGTGTTCGCACGGATGCGATGAAACAGTTCAAGGTGAACAGCAAGTTTGTGATTCTACACCGTTGGTCTCTTCCTCTTGACTGCCAAAAAGTAGCGATGGTTCCCCGCTCAGGAGAAGCGTGTATTGTGCTGCCCGCTCCCCATTGCCCGCATTCTACTCAGCTGAGTGAGGCGCTGGTCTCTTCTCATACGTGACAGGCGACTGGCGATCGCTGTTGACCATGAAAGCAGCGCAAGAGGGATGGTGACAAACATATTTTTGGGATGCAGTAAGACGAGTAGAGCCATTCCTTTTCTTCTTTCGAGGGATTCAGGCGGCTTGAGCGGCTAGACCGGAGCTGAGCTCTGGCCTCATCTCCATCAGGCTTGCGCCACTTGGCTTTCCATTTTCTGTTGGAGTCGGGTGAGAGTTCGATTGGTTCTCGCTCAAGTGGGTGGGAGTAATTTTGTATCCATCTGACAGGGAAGTGAGATCACGGCAGATGCGGGAGGGTTTTTTGCTGCCCTATTCCTACGGCTCCAGGGCACCTACACTCAGGTTTTTCGCAGGCTAGTGTCGGTGTTGATTTCGAGATCGATACCGATGTCAATGATATTCAAGTGTTTGCATGTAGCGTACAGAAAAAAGTAGCTGTAGCTATGGGAAGCGGTTTTGTATTTCCGCTGACATTAATTGGGGGGAACACGCAGATTACAGGGAGCGCTCGCTCAAATGATTAGAACAGGGAATGCAGATTGCGATGGTTCTTTGGCCATTCCGGTGCCCATCGGAGAGCCCACGATGTTCCAACCTGGGCTTGGTTGCAATCCGTTCGGGCGTGGTCAATTCACTGCCTGTCCAGCTTCTCCTTCCTCTACGATGATCTTCCTGATTCGGTGATGGCGTTACACAGCGGTTGGATTGCAAAGGTTGATGCGTTAGTTCTGTCTTTAAGGGGTTTCTTGCCCCCCTCCCCCATGTCCGATGATGTAGTGGAGGCGGCTACCTGGACGGAAAATGGGCGACAGTTGAGGGCTTAAATGCACAGAGTTCTGCCCCAAGTTGTGGAATCAAGGGAATACCAGGATGACGAGGAAGGAAGTCTGCAGTTAACACCACCAATTCAAGGTTCTGGGCTGCCCTGAACAGAGTGCTGCAGTGCGCCAGCCAAGTTTGATTCTTCGCCCTTGATCCTCGCCGACCGGGTATCCGAACGCGTTGATCTCACAGTAAGTTCCTGCAGGTTGCATCCGAAATAGCGAGCACGGCGGTAACAATTGCTGGGCGTGGTTTGCCCTTGACAGCTCATTAATCATTCACCGGTTAGCTGAAAGTGCATGGTTTGTTGCTGAGACCCAGTTAGCGATGCTGGAGATTGCCTTCGTCTTGGATATTGCATTAGGTGGCAGCCCGCATTTCTGTCGTTTTGCTGTGGGCGTGCCGAACCGAATAGGTCACGAGCGTGTCATGACCCCGAGGGAAATAATTCGTAGCACATAAAGGTCTGGAAAGGCCATGGATCATCGTCCGGTATACCGCGCGGTGCTGTGGGGGGAAGTGTTAGAAAAGGTAGCGTACTATCGCGAATTTTCGAGTCAAGCCTTGCCCGAATAGGTAAGAGACAGGTAGCGAAGTGCTGAAGTGTTTCGCCATCGCCTTGACATTTAGACGTAGAGCAGATCGGTCAAAAAGGCGCGATTGAAGACATAAAAACAAGGTATTGCCTGAGGCACTGGACACCGGGAATTACGAAGGAAAGGTAAGGCCAAAAGAACGAGCGACTGGCCCGGAGACAAGACGAGGAAGTGATGGTTTCGGACGAGGATGATTAAAGGGATGGGTGGAAAGGAGAGAGAGAAAGAAAGAAAGAAAAAAAGGTTTGTGGCAGGTGTTACTGAGCTTCTTTCCCAGGTATTTTGCTGAGGTCAGAGGCCCCCAAATCTCAAAGCCCAAGATCCAGTAACATTCGTCAAAGTTGGAAGGTTGTCCAGCCCATGTTGCTGTTGCTGTCGTGGGTGGCCCGGCGGCGGAACCGGAGCATATCGCAGTACGTACTTGGTGTTGGTTTTTTTTTTTTTTTTCCTCCCCTTCTTCTCTCCGTCCTCTCCATTCCGACTTGTATATGGGTAATTAAGTAGGTACCTCAAGGGTAGGAAAGGTACCGCGTAAGGCTTCAGGTACTTCGTACTTGGCTGTGTGAGGCGTGATTGCCCTACGTGCTGCGCGTAAACCCAGAAGACGGGCCTTGTACCCTTGTACCTCTAGAAGGGGGGAAAGAATCCACCTGTGTATCCCTTTCCGGCCACGGGCCCCCCCAGGTCCCAGGCTTTCGCTTACCCACAACTGCGGCGCTGGCTGCTGCTGCACGAGAGGAAGCGAAAGCTGGAGGTCAATTCTTGACGGGAGCGAAGCCCAGCACCACGCACCCAGCACCGCACCGCACCCAACCCAGCATGAGAACCGTTTATTGTCACGCCGCCTGGTCTGGCGCTCTCTCGAAAATGAGACGCCAAACTTACCAGAGGGACTCCCCCATAAAATAAAAATTCTCTCCTCTCCCCATCGCCTCTTCCTTTCCACCCTTCCATTCCATCCATATCGTCTCTGCAGACCATCACCACCTCGCCGCCGACTATGCGAGTCGCCGACGCGAAATAATCTGCCACCCGCAAATCCGCACTTCACCGCACCGCAAACCAAAACCAACGCACCGCCCAAAACCTTGCCAATCCCCTGCCCACCAGAATCATTACCGTGGCCATTGGATGACTGGCCCGACCGCCACCCCATCCACCAAACCAGCTGTGTCTTCGACAAAGTCAACATTTCTCCTTCTCCAGCTTCCCGTCGCCTCCCCTTCGAACTTTCGCTCGTCATCTTCCCCTTTCCACGCCTCATCCTCATACCCATCTACTCCATCCACCACACAATAGCGAACACATCGAAATGGATTCCCCAAGCGTGCGCCGCAAGTCATCAGGAGCCAAGAGCGAACTTGTCGTTATCCTCACTGTTAACGCCGAAAAATTGAAGGAAATTCTCGAACCTAGTCCCGTCAAGGAGGATTCCCCCGTCAAGATGGACGTCGATGAGACAAATGGCATCAAGGAGAACCAAGAATCGCAGGACTCCCCTGCCACCTCAACGACGCTGCCTGTTCCTGCTGCGACGAATGGCGAGAACGCATCTGACTCCAATCCTGCCACGCCTGTTGCAGGCGGAACTCCAGCACCCACTTCAATGGGACCTCCTACCGAAGGAGCCAAGAAGAAGGGCAACAAGCGCGGTCCTGGTGCTGTTAATGGCATTGGACCCGATGGCCAGCCCAAGGTCCGAGGCAAACCGGGCCCCAAAAAGAAGGCTCGATTGTATGTTACATCATGTATCAAAACACTCCGAACCAACGCATGCTAATGATTTAATATAGGGAGGATGGCACAATCGACCCTAACGCCCGGTCGGGAGCTGCCGGACACAAGCTAGGCCCCAAGGCGAATCAGGGAGCCATCAATGCCGGTCTCCGAGCTCTCGACCGATCAGGCAAGCCCTGCCGTAAATGGGCGAGGGGCGGCTTCACACTCAAAAGCTTTACTGGCATTGTCTGGGAAGTACCTCGTTGGACCGCACCGCCCAAAATGCTTCCTGAGTCCACTACCGAAGAATCGGCTGCCGCTTCTGCGGACAGCAGCACTAAGGAGAACAAGGAGAACGACCAGGTGAAGAGCGATGCCAACAGTGCTGTCAACAGCGGCGTTGACGTTGAGATGCGGAGCGCGCCCGGCAGTGTTCCCGCCAGCTCCCCGGCTCCGATGGCCATTTCCGCCGCATCATAGCCGCCCTATGGCGCTGTGTTTTTTTTTTTTTTTTTTCCCCTTCTTTCATTTTATCATGGAGCTATGCAATCTTAGGCTACCCCATGGATGTACACAACAGCTTGGAGTTTGGCGGTCAAGATGGAAAAGGTCGGGGGTTTGCCTGACAGCATTTGGCAGAGGCACACAGTGCCTAGGGTTTGCCGTCAATGGATGAGACCTTCTCGTGCGGGCATTTGCCCGCTGGCGTTCAGGAGATTTGGTATGTTGGTTCAGCGCGATAGCTGCCAAGGCAACGGCGTTTATCAAGAAAGATGCAAAGTGTATACTACAAAGTTGGTGCATGCATGAAGAACCCTTTACGGGGTGGGCGATAGAATTGATGGAATTCTTACAAGCGGTGCTCGGGTGACTGTTGCGATGGTTGAAATGTGCCGGTTGTCTAGTGCCGAGCGAAACCCTCGGATGTAAAAATTCCCACTCGAATAGGGGTGATTGAATCATGAGGGCGATGTGCAGCCGGCGAGCGAGGTGCTGGTCAGGTAAAAGTAAGGCAAGTTGAGTTTGCGGGTCGTTTGCATTGACGCCAGGCAGACGGTCAACCTTGAGTGTGCCACGCGGCAGTGCTTCGTTGTCTGTGTATGCGTATTTTCGTCTTGATGCATCCAAAACTCATGATGGTCCTGTTACAGACCCGCGAATGATGACACCCTGGGCGGTGTTGGCGTCGTTGTTGTGATTCATCGGTGGCCGAAGGCATGTGGGAACCCACTGTCGGCAAAGTGCGAAAAAGCATTGGTGCCCTCCTCCCATGATTCCCCCATTCAGCCCGTTTGCCTCCTTGTGATGGAGGAGGCCGGGACCAAGGGACGTTGGTGTCAGGCACGGATCTTACATAATCAAAGGGGCTGGGATTGCCAGAGGTTTCCCCCAGACTGGGTTTAGGTGATTAAGTGACAGTGCGAAAATTTATGGATTCGGACTGTATGATGACAGAGTTTCCCTATCCTTTCAGGTCTGGCTGAGCGTCTTACTCGAGACCACCTCCTTTGTCAGATAAGAAATTTCTAGTCCGAAAGTGTCCTTAAAAGTGAATCACTATCATTGGCTTGGGTGGACAAACAATTATTGCCTGTTATGAGGTGCTTTCTAAAGGCATCCGACAGAGGCGTTTCGATTCCTGGGACGACCAAGCACACAGTGCATGAGCCGATAACACCGTCCTGGTCCAGATTGGTTTTGCTCCGCTGCACTAGCGATCCCTGGAGAGTCCTGCCTGCAGTAGGGGCCTGCTGTGACTGGCCCCGTTGGCGCCTCAACTGGCTCTGCCAGGCTCTAATGATGACCTGCTCTCGTGATTGTTTAGTGGCATCATACACTGGGACGACGGCGGACACGCTCGGGACAGGCCAAGCCCAACAGCAAAACACCCGCTTATCTTTTGCCCGCGCCCTGGGCCTCACTTCCGTCACTGCACCGCACCGCACCGCACCACGCATGGATGCAACTCTCCACGTTCCGTCCGTTACCCTTACCTTGCCAACAGCAGCACCACACCACACCCAGTAGCTTGCCAGTACGTACGCTCACCCTGTACCTCCCCCCCATCTCCACCTACCGACCTGGAGCGATAGCACCCGACATCAATCAACCCCATCTCTCGACCTTTCATCAACGCGTTATCATGATAATCGAGCTGTCCTGCGCCGCTCCTTAGCACTGACGAGTACACCTTCATCTGTGCGTTCTCGTGCCTTTTAGTAGAGCGAAATAAACCCCTGACCTCTCGGCGCCTGCCCACATACGCACACCATATCGTAATAGTGCAACCCCGATCTAACTATCCGTCTCAGCACGCCATTCCGAAGCCGATTGCTTGTTTGGCCTTTCCCCGACGATCCCCCCGTTCCTCCAAAGCCGACCGCCTGCCGGAGACTCGAACAGACCACACAGCACCGTAGACTCGATCTCCGCCACCGCATAACCACCCTGGGAAGCTCGGATTGCGGCTTCTCGGGGCTCCACGAAGCTCCCGAGCGAACGAGAACGTCACAGGTGTGCCGAACTCGCCGCCGCCGCTCTCCTCCACGATCCTCGACCCTTCCCCACCATGACCAACCCGTTTCATGGTTCTTCCCATTATACAGATTCCAACGCAACGACCGGTAGCTCTGGTCTTCTTCCACGACGCTCCTCCTACGCATCAGCCGCTTCCGGGGCACCCCCGAACACCAACCCGCCCTTCCTATCCCATCCTGGCCGTACATCAGTCATCAATCAGATTCTGAACTCTTCCGACGACATCACGTTCGAACCGGCCTCAAGCGGTTACCATCCGATTAGAGGGGACGACATGGACGGGGACAGAAACGGCGCCAGCCTCAACGGTGCGTCCGGGCGGTGGTCGCAGGGTTCTCAACTGCCTTCCTTCTCGAGGGTCTTCGATATGTTCATGTCGACACCGGGAAATGAGCTGTCCGGCGCCGCAAACGGAAACGGAGACGGCTTCTTCGTGCCCCCGTACTTGGCTGGATCAACATATGTTCAGCGGTTAGAGGAAGCGCACTGGGCAAAGGTGCAGGCGCAGAAAGAGTCACAAGCGGCCCAGGTACAGGCCGCTGGAAACCTATCGACGAGTCCTAGTAGTGTTAGTCTGCACAGTAAGCCGGCCTCACATCGCGGTGTCAACTACGACGTCATCGAGAAGCCCCCCGCTTTCGAGGAAGACGAAACATTTACCCCGCTGCCCGCAAGGTGGAACAGAGACGACAAGTACGGAGCGTTGGATATCTTGTCAGATGGCTTGGAAGTCAGATACATCGGGCCCAGAGGCCAGACGGAACGCGATCACGAGGCTTTCAGCATACGTGCCGACAATCACATGCCACCGCAGTGCGGTATCTATTACTTTGAGGTTCAAATATTGTCAGGAAAGCGAGACGAGTAGGTTTTCCAGGCAAGGTGTAAGGATAAGGCAGTTTCTGACTGGTATTGCAGCATGACGATCGGCATCGGATTCTCGGCCAAGACAGTGGCATTATCACGGCCTCCAGGCTGGGAGCCGGATTCTTGGGGATACCACAGCGATGATGGCCACTGCTACGCGGGCCAAAACGGTGGTAAAGCATACGGTCCTTCATTCACTGCGTCTGATGTCATCGGTTGTGGTATCAACTTCCGCACCGGTTGTGCATTCTTTACCAAGAACGGACGTCTACTTGGTACAGATTACTCACTTACGATGAAGGACATCTTCGGCTGACTTCTATTAGGTACCGCGTTCCGAGAAATTGGAAAGGGAAGCCATCTTTATCCCACAGTCGGGTTGAAAAAGTCAGGAGAGCATGTTCGCGTCAATTTTGGCCAGACACCCTTCGTGTTCGACATTGAGGGCATGATGACGGTTAGTTACCATTTCGCTGCTGTTCCCTTCGCCCTATGTTGTGGCTTGATGTGGCTCATTTGGGTTGCTTCCACCGTCCCTTCCCCTTGTCTCAAGACGGGCTAAGCTGTCCTTGTCCTCGTTGTGTCCGATTCGCCTTAGTCGCCCTACCTACTTTTGGACTTGTCAAGGTGGACGCTCAATGGCATATTCATGTGCTATTGCTAGCCAGTATTCGGCGATTGTGCTTACGGAAACACATATGCTTGTCTTCGCTTCAGTATTTTGAGGTTGTTGTCAATCTTTTGCTAACTCATGGCCGCTTAGTCTGAAAAATCGCGTATCCAAAAAGAGATTTCCGAGACGAGTACAGCAAGTCTTGCGCCAGCAATGAGTGAGACTGAGTTGATCCAAGCTCTGGTGAGTTGCGGTTGTGTTGCCACCAGATTGTGTGCCTGCTGACAGAAACAGGTCCTGCAATTCTTACAACACGATGGTTACGTAGAGACAGCGAGAGCATTCGCGGAAGAGATTAACGCAGAAAAGAAGGCCCTAAGCATCGACCCCAACGCAGAAATAGAGGGCATTAATGTTAAAGACGATGAGCATGCGAACAAGCGACAGCGTATGTTGAAACCCGAAAGATTTGTCGCTCTCTGACTGACCACCGCAGGTATCCGAAGAGCCGTACTCGAGGGCGACATCGACAAGGCACTCAAGCACACCAATGCTTTTTACCCCCAGGTTCTCAAGGACAACGAGCAGGTGTACTTCAGACTTCGGTGCCGCAAGTTCATCGAAATGGTACGAGCTGGTGCGGAAATGAGGGCGGCTTCAGAGGGCAAGAAGAGCAATGGCCATTCTGCCGTTGACTTGAGTGCCTCGGCTATGGACCTTGACGCCAACGGAGGCGAGAATGGCGCCTGGGATCAAATGGATACGGAAGGCTCGGAAGGTGCACCCCTCGGCATCGATGCTCTGGAGCTGGCCACTTTGCAATACGGCCAGACTCTGCAAGCCGAGTTCAAGAACGACCCCCGACGGGAGGTTTCGAAGCATTTGGAGGACATCTACTCCCTTCTTGCGTATAGCAACCCTCTGATGGAGAAAGACGTTGCCCATTTACTTGACAGGAAAGGTCGCTTAGCAGTGGCAGAAGAGCTCAACTCGGCGATTCTCTGTGAGTAAACAGTGTGCCGCTCACGCGAGCACCCAGCTAACCCGCGTAATAGTGTCTTTGGGCAAGTCCTCCCGTGCTGCTCTTGAAAAGGTCTACGCCCAGACCAGTGTCCTGCTGGACGATTTGCGAGAAAATGGCGGACCAGGCGCCTTTATCTCGTTACAGGACGTCATCGAAGATATCCCAAAGTCCCAGCCCTTTTAAGGGACGACCGATTCCGACCAGGAAAGGCGGGGTCCAGGCCCTCCTTGGGATGTCGTAGATGGTATTCCACCACTGTTGTGTGCAATTTAGAACATGTCATGTTTTCCCACTCCACTTTTTTCCCCTTTTTACTCATACTATCGGCGTCAGGCTTCGTCTTGGAGTGGGGGATGGTGGACTCTACAGTCGGTTATGAGGATTGTTTTGCATTGGCTGATGTGGCGGACGGGTAGTTTACATAGGTCTCACTTGGGGGCGTCTGACGCCGCTGCACAAATGGACATGCTATTGTTGACAATGTGCTGTTCGTCAACGGTGACGGTGTGTACGTACGTTGGCAAAGCAAAGCTTTTCAACATAGTTTTGCAAAATTCTACCATGTTGTATCGCTTGCGACGATGAAATGATGATAATGATGATGAGAAGGTCTATCGAGTTGAAACCGTGCCGGACCGATCATTGCCCAGTCACTCTTTGAAAAATTCTACATGTCCCCGTTATCCTTTGAGGCAGGTCAAGCGGACAGATTCCAGATTATCTTATAATACAAGCCCCAACCGTCTCCCCCCCCTCCTTCCCCCTTTGCTTTCTCACACGAGAACAACGTCGTCGTCGGGAAAGCATCTTGCCGACAACCTCTCCCTGTGTCTCACGAGGACGGGGAACTCCATCAGCACCTCGGACAGAGTGCGGTCGGCCCAGCCGAAGGTGTCGTCGAGCAGGAGGTGCGTGTACGCGAAGACGGAGGCGTCGAACAGCGTCGGGTCCTCAGCGGCGAAGAACCAGCCTGTGCCGCCGCCGCCGCCGCCGCCTTCGCTCTCGTTCAGGAGCGCCGCGAGAGCCTCGAACGCGGAGCGCGCGTCGGCGTATATCCGCGCCGGATCGACCACGGCTGTCCGGGTCGCTTTCAGGACTTCCGCCTCGGCGGCGGAGCAGACTTGGTGGGATAGGGCTAGTCTCGCTACGGGGTTGTTGGTGGCCGGTTCGATGTAGAGACGGGAGAGGAGGGCGGCGTTGGCCGGGGAGAGGTAGAGGGCGTGTAGCCAGGCTGTGCGGACGCGGTGGTCGAGGAGGGACTGGTAGGCTTGGAGGCGGCCTTCGGGGAGCGGCGGCTGTTGTGAGGGGTTCTTTTCGGAGGAGGAGGAGGAGGGGCGTTGGTCGAGGGCCCAGGACTCGAGTCTGCTTCCGGCGGGGACGGGACGAGAGGGTATCGGCGGTTGGAGGTAGGGAAGGGCGCCGGAGGGGGAGGCGTGGTTTGTTGAGGGGAGGATGCGGAACTCTACGCCGGCGATCTTGAGGAAGGTCTATTGGGAAGGGAAAGGGCCGTGTTAGTGAGCATTCCTTTTTTTTTTTTCCGGTATGAGAGGGGACGTGGTGGGTGAGCGTTTACCTGCCACTTGAGACACGAGGGGTTGAAGCTCGGTCGGCCCTTGGGGGCATCTTCGGCGGCGACGAAGACGTAGAGGACGGGAGTGTCGCCGCGGGAGGGGGAACGGAGGGGCAGGTCGTTCGGAGGGAGAACGGCCAGGGGGAAGCGCCGGAAGAGGGCGGCGATGGGGGCGGGGACGGCGAACAGGCTCCTCGGGGTGTGGTCCGGCATGTTTGCGGTGGCGCGCCGGAGGAGGCCGGAGGGAGGCTGAGGAGGGGTCGGACGATAGAGTGGAGGGGAAAGTAGTGAGTGAGCGGAGCTCCGGGCCGGACGAGGGAGAAGAAGACCCTCGACCAGGAACGAGGTACGTAGCTTCTGAGAGAATGGGGCGCCTCTTTTTGATTTTTTGGTCCCTCTCACTCTCTTTTCGTGTACGGAGTATGCTGGTCTGGTCGCGTCTCGCGTGCTTTCGTGGTGCTTTCTGCGGTGGTGTTGCCTCCTTGTTGGCCCGTGGGAAAGGGGAGCGAGAAATTGGTGCCGGGGTGGGGTCTCGGCGGGCAGCTGCAGGTGGGAAAGGCAAAGAGCTAGTTGGTTGGTCGGAGCTACCTAGCTAGCTTGCCATTTGCAGGGCCTTTGGGGGGGTGGTGGATCGTAATCGGGAGCGGAAAACGACATTGCAGAGAGGATTGCCAGATTATCGAGGTTGCGCTTCTTTCTACACCGCCCATCTGCCGCGAAGGAGGTGGTAATTTTATCACGGTCACCCCCCTCCCGCATGCGAGATAAGGATATCTCTTTTTTTCCCTTCCTTCTCGGCGCATTAGAGGGGTTGGGTGGTGCAATAATGGTACGGAACCACGGCTAGTGTGGCATGAGGTTTATGGGAAACGGAACAAATGGCAGGCTAGCCTTTTTACTACGTAGTACCCAGGGAAATCCGTGAGAATGGAGACCTTGGAGGAGAATTTGAAGCGGGATCCCGCTCGTGGTTGTGGTCTGGATAAGCTGCTGGTACAGCTGCACTGTTGGCATGGCTGCAGAAAGACTTGCAGTATTGTTACTACGAGGGCGGTTTTGAGGCGCTGCGGATGGACCCTGAATTTCTTACCGTTGCGGTCCCCCTCCACCCCCTGTCTACGCTTAACTTTTTTTTTTTTTTTTCCTCTTCACTTACGGAGTATCGTGCTCGTAAATGTCACCGGCCCTTTTTCTTCCTTCCTTTTATGAACCCTTCCTGCTTTTCCGCCGCCGCTATATTTCACGCAGGATGCAGGGCAAACTAAATGAGCTGGCACTGGGGGGCGCTGCAGGTCCCATCGACGGACGGTCTGGCCAAAGAGGGTCGGTATCCGTTTTAGGAATCCGTACGGGTGCGGCGGAAAGTCCGACCAAGTTTTTTTTTTTCTTTTTTCTTCTTCTTTTACTCCCTCAAGGTGAATGGGGGAGAATGGAGCCCTGCCGAGGTGAATGAAATGTTAGGATAACCCGAGTCGGTGAGGTTGGTTTAAAGGGACCCGTCGGTCATTGGCTCCGGATTAATCACGGCGAATTGATGATGGGAATTCCAGCGGCTGGCGGAGTCCCCCACTCAATTTGACGCCTTCTATTTGCAAGGTGGCCCTCGGTATTCTCGGGCAAATTCCTCGCTCAATTGGCAAAACTGGCGCCTCTTTTTCTCTCCGTGGACGGCGTCTTATTGCGTAACTGTCCTCTCACTCTCTCTGGAGTGGTGGCAAGAACAAAGCAGGCCCGCTTCTCAAAACACAAGAGGGCCACACTCGTTATTACGACTACTAGCACCTATGGCACCTCGTTACGGGGTCCTAGTAGCAGAGACAAGCGCAAGGCGCTTCAAGGATCAATATTTGGGTTGACTGGGTCCCAAAACAGGACAGGCTGACGGTAGCGGACGGAGCAGCAAGACGGTCTGCCGCGACTCATGCACAAAGATGCAAGTGTATGCGCCAGTTTCCAATACCACCGACCGCTCCATCCAGTCCTCACTCATGCTCTCTGGGCTACCATAACTTGTTTGGGCATATCCCTCAAAGCCCGATGGGGTTACGCCATTGATTGTTAATCTTTCTGCTTGCTCCCTTACTCTCTTACGTCCGTTGACTGGACACGGGCGAGCTAGCGGGACTTGAGGCCGCCTACGAGAAAGAAAGAACAGGAAAAAAAAAATATTGCTACAAACGCATTGGTGGTTTGACCAACGCTGCATGCCTTCAAGGATTGGTCTAGGAAGAACCTTCCTAACATGTGGTGATTAACCCATCCGAGACATGATTTATTGCTGAGATATAGGTTGCCGTATTATAAACGAGGTTGCACCTCTTGGCTGGATGCTGGAGCAACGGCTTCCGGATGCTGCGCTGCGATGCCATGCGATGCACTGCACTATGCGAGTTTGAGGCGCCGTATTGCGGTGACAGACGGATGAATAACAATCAAGGCACTCAGGACAGGCAGAAAATAAAAAAAGATATTTCAACGGGTCCTTGCCATCTCATGAGATTGCACGATTCTGGCCCCCATATCAGAAGAGAGTGGTCCTACATGGCCATCGTACTGTGTTATCCGCCCGGGGGATACTCATCCCGAGGGTATTCCGAGTCTGATGCGAGCAAACGGAAACCTCTTGCGCTTGGCCAAGAGCAGGAGCTCCATGGAACTTTCAGCGGGTCCTGACGAGGAAGGGGGCGATAAGTGGGCTTGGGAGATCTCAGTCCCGAGATATTCCGCATCTGTGTCCAAGGCACACACACACACACACACACACACACACACACACACATACACAATGTACACGCGGGATTATGCCGATGTCGACGAGTCGGAACCCAAGCCATGAGGGAGCTGACGGGCGCCAGGCAGAGGAAAGTTCTGTGGGGTGGAAAGGAACGTAAAAATGGGCATTCCGTCAATGTCGTTCGGTTCTTCTTCACATGTTCCCCACCATCCGACCGGCCACCCCTGAACTTGATCTCCCGCCGTCTATTACTCTCACGTATGGACGGTCCCACTGAGCGCCTCTCGAGTACCTGCTGCACCAAAGAGGCAAGCTATGGCGAACACACGATGGCTTCAGTGGCATGGAGGGGGTTGAAAGAGACCAGCGAAAGAGCAAAGAATCACAAGCAAATGGCGAAACGGACATATTCAGCCTTTCAGGGGGAGGGGAAGACACACATTCCCCTTCTTTTTGAGTTTTGCGCAGTTTCCCCGGGTTTTGTCGCTCGAGGCTTGTGATCATGCGCTCCAGCTCCAGATCCAGCAGTTCCAAAGTCCATCCACGTCTTCTCCCCGCAATCCAGTTCGAGATAGAGTTCAGTCCGCACCAGCCCACGCAACAGCCGCACAGTCATGACTCTAGACGCCACTGGTCTCGCCATATCTGACGAAAATCTTGGGACGGGACGCCAATCCGTACCTCCCGGACTTGGAGGAGGTGAGGTAACTACTAAGCAATCGGGAGGGAGGGGGGCAAGAGGTCTCGCATCGGATTGAATCGACTGGCCTCGTTTCGCTTCGCAGCCCATTCCCATCCATCATCGTCTGCCTCGGTCGATATCATACAACACCGCATCATTTCCGCCAGTCGGGAGAAAGATACTGCCTGCGTACCAGGTGCCGATACGGATACACACAAAAGAGGGAAGACAAACCCGTTACAGCAGGGCATGACCTTTGACATTGACCGCAGGATAAACATGGGCATGGAACGGCGCAGCACAGCATAGCATCATCCTCAAAAGTGGAGCCGAGCATGTCATCGCCTGGCTGTTCTCCCCCCGCCCTAGGCCGGAATCGAACGAGAAGGTAGGCTTCGGTGCATTGGTTATTTTTCCCAGGATCGCTTTGCAGCACAGTTGATGCGATCCAGTCAAGTCCAATGCGGAGAATTGGCATAGAGAGGGACCAGAAGCGCTCGGGTACCGGTACATCCAGGGCGACAACCCCCCATGCCTGTCATGACCTGCCGCCTTCGCCCTACCCCACACAGCGAAACGCTCGACGGTCTTCTGGCCGACCCCCATCCCCTGCCTGCGAAATGCCCATTTCCCCCGTTTCCCGAACCAGCTTTTGCGGTCACTCGAGCCGCTGATCCGCAAAGACCCTGAAGCTCTTGCTGGTGGCCCTGAGTCGAGTTCAACTGCAAACCGGCCCCCCGCCTCAGATGGGGGAACAGGTACCGGTACTTGGCACATGGGGGGGGCAGGCTTTTCTCCATTACTGCTTCTGGCGACGTTTACCGCGGGACCTGATGCAGTGACTTTAGCAGCGGCCCCCGCCATAATAGTGTAAACAAGTATGGAGGGAGCACGGTGCTGCGTCAAGGTGAGGTCTGCAGAGGTCCTCGAACGACGCAATATGCAAATCGTTGTCGTCTCCTTGGATCAACGAGAAATACTCCAGAACGCATGCGAGTGGGACGACAACTCGGCGTCATACCAAGCTTGGTTCCTCCAAGTCCACCCCCATCTTCGGACCTATTATCGCGGCTCCAGAACTCCAGAGAGCCCAGGAGTCGGTCAAGTTGGGTCTAGGGCATTGAGCGTCATGGATTAGACGGCGGGAAATAACGTGAAGGCGTCTTGTCCGCGTCCCTCTTTTTTTCTTCGGTTTTTTTACGCCAGGACGGAAAAAAAAAAAAAAAGAACTGGAGATGGGATGGATGGATTCTGCTGCCGCGGCTACTCTCCGTTCAGAGTACCTACCTTATACTCGTAGTACATACCTCACGGCATAGTAAATAACCACCAGCTGGGCAGCCATCTCGGTCTTCCGTCGGTAGATAGCAACCAGACCTAAAGATTCTTTATCCTCGACTCGCCCGCCTCCAACCCATCCACTTCCCTCTCCGACTGTTATCAATATCATCCATCCATCCATCCCACCGTCATCGTATTCTTCCACACACACTCTCTCTCACGCACACCCACACACGTAGCTCTTCGTTTGGATCAGAAGCAAGTCAACTGGACAGCCTAAACCAACCCCAGTCCACAAAGTCCATCACATCATCACACATCCACACCCTCCCATCCGCACAAGAAAACAAGCTGCTGCTCAACGCATCCCACCCAGCCTTCGTTTCGGGCCAGAATCCTACAGTGAAGCAAGAATAAGGGCTGCCGCTACCCACCACCATCCCACATTTTACGCAAGCCCGCGTCGACTACCGGACTCGCCTTATCCAGTCCAGGATCCGGCACAAATTACCACGTCCTCGAACGATAACCCACGCATAAGAGTCTCAACATCCCTCGCTCGCGCGCGCGTGTGGCCCAGGGATCGCTTCTGCGTGTCTCACTCTTCCTGCTCTCCCGCATCCCTCTTTCTGAGAGAGAAAAAAACACACCTTCGATCAACTCATCACCATCTTCTCCCGCTATCTACCTCTCATTCCCCTTGCCCGCACCCCAATCTACTTTACCCACTCGACTGTTGGCTGCTACCGCTGCCGCTGCAAGGGTTGGTTATCCGCAATCGCGCCGAAATCCAATATTGCATCCAATATTGTCCAAGCAAGACAGCGGTCCCGCAATTAGCCTGTCACCAGCACCAGGGTCGTCCCACGATCACTTTAAACCACATCCACCCCACGGTTCACGGCCATCCCGTTACGTCCGCGAAAATCTCAGACACACCTCGACGCCTTTTAAGAGAGCAGGATCATCCGCACGCTCGTCCACTTTGAGAAGCCTCCTCCTCATTTTTTTTCTTCTTCTTTCCCACAGCCCTCGGTTCCTGATCCAACCTCCCCCGCGTGACATCACCCCGTTCAGGTACCTGTGCTAGGTCTCACACATTCAGTCAAGATCGGCACCCTAACTTCGAAGATCTGGGGATTATAATACAACCAACCATCGCTTCATTCGACCTGTCGTTTGGCCACCTTTTGCCCTCGGTAGTACTTTCTGTCGCCCTCGGTACACAAGACACAACACACCACACCACCTCAACAACAACTATCAAACTCACAAATCATCACACTTACCTTCTACCATCAACCGCAAACATGAACGCACCTATCCAGTCTCCTTCCCGCCAGGCCTCCATGTCCTCGGCAACATCGTCATCGACGCAAGAGTCGCCCATGAACCAGATGGCGCCCCCACCCCAGGCCCCCGGCGGCCAGGCTCCCTCAACCGAGGCCTTCCTCCGCGACTTCACTCTCGTTGCCGAGGCCGCAAAACGTGCCCAGATGGCCGTCATGATGCGCGACTTCGAGGCTTGCGGTCTGTCGTAAGCCACCTACGTGTTGTCCGCAAGGCTGCGAAAAGTATCCGGCAATCTTATTTTTTTTTCTATTTTGCTCGGACCGTCTGCGGACTCGCAAAGTATCGGATGAGGGCTGCTGAAACAATGCGGCCTCCGGGAGGGACATCGAGGCACGCAACAAAGTAAACCTCGCTTCTACTGGACCGACTCTGGTCGTTGTCGAGGCCGCTCGTTTTCACCGCCTCGAGTCACTCTTCCCTCACATTCGCTCGAAAATTCCTCTCCTCTCGCTACGACGTTTAATCGACTTGGAAGTCTTTTATTCCATCATTGGGTCTTCATTATCGGTTTTACTCATCTTCCACGGGGAAATCATGGGGAACGGGATAGACGATTTTTTGTTTTCTTCATTTTTCAACTCATCACGGCAACAACATCATTCATCATTATCGGCGTATACTGGGCAAAGGCATATTTTTCATTACGGGATTGGGGGATATTTCCTAAGGGGCTGTTTTTTGTCTTTTTAAACACAGGCGTCAGTGGCGTATTATCTTACCGGGTCCGGGCTATTCACTCATCATACCCGCCCGACGACTGGCTTCGCTATCATGTATGAATACCACATCAGGGGGGACATGGTCCTATCTTAGATCTTATCTTGACAGTTTCAAATCACAAAGCCAGTCTCCTGGCTCTTTCTCAACACCTTTGCTTGCTGTTGGATTGACTTTTTGATGTATGGTCTTTTGAGAGTGAATTATCACATGTTTTCTATCATGCCTGAGCCCTTTTTCTTTATTCTCAGTTTCCATGCATAGCCAACACCAACACCAACACTTAACACAGGGTAAGTAGTACAATACATTACAACTTGGAAGCCAGAACAATTCCGCCATCGACAGTAATCGTCGCACCAGTGACAAACGCGCCGGCCCTCGACGACAGGAAAAGGCACGCCCCGGCGACGTCCTGCGGCGTGCCGATCCTGCGCATGGGTATCTCCCCCTCGATGGTGTCGCGCATGGAATCCAGCGTCGCCTTCATCATCTTGCTCTCAAAGGGACCGCACGCAAGGGTGTTGCTCGTGATGCCCCTGGGCCCCAGCTCCCTCGCCAGCGCGCGAGACAGGTGGTGCAGACCAGCCTTGCTGGCGCTGTACGCGAAGCTGCTCATCAGCGGCACGCGCAGGCCGTCGACGCTGCCGATGTTGATGATGCGCGCCGGGTCGGAGGCGCCGGCGGAAGCGGCGGCCGCCGCCTCGAGCAGCGGCGCCGCGAGCTGGGTGAGGGTGAAGACGCGGTGCAGGTTCAGCGTCAGCAGCTTCGTCCACGCCGAGTCCGGGTACGTCTCGAACGAGTCTCCCCACGCCGCCCCCGAGTTGTTCACCAGCACGTGCAGCTTCCCGCCCGTCTTCTCCGACAGCGTCGCCACTAGCTTCTCGCAGTCCTCGAGCTTCTGGAGATCCGCCGGGATCGCGAACGCCTTGCCCGGCCCCTTTTGCGTCAGCGCTTCCGCCGCCGACGTGCACGTCGCCGCGTCCCGCGACGAGATGTACACTGTTGCGCCGTTCGCGACGAAGCCCTCTGAGATCATTAGGCCGATGCCCTTGGCGCCGCCTGTTACGAGGACGATTTTGTCCTGGGTTTTTGGAGTTTGTGTTAGTTTTTTTTTTTTTTTTTGAGGTGTTGATAGTTTATGGTAAGGTGGAATAGGATGGGTGTGAGGTGGGGAGGTAGGTACCTTGACATTGAAGAGGGATGCCGCGTCCATGGTCGCGGGAGATTTATGTTGATTTGCTGATTTACTCAATGATTCGGAGTTGAGTAGAGTCAATCGTGTCTGGAGGGACTAAAGTCGTGTGGTATAAGGTGCGGAAGGCAAGTGAACTGTTTTGCAGAGGTGAAGCTGGGGAGCTCGGGTTCAGATGAGAGCTCCGGTTGTCGTTGCTTGAATGAGCCGAGGCTCACTCTGAGGGGCCCCAGGCCGAGGTGTGATAAGGGGTACTTCGCCCCACGCATTATCAACGTGCATGTCGATGTATTCTTCATCACGCCGAGTGACAAATTCATCAAGGCACGATGCGAAACTCTTGAGACTACTCACTTCCAACCACACCGCATCGCCTGAACACCTGCAGCTTCGATACAAACAATGTATGAATTTTCGGTGCACGCAGCTAAAATGTCCTATGCTTGAATTTGCCCCCCTCCTTCTAATACGCGAGTCTATTGTCATTTGCCGTCCTGTTCCGTGTCGCAACCTCCAACGCCTGTGCTTTTGCTCAATCTAAATGCTCGTCTGAACGGCGACGACGCTGAAAATGCCGGTCCGTCAATGATCCTCCTCTGATTCAGACACTTTGCTTATCATTACTGCAGTTCTAGTCCGCCGCCAGCTGTGATGCCTTCTTGACTGAAGGCTCAGACCCGTGTGAATGGCAAAACGCCATTTCTTGACAAAAATCAATCCGCTCAATATTCACATCCCCTCCGAATCCAGGCTTACGAAGTGGACGACCTCGGGCTGCGCTTCCTCATGAACGCCGGCAACCTCGAAGGCTTCTCGCCGTTACTTGTCGTCGTTGTCTCCGTCTTCTCTGGCGTGCCCGCGGCCGCAGCAGCGGCCCTCTCCTTCCTCGGCGAGCAGCAGCATCCCATGGCGGCATGGAAGAGGAACGCAATATCCGTCAGACCAGACGCAATCCACATGAAGACGAACATGCGCACGCCAAGATCTGCGCTGATGTTGAGCTCCTGCTGCTGTGTGAGAGCGTAGCGAGCGCCGACGCTCATGACGGTCGCAATGATGGAGGCAACAGTGACGAGGAGACCAGCAATGCCTGCGAATATGGCGATAGGCAGGCTCCACCACCGAGTGCGCAGGACGAGGGGTGTGACGAAGATCAGGGCGGCGTTGAGGGAGATTCCTGAGATGAAGAGGCCGAACATCACCTGCTGCCCGATGCGGAGAATATCGAGGATGGTGTTGACCTGCGATGGCAAAGCGATGGTCGCGCCGGCCAGGAGCTCGTTGGTCAGGATCTCGATGGGGTTGAACCAATACAGCCTCTGGGGCTTTGAGCAAAAGGTTACGCCTCTAGGAGTTGGTTGTGTCAGTGGATGCTTGGAGATGTGTCAAGGGTCCGGACTTACTCGTCATTGTAGCCCTCACAAAAGTTCCACAGGCCGACCTGGTAAAAGTCGTGGAGGCCAAGACTCCGAGCTATGGAGTTGAGAAGGACGGCATTGTCCGACGACGAGAGGGGGATGATGTCGGAAACGTCGAGCTTGAAGAAGTAGATATCGGTGAGGACGGGCTTGATGGATGTGTTACCGATGATGACGAGAATGAGGAATATGATGGAGATGAAGTAGCACACAGCGCAAACAATTGCGCTGTTTCTCCGGAGCTTGGCCATCGGACTTGAGATAGAGATTTGGGGGCGAGACAGCTGGGGAGAGAAAAAGGTAGGTAGACGTGGAACCCGATCTGGGGACGGAGTGCTTGCTCGGTGGTGCCTTCCCCAGATATCTACGGAGTGCTCGGCAGTGTGTAGTGATGAGGCACAGATGACGCGGGATTCGTACCTCTCCTCTCCGGGCTCGGGGTTGCGTGATGAGGGGGAAACGTTAGGGTTATCGTTGAAATGGCAGACGGCCAACAATCAAAAGCCAAGCAATGTTTTGGACCAAGACTATCTGCAAGGAAACCGGTGACACGTTTGCAGGATTTCACTAGCTTGAAGAGTGAAAGACTGTTAACCGGTCGATGATAGTAACGGGGTAGGGATATCAAAGTCAAGCTTAAGCATCCATGGGACCCAAGACAGGCCAGCAGACTTGGTAATGGAAACAAATAAAAAAAAGGCAGAGCCAACTAAACACAGTCGGACCGGGCCAGACCATAACCACCGATGGATCCCTGGGAGTTGGTAAGTAAAATATGGGTTTGACTGGGCCCAAAGCAATAATGAAAAGAGGTCAGGGCCGCCGTGAGTTGGCACCAGTCAGGCGTATCGCTACGGGGGAAGCTCAGAGGAGGGTACCAAACAGGGAGTATGACGTCGTAGCAACGACTATCACTCTAATTCTCGACCAGTGTCTTTGGCAGGCTAAAGCTGGCGGCGGGTCTTGGCTTTTCTGACTGTGAGTGTGCAGCTAACTAGTGGGTCTCCTTTTTTTTCGTCCCAGCATCGACAAGTGGGAAAAAAAGACTTGGGCACAAATAGAAGAAAAAAACAACAACAAAAGTCAGCCAACAATTAGAACGGACCGACAAAAGAAAAGACGACAGGGTCAGTCACGAGCACGGACTGCAGGAGAGTTTACGCTTGAATGCCACCAGTGGTAGCCCACTTCGGTCATATGCGTAGGGTCGGTTCCGCATGTCCATTACGGAGCTCATCTTGCAATGGTGCGTTATGGACAAGACATATTGTGTGTTGTCTGGTGTCTGGTCCCTCTGGGTCCTCAAAAGCAGGAATCATCTAGACGAGGTTTCGTTGCCCCTGAACTCCAGCACCGCCCCAACATGGCCTGGTCAACCGGCCTGACGGCCACCCTTTCACAGCTGAAAAAGGATCCAACCCGGAAACTCCTGACCATCCGATTCGAATGGACATATGCAGGATACGGGATGTTACTAAGGCCCAGAGGCCCAGTGTGGGAGGGAGCGGGAAGACCAAGCATGCAGACAATGGCTGTGTGAACTGTGATTCCAAAAGGTGGGTAGAGCGGCTCTTGGTGCCTCACCATTTGCTATAATATTTTATTTGCGTCTCTCGGAGCTGCGGTGTCCACGGTCCCCGTTCGGAGGTCCCCTGCCAGTGCTGCCCTGGACTCCCATCGTGCCTTTTTGTAAAGGTAGTGAGTGTATTTCTTGCCAATCCTAATTGTCTTTCAATCCCAATTTGTAGCGTAGCAATTTAATTCCCCGTCAAGGTTGATCAACCCGAACGGGTCCGCCCGTAAATCAAAAAATAAAATAAAAAATTCAGCATCCTTATCTCAATAAACGAAATGAGGATGGGCGGCTGGTGGAAAGCCTAAAACTCTTTTTTTTTTTTTTTCTGTATTCTTTTCAACCCACCGGCTGCTCACATCTTTTCCAGAAGCCACCACCACCACCACGGTCATGTCAATCTGCACACGCGTACAACCCCCGCCACGCCGGCACAGCTGCCGGTGATCGCCAGGGATGTGGTCCCCCGTTTGTCCCTTGTTTCTGCCCGTTACCCGTTCCTGGGTTTGAGGCTGCATTCTGCCCTTCGCAGCCACGGACGCTGACATGGAAAGTTGTAGTTGGGCAAACACAACTCTGTGGTTCCGTCTCATGTGTTATTCATGCTCCCCTTTTTTATTTCGGTCTGTACGAGACCTGCAGCTTGCTACACTAGGTGGCCCAGTGCCGGAGATGCACGACAAGGCCCTGGCAAATCCCCAGCGATCCTCGCAGCAGCTTCCGGTGAGGTGGATCGTTACGATGGGTTCCTACGCCCCGCTGGGCAGGTCAAGGTCCTGTTTTCTTTCTTGGTAGCGTCGTCTCTTTGCTGCATAAGAGGTCGACAGCGCAGAAGTGGGCCCTGCACGGCCGTGGCCTAGACACCCCCCAATTGTCTGGGCCACCCCAGGAAATCAAGTGTTAGTACACAAATATTATGTCATAGGTGAACGGCACTACTCAAGCCTTCAACCTACTTCGCTGCTACTGTCGCTGGCGTCCATTGGCAGTTACGCCTCTAGCAGAAGTCTATCTTTCTTCATGTGAATGAATAATCACCCTGCTGTTTCGTTTCATCTAACCCTGGTCGCCTTTTCTTTCCCTCTTGTCTTTATTACTACTACTCTCTTGGGCGTGGTAGCGTTGCTAGTTTGGCTTATGATCGTCATCGGTCTCTCGAGTCATTCTCAACGTCCTTTTTTCTTCGTCCGATAACCACTTTGGCTTCTGTCTTCCCGTCCCTTGCCCAACTCAATTATTTTCCCGGGTGACACATTGTGGTCACTGCGTCCTTCTACGGTCAGGGCACGAATACTTAGCAATCACCTTGACCCTGGACTTAACATTACCACCCCCAATATCAAAATCGGCTTCAATCGCCTCTTCGTTCATTGACCAAAACCAAGTCCTCGCAATAGGCTGCGCCGCCTAGAATGACTGGCCGTCTCTTCGCCCTTTCCCTGGGGCTTCTGTCTTATATCGCGACGCCAGTAGCAGCTCAGAGTGTCAGCGCAAGCAGTTTTACTCTCTCCAACACCGAAGATGTCACCTTCCTGTCAGGAACCAAGACTGTCCCCGTTACCCAGGCTAGGACGCCGACGGGGCCCTATGCGACCTACACCTCGAAAATCACCCTCACGGGGGAGAAACTGACGACAGTAACCGGAACCGTGACATTTACAGGCAATATCACGCAAACGACCACAAACGCCGAGGGCCAGTCCGTTGTCATCATCTCAGGCGAGACCTCCGTCATGACAGCCACCGTCAATGGCACCGCGTCGCGGACATCGTCGGCCTCTCCCACCCCGACTAACACGACGCCCTGCAACAACTACGTCGAGTTCTGTGACAGGAAGTACAGCAACATCACCGAGGTCGGCTGTCACAACTCGCCGTTCGTTCGCCCAGGCAATTCTGCTTCAAATCAGGCGCTCGACGTGACAACTCAGCTCAACGACGGTGTTCGCTTCCTCCAGGCACAGATTCAGTGGCCGACGAACGGCACCGAGCCGCACTTCTGCCACTCTTCTTGTGACATTCTTGATGGTAAGGTTCAAAACTGCTTAGGTTTGAAGCCACAACTAACGTGTTATAGTTGGCCCCATCACTGAGTGGCTCACCACGGTTCGCGAATGGGTTGCTGCCCACCCTTACGACGTGGTAACAATTCTCCTCGGAAACGGCAACTACTCAAAGCCAGAGTTGTACGCCCCCTTCATTGAGTCTACCGGAATCCTCCAATATGCCTACGAGGCTCCCTTTCTCCCCATGGCTCTCGACGACTGGCCTACTCTCGGCGAGATGATTCTTCGCGGCAAGCGCGTCGTCATGTTCCTAGACTACGTGGCCGACCAGGAGAAGTACCCATGGCTTCTGGATGAGTTCTCTCAGATGTGGGAGACCCCCTTCGACCCCATGGATCGCTCTTTCCCTTGCACTGTTCAACGGCCCCCCGATCTGGCAGAACAAGATGCTCGTAACCGCCTCTATCTCATGAACCACAACCTCAACGCCGAGTACAATATCTTTGGCGCCTCCATCCTCGTCCCCGCCGTCTCCCTGCTGAATGTGACCAACAACGCGACAGGCGACGGCTCGCTCGGCAAGAGCGCCCGACAGTGCAGCACGAACTGGGGCCGTCCGCCCAAGATCCTAAATGTCGACTACTACAACTATGGCGATCCCCCGGGCTCAGTCTTCAAGGTTCAGGCCGAGATGAACAATGTCACGTATAACCGCGATTGCTGTGGTAAGGTCACTGGTGCATCGCCAGGACGACCAGCCATCTCGGTGTTTTTGATGGTCGGGGCTATGGCATGCGCTTTGCTACTGGTGTAAACACCAGGTCTAATATTTCTGGTAAACGGTTAATGACAGCATGTTGGGCGTTCAGCGGTTGTTTGTGATAGACGGATAGATCAAACCATGAATATGAATCTTTTGACTAATTTACCTAACTGAGTCTTTTGGTGATGACGAGTTCTGCAATAAGCAGCTTTTGTCCAACATATTGTTGATCCCTCAACCGAGTCTACGATCCATTCGGATACAGCCATCTACGCGCTTCGCGTAACTTGTAAAGTCGAAACAGATGGTGCTAGTGCAGTTTATACAACATGACTAACCAACACCATGAAGATCTCCTTCACGTCTTTGGTTAATTTTCATGTTCAACTATTTGTCTCTTTATCAACTATGGGATACTTGTCGTGGAAAGACAGTGTCTGCATCCGTTGGTGCCTGACAGCATCGCAGCTGTTCCACTACGAGCCTTTTTTAAAGCGGTAGTCTCACATTGTCATGGATTTGCTCTCGCTCCTGGTTCTGGACAGTTATAAGGAGACCTGCATCTCGACTATGCACACTGTGCTTCAAGATGTTAACCTTGTCAAAGTTGAGTGAAATGTTCCTACTGCTTATGACGTGTTGAGACACGGCTAAGATGAGATTGTATGACAAAGTATGGATTTAAAAGTCCATTGAATGGGATACCTGCATTCATTGGTACGACCTATCCTTACGCCTAGGATAAAAAAAGATCACATCGAGAAGAAGACGAGAGGGAAACCCCCCGGGTTACCGTTCCCCAATACAAACTGCCGCCAAGTAGACCCCAAAACACACACGGTTGGCAGGCGGTATCTGGCAATCATCAATTCGAGTGATTCGACAACATGGTACATTACCTATGAAGTCGCACCTGTCGGCTTTACCTTGACAAATGTTCAGTCCATGTCGGCCCTTCCTGCAGTAACCTACATAGCCATACATTACGGAACGAGAAACAATGGGTGACCAGATATCAGACGTTCGAAATAACAGTTAGATTGCTGTCTAGCTGCATCGGTGCTTTCCTAGGACGAGATTGCAGAGTCATCGTCTTCCTCATCTCAGCGGATGGCCATGTCACCTCATACGTCCCTTTGCAGTCCATGTACATCCCGTTGGTGACGGCACTCGCTCGAGACTATGACTCATTTGGTCTTCTGGAAGAATGATCCTTGAAGGCCCAAGTAAAGATGCTGAGGTTCATGTTTAGTTATACTGCTAAGGCTCGCTATGTAAGTATGCCTTTCCTCTTTCGTACTGCTGGTGTTCTCAGTTAACATAACTAACAAACCTGGTTGTTGTTCAAATGATTCAGACCGAGAAATAAAGAACGCGATGTTCAGATCAATGATTGGTAAACAGCAAACCGGCTTGTGAACCTTTTTATCAACGCCATGTCTGTCCGGAGCAAGGGTTCTACCCTCTTGCCTCAGACTTTAGTTCTAGCCAACATCACCAGCGTAGGGGCTGATACGACCACTATGCCTCTGTAAGTGCAGCGGTCTTGAACTTTTAACATTTAAGGACTGCCCGCAGGGTCCCACGATCCAGTGACTTCCATCCCATGTCCCGAACACAGACCTAGACGCAGCAAAACCTGCAGAACTCGAGTGAGGCATCTGCATCATCCCACCGGCCCCGAGCAAAAGGAAATATTGAACACTTTGCATTTCCATGTAGACGGGATCCCGTGGGTCCCACGGGCTCTGCCGTCCGTCTCTTCAAGGTACAGACATCAGCCGACGCATGAAGCAGCTAGCTTTTTTTATGCATGAACCGGGCCTCCCCTGCTCCATGTCACAGGCCTTATTTGAACAACGGGCCCAAGTATTCCACAACGAATTCGGCCCCAATGACGAAGTTGAGTGATATTCGGGAAGAGGCTCAATAGTTACCGAGACGGATCAACAGAACCTCGAACGAAGTGAAAGCTACATCTCCTAGTCCCATGATGTCACCAAGGGCAAAACGCGAATCTTTTCCTCCGTGTTCATCACTTATGGGACCTCATACGTCGTTCCTGCGACTGTTGGAACATAACTCCGCACGCCTCCGTGGATGTGAAATCACACTGCCAAGTTCTCATTGTCGAGGCTGTCGTCAGTTGCGTCGGGCTCGGTTTCGCAGCGGCCGATACAAGAACCGCCAGACATTTGCTCCATGTAACACAACGGATCCCTGCCCTCGGCGATGTACGTGAGATGGCATCTGTCGTTGACTCGGGATGGCATGTGAATCGTCATGCATGACTCAACCTGGATGAAGATGTGATTTTCCCAGTTTTAAGAGCAACTTGGCCATAGGACGCGGGATACGCCAGCATATCTGGAAGAACGCAGTAGCAACGGGAGGCAGAAATGGAGAATGTGGGAAAGTAAGGCCATTAATAGCTTGATAAAAGAAAAGGCTCACTCACTTACATGGAGCAGCAGCCCTGCATTGATTCTTGCTGGCAAGTGTTTTGGTCTGATCAACCTGGGCTACGAATATTTGACATGTTCCGCTCAATACCACGTTAATGCAACCCTAAACTCACTCCTTCTCTTGCGCGCGAGGTGGCTGCCCTGAGCGAACATGGAGCAAAATAAAACGAAGGAAAGAAGAGAGAAAATGAATTCAGTGATGTAAAAAGATGCAATCTACAATCAATGCCAGTAGGATGCTGGAAAGAAAAAAGGATGTGATCAGTGGGAGGCTTGAACTCCCGACCTTGGCATTACTCAACATTTCAGATGAAATATTAGTACCACGCTCTAACCAACTGAGCTAACCGACCCCTTTTACAGGTGTTGTTGGAAGAAGGTGGAGAAGCGTGCCCCATGTAGCGAGCGTCACGACATGCAGGGGCCTGACCTCCAGCCGCTGTACCTCTGATTCAAAGGATGGCGCGGTAAAGGAGCGACCGTGGTCCTTGGAGAGATCAAACTACTGCGGGTTTTCTTCCCCAATGGCGTATTTCAGGGCTTGAAGAAGGGCGAAGAAAATAAATGAAAAATGAAAACCGAAGTCATAATGCATTTCTCCCAGTAGCCCGTGCTGGCCTACAACACACAGCAACAACCGACTCAGGCACGTTTCGTCACTGGAAGGTTTCGAAAAGGCTGAGAGAGAGCAAAGGCAAGCCCATGAAAGTGCGGCTCCCAAGTAAGTCTGACACTCGCAGCGCGCATAGATCATGCAAAAGCAGCGCTGCAGTACGATCTGGTGATGCATACAAATGGATGCGGCGACAAAAAAGTGCCTTAAGGCTGATAGCATGTGATGGCCGCATCCCTTCTTAAAACATGACGATCAAATGACTGTTTGCATATTCCTTCGCGAGAGGCATTCCAGACGTCGACGAGCGCCGCAGAGGCTTCGGGAAAGGCAGGCTGATGCAAGGTGTAGTTGGAAAGCCAGCGGCGCCGGACTCGATTCCGTATGCTGGTAGGCATTCCCCTGGTGCCACGGGGGCTATCAGGGTTTGGCCGAGTCTCGAGAGAAGACACAGCCTCCACCACGCGTGACAGAGTTGAGAGAATGCCGGGACGTGGAAGATGCCGTGGTCATGATTGCTGCTCGGCGACCCGTGCCAAGTTTTGTCGGCACGAGGCAAAGAATCCGGCTCCAAGGGCTGAACATAGCGTGAGCAAAGCATACTAATAATAAATGGTGCAGCAAGAGCTAGAGGCAGCCCAACGCCGCCCTGAAAAGAAAAAAAAAAAACTGCCAAGGGTTCAGACGTCGTACTCTCGTCCAACTACCCAGCGGCTGCAGCAGCGGGTGTAAGACAACGTCAAGATCAGCAGGTCCAGGGCGTCGGGGATTCTTGGGGGAGGCGCTAACTATCGAATTCTGCCCTGCAGCTTTCCATTTCGGGGAGCAAGCAAGCGGTGGTCTGTGGTCCTCGTCCAATGGGGTTCCCCACCGCCAGTGCAACGCTTCATCTGGAAAACAACGGAGCACAGGGTCAAGCAGAGGCAAGCTGTCCGACGAGTGGGACACCCAAGTCGTGTCTTCCCTACCAACAATGATCCGAGGGGCGGATTACGAGCTCACATCAGGATCTCATTTGATGACCCTGAGATTGGACTGGATCGCCGCGATGACACTTGAACGGTCTACGAAATAAAGGGGACCTTCGTCAACGGATACCAGATCTGAAACGCATAAGTGTGCGGTCCCGAGCCGGGTAACGAGTCGAGTAGTGTACTAGTAGTATAGTAATGGGGCCTCAGTTAATGAGACAAAGGATCTCTTTAATGTTGGCCGCATTCCTCACCTTCAGATTCTGCGTATTCTGGCCTCTCACCTCCCTTCATCTGTTCAGCCTTGCCAACTCGTCCGATACTCCCCTGGCGGGAAGTTTAAACCCGTTGGCCGAAAGATTCGATCAAACGAAACGAAGCGAAGCGAAGCGCCCTGAGTAATAACATAGGTGCTTACTTGACAATCTCATAGCACTCATTCGCCATCCGTCCGTGATCCGATAACGGTTCCGCTTAGCGGGGCTCCAGGTTGACTTCCTTGAAGCGCGCCCATACCTTGCGTTGTTGGAGGGTCTTGGCTATCACTACCCATATTCCTACACCAAAGAAAGCGCCCCCGGCAGCCCTACAAGCCCTCTTTCCTTCAGCTGCCCCGTCTAGTTCCCGTCCGTCTTCGTTTTTCCACATCCCGCCTCCCCCTTATTTCCCCTCGGCGACCTGGACTGCCAGGACAACAAAAACAGCCGGTGATGCCTGTTGTTGACTCGTAGCGTTTCTTTCCTTTTTCACTTTCGCTTCCCTTCTCGCTCGCTTCCTCCAACCGCGCCGCTCGTTTGCGCTCACCTGCTCGACTTACACCGACCCCGACTTTTGGAGAGAGCCTGTTCCGCTGCAGTGGAACCTTACCCATCACGTTCCCCCTCCGAGGAGCACGACCGCGCCGATCCCCGACTCTGCCCTCGCGACATGAGAACGCCATAGACAATGGCGCAAAACGGAGGCTATGGCGCTTCTTACCGACCTCCTGAGCCGCCAACGTCAAAACCACCACTGAGCCATCGAATCTCGAATTTGACCGAGATCAGCGACTGGGAAACTTATGAGCAAGATGAGGGTCCCTCGAGCCCGCTCCGTGGAAAGCCCTCCCTCGTCTCCCTCCAGTCGCATTCAACTCCCGCAACGCCGTCGCCGTACGAATCAAACGAACCTCAACGCCGATTCTCGACAGCATCATCATGGGCCGGGTCATTTTCATATTCTGGCGCTTCTGGATATGATTCACTGCCCTCAGCTACTGATGCACCTTCCAGATCTTCAAAAGCTGGCCGGTCTTTCCGTAAACCCTCTTTATTACGCTCCCATCAGCCCATCCCCGAGGAGGAGCACGACCTTTCCCTGTTGAATTCCGCCGCGCCAATCGCCCAATCCTCGCATTACGAGGCGATGCCGGAAGATGAGCCCGTTTTCGACGTAACCGCTACTCTTGGTCCCATGGGCTTCCAGGATGAAGCTTTCCTTAAGAAACTGCAGGAACAGGAGGCTAGCGGCCACCTCACTGGCGGTCTCGGCGTCGGCTTCAAGCCGGATACCACAATCAAGGGAGACGATCTCCTGCTATCGCCTACAACACCAAAAAGGTCGCTTACGCGATCATTCTCTCGGCGCCCGAAGCTGAACCGCAGTGCAACACTAAAGGCTTTCGGCCAGGATGAGGCCAATAAGAGAGGCGAGGTTATCGAGGTCATTATTGAAGAGCCTGAAGGAGGAATTAACCATGGTGACCAAGTCGACCTTAGTGTGATGGCCGGGCCGGATATTGGTGATGACGGTGGAAATATGCGACATGCCACCTTCCCCATCAACAAATCACAGAAGACGCAAATCTTCTATCCGCAGCCGAACTGGAAGCCCTTCTCAATGAGGTGGCCCTACCTGACTGTTCTGATCGCATTATCAATTACCCTGGCTGTGATGGTGGAGCTGCTCTTCCAAAGATCACGCAGCAACCCGCTTCTCAAGTTCCAGTCTCCCGCCGAGGTACGCGGTGAGCAGTATTTCGCTGTCAAATTCCTCCCGACGATCCTGTCCGTCACCTACGGCGTCTTATGGCAGATCACCGACTTTGAAGTAAAACGTCTTGAAGCCTACTATCAGCTCTCTAAAGAAGGCGGCGCGTTGGCAGCCGAGTCGATCAATGTTGACTATGTTACGAGTCTCAGCTGGTTGCGACCGTTTCGGGCCTTGAAGCTGCGGCACTATGCCGTTGCCGTGTCGTCTGTTTCGACGTCTCTGGCCGTCTCTCTGGTACCGACATTTGGCGCTGCGTCTTTTGTTCTTGTTCCTGACCGACCTACGCGCCTTGAGCACCCCGAGCTCGAGAAGCAGATCCGTCTCCATGCTGTCTGGGCAAGGCTTCTGTCGTCGACTCTGTGCATCTGCGCACTCTGCGGCTGCATTCTCCTCTTCATCCTTCAGAGAAGAAGGTCAGGCCTTTTGGCTGATGTCAAGGGCATCGCCGGGCTTGCGTCGATGGCTGTGGTCAGCCATATCCTGGTGGACTTTGCTGACCTCGACGTCGTAAGCCATAGCGACATCCATTCCAAGCTAAAGCATCACCGGTACGTTCTCAGGAATGCGTCTTTGGCACCAGATGATGAGAACCCCGTCTCGTCCCAGGAGAGAGATCAGTTCCGTGACCACCATCTTTCGGAAAACCCTCATCCGCGCATGCTGCGTCGTGACGGGTACTTTCCGTACGTCATCGGCATTGTGCTTTTCCTGGGCTTCATTCCAGTGTTCCTATTCTCGAACGCAAGCATCATCACCGCCAAGGCGCCGTGGGTGGTGACAGCGTTGGCGGTTTGCATCAAGCTAGGCTGGGGAGGCTTGGAGACAGATATGCGGATGATGGAACCCTATTACATCCTGTCAAAAAGACATTCCTCATCCAAGACACTCACCTTGGATTACACCGCCATGCCGTTCGGATACATGCCATTCCAAGCGTTCCTCAACGGCCACGTCTTGATGTTCCTGGTCGGATTCGGGAGCATGCTAGTCGAAGTCTTTACCGTGTTACTTACTAGTCTGGCGACCGTGGTCGGCACTGAGTTCCTGGAAGCGGCCTTTAAGCCGCCGCAGAAATCTGGCGATCCAGATTTTGGTGGCATCAACTCCGGCCAGGAGACTGTGCTGTCTTTCTGGATCTCGTACGGCCTGGCCACTTTCATCCTGATCTACATGGGTACCGTGGCAACGGTAGTATTTCTCCGCAGACGACACCCGTTTCTGCCGCGGCAGCCCAACACCATCTCGTCACATCTGGCCTTTATCCACCAGAGCAAGATGATATACGACTTTGTCGGAACGTCGAAGCTGAGCAACGTAGACATGGTGCGCCATCTCGAGAAGCTGGGAAAGACATACGGACTTGGATGGTTCGAGGGCCGTGACGGGCAGACGCACTGCGGCGTGGACCAGGAGGAGCTGCTCGGCTACTATAAGCACGGCATGGAACTCCAGGGTATGAATAAGCCGTGGAACCAGCAGTGGGATTCGTATGATTAAGATTAGAAAAGAAAAAAAGAGCGCTCGTGGGGAGAGAAGAGTTGTGCGGATGCTTGATATCTTAGCCGGAGGGAGCGGGCAGATGTATGGCAGGTGTCTAAACTGCTGCCTGGAGACGTGATGCACTTGCAATACAGGAACAACAACCACCTGAAGGAAGGTTGAGTGTGATAGGGGAGATGATGGTCCACCCGGCATAGGCGTTGCAGGCAAAAAAAAGGAGTTTTAAAGGTTAAAGATTCTTATCACACTCTCTTTTCGCAGAGAAGGGAGGGAAAGACCGGCACGGCACAGGGATTTAGGGTTTGGATTCTGGAAGCATTTGGGGAACGGGGCGGGCTGGCTGCATTATTGGATGGAGGGGGGGGGGTTATATCTGGCTATTGGGCTATGCGCCTCCGCATGTATGTTGTTGTGTGCGTCTGTGTGTGTGGCATGACCTTACCTTAACCTGCGTTAACTCACTTAACGAACAAATGCCAACTGTTAATTTCTAGTGTACCTGATAGAGCGACACATCTCATGTGAAGAGGAAGAGATTGGATTTCAGGTAAAACAAACGCCTCTGAGTTTTGGGGGGAGTGAGCTTGTTTGCCCTGTCGATCCCTTATCCACCTATCAAATCCCCCTCTGGCGCCCGGAAACAGGGAATTTTTTGATTTGGCCACTCTTTTAGATGCGCGACCAAGTGAGTAAGTGAGTATGCTGTGCGCAACCAGAAACTTTCAAATTGGGAGAGACGTAGAAAGAGAGAGAGAGAGAGAGAGAGAGAGAGAGAGAGACCTTGACATCACTCTCAGGTTAGAAAAAATGTAACCATGGCCCCCCATGTTTAACTTAAGCCCCCCCGGTACTCATATACTAAAAATGAATTTACGCTCATTCGAATTACAGAAAAAAAAAAAAAAAAGAGAACATAGCATCTCGGAACAAGGGGGTTTATGTTGTTAATTGGGGCGGATAGGCAGCGATATAAATCACTTTGCCTTTGATTCCCTCGCTTCGTACTCAAGTAGATTGTTTCCCGAGAGAGAGCGTATGGGGAACCGCGCAAGTTGGGTTGGGCTGGATATTCTTCCCAGTTCACGGCAGGTCAGCGAAAACGAGAAAAAGAACCAGAGAACACACAAGTTATGTTAAGGAAAAAAAAAAAAAAACCCCCCCAGAGAAATTTGTGCGCGGGTGCCGAATACCGGCCCGGTCACATACTACCGTCTATCTAAATGCGTACGGATACTCTATCTGGCGGGCTGGTCGAAGCAATGGGGAGCGTGTTCTGCGGCCAGAGTGCTTTTGGTGTGATTTCGGGGCTGGCGGGATGCTCCCTGGGGCGTGGGAATGGCGCGGCAGAAAATGGCCAGAATATATTAAGGTTATTCGACTAATGAAGACGTAATAGCGCATAACCTAGGCATTAATAGTCGGGCGAATTTTATCTATTTATTTATTTTTCTTTCTCTGTTTTCCTTTCGTCGCTGGCAGGCTCGTCCACTAAAACTGTGTACTATACCTTGTACTATAGGAAGACATTATTGGAAACAGACGCCTGTCCTGTCTTGTCTTGGTGAAGTGGTCCTGGGAGAATGTGATCCAGTATAAGAAGAAACGTAGAGGTGCCGGGGCTTCACGAAGGGAGGGCCTTTTCATCTTCACTACTCCGAATAATGATGATTAGGATGAGCGCCGCCAACTCTATTCGTGCCAACTGAACCCACTTGTTTATTCGACTTTAAAGGTCGGAAGGGTACTCGAGAGTTCAAGGTCATTGGTACGCGCGTTGTGCTGGAGTAGGAAAATGTGGGCTACTTTTTTTTTCCTTTTTTTCTCCCGCTCCAAAGCAGGGTAGAAATTGTTTCTGAATGACGTTTGATGTGCGCTCGTCTAGAACGGGAGCGTTTGGAGCTTGTTGAGCTGAATCGTGGCGATGCACGGGGGATCCGCGTTCCTCGAAACGAGAGAGGGAGAAAGACCAGTGAAAGAAGACTGCAAGGGATATTCTCAGGTGGGTGGATGATGGATGGACCAATATCGCACAATGACCAGCAATAACACAACGGCTTGGAAGGTTGCAATTTACGTCTCGATGCGGCACGTCTCCAGAATTTGATTTGAAGGCTAAAAAAAAGCACAGCCTCATTCGTGCCCAGACTTTTTGGTGAGAATCAAGGACTGGGTTGGAATGAGCATAAAGTCATTGATTTTCGGATTTCTCTGGCAATGGACCAGCGGTTCGTCGAGGCTAGACATCGGACGTTGATCTGTTGGCTTCTCCAGCGCACAGGTGGTCTGTAACTTGGCATGTCACTCGGTTTGCCGCGGTGAAGGATCATTGAGGGGCGGCGGAAGACGATGGTGCTGCCGGAAGTGTTCCAGGGTGAGGATAATCGGCAGCGATCTTGACGATGTCCTCCATGACGGCTCACGGCAATGAGTACTAAGCACTGATGGACAGGGGTGCCTGTCCATTTGACGATTTCGCCTTGTAACAGCCTTGAGGCGACCAGCCAATTTTAGACGTCTCAGGCGCGTGGCTCCTTTTCTTGCTGAGGGAAAACAACCACGACAACCCCAGCAGACCAGCTAGGTTGCATCTCACTGGACCGAAACCGTACACCGCAAACTGGGGAATGCTTTTGGTGACGTCGAGGCTGCTCAGTGGGCATTCTGTCGACTTTGATGGCATTGAAACATGAAAGACATGTCTGTCGCGGATTCACTCGCACGTCGCTCACCTCCTACCTTCTTTCTGTTGTCTCCCTCTGTTGGGTGTTTCTCAGTCGTCCTCCGGATGCCGGCCGTTCAGGTAAGCTGCGCAATCGGCCCCGGTAAAGCAAAGTTCGCTTGAGTAACGCGTACGTATGCATGTTCCGCCGCCATGTTCCTTCCCGACGAGTTTTGCAGCACAAGAACTTGAAAGGTGGCAGTGCAAGAGAGTCAAGACGACGAAGATGACGGCGACAACAACAGTGAGATTGAAATGAGGTGTGGGTTTTTGGGCCGTCTCTCGGTCGGGCTTAGTGGTGTTTTTTGGAGGTTTGTCTGGCTGGTGTCTGGGCCTAGTCGGTCTCCCCAAACATTCGATGTCGCGGACGGCTTGCTCAACATTGAGCGAGCAGGTAATGGAGCATGCCAGCGAGCATTTGTTGTCAATGTTGCCCAGTGGTTCCGTGTTAGGCTCTTGGGGGTATGGTCTTGGAAGGCTTGGAAGGGCCTTGGGCGCATCTTGGAACGTTCGGGGCCCGGGAGAGTATGAGTGAGCGTTGGCCCCTGTCCGGCTGATTCGGTTCCTTGCTACCCCGTACTCACGGATGGGTAAGTACAGAGGGAGCACACCACTAGGAGGGGAGATGACGGGTGGGTAGGTGGTAGTGTGGGAAAGGGGAGGCTGGAGGGGGAATGACGATTAACAACGCCAACAATACCTGTGCGTAAATCCGACGATAGGGAGCGGTCCCCTAGCCTGCATGTGGAAAAGCAAGGAGTAAACAATGGGAAATGCGGATGACTCTCTGTACCACACAGTGAGTAGTAAGCGTTGTGCCAACTCGTATCGGTGCTGCGCATGACACAGTAGTAGAACAGGAAAAGAAGGCTGCACAAATAACGGTAAAGAGGTGGGATGGAAGAAGATGGGATGGTCGAGTGCGCACGATAATTCCTTGGCTGAATGCGCGTCCATCCATTGTGGAAGGGGATTTCGAAGGGTCCTACTACGTACTACGGTAGTAGAAGGTTTGAATGACGCTATGATTGCGGGAGTCCGCCATGTGTGACGAGGATCCTGTCCGTGTTGCTGTTGGCGTGTCGGCATTGGATGGGAGGTTGGGGGAAGAGCTGCATCAGGAACGCTCATCAGTGAAAATGGTCGTCGTCAGAGGGGCCTTGGGGCCAAGTCTAGATTGGGACTCGTTCCCTTACTGAGCGCCCTCGGTCAGAAGGACGACTGTTTTTTGTTTTGTTTTTTTATCTTCTTTTTTTTCTTTCGTAATTGTTGAGTAGCTACTGCAATAATCTGTCTATTGTCGCCCTGCACCAAGTGCTAGTGCTAGATAACATTGTTATTGTTAACCCTCACCGTGCTTGGCTGATTCGTACAGTTTGAATTGCCTTTCTACCTGCTTAGGGATTGTTGTCAGCACAGCATGTTCGTCTGGGCGACCATCGCTCGTACCGTAGGCGCTCTGTGTCCGATGGGTGCTTGCTCGTATCTCTGTTAGAGACAATACGAGCTGAGCCCAGTCTTGGGGGTGGTGGTACGGGCAGGCTACCTATGTCTCACACACTTACAGGTGGCGAGTAAAGTCACTCGTTGTTGCCGCATCGTATTTATCCAGCCTCGCCAAAGAATGCATAGCAGGCACTACCTTCCTCCCGTCCCATTGGGCGCTTCGTAAGGGACCTGACTCCCTTCCTTCCACGACGCCAGGTCTGGCCCTGCCAACACCCAACTCTGCTGGGTGCTAAACCTGTACACCTGCTCCAGAAAGTGAAATTACGCCGTCCCGTTATAACCCCTGTCCCATACATGCACATCTAAATCCACCATACGAACCCACAGAGGTCCAGTTCCACTGCCCACACACTTGCTCACGCTTCACTTGCGCGGGATTCCTTCCCCCCCTCCCACATCCCCGTATTTGGCCCTGGCCCCTGGCTCCTGTCCATGCCCAGTTTTCCCTGAAAGTCCGCACCATCTGCAGCGGCCACCACCAAGCAGTGCCTCCTTTCATCACTCCTCCTACCCCCATCCACCTTCGCTTGGCGATCGCTGTCCCTCCTCTCCCTTCCTTCCCAATCTCCTAGTCACAAACAACAAAACCGTCCAAATCCACCCTTTCCATTTTCCCCCCCTCCCCGCCTGCCGTCTAGACATTTTCCACTCGACGACAATTACTGACGACGACACCGATTTCGAGACGATAACCCGCTTCTTATCGGCGCCTTCGAGAGGGACGTCTCCCCCAATTCCTCGACCGTTCGCTATTGTTTCCATCGCTGTGAAGTAAAAGGGGGCTTCAGAGAACAAACGGTCGCACCGCGCCAACCGTGGAATCGTCGGCAGATAACCCTCGCTAGCACCTTTGTTCCCCTGCCACGAAAAGCCGCCTCGCCTCCCTGCGACCCAAGAGCATCAACTGGAGCGACCACCATCAATCTCTTCGCTTCTGCTCGCATCTTCCCTTTTTTCACCAACCAACACGATCCCGTCTGGAACGATCTGTGAACCACTCCTATGATACGCTCGACCTAGACGGCCTCGAACTCTCTTCATCACTCTCGCTCTCCGATCCGCCCATCCCGCCGACTACTACTCGCCGGCTACTGGATCGTCCCTTTCCTTACTCACCTTGACAGTATCGACGACAAACCCTCTCGTTACGATGCGGTTCTCATTTGCGAAGCCGCTGCTCTTGCTGGGCGCTCTTGCGTCCTATGTCACCACTCCCGTCATGGCTGCCGAGCAGATGCTCGTCTCCAAATCCCTCAACACCTGCCAGGATGACTCGAGTTTCACGGCCAGTCTGTTCAACGTCGTCTTCACCCCCAGCAACGGAAGTGCCGCCATCAACATTGTCGCCGTTTCCTCCGTCCAGGGAAGCATTGTTTTCGACGTGGCTATTTCCGTCTACGGCTACGAATTCATGAGGCGCACTGTCGACCCCTGCAGCATTAACCTCGCTGGTCTCTGCCCCATGACTGCTGGAAAGATCACCATGAACTTCAACCTCCAAGTTGGTGAGGATGCCGTTAGCCAGATTCCCGGAATTGCCTACAACATCCCCGATCTCGACGCCACTGTCAAGGTCTTCGTCAACATGACCGACACCAAGCAGAGTGTGGCTTGTGTCGAGGCTGACATTTCCAACGGAAAGACTGTCGACTTGATCGGTGTAAAGTGGGCCACTGCCATCATCGCTGGCTTGGGTCTGATTGCCTCCGCCATCGTTTCTGGACTGGGTCACTCCAACACTGCCGCTCACGTTGCCGCCAACACCCTCTCTCTATTTGGTTACTTCCAGTCTCAGGCTATTGTGGGTCTCACCGGCATTCACCTGCCCCCCATTGTCCAATCGTGGACCCAGGACTTTGTGTGGTCTATGGGTATCATCCGTGTCCAGTTCATGCAGGACATCTTCACTTGGTACCAGCGAGCCACTGGCGGCACTCCCTCCACCTTGCTCAACTCTTTGACGACTACCTCCGTTCAGGTGGAGAAGCGATCTCTCGACCGGGCCATGTCTGCAGTTAGAATGGCCAAGCGCGGCATCGACGTCGGCATCTCCACTATTGCTAAGCGAGCCAACGTACAGCTCACCTCCGGTAGCTACCTCGTCTTCGGCATTCAAAGAGTTGCCTTTAGGGCCAAGATTGAATCAACCAACCTCTTCATGACTGGCCTGGCCTTCTTCTGTGTCTTCGTCATCTTCACCGTCCTTGCTGTAGCGGCTTTCAAGGGATTCTGCGAGTTGGCTGTTAGGCAGAAGTGGATGAAGAGCGAGAAGTTCCTCGAGTTCCGCAACGGCTGGTTCACCGTTCTTAAGGGTATTCTTTTCCGCATGACCCTGATCGGTTTCCCCCAGATGTCTATTCTCTGCCTCTGGGAGTTCACCCAGCGTGACTCTGCGGCCGAGGTCGTCCTTGCCGTCTTCTTCCTGTTTGGCATGGCTCTTACGCTCGGCTGGGCCGCCGCCAAGGTTATCCGCATCGCCCGTCGCTCCGTCGCCATGCACCGGAACCCGGCCTACATCCTCTTCTCGGATCCCCAGGCACTCAACAAGTGGGGTTTCCTCTACGTCCAGTTCCGTGCCTCGGCCTACTACTTCATTGTCCCTGTTCTTTGCTACACCCTTGTCAAGAGCATGTTCGTTGCTTTTGCCCAGCGCCACGGCACAGTCCAGGCGGTTGCCTTCGTCATCATCGAAGCCGGAGCCCTCATCGCTGCCAGTGTTCTGCGACCTTGGATGGACAAGAGCACCAACTCTTTCAACATTGCCATTTGTGTCATGAACTTCCTCAACTCCATCTTCCTGCTCATCTTCTCCAACGTCTTTGGCGCTCCCCCTCTGGTTAACGGTGTCGTCGGTGTCGTCCTCTTCATTGCCAACGCTGCCTTCGCTCTGATCCTCCTGCTCCTGGTCATCGCAAGCAGCACCTTGAGCTTCATCCGCAAGAACCCTGACGCCCGCTACCAGTTCATGGCCGATGACCGTGCTTCTTTCATGAAGTCCCAGACGCAGCTGAACACCACGACCGAGCTGGATGCTTTGGCCGCTACCGCCAGAGGCGACAAGGCTCACTACAACAAGGGTCTCGACCTCGATGACGATAACGACTCCATCTCATCCGAGTCTATGCGCCGTCGGGCCGACCCCTCTGCAGTCGCCCTGCCGCCGTCCACTGCTCAGTCCGCCGCGCCATCTCAGCACTCCGTTAACCGGGCTGGTGGCCAGGGCAACCACGCACCTCACTCTCCTGTGGACCCTTCGGTGCCTCTCTTCCCGGCTGACAACCGCCACCCGTACGGCAACGGCCCATCGCGTACGCCGAGCCCTTATAACGGTTCCGGGTCGACTCTGAACGCCAACTACAGGCAACAAAACAATGCCAGCCCAGCACAGTACAGGCAACAGAACAACGCTAGGTAAGGATACTCACTCAAGATGTGACAAATCACCGGCAAATGCTAACCAGATGGACAGCCCTTGGCAGCGTGGTGCAGGATACGAACACTAGATATGACCCGCTATGATTTATACCATTTCAGACGGTAGATACCGTACGGCCTAGAGGACGGCTTGCCAAACTACGGCAGGTCGGTGGTAGCTGTCTGGTCATGCCCTTTGTGGGTCGAGTATTTCACTCTCTCAGTACACGGAAGATTTCCAAACTCGATACAGCCAGTTCAGTAATAATGTGCCAGGCGTAGGAGAGGAAGCATAAACCCTGAATCCTGAGTTATGACAAGCATCACACCATAGACGGAATGGTATCTCCTTTTTTCCCCTTTATTGCTTTCCTTTACTTCTCTCTGTTCCACTTATAACTCTTGTCTCTGGCATTGAGGGCGGCGTCCCGAGATCACGGCGTTGATTTGTAGTTTGGGAGGTCGCCGGGGCACGCCGATCAAGGCGGCTGATGCACTGGCACAGGTTTTTAACTTTTTTTGTTGTAAATAAGGCTGTGGTTGAACGGGAAGGGGGTTCCCATCAACAGCAGCTTGGACGCCGGACTTGAAGAAAGGGGGAGGAAGGTTTTTTCAAAAGGGGTTGGACTTTCAGGACGGAGAAGGCCAACCATTTTTTGAGCAGAGATCAGCAATGCGTGTGATTTTGATCGGAGTGTGCACATATGCATACACCTGATGGTAGAAGCACAAAATAGCTAATGGATCCCTTTGTTACCAAAAAGTCTCATCGTTCTCCCAAAAAACTTGTCTTGGTTGATCTGATGAGGATACGGCTAGAGGTCAATCTCCACTGTGTCGGTCTGGACCTCGTTCTTGTCTCTGATGATGAAAGGAAGGATGCGATGGACAAGGAAAAAAAAAAAAGGTAAGACATGAAAAATTCGGTTCCGTCGAAGCTTTGCCTCTGCGGCCGGTACGAACCAAAGAGATGCGGTTGGTTTTTTTTTTTTTTTTTTTGGCGCGAGTGTTCTTCTCCGGCCGGTAGGGGAGAAGGAGAAGGAGATACGCCCCGTCGATGGGGGAGCGAAAGAAAAAAAAAAGTTCTCATCATTCTGGTCAGTCAGGCAGGGGGTGGGTGGTGGATCGGGAGAGGAGAGGAGGTCATCGAGATGACTTTGCGTTTTGGTTTTGAAGAGGTTATCTCCGGTCATACTATACGCGGGAGCTTCTGCTTCGGCCGACGTATAGGAAGGTCAAGGGATGGGTTCTGTTCTCCCGTCCCTTTCATTCCTTGTTTCATTACGGGCGGCGAAGACGACGACGATGACGACGGAGATGCTAAAGGTTGGACGATGGAACCTTGTCTTCGGCCGACGAGGGTTCAGAGTTTCCCATTGTGAGTTGAGCGGGACGGAGCGAGACACACACACGAGAGCAGGAGAAGGTCTATCTATCATCGGCCGATATAAAGTGGTCTGACTTTACGGAGGGCTTTGTCGACGGGGGAGCCAATTGCGGATGTGCAGAGACGGCCCTAGCGATACGTCCGTACCGGGAGGCCGGAGGACATGAAGAAGCCGGTGCCCCCCCGAGGGGTGGCTCAGGATAGTAGTGGATGGGGCTGGTGATGGGTGGTGGTGGTGTGGATGAGTAAGTGTGTGCGTGCTTGTGCTTGTGCCTGTGTCTCTATCCGTATGAATGGGTTGGAGGCTACGGATGAGTGACGGAACAACCGAGAGGCTTCGGAGTTTACCTACCAGGGGTGGGTTGAGGCCAGGCATCTTCATCCGAGCCTGGACTGGGCACTGTAGGATGTATGCTAAGACGATTCCGGCGTGAGGAGAGACAGAGAGAGAGAGAGGATGGGGTATTGCGGTGTTTTCTTTGTCTGTATAACGGTCATACGTTTGTAATGTATGGTGCAATAATGCTGACCGATCGTCCTCGAGAGGGGGTAACGTTCGAGCGAGGTTAGGCATGATGATGTAAAGACAAGGTGGCAGCATGGAGGAGGGGCTTCTCCAGGCCTATCTTGTGGCACCGGATAGATCTAAGTTGACGGAGTCCACGTTGGACCGTCGGGGAGGTCGATGGCGATGGATCCCCCCACAGTTGACGAATCTCGGCCCTCGTCAGAATTAGGATAGCTTTCGGTTGGACGTTGAGAAAGAAACAGTTTTTATTTTTGGCCAAGGATGTGGTTCTCGGCGGTACTGCCTACGGCAATGGCAATAGCATGGAAATGGCCAAGGCAAACGACGGCCCAAGGGTGGGGATGAGGAATACGATGGAGCTAATTCCAACCTGGTAGCCACAGGCGAGAGGTGTGCTTGAGTGAAGGTCCCTGGAAGAGAGAGAGAGTGGAGGAAGCTATCGTGAGGTAGGCCTAGCATGGTGGAGAGCCTTCATCGGTGGGGAGCGCCTGGGGGCTAGAGCATGTAGTTTGTTTACTGGGGACCAAAGGTGGATGACATGTCAAGTGTCAAAGTGGGGGGAGGGGCGTATTCTGACAGCGGGAAGGCAGTATTCGGTGATGATGTGTTTTTCCAGAGGCAGAAGTGATGTAGCAGAACCATCTACCGGTATGCAGGTCAAGGCTCGTGGCGCGGTGGTTCGCTACCCGCCCGAGATGGTGGGCGCCTTACCAGGCTTCAGGTGCAAGAAGGTCAAGATGGATGATTGAGAACCGAGAGGAAGGCACATGCATGGTCACTTGTTGTGGCGTTGCCCGACATGGGCTTGGTTCTTTGGGGCGGGACAACTGAATGATATGTAGCTTCTCGGCAGTTCTTAGATTTTGACAAGCCCGGTTGGTGGAAGTGGTTACCACAGCCTCGAGAGACGCCGTTGCGGTCAGGATTGACAATTTTCAGAACAAAACCAGCTCTCCAAGGGTTTGGATGAAGATATGTCTTAGTCGTTGCCTCAGACGGCCTTGGTTTGGGTTCACGAATTTGTCGGTTGGCGGTTAGCAGTGGGACAGCTGAACATATCGCGGGGGTGGTGGCAGAAGGGTCTTGCTAGGCTTCCCGGGAAATCTGGCCGCGTTCCTTGGGTGGCTTATTCAAAGGGCTGGCCTTGGAGTGCGGACGTGTAAGGTCCGCATTTCTGGTCGTGAAGGGGTTGTTGATGTTAGAGGAGGGGCGTGGTTTGGTGACTGTTTACTTCGGAGAGCCTCCGGATAATATCCTAGCCCTTTCATTGGTTAATTCATTTGACTGTTGGCTTATGGGAACTAGGTGAACGCTGACAGGCGAGCGAGCACGTCCTAAGACGAGGGTAGTGAAGCCACTTGACGTCGAAGCTGGAGCCTCAGGGTCGTGTATAGGCACGGACAGAAACGGGCCTGGAGAAGTCCAGTTAGGCCGCAGATCCATGTGCATAGAGTCCGTATACGTCTGGGTATGGCGATGTGAGTTGCCTGTGTAGCGGTAGGTGGAGTGGAGAGTAGGCTGTGGCTAATGTCTAAAGAAGCGGCCGCCTCAGACTGGCTGGAAATGAAGAAGAGGCGTAGGGCACGGAGTAACCTATGAGCTAGGCAGACCATGCAGCGGTTGGTGTGAGGCGGCAACTGTCATGACGGCGAGGGCTGGAGCTGGAACACGGGAAGACCGCCAAAAGTAGGGTAGGGTAGCTGCCATGTATCAGGTCATACTGGGCAAGCAGTTGAGGGCTGGCTTTAGGTTCTGCCTGTCCAGCATGCTGGGAAGGAGTATAGTCAGAGAGTGTATAGGGTGGCAGCAGCCCGGAACATGGGGCTCCGGGGTGAGACAGACTGCTGGGACTGACCAAGAATCAACGCCTCAGCAAAGTCTGTTTGCGGCCGGATTTGGATGTTCTTAAGTAGAAACCCCACAGATCCATCGATGGCTTTCGAGTCGAGTACGGAACCTGCCAGAGCCAGACTACCAGGCCAGGCCAGTAGGTTTGTCTCCGGGGCAATACGATTGGCCGAAGAACGAGCGCGAATACCGCTTGACCACATCCAGGGAACCGGTAGGAAGCCTCCTCCACTTTGTGCGTAGAAGCTCTCACGTTGAGGCATCGCTTGAGAGGTTGTTGCATTTGTAAGACGTTGATCATGCTGTACCATGGATAGGGTAATGGTGAGCTAGCACGTAGAGGAGATAACGATTCGATCACGATCAAGTGTCATGAATCCTTCCGGGGGGGGGGGGAGAGAGAGGAGAATCAAAGCAGGGAATGATATTCGCGCAATACCTCACCAATCCACTCGATCAGTGATGGATGACGATATCTTGTGTGTTTATTGCTCATGAAGTAACAGATGATCAGTGCCGAACCCTGCGTCTGCTTGTGTTGGAGAATGATAGCTGAGACATCTTCAGCAGAACGTGGATCGCCACACGGGGCCACCGCCCAGGTGTCACACGAATTCATGTAAGCCTGTCAAGAATGCCAGCCAATGTCTCGCTACCTTATTCAATCGTGTATACTGGAGCGGAACTTCCTGACAGTGTCAGAAGGCCACACGGCAGTGGAGAGAGGATTTGGCATATCCCGAGAGAGTGGCTCAGCTACTTCTCGGAAGAAGTGATTGAACAGTACTCGTGACTGTAACGCAGGCGAGATCTATCTCTAATTTTCATGGCGCTCGCTATCGGACTCTGCGAGGCGCAAGGGGGGGTGAAGGTGATTCTTCTTCTGCCGTTTCCGGCCAAACAATACAACATATTTCTTGGCGACTATGACTGATCAGGGTGTGTAATCAGTCCCATGTCCCGGGCGTACAGGCCAGGGCTCATGCAGGTACCGAACCCCTCCAAGAAACAGCATACGAAAGACATAGATCTAGTCTGTGATTGGGTGTACGGTGTACCTGCATTCAGACTGGCCACAGACGTTGAGTATAGATCCTGGGGGTGGTTGTTGGTGACAAGGTCGAGAGAGGGAGAGATGGATAGAGAGGGGACGGCTGAGGCGTATGGCTGTGGTCAAACGCTGGAATAACGCTTCCGGGAAGGGTATGAGGTGAATACCTGGAGAGGTCCAGACGCAAGAGAGAGAGAGAGAGAGAGAGACTTGTACAGATTGGGGAATAATTGCGAATGCATGGTCTAGCGAGCGAGATCGTGATGTGGAAGGAGGGAATAGAGAGAGGAGAAAGAAAGAAAAAAAGAGGCAGAGTAACATTCCGCACTGAGACAAGGATACGCGAGCTCTGCGCCCAGTTCCGTCATTCCAGTGGCGCTTCTTCGATTTAGGGTTTGGGGTGACAGATGGGAAGATGGAGGGAGGCAGGCCATAGGTGGGGGGCTGCGAGATTCTGCAACGGGGATCTTGCACTAGTCCTGCGAGATCCAGAGGGACAGGTAGGGTAGGCAAAGGAGACTAACAGGCGAGCTTGTGGCTGCCCTCCCTCTCCTTTGGCTAGAGATGGAGCAGCATGGATACGCCGTTCCCCCGGTCTGCTGGTTGGGACTGACAAACGCCCGCAATGCGCCTCCTTCGGTCTTTACCTTGGGAGGAATGGTCAGGACGAGAGAAAAAGAGGAAAGGTGCAATGTAAGGCGGATAGAGGAGGGCGAACAGAGGGGGCGGAGGAATGAGGTAAGGCTTAGCGGTGAATTTGACAGTGGAGGTGGAGGGGAAAGAGAGAGCTCTAGTTTGAAGGGTCCGGAAAAAAAAGCCAAGTTTTTTCTTTTCTCTTCTTTTTTTTCCCCCCCTCTCATAGTTTGATAAGGATTACAGAAAGAGAAGAAGAAGCTATCTGTTTGCGGCCATGTTGTCTTAAAGGAACCAGAAAGACGCACACACACACACACACACACACACCCCTCCCCCTCTTCATCGTCCTCTTTCCACCCCCAGATCCACCCTCATCCATCTCATCCACTTCATCTACTATCATTGCCAAGCCTCGTTGTAAGGAGCTGCCGCGCGTTGGGGTCTGGACTTTTTGGAGATTTTAGGCGAGAGCGATTCTTTAGGGAGAGGGCCCTATCATGATCGGATGCTGGTCTGTGTTGGCCTTCCCGACGACCATGTTTTCCCCCTCCCCCCTCTTCTTACCAGTCCTGTCGACGGTGAGAGGCGGATGAGGCGGGAATACCAATACCAAACTACATTGTAATCCAAAGAGGATACCGAAAAGTAGCCTGCTACGTGTATGTGTGTGTGTAGCTCGGGGCGCAATCTCCGGTGACGATCGGCTAACGGCTGCCTTTGGGGCAGATGAGGGCCCCATAGCGCATCGTAGTACCTGCTAGGAAGCTGCCCCGACCCTCTGGACTGGGAACTGACGAGGGGCTGCGCGAGGCGTCTTTTTGTTTGGGCATCTCGGGGCGTCTGGCAATGAGTTTGTTGTTTTGTTTATTGACGTTGATCCGTGGTTGTGATGATGATAACGATGAATGGTTGATCACCGGTTTTCATGTTAAGACGAAAAGATGGGTAATGAAGCCGGGTTCTCAAGTTCCCTTGGTCACATGAATATTATGATGATGATGATGATGATGATGATGATGATGATGATGATGATGATGATGATGATGATGATGATGATGATGATGATGATGATGATGATGATGATGATGATGATGATGATGATGATGATGATGATGCGTAATATGTGTCTGTTGGGAGCTGCTGATGACAAGGCACTTCGGATATCACGGTTGTTTGCAGAAAGGAATCATAATGTTGTGTAAATAATATGTTATTTTGGTTATTGATGGTTTTTTCCCTTTCGAATCTGCTCTGCTAGGATATCCAACCCCCCCCCCCCCCCCCCCTATCCGTAACTCGTACCTCGGGTTCCAGCCTGTGTTGTTTTTGGTTTGACTCCAAGCAAACAAAAACGAGATTAACTACCTAATAAATATTGTTGATGGGTGGGTAATAAGTAAGAATAAAAATTGTGTAAGCGACCAATGTCGGCAACCTGTGAACAGTCGGTCAGAGCTCGCGCTCCTAATGCCGTATTGTAAAAAAAAAAAAAGAGAAAGAGAAGAAAAAAAGGAGTAAAAGAGCACATAGTAAGTAGTAATTGTTGAAAGCCATCAACAGTAATAGAAATTATTTCGCGTGATAATTCCCGCCAAACGCCCGGCATCACCTTCCTAGCCTGCCATACCATAAACTCCCAGGCGCTTTCCCATGCGTATTTTGTTTGCAAGTTTCCCATCGAGTAAAGACCAGTTCAGAAAACGAATCCTTCCTCGACCAACTTGTCCACGTCTCCTCCCGCCGCCTTGACGGCCTTGATAGCTGCTTCGCTCAGCCTTCGGCGCTTCTCCATCGCCTCCTTTTCCCGGCGGGCCTTGGTCTTTGAGCTGCCGCTGGGTGCCACACCCGTCATGAGGATGTTCTTGTCGCTGGGTGTGAAGTTGACGAAGCCGATACCATCAGACGCTCCGCCCAATCCACTTCCGATGGATGGTGTTCGCATGCTCTCGCGCCGTGACCAAGAGCGACGCTTCTTGACGCTTGCGCTCAGGGCCGCTCCGCCACCAATGTTAGAAAGCGAGCCACCGCTGCTGTGGCGGGATCGATTTGTGGGCGTGGGCGAAGTCGAAGAGTCGCGGCTGCCCTGGCGTGTACGGCTTGGGTTGCGGGTCTTGCGCATCGGGGTTGACATGCACATATGGCGGGTTCCGGCCGAAGGAGCACGGGGCATGCGGGGCCGGCGCTCGGTCATCTGCTGTTGGGGGTGATGAAGCTGCTGGGGTTGGTAATGGACGACAGGCGAAGAAGTGGCACGGGGTTGAGGCATATGGATCATGAGACCCGACATCTCGGGTCCGGCCGCAGCGAGGCTGTTGTATTCGTACGGGAGCTCGCTGTGTTGCGTGTGCATGGCCAAGTTGAAGGTGGCATTGCGGGCGTTCTGTGCTTGGTATTGTGAGCCGGTCGACAGGTCCATATTGCTACCGTCCCACCACTGGTTGTCAAGGCTGTCAGTGGCATAGGGGTTGGACCACGCAACATGGGAGTCTGTCTGGGGTGTTGTTGTGACCATGGGCCAGGTGGCCTTGCTGGTGTTGGCAACATTGCCGGTGCTCATCTGCTGGTGATGGAAGAACATGCCGCTCTTGTCGTCGAGGACGGGAGTATCCATGGGAGTGGTCGGGTCGCTGCGGCGGAACATCTGGACATGACCACCATTGACACCGGTATCGAAGAAGGGATCCTCGACGTAGCCACCACAGAAGGGGATGCCGTTGCTACCTGTTGATGAGGAGGTAGGCAGGTCCTGGGGGATGGTGGCACTGTTGGGAGGGGAGAGGGGGAGTCTGGTGGGAGGACCACCGAGGCCGGTGAGGTGCTCAGGACGGAGCTTGAAGGCCTTGCGAGGCGAAACGTTGGGCGAGAGCGGCCCCCTGTGGTCGACGGCAACGGAAGACATGCTGGGCTGTTTATGACGGACTGATGCAGCTTTCTGCTGCAGCTTGGAGGCGACGGCCTTGAAGAAATTACTCGGCTTACGACCACCGTTGGTGTGATTGTTGCTAGTATTGCTGGTTTTGCTGCTGCCGGCGAGATGGAGGTTGGAGTTGCTGCTGGTAGCGGACGAGGCCTGAAGATGAGGTGTAGGAGGATGGGAAATAACGACTGAAGGAGCGCGGGAAGGCGACGCTTTCAACGATATTCCTTCAAGGCGGAGGAGCTCAGAGTCAGAGATCGACTCAGACCCGCCCGCACAAGCTGTGTCCGGATAGGTCGAAGTCTTCCTTTGTCCATGTCCCTCTGCGCAGCCGATCGACCACGAAGACTGGAGCCCCGGAACGCCCACAGCTGGCGGTACCGCCGCGTCTCCAGTCACTGCCGCTACTCTAGCGGCTGCTGATGATGGCACTACTGTGGCAGCGGGACCTGCTGCGGCGCTAGCTCTAGCTTCCACGAGCGGCTGTGAGTGGCAACTTAGTAGGTCGTCTAGATCGTCCGATGCGCTTGTTGTCGACGCGGAACCATGGGCGGGGAGTGGGATGTTGAAGAAGAACGAGTCGGGTAAGGCAGGGCGAGGGAGCTCGTTACCTCCGGTTGTCGAAAGCCTCTCGAGGTCAACAAATTCCTCGAAGAGCAGTCCGTCGTCGACAGCACCTGCAGCCGACCCTCCCGCCGCCGCTGCGGTCTCTGCTGTTGTCACTCCTTGCCATTGCAGGTGGGACGAACCCCCGTTACCGTCTTTGTCCGCGTCCATGGGCTCTACTGGGAACTGGGCCTGTGAGTACGTCATGTTGTTGCCGTAGTCTGTTGGGTGTGAGCTGGGCCTGACTCTGGTGTCTGAGCTTCTCGTCCAATGCGAGACGGCCGCTGTCATGCTCTTCCTGTCTCTAGTTCTGGTTCTGGTTCTGTCTCGCCCTCTGTCTGTGTCTATCTACTGTTGAGTTCCGCAAACGAACGAGGGCCAAGACTAGAAACAGGAGCACACAGGTGGGGAAGAGAACAACTGGTAGAGCAAATCTTTTTGCGCTGTGTGTCTCGCGCGTAGCTGTGAGTGGCAGGAGTTCAAAAGCTTGGTTGGAACGAGCGTCGATACAGTATTCGTTTTCAGCAAAATGGGTGAGAAAGGAGTGAGAGAATGAAGATTGCAGAAACTGGTGCGAAATCTTTGCAGATTGGGATTCTTGTACGGAAAAGAAAACCGTCGATGGTTGCAAGTCCGCATCAGGTGGAGGGGACGAGAGTCAACAAATACCGTCCGGTTCATGTCTCTCACCCTGCCACAGCAACTATTGAACAAATATGGAAGCAGCTAGGAGACGGTCACCCTGGAATTGGGACCGCATAGATCACCGTGCTCTTGGCGACAGATGCCCTCAGCGACCGAATGTCCAAAGGAATGTTGCCCATGTCGTCCAGTGACCCAGCGAGGCTGGCCGCATTCCAGTCCATCCTGTCGCTCCTCCCAGACCCTACTAAAACTGGGGTTGAGTTGGACAGAGGGATCAACGACGTCAAAGAAAACGAATCTCTTTTGCCCTCAAATCAACTTAGGTTGATGGTAATGGTCAAGGAGGTAGGGGGAAAGAAAAAGAGCCCCGAACAAATCATCGCTCTTTTCCCCCTTCGACCAAAACCTATTATGCACCACAAAGAACTATCGTTACTCGACTGCAGGCACCTGCATATCCACTCATCCACTGCGTTGGTCTTTGCTCCAAAAATCCCAAGACTTCAATTGATAGCAATGGGTCATTGATGACCTTGATAAGTCCAGTCCCTCGTGGGGTTGCGGAGGGCATGATCCGATACGGAAACGCCACAAGCCAGAGCACCATGTCTCTCGCGGTCTGGGCAGCGGGGTATATCTCCATGGTGCGAGGGGCATTTGAAGGCCTGGCCTTCTCTCTCCTCTCTCCTCCATCCATTCCGCTGGTGGTAGTGTGTTGCTGTGAAAATAGAACATGCGGGCGCAGTATGCTGTATACAGTGGCAGCACCCTTACAACAAGGAAGATGGGCCTATTTCGAGGAAGAAAGGATGGCGCCGGCTGTGGGCAATGGCGGCGGCCGACTGCAAGGCACCACGCCCCCGCGACGGCCGGACCGATAGCTGGTCCAGGCTCCAGCCCTCACTGACTCTCTCAATCTGACTTTGGCAGGCTACCTTGTTGCAATCTGGACCATGGCCAACTGCCAGATAATTGTTCCCCCCAGACAAGGTGTCCGCTATGGAAACACTACTGCAAGTGCCCACGTCAACCTTGACATCGCTTGAGAAAAGGCTGCCGCTAGAAAGTCTAACTTGGCATATTCGTCGCTGTGGTTCTCCATCGCTAAGCTAAGCACGAGAGAGAGAAAAACTGCATCTGACGGCATAGGCTATTCCAAGCGGGAGAGCTTTGGCGTGTTAGCCCAGTGATCACTGGAATGCTTCTCATGTTACACCCCCCCTTGTTCCCGATACTCGTGGGGGAACCAAGGGACGAAGAACGCTCATGAGTTTGATAGCATAGTGTTGGCACACGTTGCTAGGATTGAATGGGGCGGGGCATTGTTCATTGTGATGTTTGCATGAATATAGCTCCCATTGAGAGCCTGCGTTGGCTACAATGGTTTCCCGTATTGCCGGGACAGCTTGCTCGTGTGGTGAGGCGAAGCCGTTACATGTCCCACGCTGTCTGCCAACCCCTTGGAAGAACGGTGCTTCTGAAAACATCAATGATGTTGCTTCATCACCTTAGTCATCATGATGGCTCAGTATTTGAAAGAGTCCAAACGTAATGTAACATCCACAACGTGGTTAGTCTTGATTGTTGATTTCGGCCATATATCCTCTACTTGGACCCCCGTCCGGTCGCCTGGGATGTAGGCGCAGGAATGTTATGTCAACTGCCTCTGCCACCATTTGCCATAACCTTTGGTACGCCTCACCGCCTGCGGGCGAAAAGCTATGGCTGCGAGGCCGTAGTTCCGCAGGCTGTTCGGTCTTCGATGCAATCCTTTCTTCCCGCCAGGGTTACTGTTTAAAGGAAAAAGGAAAAGAGAAGAAAATTGACCTCGCATAACCGATATGCCGCGAGGAAGACGCCCAACCTCGGTGTCCGGTCCACCAGACACAAAACGCCCTCAGTCTTGTCCCTGACTGAGAAACACAGATCCGCCCACATAACTAACGGCTGAACCTTCAGCCGTACGTGTGCTTTGAATGCCGCCGAATGAAGTTAAAACATGCTGCCCCGTTGTAAACGCCGTTGCTGAACTCGAACCCCCATGCCGCCCATGTCCCGTGGGTATATCGCCAAAAATCACTGTTCTCGTACAAAAAACGCTGAAATACCGAAGATCCACTTGTAGTCGCTCACTTCAAACTTGGTCGTCTTACACTGGTCTGGGCTCCCGCGTTGGTCCTGGACCTTTACGTTTCCGCATCCTTGGCCGATGCCTGACAACATTGTGACACCGAAGCGCTGTTTCTGCCGAGCCTCTGAATCGCAATGATCCGAACTTTCGAAGAGCGCTAGATGGGCCCATCAGAAGTTCTCCGCTTGCGGTCAATGCTCTTAGGGTAGGGAGATCGGCATCATCATCACAAAAGCCCTCGTCCACTTCCAGTCTTTCAGATGCCTCAAGGTCTTGGGGAGTGTCTGCCTCGATTTTGGATAGATTCGGGCATGTTGGAATCGACTGCACAAGTGGTGAAAGTGGTGCAAGGATAGCACTGGACCGCGACTTCTCTGATATGATGCTTCTTAAACGAGCCTCAGTGACGCTAGCATGATTGGGGTTGTTGGCAAGCCGACTGTGCCATCGCCGTCTTGACCTCTTCCAGTCAGCGACTGGTTGATGTTCTTCGACGTCATCCATTGAAAGATCCATTTCGCAGTCGTCGTCAGCCTCAAGAGGTGCAGACGAGAGGTGCGCAATGCTTGACGGTGATATCCCGTGCGACAAGATCCTCATTTGCGGTCGGCGTAACACGTCTGGAAACAAAGTCTGCTTGCTGAGCTCATGGACAAGATTGTCGATGGGTTGTGGTGGGGTCGGTGGAGCGTCATGGGGACCCGAGGGACTGGTTGACGAAGTTGGGATTGTCGTCGTGGAAATGTCTAATTGGCGTGGTCTTTGTCTTGGAGACAGATGCGGCTCCGAATCGGCAGCATCGGCCACCGGATGCGCCTGCATCCCCATGGTGAAGTGATCGAACATATCCCTGAAGTTCGATGATGTTGGCTGCAAGTGGTGTTTGGCTATACAGGGGAGGAAAAAGCAGAGGTGGAAGCTGATAATCGTTCTTGGGGAGGGGGGCGAGCTGGTATTATGAAGGCATCCGCAACCACGCTAACCTAGGCGATGAGGCGCCGTGGCGGCCACAAAAGGCCGAGAGCAAGTACTAGAGCAGTTTTGGGCGGCGAGTGCTAGCAGCAGGAATGAAGCTTAGTTGGTGTTGAGGCCGAGTTCGAAAACTGGGCAGCGACGGAGTGTAAACGAGCGAAAGCCTCTGCCATGTGGCTGCGCCTGAACGCTATTCAGGTCGACGAGAAGCTGCCGGGGGAAAAGGCGGACGAAATGGTGAGGTATTGCGACGAATTTGATAAGTATGAAGCGAGGCGAGGGGTCGGAGAGATGGGAGAAGGAGGAGGTAGTTTGGTTTTGTAGGGGTATGTTCCAATTGGAAGACGGAGAAAGGGCGAGGAAAAGAAAGAGACGGCCAGGTCTTTTGGCGTAGCGTCACGAGAAATAGCAGCTAGCGTGGCTAGTGTAAGTGACTCGGGCTTGAACAAAAGTTGATGAACCTGGGTCTGGTAGAAACAAGAGCCGACGAGCAGTCGCAGGACTGCGTGGGTGGGCGCAAGTGCAGATGAAGGAAGCGGTATGGGATCCGTCTCGGTATCCAGTATTAAGCCAAGCAGTATCCGTACCGTATGGCCGGCACTACTAGTGGGCTTAGCGCAGCCAAGCTTCTCCAGAGAGTGGGCAGGTTTTTGGGAGCCGGGAGACAAGGAGGGTGGTTGCACAAAGGCAGCAGGACTAAGAGTTGGCTGTGTCACCTGGGATTGGCGCTACATAGTACTCGCTCTCTCTTTCTGTCTCTCTCTCCTCTGCCGCCACAAGAGGTCGATGAAGTGCCGTATGATACGGGTATGAGAGTACATAACACCCGTTCCGGGAAATGGTCCAGGGGGAGGGGGGGTGTGAATCAAACCAGACGAAGCGGAGAGAGTCTGATGTGAGTCGACGGTACACGCCTTCCTCATTTACAGTGAGAGACAGCAGCGTCAGCAGTGATGGAATGGGGGACTGCAGCGGTGCCTGAGTCCGGTCCGGGAGTTAAGCTGAGTAAAGTATTGCATTGCATCAAGTGCCGATGCTGAATGAAGACATTGAACCAAGTCCAGGGATCTTAGGGGAATAAAACAAATTAAGAATAAAATGGAGGGGGTCCATCACCACTTGCATTCAAGAATCGTCGGGCCTGACTGCTCTGCCGGTAAAGTCGGGCCGGGTGGAGAGAAGAAAGAAGAGAAAGAACGGAGGGGTGGTGAGGGTGTTTGATTTTACTGTATAAAGTGATAGGAATCCGAGCTCGATGGGCGAGACTCCCTTCTGAAGGAGCCCAGAACAGGGGGCTACGGAAGTGATCTTTGGGACAGTTCGGGGGGAGGGGGCGTCGATATTGATAAAATGACGGAAGGGCAAAAGCGACGAGCTGAAAGTGCTGGGGGCGCCTCAAAGGATAAAGAGTGGCCGCATGCTACGGTAGCTGAGTGGAATTGGTATTTTATGGCGTCGTTCAGCCCAGCTGGGTGGTTAGCTTTGATGATCGAGGAGATCGGAGGCCGGGACGAAGGATTATGAAGAGCGTGCAGACGTTGGGTTCCGACGTAACCAAAACCGTGGGAAACGGTGCAGCGCCCAGTACCCAATGCTCTGGGTCTGACGGCTGAGTCAAACCAACCAGAGACACATGGGAGATTGGATGACAGCCAGGGAAGGAACGAGCGTCAAATAGCCCTTCTTCCTCCCTAGGGAGATGTACTGCCACAATGCCCAAAACCGCCGCCGGACTTTACTAAGAACCCGCGATTATGTATATGCTCACAGGCCTCTTGTTGTGCCCATCATCATTACCTGTGGTTTAATTCACCATCAGCAGCAAAAGCCACCCACTGTAAGACTGGAAAGAGACCCTGCCAGCTGGATTAGAAAATTAAAAAAAAAAAAAAACACCAATAACGGAAGGCAAGATGGTGAAGAATGGTACGTACTCTCCAGCGCTAAGCTATATCCCAGTCGGGCCAGGATCCGACCCAGGACCCCTGGCTGAGCAATGGTGCTGGCTAGACGCAAGCGAACGATTCCGAACCCACTAGACGAGCCGTAGGTCTTTTTCCTCCACAAAGAGCCTGGTCCATTCCAAGACATTCACCACCCTCATTGTCGGGAATTTGGAACTTCGAACCATGGCACGGCCAAATTACTGGACAGCATCTGTACCGTATCATCAGGGTGTCTCTTACGCATTGGAAACTTTACGGTACGTCCACGGCAGAAAGAGGAGGAGGTCATTGCACAGACACTGTCTGTTCTGTCCAATATGAATCGTAACAACACATCCGGAGCCTGTTTTACGATCAGCTTACCAAAAATCTTGAACGATGTGGAATTTGATCAGGAGGCAGCGAGTAACCCAAACGGTAACTGTGCTAACCTAGTGTAAGGCACTTTGCGTACATAGTAGAATAATACACAGGCTAACAGGTGCCTGCTGCAATCTGACCAATCCAAGGACAGTACTGTGTATCTGATGGACCAGACCCGCTATTCGCTAGTGGAGTCCAGCTGCCTCACACTTAGCCAACCATCTCGCCCGGCTTCACCGTTCGCTTGGACTCTCCAGAATAGACGGCCTTGGAGACGGTTGGCCTGTTAAAAGAAAGGCTCTGATACGGCGAGTCTACCACACTGTGCTAGGTACCTGGCCCTTGTCGTCAATAGCATCCTTGCTCCCCTCTTGGCTCCTTCCTTGTGGAATCTATTCCACCTCCCTCAAAAGTTCTCCTCGCCCAAGCAAAGGGAACGTTGATGTAATAAGCTCTTTCACACTCACACACCTCACTTCATGGCAAGAGCAATTCTGATTATTCAAAAACACCTCGTTATGCGCTAAGAAATACTTCCCATGCAAACGTACATACACTGCCTGCTACCCTAATGCGGGCACGATGCCCTCGTGACTTTCAAACCACGTCGCCCGTCTTGAACTTACCCAGTCCTACAAACACCGCAGCATCACTGTCACCCATCGACGTTTCGCCCATTACATCGCGTCGGATCAGTATCTCACGTATCAGAAGGGATATTCGGCGCTCAGTCGGGACCCTAATCATCGTCTAATCACGGTGAGACCAAACAAGCAGTCAGGCGCTTGGATGCATGGGTTCTGAGACCACGCCAGCTTAGCTCGACCACTATTCATGTTATGATGATCCTACCCACCCTTCGAGAATCGCTAGAACAAACATGTTGTCTCTGGCCCTCTGTCTCTTGAGAACCGGTCCTTCTCGTCTCCACGAACTTCCGCGTGTTCTGGCCACCTGGAATCTGAGACTCTTTGCTTGTTCGGCCCTCAATGCAATGCACGGAAGCGCGATAGTCACCTGCAGCCTGCAACCTGCTGCATGGTGCTTCTCCTCGCCTGCACAACCTACCGATACTCACAGCCAGTTAGCAGCCGGGAGCATCGATCACCATGTGGTAGTCGACGCCTCTGACTCCGCCCCGACCCTTCCACGAGGGAAAAAACACGCCATTGTTGAGACGAGGTGAACCAGTTGTTGCACAAAGCCCCATCTCCAAACAAAAACACCGGGTATTCTTTTCAAGGTGCCACTTCATCGACTTGTGACGGTTGCAACTGGCAGCACAAGAGAGCTGTTGCACTGATTGAATCTCAAACAAACCCTCGAGCATCCTGTGAATTAGCCTGTTTGCTTCTCTCATTGATTTCGCCAATCGACTGTCGAATCAGGGTCTCAATGCTTCGCTTCACTGTTCCTCTCTTAATTGCGCTCGTGGTGATTGTTAATATCTGTATGAAAAGTCCTCACGAGCGCTACCTTTTAACTCCAGCGTGTCTGCATGAGACAGGTAGATGGCCATCATCATCCTAATATGAGAGGAACTCGTAATACTAAGAAGCCTTTGAGAGAAAACAACGATAAGTATCATGATTCGCCACCTGCGTTTTTATGTGTTGAGGCAATACCGAGGGAGACACTTCGAACACTCTGAACAATGCATATGCAGACAAACATCAGACGACTCAGAAGCCCGAGACCCCTCATGGCTTCTATGCGGACGTCTTCTCAAGATGGACATCGGCCTGAGAGTAGCTTCATGCAGTGCGTTGGTTGTTCTGGGCTGCCTCAGTCAGTCAATCAATCAATCGCAATACGTCATTGAAGATCGACACACATGCATGTTGGGGGCATCTGTATCTTAGCTTGAATCTCTACTGACACAATCGGCTTTTTCACCTTTTTGAACTCGCATTACCATGGCTGCTTCTATTTGCACCTCCCTCTCAGTGGTGGGGCTTCCTTTCAAGCATGATCCTGATCTAGATCAGCGCTCATGTGGGCTTCATGGGGTCGGTGCTTGACTGGCTCCTGCTTTGGCTCGAGGCTCTGTGAGCTTCCGCCAAGGGCCCCTTGTCTCCCCAGTTTGCCTGGAGCCCTTCAGAGACCTCCTCGCCGTGTACGACCAACCGCAACAACATCGTGTCTCTGTGCGCATCATCCAAGGGACAAACCAAGATCGCCGCCAGTCGTCTTTCGTCATTGTCAGCAGTCACTGAGTGGCTCGGCAATCAACCCTAAAAATAAAAATAAAAACAGAATGCTCACCCTGACGATCCACACAGAGGCACAACAAGTGAAGGCCAACAACCAAGAAGGGTACACCGAAACAACTTATCGGCCGAACGGCATTTTCTTCACTCCATTCAGACCGACGGCCATTCATTGTCTCTCTTCAATCCTCAAAGCATCGCCTCATTTGGGATTAGGAGATAAGAACTAGTTCTTTTAAGCCTGGGTGGCCGCTAGCCAAAGTCCATGGCTCTAAAAGCAGTCCCGAGGTCTAATGGACCTACCATCAGGACCAAGGACCATTTTGTTCAATTCAGCCTGCCGAGGCTCGACATATAATCCAGAATTTTGAGTCGTTTCTCGAAATAGCCAACACTACAGTTGCAATATCAACACGGAGCCTGTGTGTCAGACACTGGGCTGTCAAAACGTCACTCAGGAACTAATGCCTCATTCCTGTCACTCAATCCTTCGTGATAATCCGATCACCAGGCTTGTGGCACCTAGGCGCTCGTTCCAAGCACCGATAAAATATCGCTCAAGATATCGTGCGGGAGAATGAATCGCGCTCGGCTCTCACAGGCCACGGATCAATCAAGTCTTGAAGCTTAACGCGTTCTCACTCATGACGCCAACACACTTTGGGAAGCCCCAGACCTGGCCCGATACTATGAAGGGCATGGCTTCGGATCAAAGGATACTGCCGAATCGCACGGCCTCGCTGAGAAGCGGAGATATATTTTTTAAATTTAGCTTGCAGCTACCTTGTCAGCTGAACTTCGGGGCCCAACTCTGTGCGCTATGCCCTGACCCCGATGGTTTTAAAGTCGCAATCGACTGTGCTTACATCGACGCGGGGCCGTCTTTGTTACCAACAGGCTCTGCCGTTTGGCATTTGTTGATCTACGAGGGGGGGACCCAATGACCCTTTTTACCCATGATTCAATTCGAATAAGCTAGCGGCCTATCACTAGCCTCCCTTTTTTTTTTTTTTTTTTGGCCTGGGTAAATCTCCGACAGGTGACAGAGCCAGTTAGGTTTCGATAATGTCTCCCTGTATACATGTCCCGGAAGCTTGATTTTCAGCTTCAAGGGTTGCTTGGGGCTTGGCAAGACACAATGGTATGGACGAGCACGCAAAGTCCGAGTTTCCTGTTCATAGACATCCTGTAAGACGCCGCCCTCGCAGTGACCCCGCCGCGGCGTTGGCGGGCATACCGAGGTAGCGCCAGTTTACGGGTCCCCGAAACCAAATGGAAATCGGCATCCCGAGATCGCCCTATCTGGCGACGGTCCCGTGGCATCATAGCTTGAACGATGGACACGGGGCTTCTACGACATTCCGCATGATGTGCATTTGATCCTATGATTTCGGGCGGATTTGACGGGAATAACATTCGTCTGCTGAGTTGACGGAGCCTCTTGCTCCTAGCTTAACACTTCGAGTCATTTGGTAGGACACCTCATGACTACCCCTTATTCGTGGACCATGGCTGTGTCGCTAGCCAACTTCTTGCTAAGCTGTGATGCCGCGTTGCCGGTCCTTGTTTCGTTTTCCTGTGTTGTTCTGTGATTTGTGCTATTTGCAGTCCTAAACCCTCAGAGTGGCCGCCCTCCATTGGCAAAACTGAACTTGAACATGACATTGTAGGGTTGCTTCTATGAGGCTACGCGGCTGGATGAAGCCATGGCTGAGAAGGCAATTTGTTACCGTGTTGTAAAGACAGCTTGATCTTGCGCCGTGTAAGGAGCATAGAAAAATAAGTCATGATTGCAAGACATCATGAGTTTCCAAGTCACCACCTACTTCCGTGACTTTACCCCTCTTTACGCAATGTAACTAAGCACTTGAAAACCCGGCTGATCCAGGACTAATATTACTTGTTTGGTAAAAGAAGTTCGGGCTCAAGTTTTGGCGGCAAATAGACGCTATTGATGACACAAGGGATCAATCTTCCTGGACGTGACTTAAGGTCTCATTATCATGTCCAATGGAGTGGAGTCGCGAATAACGTGTGAGCCTGGTGTAAGACTGTTTTACGCATACGAAACTGAGGCCAATGATCAAGTAGCTATACTATTAGCACAGAGATTGGTGTTGGCCTGGGTCGCTACCATCTATGCCTAAGATGGATCGACGCCTTTGGAAGTTTGTAGCGAGTAATCTACGTGGGAGACAGGAGCTGAAATATACCACTGCCAAAATTAGGATCGAACCACAGGCGGTCCAATTTTAACTCCTAGGGAATGATCTATCCAATTAGCATGAAATAATCATCCTGGATTTCATCGTTGCTTCTTTCTTCGTGTAAGTAACATGTAGTTTCTGTCCCGGACTGCTGTTATCCTGCCCCCTCGTCCCTTCCCAGCCATTTTAATAGCTGTATAATGTCAAGAAGACGCAGAAGACAATCTTCCATTACATATTTATTCCATTACATCACTCGAAGAACGCACCAGAAGCAATTAAAGTGAAATTGGAGCCGCTGAGCCGTGGTACTAATTGAAAGAATGCCAACGTCAGCATTGGAAATAACGTAGGCCGACACGTTTCTTCAAACCCTACTACAATGGCACCTCGTCAGCCTCAAGCTGAAACGATGATCATTCTTTCATGGATACTCGTGCCTCCTACAGCAATGTTACAAGTATGCCATCCAAGGCTCTCCTCGAGCCAGCCTGTATCATCGCAACGACAAGGGCGCGCTTACCCGGTCTCTTCGACAGCAACCCAGAATGAGCAGCAGATTTTAAGAGAGATCGAGGAATAAAAGAGCTCACCCAACAGATAATTGGCCCTGAAAATAACCCTCCGTTGGCTACATGGTCATTCTTGCATCCTTTGGTTCAAGCTGGGATGCAAAAGTATCGTTGTGAATGCCTGCAGTCGGTGTGATAAACCAGAGTGTTAACCATTTAGTCTTATACATAGTATATATATTTACGCAGTCATGATTTTCAAGGCTAGAGACCACCCGGTGGCAGCTACCAGCAAAGGAATTCGATCATAATCGACATCCAAGTAATTAAAATATGAATACAATCAAGTGCATTGAAGAGATCTGAGGAAGATTTAAGAAACAACATACAGCTAGCAAACTAAATGGTTTACCATATGTATATCACTGGACCTCTGCGAATATTCCATGGAATTGTGATAGAGAACCAAAGGGGTTTGCAACTTGAGCCGGGCGGATTGGGTTCTCGAAGGCCAGTTACCTTTGAGCAGAACAATTGAAACGCCCTACAGACCATTTCAAGCCAGACAATAATATAGCAAGCTTTCGTTGTCTAATTGTAAAACGGTAGGCAGTTTGTCTGATAGATCAACTGGTTATCTGAGAGTGCTAGCAACATACTCGAGAACATCGAGAGTTGGAGACGAAACAGGGGTTACGCTCATATCACATCAACAGATTTTTAATACGTGGAACATTTAATGCTGATCACCTAGCACCTCCCATAACAATGTGTTGGTGGGAAACAACTCTGGGCCAAAGAGGCGTAGTATCCCACGCCTGAAGCGTCCGTCAACATGGCTCTGGCAACAAATCTAGGATACTGCGTGTTTTTTATGTGTCTTAGCAACTTCCAAGCTTCGTGGATATAGATCAATGATCTGCAAAAAGGTCAAATAATAATCGGCAAGATGTTTGTCTCTACATTGGTTAGGTTCTGTGAATGGCTTCGAGCAAGACAATTCGCACTCGCTCCAACTGCTCAAATAACGGTTTGCTTCATGTCTTCACCTGCCCTTCCAGTTGCCTTTACAACAATATCCAAGTGATCGTACATCCAAAAACAAAAACATTGTAGCTGTCATGTTGCGGTGCTGAATAGAGTATCCAAATATCATCAACGGCTGACATGCTATAGGAATAGGTATATGTCAGCCATATCGATGCGGATAGAAGAATTCTATTGCAATTCTCTCTCTTGATATTATATGGCCTCTGCTAGTTGATATTTGTCTCGTCGTTGGCTATCGTAACCATCCTGCAATGAAATCATTCGTGTCAAAGCCCTAGATCCTGATGCCAAGGTTCAACTCGGCTCCAAATCTGTCTATCCCCCGTCACGAACCCACCAAAAAAGGCTGCCGTCTAAATTGTCAATGGCCAAGTAATTCAGATACCGCAACGCGAAATCCGAAAGTCCAAGACCCGAACACGTTCGTCACATCGCTTAGACAACTGACACATTGTTCGCCACCGTTTCATCCAAACCAAGTCGCGAACGCCGCGTGACACATACAAACCACACGGCCACCAGACGCGCAGACCAACCGACGTCAAATACGGTTTCCAGTATGTAAAAGCCAAGCACCGGCCCGCCCTCACGCCCGGCGCAACGTCCGGCCCTCCCACCTCACGGACCTCGCAGGGGCCTTATCTTATCAGCAAGCATCTAAACCAACCCCCCCACTCCCACCCCGCCGCGGGGGGGCCCTGCTACGGAAACCTGCTTGCCAACGACTTCACGCATGGTCTCATTCATCTCTCACCACTCCGCCGCCGACTTACACAAACTCACCATCAGATCTCACACACAATAAACAGAGACTCACTCTCACTCAAACGCAGAGAGAGAAAAAAAAAAAGCCTCATTTTCAAATGCTGAAGAGAGCGTGCTGACAGTGAGCAAAAACAAAAATGAATGCCCCGCCTCCCCCCGAGCTCAAAATCTCCCCGCCGCTCCTGAACTCGGCCAACCCGTGGTGCACAACCCTCTCCGACCTCAAACGTCTCCATGAGAGCCCTCACACGGGCGCAATCACAACCCGCACCTCCCTCATCAACGGCTTCCCCCACTCCGACGCATCGCACCAGTACACCTTCTTCTCGCCCAGCACCTCCGTCCCATCCACCACCGTCCAGAACTCGTCCTCGCACCACACGACCCCCAAGGACCTCGGCCCAGAAGACGTCGCCTCGCTCAACAACCTGGGCTACTCGCCGCTGCCGCTAGACACGTACCTGGACTTCGTATCGCAGCTGCCCACGACCAAGATCCAAGGCCGCCGTCACCGCAAACTCGTCATCGTCTCAGTCACGGGATCTCCCGCCGAAATCGCAGAATGCTACGCCCGCATCGCCGACTTCTCCGCCACAACAGCCCACCCGCTGGCCATGGAAATCAACCTCTCGTGTCCCAACATCGCCACCGCCGCGCCCCCGGCCTCGGACCGGGCGCAGTTGCGGGCCTACCTCGCCGCGCTGCCTGCGGATCCCGTGATCCCCGTCGGCCTGAAGACGCCGCCTTACACGCACCTCGCGCATTACCAGGAGCTCATCGCTGCGCTGCGCGAGGACGCGACGGTCATTACGCGGAACGCGATGCTCAAGGTTCCTAGTAAGATCAGCTTCATCACCGCCGTCAACACCCTCGGTTCTTGTCTCTTGCTCGAGGACGATCCGGAGTCGGGTGACGGCGAGCTGGTCCCGCGGCTCCCTGGGTCCGGGCTTGGCGGGATGGCGGGGCCTCCGCTGCATCCGCTGGCGCTGGGAAACGTCAAGACGATCACAGACTTGGTGTCGAGGGAGCCGGAGCTGCTGCACATCAAGGTTATAGGTGTCGGTGGCGTGTCGGATGCGGACGGCTTCAGGCGGATGAAGAGTGTTGGCGCGTACGCCGTCGGTGTCGGTACGGCGCTGGGTAGGGAGGGGGTACAGGTGTTTGAGAAGATTGCGACCGGGTTGGAGAAGTAGTCGTTGTGGTAACGTCGTTGTAGACTTGGGAGGCAAAGCCATCACGTTGCGCAACATGTAGATACCAATGCTGAAATCATAAAACTTTTTTATTCATCGAACATCATTATCATTGGGTATATAGCTATTAATGTAATAAAAAAAATGACAAGGCTCTAATTGGCCTTGTGTCGCACAATAATCAAAACATTTCGCTCATTCATACGGTCTGGGACCGTGGGCCACTGCTCGCCTCGGACGACTTATTGGACCCATTCTTCTCTTCAGAATGTTCCACTGCCGGGGGTGTGACGCTTTCTCCGTTCGTCCGGCCCATGTGGGATAGTTTGCTCAATATGCTGCCTCGCTTGCCTTTGGCTACAATAGTGGAAAGGGTTCGGCGCCGTCTCCGTACTTCACGGTTCATGTCGATCTCCTCCTCGTGAGCTAGGCGCTCCTCGGGTGTGATCACCGAGTGTGCGGGATCCGTCATCGCCCTCGCGTCTTTCAGAGACGCGAGCCAGATGGGGTAGAAGGATGTGAGCACAAAGAGGGCGACAATGAGGACGAACGCAATTTGTACCGTAGCGCCATGGTTAATGATGGCGTACATAACATACGGGAAGAAGGCTGCGCCGGAGCCTCCCATGGTGATGAAGGCGGCTGCACGCTTAGTGCGCCGGCCTTGACCTCGCAGACCAATTGCAAAGATCAGTGGCCAGACGGGTCCTTCGGCAAAATAGAAAAGGATCACCGGGATCAAAAGCAGATTAGGATTCTCCGGCTTCAAGACAACCGTGAGAATCGCAAAAAAGATGGCCAGGCCCACGCTGATGGACAGCCATGTTCTTGGTTTTGGCATACGAGGATTTCGTACCGACATGTAGGTAAGATATGCGACGATGAATCGAGATACAGCAAAGACACTGTGAGCAATGAGGTGATAGTCGGTTACCCCAAGCGTAAGGCCGGGTGGCTTGTCGCTGTTCTCTCCTGGATTTGTGTCGGCGTTTGTCGCACCCGATCCTGCATCTTCCTGATTAGGGAGGATTGCAATAACCAGCGTACGGAAGAATATGTTGTTGCATTCTTGACAAGCAACGTAAGTCCACTGAGCCAGAACAGCAAAAATTAAACTCCACGTGCGGAGTTGCAGCCCCCCAATGCTGCGCTTTTGGGGGTTAATAGGAAGCCGATCAGCTGATTCTTGTAGCTCGTTATCGTTCAGCTCTGGAAGGGGCATGTAGTAAAAGAACAGTCCGAGAGCGACGCACAACAGCGTGATGGCGAGGTAGGTCCATTGGACGTTTAGTAATGTAGTAGAGTTGCTTTCAGAGCCATCCTGGTTGGTGATCTTCGTGAAGAAGACTCTTTGGGCCATCAGGCCGCTGAGGACGGCTCCAATACCTTGCACGCCCTGGGCGAGAAGGAGTCGCGTCTCACCGTACTCTGGCGGCCCGCAAAGGATCAGGAAAGCATTGGCTCCCGTCTCTAACACGGACAGGCCAAATCCGACAACAAAGTTGCTGAGCAAGAAGCCACCCCAAGACTTGGTGACGGCGGATGGCCAGAAGATGATAGTTCCGACGCCGTAGAAGCAAAGTCCCACGATGAATGTCACCTTGAAACCTCCGACGCTCTCGGCGCCGTGCCTGTTGTTCTTTCGGTTTCTGCGGTGATGCTCGTCCCGTCTCAGAATCCACTCACCGACAACAAGAGGGCCAAGAAAGTAGCCGCCTCCGAAGTAAGCAGTTGTGAGACCAAGTGTCTGAGCCACAGACATTTGCGACACATTCGAAATGACATTGTTTAGAGTATTGAGTAAGCCATATGAGATGCCCCACATGAGAAACAAAATGGTGACCACAAGACAGTAACGGAACGATTCTTGAGCATCGCACTTGACCATGCTCTTTGGCCGTCTCATGTTGACAAAACCGAAGTAAATGGTGTTTTCTCTGCTCGTCGCCATGGAGGTTCTCGTCCGCACCCCACCCAGCCTGCCAGCGCTGGATGCTTCGAACTGTTCCAGCGTCATGTCAGGCGTAGTCAGGAACTCGAGTGCAGTCATGCCATTTTCATCCGTGTTCGCTGCCGTGCTGAAATCGCGACTAACACGGGCCGCTGGAAGTGGTTGTTGGATGCTCACGCTACCACGGTTGGGGTTGGCAGTCGGAGAGACAAGACCGTCGCTACCTGTGCGGTTCCTGGGGCTGTCCATAATGTCTTTCTCGGTCTGGGTGCTTGAGCGCGTGCCATCAGGGTCGATGATCATGGCAGGAAGAATCTTGATGATGAGAGGCTTCAAGGTCGGGATACACGCGCAAGACATTCCCACGTTGACCTCCACAGCCGACCACATGAAGGACAGGGATGAGTTCCAGGCAAAGTTGGGAGTACCGCCAAAGTGAAAATTCGGGTTTGTCGAAACACTGGTCGGGATCGAGGTAACGGCCTGCTGGAGGTAATAGATGCGGACAACGTCGACAATAGTGACGAAGATACCGAGGGTGAAGGTGAGGACGAGGATAATCTTTTGCCTTGGAGGCAATCTCATTCCGGTCAGAACGGGGATCGGAAGGGCCAGGATGGCCAAATCGGTGACAATGTTGATGGGCGCGGAGCAGATGAATTCGGTCAGAAGCGGGATGCACTGTGACGGTTCCCTTCCAACCTCCCAAGCTGCCTGGACGGGCCTACATTGGAAGATGTTGATAAGTGTGAGCACAGTACCGGCCAAGTTGACAATGCCTAGGGTAACCCATGAGGCAAATCGAAGGACTTTTTGGGTGTTTTTGGAGAGGCGCAGGTAAAATATTAGGACACTCGTTTTCGTGGCCATGAGGGCGGGATTCTGCATGGTGTAAGTAAGGAGGCGAGCTATGCGACGCCGTGTGCACTGGCACGGTAGTAGCACTCACATAAAGTATTGAAAAGACATATTCGCACGCTCGTAAGGATTTCCAGTGATCCTTGGAAATATCTGCATCGTAACGACCAAGTCCTCTTGTCGTGCCGAAGCAAATGGTGAATGACAGGCCGAATCCAATTAGCCAGGCCAAAAACATGGTCTTGTCGTCCCAGCTAACATTTCTGACAATGAAGCGCCTACAGAATAGGCGGGCGGCAACCATAACACTAGCCAAGACGAACGTTGCCGTTGTCACGGCGAAGACCGCCGGACCGCGATCCGGGACGTCGTCATTTGTGGCGGTGACGACTGACATGCTCGGCGAGAAGAATCGACCAACCGGGGGGAGCCCGAGCAAAATTTACCACCACGGAGGTTTGGCGAAGGGTAATGGGTGGCTAACTTGACACCGATGACAACCATGCCATGGCTTTAGGCTCTGACACATGGACGCAATATGTGTGTTGATGATGTTCGGGGTGAAGGTCGCTCGGTGGGCATCGAGGGTCTTGGATCGCAATTCGTTTCGGTGATGTTGTGGCTATCGTGGGATGTGGTCTGGCACGCGACAATTTTGCGAAGGCGGTCGGAAGGTGCGTACAATGGTTACTTTGCTCTTGGAGAAGGAAAGTCGGGGTCGCTTAGTCGTTGGCCAGAATTGGGGGGGTTGTCTCTAAAAGAAAGCTGGTAGACGGGAAAGGCTGGGGTAGTAGAGTTGGGTTTTTTTTTCTTCTTTTGCCTTTTTCCCTTTTCCTCTTTTAGTCTTTTTTTCTTATTGCTACCCGTCAAGCCAGTCCGGTATAGTCATCCAATCCTTCTAGCTGCAAGCTTGCGCGAATATCTTCGTGGTTGGTAGTCCAGAAAGTGGTGTGGAGGTCAGACGACTCCGCGGGGCGCAATTGGCAGACCAGGAACGGCGCGGCGTCATACAAGCCTCTGGCAAAAGACTAGCGGCCGTGTTTTGGCGAGACAGCCAGATCGGTTGGGGTTTGGTCGCAAGGGACGGCGCAGTAGGTAGGGAAGAACCAGACGAGGGAAGAAGACAGAAGTAGAATTCTCGAGAAGATGAGATGGATGGCGAAGCGGCAAAGTAAAGGAAACCAAACAGGTCATGGGAAAATGCTGGGCGTCAAACAAGCCGACACTAGTTGTACAGGTAAGCCGGACGAGAGCGCGAAATCGGGTGGATTCGTCAAGTTGAGCCCACAATGTACTATGTAGGTGTGGACCAGGAAATGGTGCAGTAGTCTTGGCTTGGACTGTGCTGAGTTGGCGGAGTCCAGCAACCCAGGCTTTGCAGGCGTTGCAGACAGACCCCTCATGCTATCCGTACGCATGGAAGGATATCTGGATGTATGGATGTATAGGTGTATGCGTGCGAATGTATGGCGAATCCAGCCATGCCATGGTTCGCTGTCGCTGTCGCTATCGCTGTTACTGGTACGGATGGTAGCCAGCCAAGTGCAGAGTTTTCCGATCCAGGGCAAGAGCTATGGGTATCCGTTGCTTTGCCGAAGGATACTCCCACAATAATTATGGAGTAAAAGAGGCCGAGTAGTGGACAGTGATGCGAATCAAAGGATGCCTTTTGCAGCGTTCCCCCGCCGCAGACGGACAGGGCGGTCGCTGTCGCCTCAGCTTTTTTCGTCTTTTCGGAGTGGCAGAGCGAGATTGGCGTGGACCTTCTCCGCTCCCCCCTAGATGCTTGTAGTACTATGTATACTTACACGGCGTCCCGTACCTCAACAACATCCATGCGGGACCTTATAATCCACATTAGCGGTCATCAGTAGTGCGTAGGAGTAGTAGTAAGCTTTCTAGTCTGCCTTATTGACGGACTGACACACTGACTGACAGATATACACTGACAGATAAATTGACAAGTCGATTGACTGGCCGGCTGACCAGCCAGCTGACTGGTGTGCATGACACGGCTGACTGGATGGCCAAAACTGCACGGGATGGACATGAGCGATAACAATGCATACGACAGACAAGCGATGCTTGGCTCTCTGCGAGTTCGTGAAAATTGGAAAAAAAAAAAAAAAAAAACCGAGCAAGGAAGAAACACGAAAATCGAACGGTGCGGTTCTGGTAGAGTGGAGCCGCAGCCGTCCCAATGTAGGGCGCACCAGTGGCAGGCCGCCGCCAACTGTTTCTGCATGGTATCTGCATGGAGGAACTATGTATCATTTGTATGAGTTCCTCACTGCAAAGGTACCCATCTTCCTCGCCGACTGCATCCCTGAGGGGAGGGGAGGAGAGCCATGGATTTTGCCCCAACACTGCGGTGTGAGGCTGGGTACGTACCTAACTGTGTTCTACCATCGCTGGCGTATTACAGCGGACCGCGTAATAATGGGCGGTGGGCGATGACATAGAGTGCGTCGATCCTCACCCTCCTGGAAGCCAATTAGCGATCTCGTTGGGACGGGTCTACCCCGGATTCTGGACCTTTTTTGGCCAAGTTCAACTTCGCACCTGCCAGTTGGACCCAGGCACATCCATCGTAACCAGGGATGGCGCGAAGAAAGAGCAACAGCCCAGGGCCACTTTCCTAGGATCGATGCTGGAAGGAGCAGTGAGCACTGGGCGGCAAGTGGCACGGCGCTAGGAGTTTTTGGAGGGGGCAGGCAGACGAGATGGCAGCAACACTCTTGCTTCCCACGCCGCGGCCACAGGAAACATCCACATAGCAAGCGGCATTCTGAGGCACTTGCATATCCACCGGGAGCCACTGCTCTGTGTCAAAATTCCTGTTCCCCCTCAGTGCCCTAAACCCAACCTGCAGCACCGCCGGTAGCGTCTTCCGCTTTTTACCTCTTTGAGGACCGAGAGTCCGGGCTCGCAACGGCAGCCAGTCCCAGTCCGGCCAATTCCAGCCCAGTACCTATGACAAAGTCTACAAGTCCTCTCCCTCGAGCGAGAGAACCTCGCCCCGAAAACAAGATCCGGCTCATTGGGAACCACCAACCTAAACTTAGTCGTCCAGTTCGCCACCGTCCACACAAGCTCCTCCTGCGCTTCCGAGCCTTTCCCCTCTTTCCGCTCGCCGGCCCTTCCCCGTCTGCTCCTCGTGGACGGGATCCGTACTGAAATAACTACCACTACCGCCATTCGAGTAGTTCGTCCCCATCGGCCACGCGCCTCGTCATCCCCCTCGTTGCTTCGTTATGGGGTCCTACGTGATTGCGGCAAATACACCTTCTTCAGGTCGCATGGTCATACAGTTGAGAGAATAAAAATCAAGATAAAGTGGAGAGACGCCCTGCAAATTTGTACTCCGCCCGTGCCTCATTGCGACTGTGGGAGGTAGGAGAGAGGAGAGCAAGCCGAAGCGGTGCAATGGCCGACGCTGAAAAAGATTGCCAAGAAACCACAGCCTGGTGCCCACTGCGGAATGCTTGGCTAGCGTTGGGCCTTTGGATGGGTTTGCAGTGGCCCCTAGTTATGGCGCAAAAAATGGACCGAAGTACGAGCGGGCCAGGAACTGTGGGTGATGATTGATCTGCCATATTGTTCAAACGCAACGAATACGGACCCTTTGTCGATCGCATTGAAGAGAGGAGATGAAGAGGAGGTGTGAGATGCGTCAGCCACCAGCCGGCAATCTGACGGCAAGTGGCAGGCCATCATGGGGTGCGTGTGGTGGTATGCCATTCTGTGCCACTTGTGTCGCGCTGGGCTGAAGGCGGGAAGGACGAACTCAACGCTCGGTTACCGCAACTTGCCTATATGCGTGAGTGAGGTACGAACGATACATTACTACGCTGCAGACCAACCGAGCTTCCGTCTTTCTGATGACCTGGGTCTCGCTTTCGGAACGGAACCACCACCAAGTCAAAGCGGTAGCGTTACCGACACTCCGTCACTCGAGACGTCGGCCAAGGCAAACCCTCCCCCCTTCTTGGATCTTGGGACGGGATGATCAATTGGCCGTCACCATGAGTGTACTACGTATCTCCCTCTCCCTGAAGAAGCTTGTTCTCACTCGTCCTTGTGCTGCTGGGCCGACAGCTCTCGTCGATGCCAATGCAAATTTCAGTGTTGTCGTTATCATATAGCTCGAGAATCCGCGACAACGATTTCTCAAGCACCGAGCAGCTGACTCAGCGGTCCGCCGATGCTTCTCTTCTCTTCACTTTGCACGAACTCAGAGGCTCTGGAGGTTATGGCCCGAAACACCCTGGCCACTACCATCTCCCATGTATCAGTGCCCCCTGTCAGCCGGAGAGAGCAGACTTCCTGCCAGCAACCGCCGAGCTTGAGTCAAAAGGCAGATCGTCGCCCTCTTCCGAAACCACAACTCCGTCAACATCATGCCCGCATCATGGAGAAACAAACGTCATCCGAATAGCTAGAAAAAGAACCTTCTTTCTCATCCGTGTCAGTGCCCACGTTTCCACGTCTCTGAAGCCCCAACAACCCCGGGATGCCAAATTCTGGCCCCCGGCAGTGGATAGCGTAGCGGATCAACCCCACGCCATGAAATCTTGGAAGCTATTGACCAAGTCGTACTTAAAAGGCAAGGACCATACGCCCATAAGGCCAGATGTCCGATCGTCAATTATTCCACCAAGATGTTTCCGCCGATTGCAACTCTCACAGTTTCAGGATGATGAAGGGCCCGATGAAAATTCTGAATGAAGGATAAATGACTATTTGCTGGATTTTTACGTACCCTTTCGTTGATCAAAAGCGGGCTGCCTGCGGCTGGCTGGCCTTGCCGCATCATGGAAAAGCTCGTTGTAAGTCCACGCCAAGCTTTTTTCCCTCAACGGCGCCTTGTGCTCAGAAGTGTACGAGTCAGACACCACCTTAATACATCAAATCACCAACCTCGTACGATTTTTTAGACTTCCAAGGACTTCCGATGCCAAGAGAAATGGCAGCTGGAGATACAACAAACGCAATCTACCCGACCCTCGTCACCGGACGGCAGGCAAAGCCTGCACGAACCGACGGTCAATATCCGATTTTGTCGCCAAGCCCACGAACTAGTGAATGAGCAAACTGCAAAGATCCCAATCTTGACCTCACAAAGAACATGTTGATCAGAGTCCCGCCTCTGGAGAAGAGCAATCTCCCCGCACCTGCTTTGCTACATGCATATATCCATTGGAACACTCCAAACCGGTATGTAATGCCGGCCGGTCCTATGAAACTCTTCCAGCGTAGATTCAGCTCCCTCCGGACCGGTCGTGCGTTTGTGGGTCGCGGTCCAGACCTGTCAGGGCTCAATGTTTCTCCTCCCTTTCAAAGTCTCTTCCTGGAGTTCTCGGCCGGTTCGCTCTCTTCTTACAAGTGAAGAATTCA